TATGTGCTACATTTTTATTGTTTAGGTGCTGCATTAAAGAATTAAAATAAATATACGGAGGCAATTGAGTGTTACGAATAAGCTATTTCCATTATTCCTAGTAATGATAGTGCATGGAATAATAAGGGTAACTAATGTGACATATTACTATTATTTAGGCTCTATCTTAAATGATCTAAATAAATATTTGGAGGCATTAGAGTGTTACGACAAGGCTATTTCCATTAATCCTAAATGTGATATAGCATGGAGTAATAAAGGTAAATTATTTTATAATTAGGTTTTGCATTACATAATTTAAAGAAATATCAAGATGCTGTCGATTGCTATGATAAAGCTCTGTCTATATGTATTAATCCTCTTCGTCTAAAAAGAAAAGGTACACCTATCTAAATTAATATATATATAGCTGATTCGCTATTTGAGTTGCAGTAGAAAGAAGAAGCTAAAAAGTTATATTAGGATGCTTTAAACAAAGGATCAAATGAGAGGGATTACATACAAAGATAACTCGCCAAATTATGAAACACCTTATTTTAATAGATCAAATCCTTAAGAATTAAATCTCTTCAGTTAAATTCTAAGAATTTTTCAAGTCAAATCAATTATTTTAGACCTCTTCTTTTAAAATTGATAGGGGAATTAGTTTGAAACAATGTTCATAAGCAAAGTCTGCTAAGGACAAGGGTATGGTATGTTGTTAATTTTGTTAAATCAAAATTAATTACCTTTTGAGATCCAAGTAATGGCATTAAAATATTGTCCTTATTAAATTAAGCATTCCCCTTAAAAATGACATAAACATATTCACCTTTTCATCGCAACGCATTAACATAGTTTGAATCATATTTTAGAACATTGTCTACCTATTATTCCGACTCTTCATATTTGTCGAGCATATATAAGCACTTAGCTAATATTTATATTAAAATCACCTTTGCAGTATAATGATTTAATGTGATTTGGATCAATTTGTAAAGCTTTATCTGCCCATTTTATAGCTTCTGCAAATTGGCCAAGTGATTTTAAAGTTAATGCTAAATTTAATGATGATCAATAACATTTCATAGATAATGCAGATAAATTTTCAGCATTCAAAACCTAAGATTAATTTAACATCTTAATTGTTGATTCTAACATTTCTTTCTCATTTAAAATGCCTTGTTATTTGCCTAATTAAATTAAAGTCTACCTCCAATTCCATTCATTTCCAACTATTTGTTATTGTTTTCATTTTATAAACGAAAATTCAAATCTTCTATTCTCAACTTAACAATCAGTTTGATTAAATCATTTTACAACTTTTTGACACGGTTAGTTATAGAATACTATGCTTATACTTTAAATTCTTAGAAATATATCATTTCACCAATTGCTACGTTTAATTATTAAACGTTCATTCTTACTCTTTCTTTGTTTAGTATAAATTTCAAATTAATCCCTTACTTGAATTTTTCGAATGAGTGAAAGATTGACTCAAATTACTCTGAAATATTATCCAATAATTTCAGACAATCCTACTCTTAATTACTTAGTTGTTCATTAAATTGAGGCATGTCAATCCATGATTCTAAATGAGCATTTTGAAATTTATTTTAAACACATTTCATAAAACAATAATATCAAATCTTTACAAAACTCCTTTAAGCATATCATTTTAATGTTATATTCATGCTCACTATTTTTGGCATTTTATCTCTAAACATTTCCCTTTACTCATTTTATTATATAAAAATTTTATATTAACCTAGAAAACATTTTATAAACTCTATTATATAGATGAATATTATTGTTATATTCAATATAAAAATTAACAAAACCAATCTCAAAAAATTATGGATTTAACAAATATGTAAATAACTATTTATTAGGCTTGTCTGTGGATAATCAAAGAAAATACAGATCTAACAATATTGACACAGTAAAATAACTTAATCCTTATTTAAACATAAACAATTAGATTTATAGAATACTCATATAATTACATTTGCAACTTTTTCTATAAATCTTTTAGCATAATCATCTGGATTTTGAGCAGAAGTATCTAAGGCAATATTTACATGAATAGCCTTTTTAGTGTGCTTTTCGATGATTTTTTATGCATTCCACTCTTATAAGTAATCAATTATGGCTATGTGATAAAAAATTCCTTTTTCAACCGCATTTATGCATGGTATACATTACAGATCACATGAGAAATAATTAGGAATCTAAGAAATATGAAATTAGTTTTACATCTGCTTCTTTAATATGTGAGTTATTCTAGCTATATGAATACCAATCCATTTTAATAATCAGGAGGGAATAATCCATCAACTTGATTCTGCTAAAAAAGTTGGCGTCATTAATTAAACATTTTCTCAATCTTTCTCTATGTTGTTAAGGTATATGCAGTTATTATTCTAAATTCTGGAAATCAATGTCTTTTAACGTAATTTTCTTTAATTCAATATCATTAGTTTTTTTGTTTTTCTTTAAGACTTATCTTGAGTGTTCAGATCCTTTGATATCATAAGTTCTGACTCTGTAGATGGAAGGTATTTACATAGCATTTCTCATCACGACTACATTGATCGATTCTTCAACCTAAATTATTGAATAAATATAATACGTTTTATCTGAATAACTTGTAAATGCCATAGATTGGCGAAATAACTGTTTCATTTTCACTTAAATGAAGGAAGTAAGGTATCAGATTTTTTCTAATAACAGCTAATTCTTAATCAGACAATGTTTTGATGATTAATTTGTTATCATGAGTGAAAAAGAAGAAAGCACCCCCTTTGCCTCCATCTGGTCCTTTGAATTACTTAATTTGATCTTAATTGGCAACGAGATCAAATGATTTGAAATGATTAATCATTTTTATATCCCTCTCTCTGATCTTCTGGAATATGGCTGGAGCATAAACAGTAAATGTTGATTGTAACAATTTTAATTCAACTGTGCTTTCATTCTGAGACCCTTTGTTATCTATTTCGTAGAGGATTTCTTCAATAAAATCATCAGTATCTAAATTGTAATTAGATTTCAATTTAGCATTATCATTATTCGAAACTGAGTCATTTGAGAATTTATAATCTGTATATCTTCTAAGAATATTAATTTGATCAAATTCATCTTGTACAGATATTTCTGCCTTTACATCTGATTTGCAAACAGCTCTTATGCCAAAAATGATTGTATTGACTTAATCAAATTTAAGATTTTAATGGATAGTATCGTAAAAGTTAGCATCGTCATCCACTAGAAGAATAGTTAATAATATTACATAATTCACTTTAGACATTGTCCCTCCTCCAAACTTTCCTCCACAATCTTTTGACTTGATCTTTAATAGTTGGATCATTGTATCTTAAAATGGATAATACTATTGGAGTGCATAATTTGGCTGAATTGCCTATAGTTATAAAAATCAGGAGAAATCCTTCATGAAAATATGAGCAATTGAAGCCTGCAATTGTAAAGGATACTGCCTCGCATGTCCATATAATACATGACCCTTTGATATAACGATAGTAATATTTTGCAAAAGTATCCTTGATTTCTCTGTATTTCTCATCATCAGGAATGGCTTTATTGAAGTACCATATTGTATACAATGAAATGAGAGTGTATAAAAATACCAGTACGATACCAGCCAACGGAAACCCAGGATGATATTTGAAACTGCAGGTGCCAAATATTGAAAGACCATTGTTATTAGTAAACTTAGCTAAGAGTGGAATTGAAATCATTGCTAACCATGCCAATGAATGCAGTATCGTAGGCAATTTGGGTATTACTTTGAATTGAGTTTTTAGAGTTAATCGAATGTAAATGCAAAACACTACATTATAAGATACTTCTCCTGTTCCAGCGAATATACTAAACATCGAATTGATCTGACAGAATAAACCTGAACTCAAAGGATTCTAACCATATGTAGTGTAGTAACAAGCAGTCACAAACCAATGTATACATAATATTGCATCAGACAGAGATATAAAGAAAACTATATCCCCAGGCATTTTCCTTGTATTCGGATACTTGATAAAGCTGTAGGTGATGAATATAGTGCACATAAAGGCTAATGGGGCTAAATGATGATAAAATTTTCAAATACAAACTATAAGAAATATATATTGATCTAAGGGTTGCACTTTAATCTTTTCAGACAGTTCCTAATCAGTCAAATTATCGTAACAATAAAACACATCATCATCACTATAAATCCCTAAGGCTGAGCTCAATAATAAAAAGTAGATTATCAATTTTATCATAAATATTATTATTAATACATAATCTTAATCTATCTCTATTACTTACCAAATTTTATGATGATCTCCACTTCAATCTCTATAGAAAATTATCATATATCTAATATCTCTCAAATATCACAATAATTTAATAAAGTAGATACTATTTTAATGAATATTACTGATGGATATTCAGACAAGTTATTCAAATTTCTATAAAAATCAATTATGTAGAATGTATATTCTTGATTTCGAAATCTATATAATTTATAGTACATTAAATCTCTTAATTTAATCAAAAACCCACAATTATTTATCATTTTTCACCAAATCTAATCAGAAAACAAATTAGATGAAAGAATTATTTCTTTGTATAAAGGATAAGCAGGAATCGAATTAGGAAATAATTGTTGGGAACTATTTGTTTTAGAACATCGGATTTAAGTAGATGGGTATAGTATATAAGTTAAGAAATTGGGAATTATCGATGATGCATTTCAGAATTTCTTTTCAGAAACTGGAAATAACAAACACTCCCAAAGATCTTTATTTATTGATTTAGATAGGAATACTATTGATGAATTGAAAAGAAGCCAATTTAGAGAATTATTTAGACCTTAATAAATGATTTTAGGAAAGGATAGTGCTATAGACATTTATGCAGGAGGCTACTATGGAGTTGGAAAAAAATATTATAGATGCCGGTATGGATCGAATTAGATAATTTAAGGAAGATTGCATGGGTTTTTAGGGATTTATAATATTTCATTCTGTTGGAGGAGGTACTAACTCTGGATTTGCATATTTATTATTGGAAGCAATACGCAATACACGAAGAATTTGGTAAGCAATCAATCAATAGCGTTGCTACTTTTCCATCTCCTTAAATTGAATCATCTATAATTGAACCATACAATACATATTGTGTGAAAGTGCATTAAATGATCATAACGATGTCTTTATCTTATTAGATAATGAGGCCATCTATGATATTTGCAATAGGCATTTGGAGACAGAAAGGTGTTCTTATACAAATTTAAATGGAATTATAGCTTAGGAATGTTCAACTTTAACACTTTCATTAGGATTTGATGGATAGTTGAATTTATAGTTGGATGATTGTCAGACAAATTTAGTTCCTAAAATTCCTTTTATGCTTTAGAAAAATAATAAATCATTAAATCAAATGTATCATCATATGCATCAATTGTTGCAATTTCAAAAATCGTGACATCTCTTTTTTTCAACCTTAGAACATAATGGTTAAATGTGATACAAATCATGGAAAATATATGGCAAGTCCATCTGTATTATAGAGGGGAAATAATACCAAAAGAAGTTAATGCTGCACTTGCATAAATAAGATTTATTAAATAAGTATATGTAATATTAGATTGGTGTACTAAAGGATTTAAATTAGATATTAATTATAACCTCCTGCCAGCATATATGATCTCGAATAAAACTGCAATAGAAGAAGTTTTTGCAAGAATAGATTATAAGTTTGATCTCATGTATTCCAAAAAGGTGCTCATTTATTGGTTCATATAAGAGGGAATGGAAGAGGGAGAGTTCATTGAAGCAAGAGAAAATATTTCAGCTCTTGGAAGGATTATTTTTTTTCGAGTGAAGCAGCTGAAAGAGACGGAGAGTACTTTGAAGGACTGAGTATATATAAAAATTAAATCTTATGATAAAGAGACTAATTTCAAATAGATCTTCTCTTTTTGTTCAGAGGTCATAGAGATATCAAAATCGCAGGCATCTTTATAAAGGAAAATGCTTCATAATAAGAAGTTCATATAATTATTTCCAATTTATAATTTCCAATTGAATTAATATTCATAATGTATCTAAAGTTATTATTATAGAAGCAAGTAAACAATAATAGCAGATATATCATATCAAGCAAATTTAACTTTATAATTGATTGAATTTTGAAAATTTACTACTTCTTATTTATAATTAAATTCTTGCTTGTTTACTAACAATATTTTATGATCTAAAAGATGATAAAATATTGAAATCTTCCAATCATATTATTTTGCTCTTTCTATGATTTTCCATACTTCAACATTCTGCTCTTCATAGATTATATCCCGTATTTTTGGATGGGAATTGTATAAAAAAATTTCCACAAAACAATTGGATATCTGTATAAAAAGACCAATATTCTAGATTAGTATTGATTTCAATACTATATGGGTGGTTGATTAGCAATAATAATGACAGATTATATACACCATTAATTAATAATTTATAGATTCTATGATATTGATTATTGTAATTGTCAACTAATCATCAGTTCATTCTGTCAGAAATCAATATATTCATTTATCTAACATATTTATATGCGATTTCATTAATAAAACAGTTATTTATTATAATACAAAATTTGTATGTAAAATATATTATTCGGTGGAGCACAAAAAGCAGCTAATGGAATAGTTGATGAGTTCTCTAAAAGACCTTCTAGAGCGCTGAGTTTAAGAGTTCACAATTAAAAAGGAGAAAAAAAAGGATAAAAAAAAGCGAAGTTCACTTTTAAACCCGATTTGCCTTTAGAGTAGTAATTTGCTCAGTTAGAAGTATATTGAGGTTAATTTGTTAGATATATGCATTACAGCACAATCGAAGAAGACTGTAGATAAAAGGATTCAAAGGTACATTTAAGATTGAGAACTGGATTAATATAGAAACTAAGTTAAGAAATATGTAGGGATTGAAAGCAATCGGATTTATAGATACATAGTTAGATAAAGTTCATTTGGATGTATTAAGCAGATGGCTTTCCTGGGTGGATCCATAAAAATTAATTATTGAATTATAACAGAATGAGCTTGATAATGAAGATGTTGCTGAATTCCTTTACTTTTTATTTGAAAGAAACATTGATGTCAGAAGTGTAAACATATAATATATGTTAGATATATATAATGGGCAACCCTGGAATTTATAAAGGAGTCTTACTAAAAGAATTGAACGATTATTTATTTAAAAAGTTCGAGAAGAACATGATACATTATTATAAATTGATTAAGAATAAATAAGCTCTTTCGGTCGCGATCATCAGGTTGTTGAGGAGGAAAAATGATGAAGCAAAAAGTAAAAGAATACACAGAGCTGAAGTTAAAATAGATTAAACCCAATATTATAAACTTTAATTGAAAAACTGTTTTACAGATAAGAATTGGAAAGGCTTTTAAGATCTTATACAAACAACATATAAAGAGGATAATCTAGAACAATTAACATATTTAGATATTAGTAACAATTTTTTAGGCACTCAGAATGCTTTTAATAACATGTGTACCTCAATGTCTTCTGCCAAAGGTTTACTGGTCCTAAAAATTGCTAATTAACCCTTGATTCATAATTCTTAAACTATTGAATTATTGATGGGGAATAGGTACGACAATCTAAAGCTAAGAGAATTCGACATCTCTGATAATAAGGATATGTTGGAGAAAACTTTCAAAGCCCTTTCAGATAACATTTTCAAATTTTGCAAGATTATTACATTTACAGGGAGTATGCCTTAATAATTGTCAACATTATTTAAAATGTTTGTTCTGACTGAAGCATTTGCAGACAAAACTAAAGAAAGTAAATAAATCTATAGAGAAAGTAATTTATTCAATTTATTCAAATAGAAAAATATTTCAGAAAAGATTATTTATAAATTTTAGATTTAAGTAGTATTGAGAATTACAATCGTCATGATTTAGTCGAGAAACTACTCCTAAATACAGTATTCACAGAATTTACCAATATAAGAACACTACGTAAAATAAATATGTATCATTTCAGATGTGTAAAATTTTGATGTTGGAAGGTGTTAAGGATATGTCAAAGCCAAAAAGAAATTTCTAACATACATGGAGAAGAAGAAATAAGATGATACTTTCTTTAAAAATTATAAGCATCCTTTGAAGCATATTGTTTATCCTAAACAAACATATAGAATGGAAATATAAACAAAAAAAGAATTCTTTTTAGAATATCTATTTACAGAAAAAGGTAGCATTATAGAAATTGAAACAATCATAATCCAATCAAGCACATTTAGGTAAGCAAATAGAGCTGAGGGATTATAGGAGGCATGTGCTTTAGTTATAGAAAAAACAAATGCCAATGCAGATGTTCGATATTCAATTAAAAAAATATCAATGGATGATAGTGATTACCAAATGAATTACCAGACTTTATAATGTTTTTTGTGTTTGGCTTCAGTACAATTGGAAGAATTTAGTTATTCTAATGACTCTATGACATTTGAATGGGATGTTTGGTATCAAGAAATGAAATCTTATTGTACCAAGCTTCAAACTGATTAATTTCATAGTTTGAAAACACTAAAACTTCAAAACATTTCAGATATGTATATAGAAATCAATTAATTTATCGAACTGCTTGTTTTTAATCCAAAAATATAACTTAAAGAACTCGTAATGATTGATGTTTACACCAGCAATATTTAAGAGAATTATGAATCTTTGAAAAGCATAGTTGATTAGAGTGGAAAGGTTACACTTGAAAAGTTAGCACTGGGAGAACTTCAAGCAGGTTAAGGAGAAGAAATGATATTTGAATAAGTTATTTTTAACAAAAGAGTTCAACTAAAAAGCTTAGTATTAAAAAATGTAAAGCTTCAATAATTTTTAAATAAAATAGAAAAATTAGTAGAAGAAAATATACATGACAATCCACTGTAATTTTTGACTTATTTAGAGATTGATAAAATTAACATATAGTAAAAGGAAGATTGGAGAAAAGTGATTCAAATTTTTATAATTAATTAAAGACTGTCACTCTAACTTTTGAAAATAAAGAATACAGTATTAAATTAATAATTCTCTGAAATACTAAATTAATTACTTTTTCCGTTTGAGTAAGAATTATTTAACATAATTAAGTCAAAAAAAGAAACAGCAGGAATGGTGATAGATTTAAATGAACAAAATATGCTGTCATAAATTTAAAATGAAAGTATAGGGTTACCATTTGTTTTGTATGAATTGAATTATGAAAATTGTACAATCTAAGACGATGTCTTGAGCGGATTCTTAGTCATTTGTGAACTGAAGAATCTCTCATTCATCAATTGTCAAGATTTAAAGATTGGAATCAAAAAGAGTATGGAAATAATCAAACGCTTAGAATTAGATCAATATTATTCATACAAAATTAAGTCTTTCTCCTGTGAAAGAACTGAAATACAGGATGTTGAAACTTTTCAATCATTGATTAAAGAGATAGCATTAAACTCAAATAGATAATTATTAGAAATGCTCAATTTAGACAGCTGCGCTTTGAATGATGAAATGATGCAAGCATTATCCAAATAACTTATGGCCATAAAGGAAGAACAGAAATTATATAATAGAGTCTTCCTCCTTAGAGATCTAAATTTAAATAATAATAATAAAATTTCGGTAAGCTCTTGGCAATAACTTTGGGATGTTATATTGAACGAAAGCAAATTAGAAAAAAAGGAAGAAGCGCATATGGAACAATCAATAACTGTAGTTAACCCATCATTCTTATTAAGTACTTTTGAAAAGGAAAAAGAAAATATTATAAATGAGACCTAAAAACTAATTGAAACCTCACAATTATTTTTAAAAGAAAAGATACTATATAATTATAAGAAATTCACTCCTTAATTCCCAAAACAAATAACAAGTTTAGTTATCAGAATGGATTTCAAAACTCTCAATGATAATGAATTAAAATATGAATATTATCGATTGATTGTTGGCTTTATAATTCATCCTGAAAGTGAATTAAAAACTTTAGAACTAGAATCCCTAAATATGATTGTCTTCATTAAGGCTTGTATTGAAGCTTTTGAATTCTCTAAATATTATTTAGAATCAGCATTGAAATAATCTAAACATGATCATAAAAGTTAGATAAAATCTGTAACCATTAAATCATTAACAGCAAATGATGCAGAAAGTACTGAGAAATTCATTTAAATATTTCTTTGTTCTACCCATATTGAATTAAGTAAACTATCTGTATTTGGATGTACTTAGCCTATTTTACATTTAATTCTAAAAAACATTGACAGAAAAGAGGTTTACCAATTAGAAGAATTATCTCTTCCAGATCTCGAAGAAACTTTAGATTTAGAAGATACAATAAATTATTGTTAATGGTTAGTATTTGGTTAGAGAATGCCTATAAAAAAACTAAGCAGTTGTCCAAATTTAGCAGATATGAATTAAGAATAATTTAATCAATTCAATCTTTCGAAAGTCAAAGTAGAGTCTATAAATTTAAAATATAAATAAGATACTTCTAGCAATGTTAAATAATACAGTCTTCTTTTAGCTAAATTAATTTTAAATGGGTTGTAAGAAATAACAATTGATAAGTCTGATACCACTTCAATTATTGTTGAAACCTTCAATAAAGTCAATAATTTAGATAATTTGAAGTTAAAAAAATTAATTTTTAAAGGAGATTTTAAGCTTAATAAAAACTTATTTGAAAAAATTTCTAAATTATTTGAGAAATTAGAATTTTTCTAGGTTTAGAAATTACTATTAGAGAATGAATTTGAAATTTATGACATCTGCTAGCTAATGGATGTGCATAAAACTAAAAATCTTAAATTTGATATTAAATCAGTAACATGCAACAACCCAGGTGAATTTTACAAGAAATTCCTTTTCAACCCAAATGTTGGTATAACAGAAATCATTCTAAAAGATCCTTAACTGTTGGAAAATAAATTTGATATCTATGAATTAGGATAAAAAATAAGATATTTCAATCTAAACATGGGTTTATTATACAATTCTAGTACATAGCTGAATGTCAATGCGCTTTAAATTATTAGCAAAATGCTGATCTATAATGAATCAAGCAATTTAGAAGAGTTAGTCCTACATTAGTGCCATTTCAAATTAGCAGGAATAGAAGCACTATGCAAATATTCTAATAGCTTAAGAGAGAAGATCAAAAGTGACGGGAGAGAAAAAACTGCTTAATTGAAATTAAACAGAATTACACTCTATTATTCATTGTATATTGGTGATGATGGAGTCCAAAAATATGTTAATGATTTATTGTATTTTGAATACATCAATATAGAGAGATTTGAAGTATAAGTGACGAATTGGAATGATGCAATGACAAATAGCCTATGTTTGGCAGCATAAAATTGGTTTTAATTCTAAAAGGATAAGTAAAGATAATATTCAACAAAATATCCAATAAAATATATCGACATTGGAAGAAATGAATTTATTGAGGAACAAGAAACCTGGTCAAACTTTTTAAAGACGTTTGTTTTCACTGATAACACTCCTGATTTGGAAACCTTGAATATTCATTTTATGGCATTGAATGATCTAAAAACAAGATATCTAATAGCAGAAGCACTCTAATTCTTCTCCAAGAAACCATCAAACTATAAATTTAATGTTAAGAAGGTTAATTTTTCTTAAAACAATTCATTGACTCATCTAGGATGGTAAAATTTATTTAAAAACTTCTTCTTTCATCCAAAGGTTTACTTGGAAGAATTAAATATGATTAGTACGATGTTAGATAGTCAAATAAAGCTAGATGTCATAGCGTAAGTAATAAAAGAAAGAGCTCTTGATTCTCCTAATAAAAAAGTGCCACTTCACACATTCTTATGTTATAATGTTAGTCTAAAAGATTATATTGCTGACTATTTATCTGAATAACCACAAAATTACTAAACTCCTTATGATATTCCTGTTGAAATAGAGTATAATAATAGTCTAAATTTTGGATATTTTGATGGAGTCCCAGAGGCATTTGGTGATATTTTATAAATGTTTTAAAGAATTCTCAAAACAAGGTAGAATATCGTATATATAAAAGACTGGAAACTCACTAGATCAAAATATTCACCTTATCATTTAAACATGTGTGATCATTATTTAAATATTCTAAATTAGTATTATACTACCAAAAAGAATGATTTAATTGATATCTGCATTAGTTTGTAGTCTTTAGATAATTTTGCAAATTATTTTGGATACATAACTGAGTATCCAGGCTCACCTTACCCATATAATTTATTATTTCAATAAAATTCTTTTAATTATTTTAAAGAGAAAAGTTGTAATATCTTTAAAATTAAGATTATCTAAACAGAATTTGCTGAATTAGAATAAATTAACTAATTTCAAATTTTGAATATATGGAATCATGTAAAACATAGCAGCACTAGTATTGATTAGATTTAAGTTGAATATGATTTAAACGATGACCTTGTTGATGAAATGTTTAGGCAAGGCTTCGATGAAAGAGATATAATTTCTCTAATTAGATTGATTCCTCCTTCAAAAATTCGAATTTAGAACTCTCTTAGTATTTAAGCCATAAAAGGAATATACTCTATTCTTTACGACACTTATTATTTTAAATATGCAATGATAAGTTATAGTTTTGATAACTTCCTCAATATTGGTATTGGTTACTCATTAAGAGAAGTATTTTATAACTATAAGGCTGTTGGACCCATTCGAAAATTCTTTAAAATCGCATTTTATAAGTTCTTTAACTTTTTTGTTATACCCACAAAGAGATACATATTTAATGATGAAGTAAAACGATTAAACGATTATTTATCTTAACAAAAATTCTACTTTTTTATTATCGTCATTACAAACATATTATTTTTTGTGATAACTTTAGCTGGACCTTATTTGCTAACATATAAGTTATTAGATAGAGATGCTGTTTAATTAACGAAAAATTATATCTGCGCTAATGGAACAAGCAAAGAAGCCTCATATTTATATTACTCATTTGCTTTCATTACACTTATAACTGAGGCAATACTATATTATAAAGTGGCTTAAATAGTTCCAAATCACACTTAAAGAATTATTGTTAGTAAAATAACAAATGAAAAGGAGTAAAATGAGGAAAATTAATAGTAACCTGATGGGCAAATCCAAGAAAAACATAATAATAAGGTACTCCCTTCAAGTGAAGAAGATGCAAGCATGCTTAAAAAGTAAAAGTAAACTCAAAACCAAAGCCAAAACTTTGACATGGGAAGACACAGCATCTTATAAAAAATGGCTACTGCTGTTAATAAAAAGATTACTTAATATGCTGGTAAATTTACAACTGCAGTCACTGCATAAGCAGAAGAATTCACATAATCAAAATGGGGGATCCTATTAAGTTATGGAATAACTTTATTATCTTCTTAATTATTCAAATTCGATCTATATAATGATGTTGTCTTCATTTTAAATGCCTACAATTGTGAAGAATTTATAGTATTTATTTTAGCTCTTATTACAACTGCATTCTCATAAGGAATTTACATTTTACAATTCTTCTATCTAATAAGTGTCAGAGTAGTTTAAAACTAAAAAACGGCAAAATTGCTGTCAAGCAAATTTATTAATGATTTCTATGCTATCAGTTTTCTTGGTAGAAATGCAGCACTTTCAACTCTCCTAGATTCTTCTGCCCCGTTTAATGTTATTATTATTCCAAATACTCGAATAGGAAGATATTTTCTCCCTCATCATGCTGGAAAAGCAATGAGCAATTTAGTTAAATCCTATTTCTTTTAATTTTTATGCGAGGATTTACCTTAAACTTTATTATAAATGTATTTTGTTGTTAGTTAAGCCATTAGAAGAACAAAAGAGCTTTAAGTGTAAGTTTATATTTCGATTTGCACGGCTATCCTAACAGCCTTATTATCATTTTATAAGTAAATTATATGATTTATCACTTAGATTTTTATCAATTAGACCCACAAATTTATTGTAAGAAAATTTTGATGAATTGTCATCCAAACTATCCAGTGGATATAATTAATTAATTTAAAATAACTTGCAGTAAGAGAATGATTAGATTAAAACTTATATTGATTTATATAACACGGTTGATTATGAGATTGTCAATGTAGAGTAATCATAAGAGGAAAGACAATCATTATTGAATTGAGTTTATTTATAATATAAACTCTACCCAATTATAATATTGGCTAGATGTTTCTTAATGATTAATAACATCTGTTATTTTTTCAATTAATTTTTGTTTAAAATTCAGAGGTGAATTATGGTAAAATTTGTTCACCTTTCAACTTGTTTTTATATATATTCAAAATATTACTTATTCGATTCTTGGTGTCTTTATTTAAAAATGAGCTCATTTAGAATAGCTCTTTTGATAATACAAAAATTAAAATAAAGTAAATTATATATTAATATATATGAGATTAAATTTATAAAATAAATTACAAATAAATAGTTAAATTTCTAGAAAATAACATAATATTATTCATTTGTATAAATAAATAATAATCTTATAAATATTATTAAATAATATATATATGTAATATATAATTGAAAAGTTATAAAGTGAACTAAGAAATCTAGAATTTAATGATATTAATGAATTATATATATTACAAGCTTCTTAACGTAACAGATAAATAATGGCAATAATGATAGATTTATATATTTCAAATAATTTTATTCAGAAGATAATAGTCCCCTTCATTATAGATTTCTTCAGGAATTATTTCACCATATTTTTGGCTTTCCCTTTTTGGAAGTGATAAAAGTTCGGCATCATCCTCATTCAAAAGAAAAGGATCTGTTTCTTAATTTATTCTTTGAACAGACATAACATTAGAAAGACAATTAACTTCTTTTTATATTGAGAGATTTAATTTAATTCCAATTTGATGGGATTTTAATAGTTCCTCTTTTGATTTCGAAGATCTAATGATTAAATATAACCTTGATATTTCATACAATAAATTCATATAACATAATTTTTATTGCATTTAATTTTTAATTTTATCTAAGAATTTGTTAAACTCAATCTAATCTACCTCCTTATTGTTCAAAGTAACTTTGGTTACTTTAAATCTCCAATTTTTAATGATTTTAATATATTTAAATTCTGGATAATATATTTTCATCAAATCAGATAGTATTTTTTAATTTAAAAAGTATTGATTGCCATAAATAATAAAATATTTAATCATAAAAAGTATTGATACAATAGATCCGATATTTGCTAAAAGATCTCCTAAATATGGATATTCAAATATTGTTTTTGTTTAAGTTCCATTCATAGCGACATATACTACAGCGAGGGCTTGATTTTAATACGATAATTTGCACCTTTCTGCTGAAAGAGACTAAGTTTGTACTTTTGCTCCACTAATATATTCTTTTTATTTAGATGTCCCAAATAATAAATAATCCTAAAGTTCAAAAAAGTTTGTCTCTAAAAATGTATTTATAGAATAACAACTCTACAATTCTAGTTCGATATATATATCTTAAATTGTAGTTTGTTCTGATCCATCTCTAGAATCTAAAGTTGTCGATTCTACTTGTATACCGAAAAAATTAAAGCGCTGTTAAAAAAATTATTCTCTTAATTAAGCTGAACCACATGTTTCATTTTCTTTTAAATACTTTTCTTCGCATAGAGATATGAATAAATACATTTATTTTGATGTTTGTAAATATCCATCAATAAAAGAATAACCCAAATCTAAATTTGGTACATACTATTTTCCAATAGAAGACTCTATGTAATTTTCGATTATCATTGGCTCAGTAGGAGCAAATTGATCAGTATACATTACTAAAGGTAGTAAAATTCGCGATTCAAATGGATCCACCTATCCCTCAAAAACCTCATAATAGACACTGATTCTTCCTGAGTTGTAGTCGAGTAGTTTGTAATCTGAAACATATTTTGAATTAGAAATCTTTGGACTCATTTAATTACTTTTCCATAAATAAATTATCCAAAATGCGTAAGCCAAGCTTGTCACACTTATTAATAAGCTTAATAATCCTCCTAATGTGCTTTTAAACAATGCTTATTGCTAATTTATATTTTGTAAGAAAGGAACACCAAAGAAGTCAGCCTTTTTTAAAAAATTCATATAATAAATTTAAATGTAATATATTCATCAATTATATTAGACAAATTTATATAATCAAATAAATATAGTTATTTCAATTGAACTTTAATTTAAATCAGTATCATATAATATTACTATTTTTTCTAGAACAATATTATAAATTCAAATCTATTATTACCCATTTATTCTAATTTTTTCATTCATATTTCTAAATATTTACTTGTTTTTCTTTTGCTTGTAGAATTTACACTTCTTATTTCACCATCCATCAGAAATTGATCTATATGATTTTATAGCTTATAGATGAAACACTTTCATATTATTATTAGTTCCGAAATATCATCCATAGTTGAACAATTTTTGATAATTAATTACAATATTTCAAAATTGCTTTGGAGCATCTAAATTCCTGTTCTTGTACGCAAAATGAAACATATTAATTTATTAATGATATCATAAAACTTGTAAATATAATCTAATTGGTATTTCAATGATTTTCATTCAGATTTTGCATAATATAGCTTATCAGCCAATCATTTGATTTCAATCATTAAACTTAATATAAATATCTTGATATATTATAACTCATTAATTGCTTAAACGACATTCTATTTTACATTTAATTTTGAACGCTCTTGAATTAAAATGATACATACTTCAAGGGCAATTTATGTATCTATATAAATACATAAATTATATTTGTGCTTTTTCATCTATAATAAAACAATATTATGATACATTCTCTATTTTGAGTATATCTGAATAAGTATATAATAAATAGATTATGAATCATTATGTGAAGGCAGTATTAATATTTATAATAAGAATAAATTTAATTAATGTCTGAATAGCATTTGCAGGAGAATAAATTTACTTATGTAAATATATTGTAGCTAATTATCTATAGAGTTCAAATCTTGTGATTCAGAGAGAATCTGGACCAAGGACTGATGAGCCAACAGGCGAGCCTGAATCATTAGTTGGAAAGATCAACCCAAGAATGATGGGTACGAAAGCTGTGAAAGATAAACCAGTGAAGAGTAAGAGGGAGCAGAGTTTAAATTTAGGAAAGCAAGTGAACATGGAAATAGAGGAAGGAGTTGGAATGCCAACTTATGAAAATCTATTGTACATCCCGAAAACAAAAGATAATAGATTACACTATGAGCGATTATTGTCCATAGTTTATGGACTATTTTAGGAATAATCATAAGATGTGATAAAGTCTATAGTTGATGAAGTATTGGCTATAATGAAAAATGATAATTTGAAAGACTCTGAGAAGAGGTAGGAAGTAGAAGCAATAATTGGAAAGTTGACAAATGAGCTATTTTCTGATATAGTATTATCAAGTAAAGCAATTACTGATTATAATCCTGAAATAACTCAAGGAAATACAGATGAGATGCAATTGCCATTGAATTTGGAAGAAGAACAAGATTCAAGTGATATGGAGGAAATAATAGAAGAAGAAGACGATTCTTAGGAATAAAATGAATAAACAATCAAGGCAAAAGTTTAGGTTGAGGAGACAAGAAACAAAGTAGTTGATATAGATGGATTTTGGTTATAGCGGGAATTGCAGAAAATATATTAAGACCCAATAGTTGCATAATAAATGGAATAGACAGTCTTAGACATTTTGAAATTACAGACTGACATCGAATGTGAAAATTAATTGGTTTCATTGTTTGGCTAGGATCGCTTTGATCTTATCAGATTATTACATGCCAACAGACATAAAATATTTTATTGTACTCTCTTAAGCAAGGCCTAGAGTGCTGAGTAAGTAGAATAAATTCATTCTCAAATGAGATAGACATAAGAGGGTCTCTAAATCTTAATGGAATTACAGAAAAAAAAGAAAAACGATGCTTAATTTTAAATTATTTAGGAGGAAAACGAGAAATAATATTATGAGTCTATAAATATTACTGATCAAGATCTTTAAGGACTTTCCAAAAAGATTGTTGATTTAGAGTAATTGCAGTTTGTATCTCAAGGACATTTGATGTCAAATGAGAAATGTCATTTACCTCCTCATTCTTTTAAAGTAACAAAGAAAGGATATGAAGAGATATACATTCCTGCCCCAAAGCCTAATGTTCATAAAGACAACTTGGTATAAATAGGCGAGTTACCTGAGTTTGCCTAACAAGCATTCAGAGGATTCAAAGAACTCAATACTATTTAAAGTGTAGTTTATTAAAAGGCATTATTAAGTAATGAGAACATGCTAATTTGTGCTCCTACTGGAGCTGGTAAGACTAATATTGCACTTCTAACAATGTTATAAACTATTGGTGATTATTATCAAAATGGTATTGTGGATATTTAGAAATTTAAAATTATTTACATAGCACCTATGAAAGCATTAGTAAATGAAATGGTACATAATTTCCAGAATAGATTAGAACCTTATAATATTAAAGTTGCTGAGGTTACTGGAGATACTCACCTAACCAAGCATTAGTTGAACACTATCTAAGTATTGATAGCTACTCCAGAGAAATGGGATATTTTAACAAGAAAGATTTAACAAAACGATTTTATATCATTGGTAAGATTAGTCATTATTGATGAAATTCATTTATTACATGACAGTAGAGGGCCAGTTATTGAATCAATAATTGCAAGATAATTGAAATTAATGGAAGAGAGACAAGAAGTAGTTAGAATCGTGGGATTATCAGCAACACTACCAAATTATTCAGATGTGGCAACATTTATTAGGGTTAAATAAAGTGGAGTGTTCTTTTTTGACAATTCTTATAGACCAGTTCCATTATAATAATAGTATATTGGAATCAATGAAAAGAAACCAATTAGAAGAATGTTATTAACCAATGAAATTTTATATGAGAAAGTCATAGAAAGGATTACAAAGTCACAAATCTTAGTGTTCGTACATTCTAGAAAGGAAACTGTCAAGACAGCTAAAACACTTAAAGAAATGGCATTTTCAAAAGATGAGTTATCTAAATTTATCAGAGAAGAAAGTTCTTCAAAGAAGATCCTTGAGACAGTAATTGCATAAGAAGATATCAAATCTGCTGATCTCAAAGAGCTGTTGGCTAGTGGAATAGCCATTCATCATGCTGGTTTATGCAGAGGAGATAGAGATTTAGTTGAAAGTCTTTTTGAAAAGAAGAATATACAGATTTTGATATCTACTTCTACTTTGGCATGGGGAGTGAATCTTCCTGCTCATACAGTTATCATAAAAGGAACACAAATTTATTCACCGGATTAAGGAAAGTGGATAGAGTTAAGTCCTTAGGATATATTACAAATGATGGGTAGAGCTGGTCGACCTAGATACGATACATCTGGGGAGGGAATAATATTGACTACATATTAAGAACTCAAATATTACTTATCATTATTGAATGTTCAATTACCAATAGAATCATAATTTGTATCTTAATTAGCTGACCAATTAAATGCTGAAGTTGCCTAAGGTAATATCAAGAATCTGAAGGATGGAGTAAATTGGTTAGGATATACTTATTTATATGTAAGAATGCTAAGAAATCCATAATTGTATAATATTCCAGACTATAGCAATGATTAGGCATTAATCAAATATCGTGCTGATCTAATTCATTCTGCATGTTTACTATTAGATAAGAATAGTTTGGTGACTTATGATAAGAAAACTGGAAATATCGAGAGTACCATCTTAGGTAAGATTGCTAGTAATTATTACATTAAATATCCAAGTATGCAAGTGTACAATCAACATTTAAAATAGAATATGGGTATGATTGACATTTTCAAAGTGTTTTCATTATCACATGAATTCAAATTGATTCCAATTAGAGAAGAGGAGAAGATGGAGTTGTAAAAACTAATGATGAGTGTACCTGTTCCAATAAAAGGATCTCCTGAAGATTCAACAACAAAGATCAATGTATTGTTGTAAGCATACATAAGCAGATTAAAATTAGAAGGATATGCTTTGAATTCAGACATGGTTTATATTACATAGAGTGCTGGTAGAATTATGAGAGCATTGTATGAAATATGTTTACAGAAAGAATGGGCTTAGAGTGCATTGCAATGTTTATAATTATCTAAGATGATTGAGAAAAGAATGTGGAGTTGCATGACTCCACTTAGATAATTTAAAGGATTGCCAGATGATTTATTAAGAAGAATAGAAAAAAAGGAAGGAATTACATGGGATCACTTATATGCGATGTCATCATAATAATTAGGAGAACTTATTAGATATTAGAATTAGAATATGACAAAGTTGATTCACAAATATATTCACAAATTCCCTAAGATTGAAATCTAAGCATTTGCTTAACCTATAACTAGATCCTGTTTGAGAATAGACCTTCATTTGAGTTGTGATTTCTAATGGGATGAGAAGATTCATGGAAGATAGGAACCATTCCACATTTTTGTATTGGATTCTGATGGAGAGAAAATATTGTATCATGAAATGTTCTTAATGAAACAGAAGAATTAAGAAATGGAATTCACTTTAACAGTTGCATTATTTGAAGTAATGCATCCAATCTACTATATCAAAGTGATATCAGATAAATGGATATCATGCGAAAGTGAATAACCAATTCCATTTAAAAATCTCATCTTACCAGAACCATTTAATAGATGCACAGACTTATTATAACTAACACTGTTGTCAATTGATTAAATAAAGCATCAATAGATTGAGAATATATTGGCCAAAAAGATATTGTAGAATAGGTATTTCGACTAGATTCAAACCTAAGTGTTCTAATAGATATATTAGTCAAATGATAATATCTTCATTGGATCATCCACTTATTAATCTAAGAATATACTCCCTATTTTGGCTATTCTGTAAATGATTAACATTTAGAAAGGATATAAGGCTGTATATGTTTCATCAATCTAAACTAATTGTGATATAAAATACAATTAATTCCTTTAAATATTCAATAAAACTATGTCTTTAAAAGTAGGAAAATTGACGGGACAAACTTAAAGTGACAATAAAATCTTAGAGTAGTGTGATATCATAGTATCAAATGCCATCAATTGGGATATCATCAGTAGAAGATGGAGAGCAAAAAAAGGATTCAAAGATATAAGAGTTTTTATTGCTGATGATCTACATACTCTTGGATAATCTGGCAGTGTGTTAGAAGTGATTGTATCAAGAATGAGAATGATTTCAATGGAAATTCCATTCAGAGTAGTGGGATTGTCTCTATCTGTAGCTGATTATAAGGAAATGAGCGAGTGGATTGGAAGCAAACACACTTTCAATTTCCAACCCATTGTTAGACCTAACAATATTCAAATACAAATCTAATCATTTGATCAATGTCAGAGACCTTTGAGAATCCAAGCAATGATCAAATAATTAAAAACCAACATTTCAAATACAGATTTAAATATCATATATGTATCTGATCGTAAACTAGCTAGAGTATGTGCTCTAGAACTCATGATTAACAATAATAATTCATTATCAGGTTTTTCAATCAAAGAGGATTAATATCTTTAACATACACTCCAGTCATCAGTTGGATTCCTATATGAATGTATGGATCCTTAAGATGAGAGTGAAGTTCTAAGGTTTATATCTTCTGGAGAATTAAGAGTTGTTGTGGTCACCTACAAATTAGCATTGTACTATAATCTTAAAGGAAAGGTCTTTATTTTAGATAACTAAAAATATGATGGAATAGACAAGAGATATGTTGATTATACAATTGCTGAGATGCTAGAAATGATAGAAAGTACTACTTCCTAATGTCATGTATTCACCTATGGTCCAAAGAAGGAATACTATAAGAAGTTCCTATATGAACCAATGCCAATAGAGTCTCATCTTAATCATAATTTAGCTAATCATTTGAATGCTGAAATTGTAGCAAAAAATATTCACAATACATAAGATTGCATTGATTGGATCACTTGGACTTTTATGTACAGAAGACTAACCTAAAATCCAAATTATTACAGTCTACATGAAATTAATGGAGTAGCCATTAACAATTATTTAAGTGAATTAATAGAAACCACTATTGATGAATTACATGAGAGTAAATGCATTGCTGTTGAAGAGGATAATGAACTAGAAGCTATTAATTCTGGTATTATTGCCAACTATTACTACATTAATATTGAAACAGTCAAGAACTTTTCAGATAAGATTAATGCAAATAGCAAACTCAGAGATTTACTATTTATCTTATCTGAAGCTAAAGAGTTTGAAGTATTGAATATTAGAAATGGAGAAGAAATTCTTTTGGCTTAATTACTTCAGAAGATACCTTTCTAACCTACCAATGTTAAACTAAATGAACCAAACACAAAAGCCCTGATTTTATTATAAGCTCATTTCAGCAGAATCAAATTAAATTCTGATTTGAAGTCTGATTTAACAATTTTAGAATTGGCAATCAGATTAAGTACTGCCATGGTTGATATTGCTTCTTCAAATCTTTGGTTAAAGCCTGCTATTCTATCAATGCAAATCTGCTAGATGATCGTTTAAAGTCTTTGGAAGGATGATGACAGTGTATTATTGCAGTTACCTCATTTTAATAAAAATACTATTGAACAATTAAAATCTATGAAGGTCTCTGATTGGGCTGATTTCTTTGATATGGAAGAGTCTGATAGAACTCAAGTTTTAGGTCAATTTACATAATAACAAATTGACGACATAGCCTAAGCTGGCAACAGGTATATTATATATTTATATTAGACTACCTTCTGTTGAAATCTCAGATATTATTGCTGAAGAGGAAATTGTGCAAGGGGATATATTCCACGTTTAAGTAGTCTTAAGCAGACAAGATAACATTTACACAGATTATGTGATAGCTCCCAATTATCCTAAATAAAAGGAAGAGCAATGGTGGGTTTTATGCGCTGATAGGAACACTAATAGGCTGTTTGGAAACAAGAAGGTCTCCTTTTAATAGAGCATTAAAGTTGATCTTAGATTTTAAGCACCTGAAGCTGGAGATTATGATTTAACTATATATGCCATTTGCGATTCCTATATGGGTGTAGATACAACATCATAATTCTAATTGAAGGTTAATCCTATCATTGAATAAGAGTAAGAATAATGATATATTACAATGTTATAATATCATAATTAAATTAATTAATATATTGAAGTCGATTAGCTTTGTTTCTGCTAATTGCTGATTTTCTTATTTTTAATTTGCAACATTATTTGACATATAAAATACTCTATTTTCACCCTATTTCCTAAGAAATCTTATTAATTAATTAAAGAAAATTCAAAGAAAAGAGTTTACCAATTAGTCAATTTATTCATATGATTTAAATTTAAATCATATTTCAATATAACATGACAATATTTTAACAGGGATTATATGTTTTATTAAAAATTTCTCATACACTTTCTATCAAACTACCTATGGATAATGCGAATAAGCCAGAAATATTGATAAATCAAAGAATATATTGAAATCTGATTTGTCTAGACAAAAAGTGGTTATATAATCTTTAATAAGATAATATTGATAGGATTATTCACATACTTTTAGATAAATCAGTAGTGCATGATCTTCTTTTACTAGACATATACTTTTAGAAGCTTTATTTTCTTTGGACAATCTATTAGCTTAATCGTTTATTAACTAAATAATCGAATGATTGATTTGCTGTCTTTTGAGGAGTAATATTAGTATGAAATCGTTTGTCTTTGAGTTTAGTTGATTTTTCTATGGTTTTGGAATTGCTTATTTTCGTTGACTGTTGGGTACATAGTTCAATTTGTCTGTAGTAATTTAATTCTTCTTATAAGATGTTAACTTTTCGATAGAGTTCCTCATTCTCTTTTTTTAGTTTCTAAAAACTAAATATCGAATGAATAATACATTCATTGTCTTTTTTGTATTTTTCAATAATTCATCTCTGTCTTACTCTAACTATTTGATTTGGTTTTTCATATCATCATATTTCTAATTCATTAGGTAGGATTCCTGAAATATAATATAGAATTACTCTAATATGCACTCTGACTTCGGATTCATACTTCTGCAATTACTTTTCTAATTCTTTGTAATCCTTTTTGATTGAGTTATTTTGAATATGTTCGATGATGATGGTCAATTATTGAATTAAGTTCTGGGATTTCACAAAATTTTAGAAGGAATTGATATCGCTATGATCAGCAACTAGATGGTATAATTTAATTAACAATTAGGACACTGACATATTTATATTAATATATAGTATATACAATCATTTCAATCTGGTTTTGAGTTTGGCTTAATAATCAAGATTGTCCTTTTGCACTTTTTCAAGTTGCTATGACTTTTCTAGAACTTTCATTCTCAATCTCTCGATTTCCTTATCTTATAATTCACATTTGCTTTATAATTCATTAATGGTGATATTATTCATTTTGACATCCTCTGCAAATTTCTAATATTATTTGTGCTACAGAGCCAAGTGTCTGTAATTATCAGCTTGCCTTGATAGATCGTTTATCAAACTTTCATTTTATTACTTCAATAAATTAACTTCCTATTCTTTAATTTGAATGACTTCATTGATCTTATCTTCTTCTCTCTCTTAATAATTGGAAGTACTCTTCATCTACATTTCAATTATCACTAATTCTTGATCCTTTTAAGCAATGATGTTATTCAATCTATTGCATTCACCCTCCAACGTATTAGTTTTACATTCTAAATCTCTGAAGTTGTACTGATAGAATTGTTTCAATTCTTTCAATTATTTATCTAAGACTTAATTATCACTTCTCAACTGATGATTCTATTCCTTTTGTTACAATAACTCCGATTGTAAAAATTGAATTAGCTTAGCCTTAGATTCTTGAATTTCTTTCACTTCCATCTCCCTATTCTTTTATTCATTTTCCAAATTGATTTGCAATCTCTTAATCAATTCTTGATCTCTTTGTTATTAGGTTTGAAGTAAACATATTTGTTCAGCTTATTTTCCAGTCGATAAAATTAATTCATCAACTCTTTATTACAATTAGGCTTTGTGTTCCTAATAGGTACTACTAACATGTTTGAAATCACTCTCCAATTCTTTGACTCTACTACTTAAATTGGAAGCTTAAACAGTTTTGTTGTCAGCTACCTCCTTCAATTTCTTTACTGATGATAATAAATCAAGATTTTAATCCTTTTAAATCTAAAGCTTTTATTTCAATTCATTCAGATATTATTCCTAAGAGTTTATAATAGTTTGTTATTTCATCAAAGTAAATTCTTAGTCCTTTGATTAGAGGTCAAATTAAGAAATAGCTTATTCTAACTTTTCTTCTAATCCATTATTAATCTACTTAACCTAAATCAACTCATTTTCCTATAGATAAAATAAACAGATTACCAAAACTTGAACAAGGTTCTAATTATTATTCTCAACATTGGAAATCTTAGAAAGAGATTGTTGCAACTTAGCTATCTCTGATTTGTATTACATAATTTCTTATCTTGAACTTTATCTATGGTTGATCTCTTATTGTTCCAATTAAAACTTTAAGGTAGCCACATCCTATTTCCAATTGATATCCAATTGTCTTAAGGCATCTGCATGGGTCTTGTCTTATACCTCATTTTTATGTTATAGCAACTCCATTTAATTCTAACGAATAACTATTGACATCTTACTTTTAGGTCTTGATTCTCTGCAAGTACCTTTTGGTTTTCCAAAGTCATTGATATGGATGGCTATTATTTAAGACGGTCTTTCAACTTCTGATTCTCTCCTTACAATCTGTCTATTTCTTTAAGGAATGTCTCGATTTCTGAAATAGACTTGCATGATTTCTCAGGGTTTCTCTCTACTGAATTATAAGATTAGAGTGGTTATCTAGTATTCATTTTGTTAACGGATAAATTAATTAATATTAAATTAAAAATTTTATTCACATATATATACAATTTAAAGGTGGGGGGTGACCAATGCCCATTCACATTCCAACTCTACTAATTATTTGAATATTATCCTGCTCTCCACTTTATTTAACTTTGTATCCACAACATTTGGCCTTTATAGAATTCTATTTAAGAATATAATTTAATTTTATACTGCGGCCAATTTATTTCTTATCAACTCATTCTTAAAAGATTTTCGGTGTGCAAAAAGTATTGTCTTGGCCGACGAATACTTTATGCCAGCCTTGTTGGCTGCCTAATCACAAAGTTAAACAAAACATTACATCTTGGATTTTATAGCTTTCAAATAAAAAGAGCTGGAGGAACAATAACTTAGCCTCAGAACTGATGTAAGTGTAATTTCTTGGTTTTTGTTCAAGTTTTCTCTTTTTTGTGAAGTGGCGATGCTTTATGAAGGTGAATTATGTCTAGTCAACCGAGGCCATGACGTAATCAAATTACTATGAATTTATTAAAAAAAATATTTCCGAAAAATTATGAAAAAGTCAGTGTTCATTAAATTATACATTAGAAATTATCAATATATAGAGTTTTATCATATCACTAATTTTAATTGTATTAAGCAATCTTCAATTTCAACCAAAATTTAAATTATAATTTAGAATTTCTACAATTCTTATTCCAACCCTTTATCCATACTTACTCATTTTTAAAGAAATATGAGTAATAATGGAATTATGGGTATTATTCTATTCTTATTGTAAAATTAATGTATTATGATAAGTCATAAATTCATTCTCAAAAATTCAATAATTATTATTATCTATATAATAATATAAATTAAATTTATTGATTATTTAATCTTAACTTTTTATTATTTTTTATAAAAAATTTATAAATTCAAATTATAATTTCTATATTAATATACACTCTTTTTTCCATCTTTTAACATCCTCTAAGAATAATTGTTTGTCTTATTCTATACTTGATGAATCTAAAAATTGAAATCAGAAAAAACCATCTCCTTTAAAGATTGTTAAATGAAATCATCTTAAATTAGACCTCCAAATTATTTAATTTCTTAATGTGCGGCAACCCTTTGTCAAATTTGTCTTATGTTTTGACCATTCAAAAAAGTTTTATTATAAGAAATATGAAGAAACCAATCATCAAAGAAGTTTAAGAATTAAAATTTCTCAATTTTGTGTTGATATTATCATACTTATTCAATTTTTAGAATTTCTTCAAATATAATAGACAGAATAGGGAAATAATCTAGCGATATCATTTTAAATTTTGTTGTTTATTGTTTATAGGTTTAGAAATACTTCTATGATGAATTCTTATTAGCAATTGGAATTAAATCTAGATAACATAATCTAATTAATTTAAAAGATTGGTTGTATTTTTTAATTCTTATTTCTTTTTTAATTTCAGCGGATTCATTTAAATTAAGTTTAATAGGATAATTAACATTGTATTAAAGTGATCATAATGACAATATTGAATATCGAGTTCCTTAAATTTATTTTTAAATATTTTAATATATAAATATTAATGGAAAAAAGCCTCAATCCTGTTTTAAAATATCATAAGAAATTAAAATAATAGAAACAGCAAAAACGAAAAGAAGCTCATGAAAAACACAAAAAATATGAGAGAATGAAATAAGAGAAACTTTAAATAAAGTAACAAAAGGATGCCGAAAAATAGTAGGATTCAGATGGAGAAAAATAAGAAGAAATAATTGTTAAAGAAAATGAATAACCAATTATTAATGAGCCTCCTATCAATTTAGAGTTAATAAAAGACGAAAGAATTAAAGTACCAGGTTATTCCTAAGAATTTTCAAAAAAAGCAATTGAAATAAATAGAGCATTTTTGGATCCTTCAAAACGAAAATATGTTCCATCTCATGAAACAAAAATTGCATCATAGATTAATGATAAATTATTGGAGTATCAAGCGAAGCCTAATGAGAAAATATATAAAAGTAAAAATAATTATTGATCTAATCTAGATGCTGATGGAGTGATTATTACAGATGAAGTTTTAAAAATATTTGGGGGAAAAGTGGATCCTTCTAAAATAAAAATTGGATATAAATAAAAGTAGCTCTAAACATAATTTTCTACTTATGATCCATTTAGTAAAGTAACTGAATAGATGAACTTTGATTATATTAAAAATTTAGAAGAATAGAGATTACCTTAACCTCCATAATAACCTTAGGTTGAGGAAGTGGAGCCTTAGCCAGTGAAGAAAATATTTTTACCAGATGAAGAAAAAGAAGAAAAGCCTATTTGTCCAGATGTGATTGTAAAAGAGAGCACTGTTAAAAAATGCAAGATTGATTTAACAAAATAATAAGTTCCTTTGATACCACTTCATCTATAAAGAAAGCAGAATTAATAATAATAATAATAACAATAATAGTAACAATAACAATAACAATAATAATAATAGCAATAACAATATCAATTATAATAATAGTAATAACAATAGCATTTGCAATAACAATAACAATAATAATATTATCATTAGTAGTAACAAATAAAGCAAGAATAAATTATTAATAACTAAAATAATTTTAGATAAATTGTAAAAGAAAGTCAAATTAAGAAAAAACCAGAAGAGGCTTTTTAAGATTTTATGAAGGATCTCGAAAAATTGTGATTTATTTGATATTGGGATAATTTTAAGCAACTTTGCTATTTTATAGAAAAATAACATAAAAATATAATAAATATTATATTCTAATAATTTTATATATATTATAAATTAAAATCAAATCTGATTGGATGAATCAATTTCGATAAGAAGATAATTAAAAATAAGAGATCTAAGATGATAATCTAATGTTTAATATAATTTTTATTTTATAGAAGGCAAATACCAAACTATAGTAGGTTTCTGCCCATTGCAAATATAAATAGGATCATGAAGAAGGCACTCCCTGAAAATGCAAAGATTGCTAAAGATGCCAAAGAAACTGTTTAAGAATGTGTTTCAGAGTAAGGAATAATTAAATAGATAGATTCATATCATTCATAACATCAGAGGCTTGCGAAAAATGTAAGAATGAGAAAAGGAAGACAATAAATGGAGAAGACTTATTGTATGCCATTAATACATTGGGTTTTGAAAGTTATGTTGATATATTAAAACTCTATTTAAATAAGTATAGAGAGGTATGATATACATAACATTCAATAGGCAGTTAAGGCTGTAGAGGGCACAACAGGGGCAACAAATTAAAAAAGGAAAAGACAAAATTCATCTGATGATGATGAAGATGATGATGAAGAAGATGAAGAAGATAACGATGATGATGATCAATCCTGAACATTTATATAGATATAATGTTAAGATGTTTATTTATTCGATTCTAATCTTCATTTTAATTAAATGACAATATTCTAAGTTCAACATTTTTATTATTAAATTATCTTTAGGATTGTCTATAATTGTATTGTATATATTAGAATATATTAATAATCTCTTTAATTTTTATAGAATTCCAGATCATTAAAATTACATTAGTCTTAAATGTATATTATATTACTCTAAATTTAAAATGGTCAATAAGAATTTTGTTATTTATTATTAGATCATTTTAGTGATATTCATTTTGATGAGCTAATATTTTATAATTCAGACATATTAAATAATAAAGAGAAGCTTGAATTTAATTCATTTAATATATCAGTCATTTATTATCTTTAATATTATTTTGGCATTACTCTTATAATTTTTTCGTTAAAATGTAAAGATTATTAAACTTTTTAAGTACTAGACTTTTATCATACAATTAAAAAGGTTTATAATTTAATTTTTGTTTTTATATTAGAAAAGGCTGGAAGTGGAATAGTAATGATATTTTAGTTTGTGTAAATATATAGATGATTAATATATAAAATAATGAATTTCACAATAAATGAAATACGGAGATCGGGTACTCATGTAAAATAATTTATTATGACAGACAGAAGAAGAACTCAATCAACTAACATTGGATGAGAACATGGGGGAGTTGAGAAGAGCATAATACATTCTTTAGAGAGGTCATCCAATTTAAAAATATGCAGTATGATGGATAATAATTAGATTTACTCGAACATTCATAAGTTATTTAAGGTGAGCGGATTTAGTTTACTATTTCCGATAATCAATGAGGATTTAGTGAAACAAGATGAAGACACGATTGCGATAGCCACTAAAGAATTGTTAATGATTGCAAAGTAGATGAAAGAGTAGGAGCAACAGATGTTGCTTAATTAGACATTTCATTTTATGAAGAATTACAATTTGAAATTGGCAGAAGGATGGTTTGAGTTATTTGAAATGTTGTATTGTTGTGACATTCACAATTCAATAAGATTGATAGATGAGTTAACTGATATTGAGGCTGAGACACATTGGAGATTGAGAGGAGCTCGGTTGCTACAGTACATCCCGTAAATCGAGCGAATACAATTACTTTGTATGGATAAGGATCCTCAGGTAAGGTTTGAGATTGTGAAGACAATATAGATTGTTTACTGTAGTTTTACTCCTGAGAAATTTAGTACTTATTTGCAGATGAAGGTATATAAATAATATAACAATGAAGATTTTTGAGTTGATTTATGATTATGAAGTACAAGTAAGGATGGCAGCAATTGAGATGTTTTTTATGGTTTAATCTCATTTATAAGATAGGGAAAAGATGATTACAAAATAATTCTTTGAATTCCTAAGTTCCCAGAATGTATAAATTATAACAATAATGTCAAGAATTTGTGGGAAAGTATTAATGGAAATCATGGATGTAAAACCTGATATTTAAAAATTTCTAAAAGTGTTCATTTCATTTGCTGAAAACACAAATGAGGAATATCGAATTAACTTTGCATACAATTTTCCTGCCATTCTCCAAATCTTAAAGGGAGATTGCTATGACTAACTAAAAGAACCTTATTTGCGATTGTTGCAATTTGATACATCAACTCAAGTTAGGAACTTACTCCTGGCAAGCATCCCAGACGTGATCTCCACTTTAAAAATTCATAAGACTCAATCATTGATACCTTTGATTCGCAAAATGCTGGATCATCCAATAATATAATACAATCTGTATTCAATAATCTATGCTCTTTGGCCGAGCTATGATTAACAGGAACAATTGATTCTATCAGTAATAATTAATTAAAATGACTTAGAAAATGTTGGTGAATGATATACTCATAGACTTAGTGAAATAGATTAATTGTAAAGCCAACGTTATGTTATTAGAGTAATTACTAAAGTAAAACTGCATTATATATACAGAGACTTCACGAATTCTTCTAATAATGCGATGCTTACCTGTTATTGTTGTCTCCCCTGATGAATTTATTATCAGCAGATTCTTAAAATATCAGAACATTGTCAGCTCAGAATGTAGCATATCTTGCTTATCATGATCAGTAATGGAAATATCAATATGTCATAGATCTATAAATAGTCAAATGATAAACTTGTGTATGAATAGTATCAAGTTCAGAATGCGTATCTGTTACATCGAATTTATTTCTTAAACTATAGATTTATGTTCCAAGAGATATTTCCATCTCAATAATTTTATTAGTATATTGGCATTAAGTCAAGATAAGATCTACGATGTACGTATTAAACTAAGTCGTATCATGAAAAAGATATAAACAATAATTTTAGATAATGATGAGACTGCATGTATTGCATATGATCAAGCTATTAAACAACTTTCTAGGGAACCAATCATCAAAGAAGTAAATAGTAATCTCATTGAGTGTAGATTCTTAAGCAAAATGAGTCATTGCAATTTACTTTTGGAGATGATTTACTCAAAGAATAAAAAGAACATTTGTGCTTTGCCAGGATTTCAGCTGATGACATTGATGCTATAGAAAAAAATGAACACACTGGATCCATTTCGCCATTTATCATTAAGTCTAAGAATGGATATGGACATAGCAGAAAACGTTCGTCTGTGACTCGACAACCCATCAATAGATCTTAACCGAATGCTTCATTTACTTAAAAACTTACTCAAATTTAAACTAAATACAATCCTATCAAAGTTTCAGAAGATATGAGTCGTAGAACTTCTGTTCCTCCTGTTCCTGGTCGAAAATTACAACTCGCTCTAAAACCAACCAATACTCAATTCAAACCCAAATTAAACTAATAACGATTGAGAAAATGAATAATATATTATTATTAAATGGACCCTGTACCAAAAAAGAAAAAGTCTGTCTCTTCCAAATAAGACAAATCCCAAGCAGGCAGTGTCAAATCTAAGAAGTAATAGCCTCCTGGAGAAATTTTGGAATAATAACGTATACTATAATTCAAATGTTAGATTCATAACATGATCTTCAAATTGATGACCATCAATAGCATGATCCCTTTATTCCTCCTCCCATTTAAACATAAGTCAAAGTTTGCATTCATCACAATCTCCCATTCCAGTTTTTCTGTGAAGCATGTGAAGATCCTATTTGTTAACAATGTACCATCCTAGGCCCTCACAATACTTAACTACATAGAATTAATAGATTAAGTGATTCATTCAAATTGCGATGTGCTAAAATTGAAGAATCAATCAAAGCCAATCTGTTAGGGAAAAGAGAATAACTGTTAGCATAAATTCATAGAGTAAATTAACTAATCATTCTCTAGATAGAATATAGAATCGAAGAGATTAAATATGTCAAAACCATCATTGAGAGAGATGCAAGAGCTGAATTTGGAGGAGTCTTGGAAAGATTAAAATAGAGTGAAGGATAAAAGTTGGCAATCCTGAGTCATGAGATATCTGAATTATAAAGGTATATATCAATTTTCATTCTTAGAGATTTGGATAAAATCAATGAAGTAGGATCATAATTCTATGATCTCAAAGAGATTCCTGATCCTTGTCCATTCCTTCTGAAATCAAGAAACATTTATGATTAGATTGAATATATGGTTGCCAAACCATTCAAAGTCTAAATTGATGTTTACCCATATGATTTACCAAGAGAACTTACTGAATTAAGATTGCAATTACAAAAGGCCTCTGCTTAATAATAATTGATCGAATTCAAAAATGAAATCATTTGGAAATTACTTAGTGAAAAATAAATAGATGAAGAAACAATCAAGTAAACTACCCATCTATATAAATTGATAGACAAGAATTGGAAAGACAAGCAAGTGAGGAGATAAATGAATGGAGTAAATTGGTTGACAAATTCTCATAGGAATTAAAGAGGTAATAGCTGGTTTGCTATTATTGTGGCTGTAAAATGGAAAAGTAATATGTTAATTCAGTCTGCGCATAAAATAGACAAGAATAAGATTGTAAAATACATTATTTAACATTTTAGATGATAAGGTGTTTTGTAATGAATAACCACCATAAAACTATCACGGCACTAGTAGGCATTATTTTGCAGATCCAATTTTATGAATCTAAATTATATTTATTGATTTTTAATATTAAGATTATTTGATTTATTGTCAATTATGAATGCAAAAATAGTAATCTATTAATTAATGAATATTTATACTATTATAGAAATTCTTAAACACACTGAATAGAGAGGCGTAGAATTACTTATCGATGCCTTGATTATTGGAATAGAAATTGGGAGAAAAAATCTTTAGAACCATTAAAAAATAGCTTAAATAGTTGGATCTCTATCAAATTTGAAACATGGAATAGATTTCAGTTTTTCTTCACCTTTTCTTAGGGATGAGATATTTGATAGAGTACTCAATAAGAATGAGAAGGTAAACCTATTTCAAATATTCAGTTAGAAGATATTCTCATGAATGTATAATAACAATGCTAAGAGAAATATTAATTACAATAATAATAAACAAATAATTGTAATATTTGCTCCTAAAGTATCGAAAATAATTCCGAAAAGAAATTTATCGCTGCCTGTTAACATCAATTTCACAAATAATGCGTAGAAAATGTATTGGCTTAAGGATTCAATATTAGAATTGGATTTAAATGTCCCATATGTGGGTAATCTACCTTTAAAGAGGATATTGAATATTAATTGAAAGCCAATAACAATTTTAAGACTTCATGTTGTCCTACTCCTCAATGCAAGAAATATTTCTCATATATTGGCCAAGAAATTTATAGATGTTCAGAATGCGAAAAGAAATATTGTTTAAAATGTTAATCACAGAATCATCCAATCAATGAATGTAAAACTGATATCAAAACTGCTACATTTGAAATGGGTGATAATTACAAGGAATGTCCAAAATGTAAATTGTGGGTTAAGTAATTGGAAGATGAAAAAATATTATATTGTTTGTGCAAATACACCTTTTGTTTTGGTTGTGGCAATAAGGATGGAAATTGTAATTGTAATAAAGATTACAAAATTTTATAAAGTTTAACAAAAGGTTTCTTTCAGATGATATAATGATCAATATAATTACATTCAATTTGTTGTATTTAATGAATTTAAATAATTACTGGAGTCCTTAGTTTTTTATATCTTTATAAAACAATGCATCCTATTAGAGATAGATAAATATCATTAAATAAGAATGACTATGTAAATTAGGATGCATTTCAAAAAGATGCTTCTAATAGATTGAGAAATTTTAGTTACTAAAAGATAGAATAATCAATAATCAATATGGATAATAATGTGAAACTTCCAAAAATAAAAACTGTTAATTATGGAGTTAGCCCATTTATTGAGAGAAGAAGGTTAGGATTAATTGAATTAGTAAGGTAAAACATAAGACAAATAATTGATATAAGAAATAAAATTATATTATAAAATGAATTTAAGTCTAATATCTGGAGAATAAAGTTCAGATGATAGTGATGATTCACCTGAGTAAATTTAAATACACAGGGAAAGAAAACACCTGTCAGAAATTGATGTACTTATTGCTACATTATAAATTGAACCTAAAAAAAGAACTTGGCAACAATTAAAGTTTCTTTGTGATACTCTCGAATCAAATGTCCATTATTTTTCATAATTACGTAACAAGCTTACTACTTAAATCCTTATTAAACTAATGGCTACAATTTCACTAGAATAATTTACTACATTTAATGTAGTGTTTAATTAGGGAGAGACTGGGAGAAAGATGTATATCATATTAAAAGGGGAAGTGGCTGTGCTTATAAAGACAGATGATCAAAATGAAACAGTTCTAAAAGAGGATAATAAAAGAAGACGTAAATTCATAGATATATTTAGGGGGCACAAGGACATTCGATGAATTGATTATGCATAGATTTTCAAACTATAGGGTTGTAGCCTATAAAAAATAATATGACTATTTTGGTGAAATAGCAATTGAGCAAAGGATTCCTCGCACAGCTACTGTAATTGCCAAAGAGCCTTGTACTTTGGCAATAATAACTTTTGATGCATATTAATCATTACTGAGCGAATTATAGGCAGATAATTTGTAATTAAGACAAGTGGTGATAGCTCGAATGTATCCCTTTAGTATTTTGAATGAATAACAGTTTTAACAGATCTTACACAATTATGAAGAACTCAATATACAAGGCGGTTGTTTGTTATATAGAGAACAATAGAATGCAGATGCATTATATTTAGTTATAAAGGGAGAAGTGTTGGTTCAGATTAAAGAATTAGTTGACAATGCAGCTGCTTAGATTCAAGAACAAAAGTACTTTGTAAATTTCTAAAAGTAACAGAGAATCAAAAATATTGGTCTATTTGGAATAGGACAAATTGTTGGTGATTATGAATTGTATTTAAATAAGAAATACAAACATAAGTTGATAAGAAGAACAATTTCAATAGTTAAAAGTGATTCTAAAATAATTAGGATTCCAATTAAATAATTTTTAGATGTAATAGAACATGGATTATCAGCAAAATGGTTGTTGCGTTATTTGAATGAGAAGTATGAATAGAAGGAATAGTTACCAATATTGTAATTGAAGGATGAGTAGGAGAATAGGAAAGTACAATCATTCATATCACCTCAATTCAAAAAAATGATACTTAGATTGAAGAGACATCATGATCATAATAAAATCTCAAGTGATCGGTACTAATAGGTCAATTACAAATAAACTTTGGAATATGATAACAATGAGTAATAATTTACTGGATTAAAGAAGGAAATCAATTATTAAGATAAATCAGTGCTTAAATACCTTGCAAAGGATTAAGTGTTACATAAGAGAAAGAGTAATACTTTGACTGGATTTAGTATTGAGAAGTTTGCTTCAACTTTAAAATCAAGAGTTAGGGTTACTAAATTGTTAACTCAAATAGATGAAGAATCAACTTGTTATAGGTTTCATTCTACTCCAACTAAAACAAATGGATTTTCATTTAAACAGGCAAAAACTCTTACTAATATTCAATCTCCATAATATAAATTCAACTAAACATTCAAATTGAATTGATTATTATTTATTTATCAATTTTATAAATATAAATAATAATCAAATTGGCTTAAACCAGTAAATTCCAATAACTTAATTAATATTACAATTATGTTAACAAAATCAAATAGTAAGAGTACTGAATATCTCATTCTTCAATTATTGGATACTATTGTATATAATATTTTATTTCAAAATTTCCATTAGACGCAGACTTGAATTTTCAGTATATCGAAATTTAATTGTTTACTAATAAATTATATTTGTTCAATTTTAGAAAAGTAACTTATAAAAAATTAAAAGATGTTGATTTTAAATCAATTGGCGAATATTAATTAATATGAAATGTATTAAAGTATAAATAATGTAAAAATATCAAGATAATAAAGTTATACCTCGTTTTTATTAATATTAATCAATTTATATTTCTAATTTAACTAATTAAACAACTAGGATGTTTGTAGGAACACGCCTTCCATAAAAGAAACATTTCTTTTTCAATGAAATAATTATCCTTTTTATTTACTTAATTCTCAAAAGAGTAACCTTATTTTGAAGTGAGGGTCAACTTGAATAGTATACCAACCTCAATTAATGCTAATTGAATATGTATTAATATAATTCATTAAACCTCATTAAATAAAATCGTAAATATATTGAAAATCTCAAATTATAAAAATCCTAATCTATTCATTTTGTATATAACTCTATTTAGAATTAACAATGAAATTTTCGAATTTTTAGATTGATTTTAATTAAAATGCCAATGTGATATGTAAGTTTAGAGAATATTTGATAGAGTACCATCTAAATCTAGTATTGACGTTGATAATTTTTAAACATAATTCTCATAAAGTCTGATGCTTGCATAAAATAGAAATGTACGAATATCTAGTTTATTCTTTAGTTTGAAAATTTGTCAAAATATTTAAAGTGAGATCCTGAATACTTTATATAATTTTATCTTCATTTATAAAATTTCAATGATACATTCTGAGGAGGAGAGTGTAAATAGTTTTACACCTGAATCGTAATATTCATTTGTTATCTTTAGACAAGAGTAAAACCCTGAAGAGCATAAAAATAAGGACTCCAAAAAATATGCCATTATTGATCAATCAATTCGTGTTCAATTACTACGCCGTATACTTTCGAAATAGGCAACAATAAAGGATGCTGCTAAAGAGTTTGGTGTTAATTTTTCAACTGCAAAAGCAATATTGCAAACTTATAGAAAGGAAGGAAGAATTGGAAAGAAAAAAACAAGAGAAAGGAATAAGATCAAATAGGAATCGGGAGAAAATAGTTCACCTAGAAAGATTTAATCTATGTATAATCTAGAATAGCCTTAATAAATGAGAGCAACATCTCCAGAGTAGAAACCTTAAATACCACAAATTTAACCGATATTCCCCGTGATGAGTTCTCCAAATTTAGATAATAATGGGGCTTAGATAGCTTTAGCACTTTGCTAAAGAGAATTGGCTCAATAAAAATTAATTAATTTCTAATTATTGATGATGATTCAAGTAACCTAGAATCTTTATTAATTTAGAACTTCAAAAATATTTCACAATTATAAGTCAAAGAAGAACCCAATATAATTAATTGAATTATAAGTAAATTTTATTATTTATTTATCCATCGTATTAAATATATATACAATATTAATAATCACTATTATTACGGAGCTCTTTCTGCTGATTGTAATTCCTCTAATGTATTTAATTAAATCAACTTTACCTATTGGCATTTTTTTAACAAAGAATAACATAGCAACAGTTATTGCAATCATGAAGAAATACTAATTTTGATAGATTTATGATAAGCTCAACTCATCCTCTTTCTAATGAAATATTTTATATGCTATTACTTCAAAGTAATCTTTTCTTTAAATGATCTCAAATAGCATTGAATCCCTTGTTTGAATTCTCTATTATTTAGTTTATTATTGTTATTAAGGTTTTTATCTTGATATTGGGTGAATTTTAGATACAGAAACATTTGTACCTTTATTGTTTGTATATACATCAATAAATGCTGATTCATAAACAAAATATTTAGAATGAATCTCTAAGAAGTATCTACCATTTGGAATATTGTAACTAGCAATAATGTTGAACAGTTTACAATGCAAAGATTCCATTTTTTTATGTGTATGCTTCATATTATCCATAATTAAGCGTTACTTTGAGAATTGGATCATCTTGTACAAATTCTCTTTGTAATTCTTGAATAAATAAAGGAAAGTGCATTACAATACAAAACCTTGCCTTCAATTTTGGATTAGGCTGCAAAAACAATCATGGGAAATGCAAGGAGTAGAAGATGATGAAAAATGGCCATTTAATATATAATATATATTTGTTATAATTTGAAAATGGAACAAGGAATTGAATAATTGATGTTTAGTAATCGAAATAGATAAGTGGGCTAAATTGTGAGTAATAGATAGAAGAAGGATACGAGAGAGGAAGAGGGTATAAAAATAATAAGATTGGATAAACTGAGATAATAAATCATGAGTTTGGAGATTGAAACGAAGAAGCCAAAGTTGAAATTGAAGAAACTGAATAGTGAGAACATGTTACTGAAGGAGAAGCAACAATTAGAAGATGACATAAAGGATATAAGTTAGAGATTAGAGAAAATGAAATAGATCAAGATATAGAGTAAATAGTAATAGAGTGATTTGTTACAAGATAAATAAGTAAGTATGACTGAAACTTTGTAAATAGGATTTCGAATAAAGATGGAACAACATTTAGAATGAGGATGAGATTTAAAGCTTTTAGGAAAGAATGCAAAGTACATTATTATTGATATATTCTTAATTTGATACTAGCTTTACTCAACGAAGATTAGGAACCACCAAATCATGAAATAGAGATCCTAACTAAAGAAGTTGAGGATCTTTTGTGTTTCAAAATAGATGAAGAACCAACAAAGTAAGGTAACACCAAATACAACCTGTTCACAATAGAGGAAGAACAATAAGATTAATCATTTACTTGAATTATATATTTATATTAATAATAATTATGTTCATTAACATTTATTAAATGTAAGTTTGAAATAGAAAATGATTACATCTTAAATCAAGACTATATTCTTCAGCCTATTATTTATTGTGCTATTTAGCTTAATGCAGTAAGTTTGCATCAATTATAATTTTTGGGATTTTAATAGTCTATTATTTAGAGTCAGAAAAGTAAATAATTAAAATCATACATAGATATGCTTGAAATCTCTAAGAAATATGAGGTTAAAAAGGTTAGTCCAAAATATTAAAAATAGCAAATGAAAGCTCTCAATTAAACACTAAATATGCTAGTCTTGGATCAGAATTATTTATTATTACTTGATCTTTCTTTTCCAATTTTATATGTTATTTCTATTATAAACAACATTAATTTTGACAACTTTTTTTTGAAATTATATCCAGACTTCAATTAGATTTATCCAAATTCATTAGAGTCATTTGTTATTTGCTAATAATAAGAAATGAGGACAAATAAATTCATTAATAATACTTAAGTTGATTTTATTATATTTCATATTATTTATAATTAAAATTTTCTCTTTAGATGATATAATTGCGTTGTAAAGTACCTTAACATAATGCAGGGATAATTGAATTTTATTGTTTTAGCAATAACTGCAAAGAGAATAGATTAAGCTGTTTATAATGCCTCGTAGATGCTAAACATAAAGGTCATCAAGTCTTGAAAATGTCATAAATGAGTGAACACACTTAAGAATTTCAAGGAAAATGTTAAGAAATTATCGAAAACTTATCTATTTTTAAATTTCATTTAGATGGTTGTATTGATGAATTGATTAAAAACTTACAAGAAAAATTCTAATAAGAACCAAATAACATAGGTCAATTCACTTATGATTAATTCTAATCTTATCTATCAGGGCTCCTAGATTTTGATAAAGATAAAAATATGATAGATAATGATGTGATTGAATTTCTAAAATTAACCACAAATAATATTAATGATGCTGTTGAGAAGCTTGAAGTAAAAGCAAGCTTGCATTACTAAGCTCCTCCTGAAATGCAATAAAAAGTGAGAGATCTATAAAACTAGGGTTTATTCTTATAAGATATTTTTAGGGACTTAATTATTCTAAAATAACAATATCATGGGGGCTTAAGATATTATGAATTAAACCTTAATATTAGATCCTAACAACAAAGTTTCTTTAGTAATGAAGGGTATTCATTATACATTAAATTTTAGGTAAATTACTACTTTCTTAAACTAAAAATTGTGAAGCTTAAGCTACTTTTGAGAGATTGCTGAAAATTGATCCTAATAACATAGATGCAATTAATGGTTTAGGTATGAATTGATTTATGTCTAGGGGATTGCTTAAGAGAAAGATCTAAACATGAGGATGCACTAAAACAGTTCGAAAAAATACTTTAACTGGATTAAAACAATAAACAAGCCTTGCTCGGAAAAGGTATTAAATGTAATTATAAAATTAAGCTTCTTGTTTAGGAAAATAGAGAAAATTTCCAGAAGCTAAATTAATATATGAAAGAATATTAGATTAAGATAAAAAGGAAATTGAAGCAATTTGGGGTTTGGGTATTTAAATTATTAAATTTCAATAGCTGATCTCTTAAGAATTTAAGGGAAAGATGAAGAAGCAATAAAGTAATATAATAAAGTATTATAATTAAATTAAAATCATTTGAATTCAATAAGTGGTTTGGGTATTATATGAATATTAAACAATTTCAATAGGTGAATGTTATAGACTACTTGGAAAACATGATGAGGCAATGAAATATTTGAAAAAAGCATTGCAAATAAATTCCAGACATGTATTAACTTTAGCTAGAATGGGTAAAACATGATTTATATAATTAGGGGATTGCCTAAGACAACAAAAGAAATTTTTAGAGGCTATAAATTATTATAGCGAAGCCTTAGCCATAGATCCTCAAGATGAGTGGTCTCAGTCCAAATTGAGTAAGGTTTTATCTTATTTCAAGGTGAATGTAGAATAAATAGTCAAAGAATAATGTGATTTTTAAAATGATATTAAGATTATTAACAAGAATATTATATCAATCTTTACTGAGCTTAACTACTTTCGCTGGAGTATTGGCCCCTAATTTTTTGTTAGCAATTTTTCCATTAATCCATTAACCTTTAAAAGTATTTCCATTGCATTTAATGATTTATCCATTTCCATGTTAAAGTCCTGCTTTCCAACATCCCAAATACTTTTAATTATTAGGCCAAATTAAAACACCATATCCTTCTCTCAAATCATTTATATATTGGCCATCATATTTTCTTCCATCTGGCCATTCGAAGACTCCTTTACCATTTTTGATACCATTTTTCCATTCTCCAGTGTATATTCTTCCATCAAAGAAGATTAAAGTTCCAAATCCTGAAATCAAATCATTTTCAAATCTGCCTTGATATATAGATCCATCGGGATATACCAATTTGCCCAACCCACTTTTAAATCCATCTATAAAACTTCCTAGCCTTGGAATACACATCAAAATTTACCCTCATATGTCCATCCACCAGAATACGTTTATACTCCATGCCCATTAGGTAGGTCATTTTACCATTCACCATCATAATATGTGCCATTAGAGAATGTATACTTTCCTTTGCCTTAAACTTGCCCATCAACCCAAGTACCTAAAAACAAATCTCCATTTGAATGTTAAAATGTGCCTTAACCATATGGTTTATTTTCAAACAATTCTCCTATGTAGAATGAATTTTCAGATAAAATATACTTACCAAAACCATGCATCATTCCATTCTTCCATTAACCTTCATAAAAGCAACCATTTTAGAGTTAGATACAAGGGAATTTCTGCTATTACTTGGTTGAGACTAATAATTAGTCTTATTTTTGTAACGGTATGTAGCATAGCCCATTCATTTCTGCAGAGATAGCTATAGGAGTGCTTGGAGGCCTGCTGATATCTGAAAAGGAACTAGCATCATCCTTAATGTCCTTATTTATGTGTAAAGTAATATCTGCAATGCAAAACTATTTTACATTGCTTTCTTGCTACTCATCCTATTTTTGAGGCAATCTTTTCTAGGATTATTGAATTTAAATAGTATTCTTTTTAATTTATGAAGTTTTCTCTATAATCAAACCATTGTGAGAACTCTTTTAATCTAAAATTGAAGAACTTTGTTTCTGAGCAGTTGATCTAGATAATTTAGAGTGAAATTTTCTATGTGAAATTAAGATAATACTTTCTAATTAAATAGCCTCTGAAATGCGCTTGTATTTTAATCAATCCATTATATTCTTATTTGTCTATCTTCTTTTCAATTTGTTGCTTACTCTTTGTTGTTCTTACAGTCAATATCTCTTGGGTCTTATTTGGGGCAGAATCATTACACTGCTAACAATTTCCCATTTAACTAACTCAATTATTAATATTTATGAATGTTATCATCTAACCTACAAAACTATAATTTTCTTATATAAAATCTTTTGTTTCAAACCATAAACATCAATCAAATTCAAAACCAAAACCAAAACAATTATATTGTCCTACTTAAGTATCATTTCTCGAAGAATTAGAATTTCCAAGGTGAAAGATAAATGAATTTATATCATCACTCTACTTCGCATTTACTAGAGATTAATTCAGAAGATCAGAATTTTTCATAAAATAAAGAAGAGTTATATGATTAAGAATTTTAGATTATTAAAAAGAATGATATAAAAATAAATATAAATTGATACACAATCGATTGTTTCATTTATAAGAAATTATTTAATCATCCATTGTTAATATAAGATCAAAAGTAAATAATGATTGGATTGAGATATCTTTAAGTAGTTTAAGTTAACCAAATAAGTAGATACCTAAGATTACAATTTTCTATGGAATCTAAATAAAGTAATATTCATATATATGGATTCATGTGTATCTATATTTTGAGTATGTTAACTATAAGAATAATTAAATTTGTTATATACATTTGCAGTGAATCAATAATGATTGTTGATTAAATGTCATTTTATTATTAAATTTTAACTGTTAAGCCATGAATACTTTCTATGCATAGAATTTAAGTCTGAGTTAATTACGTTAATTGCCACAAGAACGTATGCATGTTAAAATGTACAAAAATGAAGAGTACTTTAAATATTGATTAAATAAGAATAACATTGACACCTCAGAGCAATCGTAGTTAATTGAATGAAGTAAAGTGCTACTCATATTTATCAAGGCTATCGAAAATCTTGAAACGCAATGGCATTCTATACGTAGATAACATCTAGAACAACGTTCTTGCAGTCGAAGTCCAGCCAAAAATAATCTCATGAATTAATTGCTAAAAAATAAGGATAAATAATAATAGTGTATTTTGAAAAAGGTTGTACCTTTATCAACCATAAACTTAGCCAAAATCTAAGATTAACAGCAACAATAATAAATTCAATACAATCCATAATAATCAGCTCAACGCAATCATCTTAAAGTAGTTCATTTTATATTTGTTTAGGATTCCTCCCACTTTTAATACATAGCCAATAAATACTGTAATATCTACAGAAGACCTAGTCCAGAATAATAATATTTAGTCAATTCCCTTAGAGATAATGAATAAATGAATTATTCAATAGGAAGAAATTAAGTCCCATAACAATAATACCAAAGAAATAATCTTAAAATGTTAGATGAACGAGTGCGAGTCAATTCTCAAGATAAATACGCAGCCTAAGCATTATCCAACAGTAATATACTCAAAAAGGATGGACCTTAACGCAAAAGGGTTTCACAATATTATAAAGATGAAGAAAACAAGATGACATCTGTAAAATCACCAGCTATGTAAAATTAAAGAATTATTGCAAAAAAAAGAGCCTGAAGTAATGTACATTAAATCTATTTTATATTGATAAACTTGTACGTTACCCTATATATTTTTTGTTTATCCTAATATAAAATTAGTGTCTCATTATTTTCAATAGACATTATTAACTATTTGTAATTTATGAGATAAAATAAACATCATAAAATTACTCTCTTTTCACGTAATTTGATAATTTATTAAAAGCAGTCATGCTTGAAAATGATTTTAATCTTCTTTGAAGGAACAATATAAATTAGGATTATTAATTTTAATTCATATATCGTTTAAGATTAATAATAGTCTTACTTTTTAAATGGCAATAATCTGGAGATTTTTGTACAGAAAACAAAAACTACCACTATAAAAATCTAAAGGGGTTACATCAATATTTTAAAGTGATTTAGAATTTAGCAATCATTTTTTGTCAATACAAATATATTTTAGGTTAGCATTTTTAAATGATATGATACTGATAAATTTCCAATCAATAATATCAATCTATACTTTAGAAATACTATGTCTCGTTATTTTACATAAATCTCAAATATTATAGGACTATGTAATCTAAAATTGAATTAGAATTAATGTTATTAGTCTATAAGAAATTATTTATTATAAATTAATTATTTAATAAATTTAATTATGCAAACTATATATATTTGTTTTATTTAAATATCCTTGTTAAAAATTTAATTGATGAGTGCAGAGTTAATTAGTGGGTGTATAAAGGAGATATAAATTTTTAAATTGTTTATTTAAAAGCCATTTCGTAGAATGGTTTATTTTTCAAACAAAAGCAGAGTAATAGATACGTTATAAGGGAGGTGATTCGTGTTTATATTAGAGTTTATTTATAAATTGTAATTATGTAATATACGATATGTAAAGTTCTTAATTCTCCTTAGAGTATGTGTTGTTTTTATTGATAAATATGTGAATTAGTTATATTTAACTGCAAAGTGTCTTATGATAGATTTTGAATTTTCAGAAATTAGGAAGTTTATTGATGAGAAAATAGTATTAATAAGTGAGACATAATAATACTATTGTCAAAGAGAGGAGAGTTAATTGAGAAAATTAATTAATATGGGAAAATTATGGAACTTAATTAAAAGTCAGCTTGTTATACTATTAATGAGCTTGCTTTTGATTCTTCAATGCATTTTTGGTTCAGATGAATACTACTATTTGTTTGCGGTGTTATTATTGCAATTAGCTCGTATGGCTAGGGAGTATTTTGGAGCATCTTAATTTTAAGTGGTACTAATCATACAATATTTGGGATACATGACAGTTCTGTATTTTAGTAGTTAGAAAAATCTGTTATCGTGCATGTGTGTAATGTAGATAGGATAGACTTTAATATTTGAGAATGAATTCACGAACAAATGGTTAATAATATTGTTTTCGGTAGGAGCAGATATGCTTGTGTTATTATTATTTATGCCTGATGAAATAAGTCAAATCTATTTACCTTGTGTATCCATAGGCATAAAGACATTGACACAATTGATCAACTAACCTAAATTAAATGGAAACTTTAACTTCAATTAAGAAAATTTGTTCGTGGATAGCAATCATCACTCTACTTATCGGATGTCAAAGGATCGCAATTTTCATTCTGATAGTCAGCCTCCCACTCCTAAAAACGATCCTTATTAGGTGGAATTGCTGAGTTTTTTTCCTTAAGGGATAGCACTGGTTGCATTAAATGATGATGTTTAGTTTTGCAATGAGAATATGAAAAAGATTTTTGTTTAAGATGGAAGTCAGCAATCAATTTTATAAGCAATATTTAGTTTGGAGGAGCAGCAGGTTGTGGAGTAAGCAGAGAAGTAATCAATAGAACAACCGAAATAATCGATGAGTTCTTTTTCAACATTTCAACCTGTACCTATTCAGAAGACATAATTCACAAGTGCAGCAAGATCTCAAAATAAGTCATCAGGAACTGTGGTATAATAGTAGCTGAAGGAGAGACCATTGCCAAGAGCCTAGACATAGCATAAATAAAATACATTGAAACTCCAGGACACTTTTATTACAGATTGTTGTGTATGAAGATCATAATAATTATTTAGGTAATCGAGTAAGAGATTCAGTGTATGAAGAAGCAGATCTAAAGAAAGGAAGTCCAGAATTTGATGAAGACTACTCATGTGTAGGAACACATTGTGGTTTTGGGGTATATTCGATCGGAGAAACAGAAGAGAAGATAAATAGAAATCAAGTTGTATATAACATTGATCAACGACTGTCCTTACATTTTAATAGTTGCTAGAGACATAACTCATAGAGATTACATTCGAACTTTGAAGAATTACAGCAAATAGAAATCTAAGATGTTGGCCTTTGTCAGTCATGAATACAGAACTCCTTTGAATTGCATTATCGATCAATTGAATGAGAGTCTGAGAGATGAATGCAGAAATAGATCAGAGACTATCTTTTGTGAGAAGGATAAGGAGATCCATAAACATGTGAGGATTGCTTTGCATACAGCCAAATAACTGTTGAATCTCTCCGATGATCTCCTTGATCTGGCACAAATTAGAGAAGGCAAATTTACAGCTGTCAAATAAAAGTTCAATCTAAAGAACATGATGAAGAGTTGTCTCGAGTTATTCTCAGCCACTGCTGAAAAGTAATAAATAGTCTTGAATTTGAATTACAATGCTCATGTTCCAAAGATTGTAGAACAAGATTCCAATAGAATCAAATAAATCATTATGAATTTAATAGGAAATGCCTTTAAATTCACTGAAAAAGGAAACATCACTTTGGAAGTCACCTAAGGCTCAGATAGAAAGAGAATCACCATTTCTGTGATTGACACAGGTATAGGTATTCCTGATGATGATAAGGTCAAACTATTTAAAGCTTTCGCTAAAGGCAGTAGTGAGGAGAGTAAGAAGATGAACACATAAGGAGTTGGATTGGGATTATTGATAAGTAACTAAATCTTATAAAATCTCAATGGAGACATTCAAAATGGATTAAAACTTCATTCTCAAATTAATAAAGGATCTACTTTTTATTTTACAATTTAAATTTGCGATGTACAATAAACCTTCTCGCTTCATGATTTAGAAGAACGTAATCAGGAAAGTGAAAATTCAGAATAAAATTCTTTGTTCATTCCTGATGATGATGACAAACCTTAATAATTGAAAGTTATAACCAAAAATTAAAATATTAAAGCATCAACTAAAGTTTCGATTGGAGATCCTAAAATTTTGATTGTGGATGATGTGTAATTAAATGTTGAAATGATTGCACGTATGATTCAAGACACTGCTGTCGATTGGGCCTTGAATGGGTATCAAGCAATACAAAAATGCAAAGAAAGAATCAAGCACAATCAGGAATTCTACAAAGTTATACTTATGGATTTAGAAATGCCAATTATGAATGGATTTTAAGTGTCTTAAGCTATTATTACTTTGTGTGCTGAATTGGGAGCATCTACAACTATTATTGGGTGTTCGGCGTATGACTCAGAAGAGTAGATGCAAGAATGTTTAAAAGTAGGAATGACAGCATACTTACAAAAGCCTGTAGAATAGAAAGCCCTTAAAAAAATCTTATTTAAGTATCTATGAATTATATATTCTTATTACTTATATTCTTTTCAGTTTTCTCAAATATAAATATTTTTGCCCGGAATTTTGTATAATTTAAAAATAATAAATGGACCCACATCAGATATGTAAGTAATTGCAGGAATAGTGTTATTAAGAGAACGACGATGTAACTACTTTCATTTCTAAAAGAGCTGAGAAATCGTGTGGCGGAGATGGAGGCCAAGAATGCTGAATATTAGGATCAAATTGAAGGGCTGAAATAAATAATTGAAGAAAAAGATGCCAAAATCAAACAATTAGAAGACACATTAGCTAATTTACAAAATAAGCCCATCAAAAAAACCATTTCAAAGAAGAAAGATAAGAAGTCCACTAAAAAGTGATATAATAATTTACTTAAATTATCAAACACAGACCTTAAATCAGCTGTCTTTAAACTCAAAACAGAGTTTTCAGATGCTCTCTTTCTCTTATAAAATGGTCATTCTCATACAAAGAGGCTCCATATTCTCCTAATCAATACGACATTTATCAAAAAGTACTTAATTTGAACAACCTCCATTAGAATTAGAAATTCAACTAAATAATATTTATGACTCTCAAACCAAGAACTCCAATCTATCAATCACAGGTTTCTAAATAATTAGTGTCTATTCCTGATTCACATCACTCTAATTGATTAAAATAGATAGATAATGATTATAAGCAGATCCTTAAGGAACGTCTTCCAGAAATCGAGAAGGATGTATTTTTTCCAAATTCAAAGTTAAAATATACCAATAATCCAATAAATAGAACAATTGACTATTAATCTACATTCTCAATAATGCAAATCTGGAAACCAGCCTTGTATTCTCGAAATGTAAATCAGATAAAAAATCAATATGAAGTAATCATCACAATAATATATTTTTAATAAATTGAACTTAAAATCATGGATCAATAGTAATAAATTAATTTCATAACATTCTAAGTTTGTTCAATGATTCTTTTATTTCTGAACATTGCTCAACTTACATCAAACCATTAAAGTGCAATAGATTCAGATTAATCCATAGGAGATTAGGTAGTTAAATCCAAAATTTCAAGAATTATATGAATAAACAAAATAAAAATCTCATTATTTTTAATAAAAAGCAAACAATCTACAAGAGTCTCATAAGATCAAGAAGGTAAACTTCAAATAAATAAGTATGAACTCTTAAAGTTCAGTGATATTCAGAAGAAATCCTACAAAAGATTTAATTAATCGTTAATCGCATCAAAATTAATTAAGGGAGAGCGGCAATATAATATCTCTGAGAACAAACCACTAGACAACATTTAGCCTTTAAAGTATCCATTCTTATGTATCCAATTTGCAGCATTAAACTCAGACATAATAAACTAAACGCATATCAACCAAGTATGACTTTAGTACTGTTGGTTTAAATAACAGATGAGAATATGGAATAATAATAACAGCAGATAGAAAGAGATATTCTTACTTGCAGCTAACCAAAATTCTTGAGTCACTCTCTAATTAGAAGTCTAAGTGACAAGCATAAATTTCCTAGTAAATGAAAATACTTGATTTATGCGATTAAAAATGTGAAAAAATCAGATAAATACTTGGTTATTGGTGTTGGAATTACCATAATTATTAAGAACCCTAGAAATTGAATAAAAGATCTATTAATATGAATTATGATATATATTATTTATAATTTAATGCAAGAACATCCTTTGGGATTGTTGAGTCAAGGAACAACTATATACTTAAAAAGGAGATTAAGTATTCGTTTTGATTATCTTCTGAGATCAAAACGTAGAACATCAAAATTTCCATCTAAATATCTTTAAGGGTGGGGGAGACAACTGAATGGTGCAAGTAAGAGCACATTCAAGAATTCAAATTTATTTAAATGGTATATACTAATTGATATTGCTTTGTTTATTAAGAGATTAAGAAAATTAAGAAATAGAAAAAACTTATCTAGAATTAATGTATTAAATGAAAAATCCAATAAGTAAATAAAAGCAGCTTTGTTTGCTATAACATTATCAATATTGTTATTGCCACTTTTATACGTTTTCAATATTGGTTTGAAGTCATATCAATATATCAATATTTATATCAGTTGTTGTCTATGTTATTAGGGAATGCTGAGATTCATTTTGTTTTTCACTCTGCCAGCCTATGTTATTTTGATAGTAATGGCAATCATTTTTGCAGGTGTAGAATTAATTAGGTAAGTTCCGTTGTTGACCTCGAAAAAATAGAGTGTCCATTAAATACTATTTGGAAAATGATTGTATATAAAAATATTTTTAATGTACTGTTAATAAGGTGGTTATCACAAGGGTAATGAGTTGCCATACATTATGAGATGAACATCTGGAGATGGTCTGTCTTCACAGTACTTGCATAGTGAAGGGAGAAGTTCTAAATTGCGTTGTTTGCATAGACGAAAGACACAAAGGTCACAAAATGATTCCCCTGTAGAAATTACTTAATCTAATTAAAAAACAAGAATCCTTAATTATGTTAGTAACTATTACATTATCTACATTTTCAAGAACACTCTACACCAATCTCAACACTCGGAGATGCAGATTGCTCAATTAAATAAGTTGCAAGAACAAATTAATTAGGCAATTTAAAAACAACGAGAATTGGTTGAATAACAACTCAAATTTGATAAAAGTACGTTGGCATCGTAAATTTAGTTATTATATCATACTAGCTTATGACCTCGATTAATGAGGAAAAGCTGTTAGGCTAACTTATATAAAAATTGTTACTCAAACTTGAATACAACCCAAGAGCATAGTAATTGATCACAAGAACTGAGTAATTAAAAGAAGAACAGCCATAAATTACCTAATTCTTGATGAATCTTACAAATTTTAAGGACACATTAAGAATCTCAAATCAGGACACATAATTAGTACAAGCCTCAAGAACAAGTAGTACCTACCGACAAATTAGAAATAACTCAATCAACACTGAAGGCTATAGAACTATGAGATCTTTTGATCGTTCTCCCCTGTCTCCTTAACCATTTGAAGACCGGCTTTCTGTTACTCAATCTTTATCGAATCAATATTACAGACCAAATTCATAGGGAAAACCAATTATTGGGGAACCTAGTCCTCCTCCTCCTATGAGAGAAATTTCTTATAAGTTTCATTCTGAGTACCATGGTATTGGAGCTTAAGTTAAAGGAAAGCAGGTCAAATAAGTGTTAAATACTGAAGGCAATTTGGCTTTGATTGGTCCATCAATATACGGAAATGGTTTGATTCGAGATAGTAATCTCAAATTATTGATCAGATCCTGTTAAAATTAAAACATAAGATATCCTATGGCCTTGGGAATAAGCGATTAAAAAAGAGTCAAAGAAAAACTATATCAAAAGGATTCAGAAGGATGTTATTTCCTGAATTCTCATGGATATATTACCTCTGAGAATTAGAGTAAAATTAAGTGTGGGAAACGCTTTTATAATGGAAGCTATGTGGAGTTGAAGTTCAAGCCTTTCTAAAGTGAGTTGCATATAACCATAGATGACGGAGAGCCCATAATAATTAAAATTTCATTAAGCCAATCTAAATTGATTTATTTCACTGTTAGATTAGGAGATTTGCATGATGCTATTGAGATTATGTGAATTGAAGATTTTGTTATAAGTTGAATTTCATAAAAATTGATAAGAATCTATTCAATTATTATATTAACATAATTAATTAAAGTCATACTCGATAATAACTTATATTCATACTGAATAAAGTTAGAATGGTTTAGTCTAAACTTATGGAGTGTTCTAATTGGTTTTAGCAATATCAGATAGACTTCCCATGGCATCAAGAATTTAGCCTCTTCTATATACTCGTCTGACAAGTATATTCTACCTTATTTCTGAAATTGAGAATCTTTCGCTTGGATTAGAATGCAACATTCCGATCAGCAATGCTTAACAATCTGGAGAATGCTTAAAATTGTCCCAAGGATGCGGGAATTAAGCAGTGAGCAATTAATGGAACACAACTCCCAAACTATAAATATCCACTTTATAATCATAATATTGAGACTTTATGATCTCAGGAGCCACATAATTTCTAGTACCACACTTCTTAAAGAGATAACATCCATCTGGTCTGTAAAAATCTGCCAATCCAAAATCTGCTATGACAAGATCCTCAAAATTTCGAAATAAAATATTATTCGGTTTAATATCACGATGAATTATTTTTTTGGAGTGAATGTACTCAAGTCCATTTAAGAGTTTCAATAGCAAATTGATTGCCTTCTCTTCTTTAAGGATATTTTCTTGACTGATTTCCATTTACTTGTCAAAAAGATCTTCCACCAAGAATATGCATTAGTCACTTTCGTAACATTCCTTAATGGATAGAACATTGGGATGATCCATCAATCTTAATATCTAGATTTCCTTAAGGATAGCGCTTTTATCTCGAGGATCAAGCAATAATTATTTCTCGAACATTTTGACAGCATATAATTATTCATTTTAAGCACTCTTTACTTTGTAAACCTATGTATAATTATTAATCAAATACTTTTCCAAAACTTCCACTTCCTATTTATTTCAAAACCTTATATTAACTAGCAAAATCTTTTTGAATTCCATAAAGTTTCAGTATTTGCTTCAATTAAGAAGTTAGACCAAAGATGAGTAGTTCTTTGTTTTGCTATCGAATACTCACACCTCTTCCCATACAAATATGATCATTAAATTCTAGATATGCGTTAGCAATATTTATTGTTTCCAAATTTTCTGCTTCTTCTCCAATTTTTTTCAACGTTAAAATTGTATTTTCTAACAATAATTAGCACCTAAGGAAGTTATTTGTTTCAACTTTTAGAAATACAATTTAGTTCTTTGATGCTAAACCGGTTTCAATCTCGTAGTACTGAGAGTCAAAAAAGTTATGCATTAAATATTTTAATTAAATCCTGATAAAACGAATTTCAATTAAATTATGTAGTATCAATTATCTGCTTTCGTTTCTAATTAATATTACTTCAATTTAAGATATAATCATTAAATATTATTAATGCTAACATTTTATGTAATTCTTAAGTTGTTACTTTACTAAAATTTGTTCTTATGGAATTTTTGAATTAATCAGATATTCATTTCTTATTTTTTAATTTTCATCAAGATTTTTAAGAAATTTAAACAATAACCGATAATGAAGATGGATGACTAAAATCAGAAAATTTGAATCTTCTAAAAAGAATGAACATTAAAAAGTGCTTCAAAAATAACATATTCTGCAAATTAACATTAACAAATAAAATAGTAAACGTTTAAACATTATATTTAATTATATCAAACTAATTGCAATTCTAAATAGCCTTTCTAAAATTAAATAAATAAATTATCAGAAGCAACCAAAATACATAAAAATGCTTTAAATTAAATGCTAAATATGATAGTGAATCTTGAGTTTATCATATTCACTATTCTATTTGATCAATTATGTCCATATTAAAAACAGTATTAATATATTTTTCAGAAATCTTATTGAAAACAACAATACCTTATATAAAGAAACTATTTGATTATAAACTTGAAGTTTGTAATCTCCAAATAAATTATATCAAGATTTTATTTAGAAAGCAAATGTAGTCGGAATATCGTCGGAGCCTGTGTTTTCAGAGTTGAACATAAATAATCATTATTGAGATGGTGTTATTACGGCAAATATTTTTAAGAAAATGAGATAATAATTAAAATAAATATTCTATTTAAAGCATTTGGAAAAAAGAATTCAAATAGCAAATAAAATAATTTAAGTGACTTGTTAGTTACTATTTAGATTGAGATACCATAAAAAAAATCTATTAAACGAATAAGATTAATAATAATTTTTAAATGTATTTTAAGAATAAATATTTATTAATACATTAATCCTATTATTTTTAAGTTCATCATAGATATTGTTTTTTAATATATTAATTAAAATATTCTTTTTAATTTAGAATCTTTACAATGAGAATGTTTTCTTATAATTGCATAGAATAAATACATAAAAATCACCAGATTGACTTTTATTGCTTCAATCCGGATTGTTAAGACAGAAAATTATTTTGTTTAGAATGTTTATAATCAGGAATGCATCTTGGGCATGCTCATAAATTAGATGATATTGATAGACATAGAATAAAAATTTATGATAAATGCAAAGCCCTTATTGACTAATTAAACGATTATAAACTTCATATCCTAAATTTTCTGGAACTATTAACCAAAACTTTACAATAGAAATTCTAAACCCCACCAAAATCAAATTATAGCTTTGATCAATTAGAATCTTACATTAATACGCTTTTAGATTTTGAAACCAATTAATCGTAAGTAGAAAATAAAGTAATTAAATACCTCTTGAAATCTTAAAGTAACATTTAGGATGTTATTATACAACTTGAAGTAAAAGAACGTTTACATTACTAAGCTCCTTCTACGAGCTTACAAAGAGTGAGAGATTTATAAAGATAAAGTTTTATAATTTTTTATTTAGGTACTCAATTATTCTAAAATAATGAACTCCAGAAGGCTCAAGATATCTTGGATCAAACATTGGATTTAGATCCTAATAACCCAACTTCTTTAGCATTGTAGGGTATTCATTATTACAAAAACAATAGGTAATCTACTACTTTCTAAAGCTAAATATACTGAAGCCTATAATATCTTTTCGAAACTGAACAAGATAGATCCAAATCATATTTAAGGATTAAATGGATTAGGTATGCATACTTTTATATCAGGTGATTCTTTAAGAGCAATAAAAAATTGTTCTGTAGCATTAGAAGAATATAAAAAGGTACTTGCGTTAGATTCCCTAAATGTATAAGCCTTGATAGGAAAAGGTATTAAACTCAAAATATAAATTTTAGCATATTGTTTAGGGTAAAAATAAAAATTTCAAAAAGCCTAATAAATTTATGATTAGATATTATTTAAGGAACCAGCAAATGTCTAGGCAATTTTTGGTCAAGGTATTTTTGTAAATAAGATTACGAAAGCTGAGCTTCTAAGAATAAAAGAGAAATTTGATGAAGCTATAACCTTGTATGATAAAGCCCTATCATTAAATAAAAATCACATAGAATCATTAAGTGGAAAAGGTATTGTTATATTGTTTAACAATATGAATAGGGGATTGTTATAGATCACTTGGAAAATTTAGAGATGCAATGGTTTGTTTGAAAAAAGCAGAAGAACTAAATCCCCTAAATAGCTAAACTTTAATTAGAATTGGTAAAAATGATTTATACAATTAGGGGATTGCTTAAAATTAGAAGAGAAACTTACAGAAGCCTATTCTTATTATGAAAAAGCCTTAAAAATCAATCCTCTAGACGAATGGTCTTAGTTAAAAATGGGTAAGCATTCATCCTATTTGAAGATCAATGCAAAAACAATATTCGATTTATATGATTGTGAGGTTTTTCACATATTAACAATATTATATCAATGATTTGTAATTTAACTACTTGCCTGGAATATCAATGGTTAATTCAGTGGCAATTTTCCATCAACCCATTAACTATTAAAGTATTTCTTACCATTACATTTATAATTTTCTATTTCATGTTGATATCATTCTTTTCAAAACCTCTAATACCATTAACCACAAGTACGTATTAAACACGATATACTTCCCTCAAATCGTATAAGGTTTGATAATAATCAAATCCTTCCATAAGACTATTTTCATCTTCATTTACTTGATACTAGATCGATTATATTTATCAATATATTCAATCCACTTTATTCCATCTTTAAATCCTTCAACCCTTGGAGTCCATATCAAATTTTCTCTCAAACTTACCTTACATTTTCCACTTTATATATGATAATTATTTAATTTTTAGTCAAGATACAATTTGAAAGGAAATTCAATCATCTATTTTTATTTCATTCTGTTCTTGGATAAAATTGATTCATTATTCATATTTTATGCTTAATAGTTTTTAATTAAGAATCTACTAATAAATATATAAATTTATAAGTATTAGTTTTAATAGAACTTCCTATAAATATTAAAAATGGACTTGTTATCCAATAATAACTAAATCCTTTATAATTATAATGACTTTATTTATCAAATAGAAAGGATTTCTGCACATATTTTCATCTATTTAAGATATTATTTATAAGAATGAGTAAATAAAATAGATAATCAATATTATTATGTCAGATTAGATCAACGTGGCTATTATTCGTCTAAATTAAGAGAGAAAATTACTGAAGGAACGCTAGAATACTTTTAATTCTGAAAGCTCTCAAAATAATAGAACTGTGTATTAAAAGTAGAGACTGTCCACTCTTGATCCTCCGAAGTTGTTCATGCAGATAATATAAGTTCCTTATATGAAAAATCAACGACCAATTAAGGTCAAGACTAAATTGAAAGTCAATATAAATTTCAGGAGACGTAGTCTGAGTTAGAAGACAGAAAAGATTAGTAATGCAATGGTAGGAGTAGTAAGGAAATTCGATTTATCTTTTTTAAACTATGATCCTTTGCCTATTGTGTATTATAATCAAGGGAAGATGTTGAAGTAGAAGAGATAGGGCTCAAATATAATAAGTATTTGATTTTTTAATGTTTATATAAATATTGTAAATGCTAATACAAAGATCAAAATTAGTCTCTTAATTTGCAATCCAAATACTGGATAACCAAGATGGGTTTATCAACTTTGAATGTCTTTTTATTTGTTGGAGAGATGTTGCTGTCCCATGAATCATCCAAACTAAATGTTTCAATTTCTTCTGCCTAAGGACTTGGTAAGGGTCTATTGGGATTAATAAAGTTGATACTTGGTTTTGATGTGTTGAGGAGTATCTGCATAAGGGAAGTGAGAGTGTGATTAAAGGTTGAGTTGATAAAAGCCTGACATCAAAAAGGAGTGATAAGAGTTATAGAAAATAAATAATGGATTTGATATTATTAAATCATTTATTTAAATTGATTTCAAACATAATAATTGAATAAAATTTGTTCTAGAAGGTACAAAATGTTTTAAGGCGTACTGAATATTACAAACAATATATATTTAAAAAATTACATAAAATTAAATAAAAATACGTTAACTAGACCCATAATTCTTGTTGTTTAATATTTAAGCAAGTAATACTTGGAAACAATTATAGGAGTGGGTCTGTGGAAATGATTATATAATTTAATCATAATTAAAAACTTTATATAAAAATGAATAATGAAATGTTACAGGATGAAAATGACCAAAGTGATATGTATATAGAATCCTAATTTGATGAGCATAAAAAACACTTACAACCGGATTGCTTTCTCATGGAGGACAAAGTGCAATTTTCCAATTTAAACATGAATGAACCTCTAGACATGAAATCAGCTTCTGAAACTGTATTTGTAGTAATCAACTGTAGATTCAAGAGTTCATTTACACAGAAGAGAAATTAGAAGTGCAAGGAAAGGGTTTGGTTAGTACTTCGTTGGATTAGAATAAATTTGTCAATATTAAACTTCTTGATTTATCTAGATGCAAGCTCTATTAAATTCCAGAAGATGTGAAGTAAAATGAATCATAAAAGTAGATAAATGATCAATTTATAAAAGATGTATTTGAGTTAGAATGTGTTGGTAAATGTGCCACGATTTTTGGAATCCTTGAATTATTTAGAAGTCTTGGACTTGTCTTACAACTTAATCTAGAATTATCAAGTTCATATAAAACACTTAAGACAACTCAATCTTGCTAGTAATTGTATTAAGCAACCTTATTTGGGTGAATTGGATGTTCTCTGTATTTAGATGAATCCAATTACTCATCTACCGCAATAATTTCATAAAGCATTGGCAAATATGAATCAATTAGAATTTGATTGGTTTAAATATTGCAAGCCTCCATTGCCATTTAGACTCAATTTCAAGAAATATCCCTTGATTTAAGAGAAACTAATTAAAGCACTCACATAACAAACTTTGAGTTTCTAGGAATTCATCAAGTTATTGAGTCAGAATGAATAGAACTTTAGTTGTACTGATTACAAGGAGAGGAACTTGTATTGTCAAGCAGGGATGAATGATGAAATTGGAGTGTTGTATTGTTTAAATTCCATCATTCCTTAGGATATCAACAAAACTGATTTTGATAATAATACACCCTTGTCAGTTTGTTATTTGGAAGGCAAAATGAGGTTAGTTTTCATAATAATAAAGATCAGTGAGCTTATTAAAGACTTTAGGTGGTAGATTTTCTTTGAATACCATTCATTGCATGAGTCAAAGAGCTGATGTGCAGAATTTAAAGTTTCTTTTGGGGGTAAAGGAAAATTTTCACTTGTAATTAAGGACTACAAACATCTAACATCCGATTAATGATGAATCCTTAGTGATGATGAGGAATATCGATGGTAATACTCCATTGCATCAATTAATGATGAATTTTGATAAATATGAATAGAGTTCAGAGTTTGCTGAGATATTATTATTGTATGGAGCTGATCCAAACGTTGAGAATTGCGAAGGTTACACTCCTCTTGATATTGCAATAAGGAAATAATAAATAAAGGGCCTTAAATTTGGAAATTATTTCAATATGTCTCATCATGCTGATTTTGCTAATAATAGATTCTTTGATTTTTCCCATTAATCATCAATCACAGGTTATGGTCTATGTCACATTGCTGTAATGGTAGGAAATATTGAAATCTTGGAATTCCTAATTTCAATCAATGCAGACTTTCTCCCCATTAGTAAATCTAACAAATTACCTAGAAATTTGGCTACTCAAAGTTTAGTTGCCTTAAAGAATATTCGAAAACTAGAAAAAAGGTACATTTTAAATAATGTGATCAAAGAGAAATCTCTATTGGAATAATAAGAAAAGTAAATTAACTAATTTAATTAGAAATGTATATTAGATGAGACATTAAATCGAAAAGAATATTGTTTAAAGACATCATAATATGATCTAGAAGTATGCAGACTAAGAAGAAATTGAAGATGACCAATCCATCGAAAGTTATAATGATTTTAGTCTCCAAGTAGGAAGTGAATGTACTGTCAGAGATACTGTTGCAGAGTCTGCTCCCATATTTAAAAAATAATTAAATCAGTAAAAGGATTCAAACACTTCTGTGTAGTAGAATTTTTAACAGTTGTCATCTCTAGAATTTTCTGACCATTATCCTGATGTTTTAAAATTATTGAGAAGTGGTAATATTGATACAGCAATCAAGAAAATAGAGAATGTCTTACAGTATGAGCAAATAAGTGTGGCTGAGAGACTCAAATATAAAAATCAGTTGTCCTTATTGAAGTTAAAATTCAAATAAAAAAATATTGAATTAAAATCTAAAATTGGCTAGGATGTACAATTAATCTTAAATGAATACCAATTTAAATCATTAAAAACAGACCTTAGAAGTAAGTTATCAAAGTATCATAGATAAATATTTCAAAAATGTTCAAACTATATTAAATGCCTAAATAGAAATGGAAATTTCTATAGCTTTAAATATAGTATCCAGATAAAAAATTATATGTTCATCCTATAATTTAAATAGGGATCTATAAGTTTCTGATCTCTCTCTTATAAATGATCTTAGAACCAGGTTGAGTGTAAATCTAGTCTATGACATAAATAACTATGCATCTCACTTATTTTCTTCATAAAATTAACTATATCAATGGCTCTATAGTTGCTTATCAAAAAAAGAAAAAATATTATTCTTAACTAGTTTTTTTAATCTACAAAACTACGAATATCTTTAAATGATGAAATTTAAGAAGAAAAGAGTACTTGTTGTAAAACAGGACGATCTCAGTATTGAGAAGGATATGGCTGAATTAAATAAAGTTCCAATCAACTAAATAATTAGTAATCATAACTAGTTTTGTAACAGTAAAAGAAATTGAAGCTAACAGTCTATATTTATTATTATATTCATTATAAAGCTAATCATCATTTCAAAAATTTAGATAAATACTCGTATTTTAATCGATATTGAGAAAATCACCATCAATATTTAAATTAAAATATTTTAATAGTTTTGCATATCCATATGTAAGGATAAGTCCACATAAGGCATTCCAAGGGATAGTCTTTCTTAAATACTATTAATTACATAACTGAAAATCATCACCCAAACATTGTCACTGTTAATAAAGTCTAAAAATTTCACAGTTGATAATGGAATTATTAGAAGTAAAAAGCGAAAACACTTTTATTTCCAATTCAACTTTGAATAATTTTGAGTGAATTCTTCTTCATTATTTTTCCCATGGCTGAGTTTGATTCCCAAAAATATGAAAAAGATAAAAGTGATTTCGAAGCTTTTATTCAAACAAAAACTTTGGAACACCTAAGAACTATGAATTGAAAGAAGTTCAGTTTAATTTGGACATTTCTTGTAAATATTCTATGTCCATTGTGTAAGTTTGGCTTAGTTTAAGTATAGATTCTTTCTATCCAAAAAGTAAAATAAAAATGAGATACCCAACCAACCTAAAGTTGATAAACCAACCATAAATACAAATTTCCAAGTTAGATCAATAGATGACAGTCTAGTTTTTAAATATTCCATTATAGGTTAATGCAAATAGGAGAGATAAATTAAAATAAAATAACTCGAATACATCCAACCCAACAGAATCTAACCTATTGTATGCATCCCTAAATAGATGCGAGACAATGCAGTCATTACAGTCCATATGGAAACAAAACATAGGATAATACTTTTGATTAGTTTTGGCTTTTTCACAAAGGTTGAAGGGAGAACCATCAAAGGCAATAAAAAACACATCAGCAATGACCCCATAGCATGTCCTGAGGGTTTACCAAACTCTTTATTGCATGACAATGCAACAATATCGGGTTCAATCCAATAAGGTCTTGGTTGATGATATACATTTTTAAGAACTGAGTTAAATGAAATTGTAAATTATATTAAGCACATATATATGATGGAGGCCAATTTATTTTCTGTAAATATAAAGATTAATAAAGCTATTCCAGGAAAAATGTTTATCCAATTGGAGAAGAAATTAAACATACTTTACAGCCCAGGGGTTTGCTTCTGTTACATATATTTCGTAATCCTTGTATTAAAATCCCAGAGCTGCTGATCATAAATTACATCAAGGATCAAACAGGCTATGAAAATGATGGTTGCTGCTATGAAAATCTTCATTATTGTGTAAATTGATAATAAATATATTATTTTGATATTGTCCTTCCATTTGATGTGATAATTAAGAATATATGTGTAATAATAAACAACAACAATTATTTTAATATAAATGATTAAGAGATTCAAGAAACTATTTCAGGGTCAGAGTGAGTTCCAATCATTTCTAACTAAATCTAGTCTGACAAAAGATAACTTTGTATACAAACAAGAAGATGTGGAAATATTGGTACCATTCTTAACTGATGACCAAAATATAATTGAATTTTTTTAGGTGTATCAGGAAGATAACTGTCAACCTTATACGATAAAAATGAAAATGCTCATAACAATTCATCAGGTACTCAATATCAGTGACGAATTCGCGTAATAATTCATTAAAATAAATTTTGCATATTTTAATAAGTATCAATGATTGTATATTAGCAGACCTTCACAAAAACCAGAAACCTTTGTGTTTAAGCAGGTGACTAATGAAGTCTGGTTGCTGGAAAATCTGTAGATTCCATTCCTCCAGTATTTGTAAAAATTGGCATTGAATGTGTAGGAGATCAAGAGTTATCGAAATCACCACTTTAGAAAACCTATTCATTAATCGAAGTATCTAAATCTAGTCTATTTAAGTCTCGTAGTTGAATGCTTTAAATTAGAAAACCTCGTCAATTAAGGATTATCTCTTGTTCCCTAACTGAAAACGTCCCTCTCCAACTTCCCACACGACTTTCTCTTGAAGAAATTGGCTTGCAATCTTTATAGTGAATTGAGGCAATTTCAAAGACAATTGATTAATTCTCTCTCTGCTCTATTGGACACCAACTCTAGGGCCTCAAATATTGAGATATTTGAGTTCTTCAGAGAAGTAAGATCTCTCTCTCACAATACACATAGGTGCAAATGATAGAGAAGAAGACCATGTCCTATTACATGTTACACAAATTGTTTGATCCTGGAAGAAAATTGATGCCTCCTTTGTAATTGAAAATTGATCTGAAAAGTGCAAAGCATCTCGAATAGTAAGCTTTCAATGAACAATTAAAGATTAATTAGCAAAAGCAAATGAGAAGTCAAAGAAATTCCAGATCAAATAGTTTAGATCAGCAATAACGAGTCTCCTAAGGCTTTATTAGTTAAAGGGAGCGCCGCTTTATGATGTATAGCAGAGCAAAGAAGCAAGATACAATTCAAGAAGACATCGAAATGCCAACAGAGGAGCAACAACCATCAGAGAAGAAAAAGATCCCCCAAGTGGTGGACAATTAAGTCAATGATATTATTTCAAAACAGTTTGATCCTGAAGATAACAACAATGATAGCTAGATTTAAAAAAAAGAAAGTGGTAATGGGAGTGAAATCAATGAGATTAATAGTTAAAAGGAAACCAATGACATTGTTAAAAATCAAGAAAGCACAAGCTAAGCAGATTAGGATGAAAGTTGAGATATTTGATTAATTATAAAGTTGTTTTTTTGTATAATATTTTATGAGTGCAGTCGAAGAAATAGAGAGATGCTTATCTTAAGCAATTCAACTGAGAACTGTTACTGAAATAGTAGCTACAATGGGTACAAAAGTGCTCACTCTACAGAACTTTTAATTATTGATAAAGAAATTCAATAAGAACATAATCAATAAAGAAGTTGAAGAATATTACTACAAAGTCCTCACAGATTTTGATAGTCGGGTTGGGATTACCTAAGAAATATTCGAAAAGTTAGTAGAGAATTTACCGAAACCTAAAAGACGACAAGATGTTGTAATGAGTTTAATTGAGGGGATACAATAGAAGAAAGCATCATTAGAAAGGATTTATAAATTTTTTGATTATGATGGGGATGGAAAAATGCAATTAAACGAAATGAAAGAACTTTTGGAATATTTATACCCAGAAATTACCGAAGAAGATATCAAAATACTAATGAAAAATAATAATGAAGTCTAATTTTCTTTCGAAAATATTAAAACTTTATTATCTTTTGAATAAAATATGAATGCCGAAATTGTTATTGTTAAAGATAAAAATGAACTAAGTGACAGCGAGGAAGATGATGAATATTACGATGAATATGGAATGTTTAAAGGAAATCAAGAAGAATTCTTTGATGAATAGAGTTTCTCACAAGATTCCCCATTTTATGAATCTTTTATTAATTTCAAAAATCTCTACTTCAAATTGAAAGAAAACAAAACAATTTTCGTTGATCCCGACTTCAAGCCTGATGAGACAAGCTTAGGAAATGTGGGGACTAATTTTGAATGGAAAAGACTTACTGAGATCTGGAAGAATGCGTAAATCTTCTAAAAAGACCTATATCATTCCAACAATGAATTAGGAGTTCATACTTTAGTTTCACCAAGAGACATTAAATAAGGATCACTTGGAGATTGCTATTTTTTATCTTCTTTAGGATCAATTGCTAGTAAACAGTAAATATATTATTTAATATATAGTCCTGATAAGATTTTCGATCTATTTTAGACTCCTATTCTAAATCCTTACGGTATTTATGGAGTTTGGCTTTGTATCCAGGGAGTTTGGAAATTGATTACTCTAGATGATTATGTACCTGTCTATGATGATCAACCAGCATTTAGCGGGAGTGACTCTCAAGAAATGTGGGTTATATTATTAGAAAAGGCTTGGGCTAAGTTGTTTGGAAGCTATGCGAATATTGTAAGTGGTGATCCAAGGGAAGTAATAGCAAGCATTACAGGAGGACCTACTTGGTGTATCAGTAGTGATGAAAGCACTTTTATTGAGAGATTGAAACAAATTATGAATTCGTATCAAAATTATATTGTCTGTGCAGGAACATACTCTGATAAGCCAGAATCAGAAATGATGGGCTTAGTTCGTAATCATGCTTATTCGGTGTTGAATTTTCGAACTATTAAATTGCCAAGCAAAGAAGAAGTTTAACTCATATAATTGAAGAATCCATATGGGAATGATTAAGAATGGAATGGAGATTGGAGTGATAAAAGTCCACTTTGGACAGAAGAGCTCAAAGATAATGTCTTACAAAATTAAGAGGCGGATGGCATATTTTTTATGTGCATTGAAGATTTCAGAAAGCATTTTGAAAATGCATATATAGGATTTTGTAATCCTTACTTTGAATTTGGCTAGATTACAATATAATGCCAAAGGAGGAAATCAGCTTATATTTTAGTAAATATTAAAAAAGATGGAGAGTATTATTTTTCTGCCTATTAAAAATCTTAAAGAATGTTTAAATAATAATCAAAAGACTTATAACAATTATATGAATATTCAGAAATGCGTTTGATACTATCTAAAATGAATAAGAATAATTCCATTTAACCTTTAACATATAAGACTGAAACAGATATGAGTTTTAATATATTTGGAAGATTATAGAAAGGTCAATATATTCTTCAGCTTAAAGCTAATTGGGTAATGGAAGGGTGGGATTAGAATGATGTTCCTTTAGCCTCATATGGAGAAGACACAACTGAAATGAAATTTTGTTAGAAAATATCGAATTTCTAATAAGCATCTATCTTATTTGAAGCAAAAGAAAAAAGAACAGAAGCTAAGCCTCTTAATCCTTCTCATCCTGAACTTGTTGTATTGAAGAATAAATCTTTAGCATATGGGTATTATATTAAATAATTAGATATCCTTACCTTTATTATTAAAATTTATCCAAAGAAAAGACATTCAATTTCAATTTAGTATTTGAAGGAGATATAAAACTAAAGAAACCTCACGGTGGTAATTTAGTAGAAATTGAACTTAAGCCAGGATAAGATAAGTTGATTGTATACAAATTCTTGGTGAAAGGAACAAAAATGAAATATCAAGTTCACAAATTTAAATGTGTAACTGTGTAATGAAATATTATATATAATGTTAAATATTTTCATAATATATCAAGCTTATTAGGAAAAGTACTTATTGATTAAGTTTTACAATGTAACAAGTGATATCGGTTTTGGTATGAATTCTTTCATACCACACAGTCGTCCCTATTCAACGTTTTCTTCTCCAGTGTAGGCTGAGTGCATGACTATGACTGATTGGGCATTTACTTTTTTCAAGATTGTCACTATCTATAAATCAATTGAATCTTACTTCAGAGGAGGTTTGGAATCCATTTTTGCCTGGCATTTCTAAATCCATGAAAATTATACGATAAGATTTGCAACATTACGAATTTCTTATTCTTTCACTCACCTTTTCAATTGCCTAGTCTCCATCATACGCACTTTCTGAAGTAACGTTGAAACTATTGAGTATTGCTATTAAGGCTATGTGATTAAATGGTATATCATCAACAATTAATATTTATGGACAGACACATTTCTTTAATGTATTCTTACTGGCTAGTCTTAAGATAGTTTCTTCAGAAATATCTTCGTCAATTTTCATAAATTTATCTTCAACAAAGAAATTAATTGAAGTGTAGCATCCAGATTAACTTTTGATTATTAAATCACCATTAGTGCTTAGATATTTGACTATGCCTCTACTCACTTTCAAGCCAATTCCTAATTTGTTTGAATAAAATTGATTATCATTAACTTTGGTGCTCAAGATCATATTTTGCTATTATTCAAATATATTCGACATTGTCTAATTAGATATTCCTTTTCCATTGTCCCACACTGTAAATTAATACAAGTTATCTCTTTTTTTAACATTGACAACAATCCTTCCACCTTAAGGAGTAAATTTAATTGAATTGCTTATTAAATTAATTAAAACTTAAGTTATTCTTTCTTTATCATTTCTGATTACAATTAGACAGTCAATTTCAATTATCATTTGAATTTTCTTTTGTGCACATTCTTGTATAAAGAAATCTTTTAAGGTTTGGAATACGTCACCAACAGTAAATTCACAGATGTTAAGTTTAAAATCTTGACATTCAATTTAGGCATAATCTAAAATGTCATTGATCTAATATAATAGACGATGACTAGTAACCATAGCTGGATTTAGATAATCATTATTGATTTCATCATTCTTCAATTTGCTTTTTAGTGCCTATAATAAAGATAGAGTGCAATTAAGAGGAGTTCTTAATTCATGACTGAATGAATTCAATAATTATTATTGGAAAATAAATCTATTGGTTAATTGTTTCAATTGTTCTTTATTAGTGATGTTCTCCACAATAAATAAGAAGAGGGTTGATTTTAAATTGGATGGCATTTTAATTTCATAAATTTTGATTGAGATATATTTGTATTTGATAGAGGATTCTTGGTTAATCTGATATTTAACTATGCAACAAGATTCAGAATTGATGGTTATGTTATCATTCGTATTCCTCACTTTAAACTCATTGATTATAGCTTACAAAGAGGGATACATCATAGAGTCTCCCTTCTAGAAGCTGTAATTTAATTATTATCTATCTGATGTCCAGAATTACTTTTTCAAAGAAGAAGCTAATGAACCTGAGTAGCTGAAGTGCATTTCACTATTTTATTTCATGGATTTCAAATGCAAGGGTCTCTTCCTGTCCTTATCTTTCATTGGGACTTTGTTTTTTTGTGCTCTTAATTAGAATAATAACATTACATTTTGAGTAAACTATCCAGCGATTATGGAATTGTTGAGGGTTCCTTAATTTGCAAATATTGCAGAATCTTGGAGTTATGTTTGATTATATTGAAGTATTCATCAAGTATTACTAATCCTTCAGGAATATAATCAAAAAAGTCCTCGGTCATATTGGTCTTGGTCACTATTTCATCCACTCCTTGCGTGTGTTGAGCTTGGGGAGAGGAGATGGTCTGAAAGTGAACTTAGGTAGTGATGTCTTCTTTCTTTTGGGGTTTCTTCGATTTATGCAGATATAACAAATAATGGTTGAGCGGTTGCCACAAGAACATGAGAAGTATTTCTGAAATCAATAAGTTTGTGAATTCCCTAATGAGAAATCTGAGAATAGCGTAGATTAGTGCACAATGGCTTAAGTAGTCAAAGAGTCCATTGTGTCTTTGTAGATAGAGTTGAATTTGCATCATGTAAATTATTGCACTTTAGGCTGAAATAGTACTCCTTTCGTAAAATGCAATCTCATAATGTATTACTATAATTGTTTGAATTAGTAGGTGAATAATCAATTTCTACTTCCCAATATGATAAATCATGTAATAGCATACAAGTATTGAGACTGATGCACATGAATTCAATCCTAATGCAACAGCATCCTTTTCATCTTGACTGCCTCTCTCGATAATATTCACAATGTTTTTCAATAATAACTACCCCATCAATAAAATTATGCTGATATTCATTTTTATTTATAATGAAATAATTGTCTCAGACTTCTCAATCATACAAAGCCAAACAAAAAAGTGAACCCTCACTCCTGCCAAACATAGATATTCTTAAAGAGAACGTCAAATCAAGTTTTGCACTTGGACATCTCAGAGGTCTCTTGACTTATAAGCAGGTTCGAGAATTACCTAAAACAGAAATACAAGTGAGAAGAGATCAAACTTTTGGTAAAGCCAACAAAAAATCAAAAAATAAAAGACTTACCTTTTTAAAATTTGGATTTAGAACTCATGAAAAGAAGAATAATTACTATCTTTAACCTTTGATTCAAAAAGTAAAGGATGCTTTTGGTGAAGTTGCCAATGATGGTTCAATGGGAGTTGTAGATCTATGGAGTGATCGAAATGTGAATAGGTTGATGGATGCAATCTAGATGACAAGGGATAATTTAATTGTAAGGAAATTGGGTAAAGAACTGAATGAGGAAGAACATTTTTTACTGACACGAATGGAAGAAAAAAAAATGAGAGACAGGATTTTTATGGAATCCTTGAAACTGCAATTTTAGGAGACTGACACATTCTCACTCAAGTTTTAGTTATCTGACAAAGACAAGAGAATTGTGTAAAGAGTTGCTTAACCTACAATTTCAAGCAATCTTAGATACAACAATCCCAATGAAAACATTTAAACCATTGTGGAAAGCATCGATCAATTACATCAGGAGAATCTGGAAATCTACACAGATCTGTATAAATAGATTAAATCCATTCAGAAACATATTAAGTGAGTTGTTCTATGACCATTGCTAATGGTATGATTAATTAATCTGTCTGTTTTGTGTTATTATATTTAATTAGTAAGAAGAAATTTGTTGATATTTTTATAATCTAGGATTACTTAACAATTACATCATATGTATATATATTAATCAAAATACGTATACAAATGAGACTACATGAAATTCACGAAGAGAGTAGTCGATTCATATAGTTGTTTTCGTTTTTATAGATTCTATCATGTTCTCGTTTTATTTAGTATAATTGTTACTTCAGATCACTTTTGCAATTGTCAATCTTTTTAGCATTCTCTTCACAAAACCATTTAGCATCTTGAAGCCTAATTTGAAATTGCTCCTTCAAATCTTCCTCTGGTTCTGTCTTGAACACTCGTTTCTCGAATTATAAAATAGCTTCATTCTAAGATTTCAATTACTTAAAGGCTGCATCCCTATATTTCTACTCATGCAGATGTCGTTTAAATGTTTTCTCTGCCTTCTTCATCTTATCTTGCATCGATGGTTACTTCTTCTCCAACATATGTTCTCGAATAACAACCCAATCGTCACTACTTTGATATGGTTACAACTTGGTTTTTAGTTTCCATCCCACTCCATTGGGTTCCAATTCCTAATTCTGTTGGATTCTCTGATATTTCTTCAATAACTGTTCCATGTACTTTTTCAATTAATTAGGTGTTAATTTATCTTTCATCTAAAACAGGAGTCTCGTTTCCTTAATCTCCTGATTGGATCTATTCATCCTCTTCATTGAATCTTTACTGTTGATTAAGCAGAATTTGCAATAATCGGGTAATCCTTACTCCTATTGCATTTTTATCAGTTCTTCTTTTATTTCTATATATTTGCTGTCAGTCTGCCATCTGGTGATGTTGAGTTCAGAAGGATTATCTATTTTTTTCAGTAAAGCTTGAATGTCACGATTACGTTATCTATCCTCATTTTTGATTCTCGATATACTCGATACAATATCCTCACAAGTGTGGCTTACTTCATTGATAATGTTCGAAAATTGCGAGTTCACGAAACGAGTACGAAAAGTGTCTGAGTGTTCTTAAAATTTGGTTTCTAGTGATTTATAAGGTTTAAGTTTTTTTTTGACAGTAATCTCTCTACTTCTTCCTTTGACAATATTACATTTATTTTCAATTTGATCTTTGAGCTTTTTAAAGGACCTCAAACGACATTCATCTTTTTTTCTAAAATACTCAGCATCCTAATATTATTATTACATTTTTTATACAATAATATATATAAGTTTCTAATTAAGAATTCTTCAGATAGCAATATTATTTTCCAATATCAATATTTACACTCATAAATTTATTACATCAATCTGATTTCTTAGTATAAATTCGAACCTCGTATTTTTGTTGAATAGAAAGATAAGTATTTGAATTAGAATTGCAGATATTAATTTTATGAAGAATAGTCGTTTTATTTTAAATATTTATATGTTAAATGTGAAGTAGATGCAATGAATATAAAAGAAAACTAGTTGGAGTTAGTTTATAATCTATAATAAATTCAAATTTATAATTGACGCTTGAAACGATCTTTAATGAACTGTGTCTCTTTCTCTAAATTAGCTGCTAGTTTGTTAGATGTTTCAACAATCTATTCGATGTTACAGTTAAAAATTATACTCGATTGTATGTTAAGTCTGTTTCTTCTATCATCTTATTGTAATTAGCCAATTTTGATTCTTTGTCTTTCAAGATAGCAACCCTCAAGTCTAATTCCATTTACATCTTCCTGATTTATGCGTCAAATGCTTGGAAATCAGTTTTCTCTTTTTAATATTCTTGCAAGAGTTCATCTCGTTCTCTCTTCATGCTTTCGATGGCTTGAGTGTTATGAGAAATAGAGTCATACCATTTTGTAGGTTCTAAAAAGCTAATTCATCATCCATAGTAAAACAAAAAATAAAATTAAACAAAAATTAGAGTAAAGTCATTATAATAATTCTTAGTAATTCCTTTCTAATCTAATGGACAAATCACTTTTGTTTTAGAAGGCTTAAGATATTTATTTAGCTTTTAGAATGCCCTTTTATGCCAATTCAGAATTGCATTCCAAGGCTTACATAATACCCCAATTCATGAGCACTTGTGCAGCTTTGAGTGATTCCTGTTTAACACATTGAAAGGCATTATGGAAGTATTTTTGTGCTTGTTTGTAATCGTTTGTGTGTGCATACAAGATACCAAGTAAATTGTAGACAGGAGATAATTGTGTTTTGAATTCTGAATTGACGATATTAGATTCTTTGTTGTTGTTGTTATTGTTATTGTTATTATTATTGTTATTATTATTGTTATTATTATTGTTATTGTTGTTCATTTCATAAATTTGAATACATTGTTCAGCAAATTAAAATGCGGCATCATAATCTTTACGGAGATAGGCTAATTCAGCTAAGATGAAATAAGTATCAGCTATGCGTTCATCCTCTTCTGGGAGATAATCTCTATAGATAGCTAAGCTTTCATAACACAATTTACTGGCTGTATCGGGATTTTCTTAAATTATTGCAGATAATTACTCATCCATCCATTCAATCTTGAAAGCTATGTAAGAACATAGGCAATGTCAAGACGCCAATTAAGTTATTCGTAATGTAATAATGCATCATAAAAGTATTGTTAACATTTCTAAAAGTTTTTTGAAATGAAACACACTTTACCTGCCTCGATTAATAGTTTGCCCTTAAAAGTCGGCTCATTTATATCAAACTTGGTTAAGCAATTTTCATAATATAAAATTGCATGTTAATAATCACCTTGGAGTTTCATGGCATTTCCCAAGATGTATAAAGAACGGAGGGCCAACACAGTGTATTTGTATAGAAATTATTTCTTGTTGACATTCTTAATTAAGAGTAATCGGATTTGCTCAAATAGTGCTTTCAGAGCAATAACGACACTAGAGGAGTTATCGCAATTCAAACCTCGTTCCACGGAGTCGAGATTATTGGTGATGTACTCAATATTCCATGGTTCTTCATCACTGTAGAATGATTGATGAGAGAAATCCGATTCACTTTGAGAGTGTTGATGCTAAGTTAATTGAGCCAGCGTATTAAGGGGACCTTGAATCTTCTTAGAAAAAGATTGATCAAGAAAAGCACCGTTCTCCCGCTCCGAGTATGTGATTAGTCCATCCAACTCAGTTCTACCCAGTAATGGGAACTAATTGTTTTTCGTCTCGAGACATTCTGTCTATCTATTTTGACATTGTGAGGCCTTACTTCACTACTTAGTGTCTTCAGCTCTACGATATGTCCTGATAATACTTTTTCCCTTATCTTGCGTAATACATCTATCAATTATTCATCTCTTAACAAAGTCTCTCTATCCACTCGTTCGAATATACGAGACATTCAATAAATTAAAATTAATATCTATAAATTTGTATTTTCATCACTCCTTCCTTTTCCCCTATCCAAATTTCGTAATCTTGAAAAACCCCCAAACCACGACCATCACAATCTGGGCTACCCATCCAAGATCATTCATTGTTTTCCACACCTTATCCCATTTCAGCAATCCAATGGGAGTGGCAGTTGAATTCACAGCCAATTGACCATAAATGGCACAAATGAATTTCTGAATCGGAATCGGGATACTTCGACATAATTATAAGAATTTACAATTTAAATTTATCCTTTGCTCTATAAACCTACTTGGTGATCTCATTAAAAATTGCCCATTCAATAAAAAATACATAGTAGGCAATAAAGAACCCATGCCTACATACTATAATATAATACCAGTATGCACTCAAAACAAAAGTGAGGAGCAGAGCTGATTTGTGTTACTTGTATCTATCATAAAAACAAGTTTGCAACCATGCTTAAACACTTGAATTCCAATGCTTTGTTCTTTTAATGGGCGAAAACTCAATCTCAAATTTGTAATTGGCCAAACGATAATTAGAAAACTCTATCGTTACTAATTATATTGTACCTTGTCCATCAAATGTAATTCCTCCTGCATCCATTGAAGCCTAAGAGAAGTTAAATGCAAGAAAGTATTTGAATCTCTCACAACATGAAATCAATTGGCAAACCAAATGACGAATCAATAGGGAATGCTCTTCCCATTATTGAGTGCTAAAATAGGCGAAACTGAACTTTGGTCTAATAAGTTGATCAGCTAATCATAGTCAGCTTATTAGGTACCTGCCACAAAGAGAAGAGCCTTAAATAGGGATATGAAAGCCCTTTTAAAACTGTAACCCATGTTGGCATAGACTCCCTTGAGATTGATGAAATCAATGTAGGCTGTGAAGGGAACTGTGCCAACGATGATGTTTGGAAAATAGAACACATAACTGATATAATCGAGAAATGTGAAGGACAATCGATCTTAAGCTGCAACTCCCACGTATACGAATCGACATGTCAACATCATCTGCACTACGTTAAATCCCATCTTCCAAGACGAGTCTGCGTTCTACTGATAGTTTGCCATTAACCATGATGCGGTCGTAATGTAAGTAGCCTAAAACGAGAAAGCTGATAGATGCAATGGGGATAAATGGTCTCCTCAGCAATCTCATAAAATAGATGACAAGTGTCTATGCCATAACCAACTCTATCCATTAAGCTCCCAAGTACAACATAAAGAAGAGTCCCCAAAAAAATGTGTAAGATTTTCGTATGATGGGACTTTTCAAGTATCGTAGTATAATCCCCAATGGAAAAACAAGCAGCTTTAAACATACACTCAAATCATTACAAAATGCACAAGCAACTTAAATTAGTCAGCCTGAACTCCAACTACATTTAGTCGATTTATTTGCATAGCAATCTCGTCAAATAATCCAACTATGGTCATAAATTAATTATTTTATATTCAAATAACTCAGCTATTCATTCTAATCATCCAAATTTCCTCCAACTTTCAACCTAGTCTACATATTTATAAACGTCTTGACTCTCATGATCTGTCCATCAAACATTCAAATCCTGCAGAATGATTACCGTTTTGAGTGATACGAATTATCGATTGATTACTATTAATTAGCATATTAGACTTTGTATTTAATTAATGAAAACATAATTCACTCATGTACCCTTTTTTCTCAAAGACAAGGATATCACTGATAATGATCAAACTCTTATGTTACGCAACAAGAATATCAATACGTGGCCCAACGAAATCCACACTCAATTGCTTATACTTGATTTGAGTGGAAATAGATTTCAGACTATCCCACATCAAGTCAATTTAATTTAGCACCTGCAAAAACTCATATTGCGAGATAATTCGATTGACAACATAGAAACATCTCTGAATCTGCCTTAACTCTTGCATTTGGATCTTAGTTATAATTACATAAGTAATTCTCATTTAACTATTAAGGAAAGGTGCCTTCCAGCCTAATTAGGTTGAATTCCTTGCATCATTTAAACCTCAACTCCAATTTGATTGATGAATTGCCTCGTCAACTCTTTGATTTACAGTTGTTCTTCTTAGGTATTGCCAAAAATGCCTTCACTATGATTCCTTAAGACATTTGCAAGGTCATCAAAAAACTAGAATAATTTGAATTAGATTGGCTAAATTATTGCAATTTCTCCTACTTTATGGATGAATAAACATGTAAGAAATTAATGGTTGTATTTGCACAGGATTGTACTTTTTCGCAATTCTACGAATACTTTATGAACTCCTAATTCTCTTACAATTTGGAAAAGATAATTAACAATCACTCATTGGGAATACTCAAACTATCTTTTGAATTTTAAATTGAAGTTTCAATGAAAAGTTTAATTTTTGTTGTCTCTTAACCCGGAACTAAAGAGAACATTAAATTTATAGATTACTTAATAGATCTCCTAAATTAGAATGATTCCCAGCTATTAAATGTTATATATATATTAAGTGCAAGAACAAATTAAACTTTTATCATCTAAATTCTATCCAAGTACACTATCAATTTACATTATCCCATCAAATTCGATCTGATCTGCAATCACAAGATCTTGATTATCAAAGGTTAAACACCCTATACTACACTCTTGCAGCACAGTCACAATATTGAGGCCATCATGGATTTTCAGGTGCAAAAAGGCTTTAATCCTAAAATTAAGCATTAAGGCGAGAACTGTTTGCATATAGCAGTCAGATTAAACGCATATGAAGGAGTTAAGTGGGCATTGAAAAATTGCAATGTCGATTAAAGTGACAGCATACATAAAAACACTCCTTTGCATATCCTCTTTCAAAGATAACAGTCAGTCGACATCTTTTATTTGTTAGAAAATTACAGGCCTAATCCTTTTATTGTCAATCGCTATAACAAAATTCCCCGTTACTATTAGACTTAAATGATTCAATTAAGATTTGTCAAATTATATTTAAAATACGAGAAATGCTACCTGAGATTTCACTTCCTAACATACAACTCAAATAAATTTCATGGAATGATTACTTTAGGAAGCAGATCAAATGCTAGATAAGAGAGTGAAATCTCAGCAGTAAATACAACTGATACGAGCATTTTAAGTGGAGAATAATTACTTGAGTATCTACTGAGTGAGATTTTAAAAATACTGAGGTCATCAAAATAGATTCCCTTAGTTATTGATAAGATTAATCTATTAATAGACACATCCTAAGATTTACATGCAAAGATGTGCATATAATAAATATTATATCTTTTAAATTGCAAAGCCAAGTATGGTTGGAATTATAAATCTACATTTTTGCCTTAACTCATAACTTAAATTAATTTGTTATTCAAGAATAGATTCTACTTAGAAAAACGATTTTTTTTTTCCCATGATCTCAAGTAAATGATATCGGAAAACAAAAAACAAATAATAAACCAGAATAACATTGCTTAGAATAAGATCGAATAAGAACACATAGTTAACTTATCTTAAAAGCTTAAATTCAACATCTCTAATATACTTGACAATCAAACTAATACAAGATTTCATGAGTAATATGTGATCAATTACATGAACATTGCTTATCTATGCAAAAATAGGAAGATGTTAAGAAAGGATAATATTAACATCTTAAATCAGTTTGAAGAATTGTAGATCAGAAAGGATATTTCTGCTGAGGAATTGATAGACCTCCCTGAAAGTCCACGTAACACTCTTCTTGAGAAAATGAAACACGCTCCTGTAGTGAAGGCCAAATTCAAAGATTTTCCAAATATTAGATCAAAGTCATAGATAGATATGTGAATAATTAACTAATAATTAATAACTAATATCATTCTTAAAAAAATAGCAATACTTCTGACTTTGTAGTTCTGTGTTATAGTTTATAGTTGAATTAAAACTATTGATTTTGCTTTCTCTCCAACATGGGATAGTTGACCAAAGACTTATCCTTCTTGCTTTGCTCCAAAATTAAGTTATCCAACTCATCAAATTCGAATTGATGTAAACTATTAATTTTTGGGCTTTATAACGGACTGGGTATTATTTATAACTGCTTGGTATTTGGGGAGGAGAGTTGTGAGCCTGTGCTTACTAAAGTGTTACTCACTCCACTTCTTTGAAATCTTCCATAATCTGAATTGAAAATCTTATGATTAAGAGCCTGTGCTGCAGTAAATCTATGGAAAGGATTTCTAGAAAGCAAACTTTATAGGAAGTCCAAGCCATCCCCACTGACATTGACAATACTCCAATCGATCAATCCTTGTTTATTTAGTTTGACTCTTTTGTTGTAATCATCTGAATCAAACGGGTTTTGTCCAGTCAACATTTGAAATAGCACAATACCAGCACTATACACATCGACTTTGAAGTCATATAGTTTGTTCTACAGCAATTCTGGTGCACAATAGCCAGGCGTTCCACAATTTGTAAATAGGTATTGGCCATCCTTCCTATAATGATCTGCCAAACCAAAATCGGTTAATACCAGTTCTTCTGAATTCCTAAACATGATGTTCTCTGGTTTAATATCTCGATGTAGAACACCAAGATTATGCATATGATCCAAAGCAACGAGTAATTGGCGAATATTGCTAAAAGCTCTTTTTTCACTAAGTCTCTATTTTTTGATTTCTTATCGCAGATTGCCTCCCAATAACAATTCAAAAACTACAAATATAAATTGTTCGGATTCAAAGGATTCATAATATTACATTAAATTTGGATGTTCAAAGAGACGAGCTATTTCTAGTTCTTTGGCTAAAGCAATTTTATCACTTGGTAGTATCAACAAGGATTTTTCAAAAGTCTTAACAGCAAACTCCTTTTAGTTACTCTTATTCTTGACTCTATAAACCTAAGTTCTAAAAGGAATACATACCTTTCCATAAGTACCTTATCCCATTAATTTGAGAATGGAGTACTTTTGAGTGAAATTTGATTGAATGCACTACTTTTTGAGTTTATCCAACAATTCTTCTATCTTACCGTATATTTCAATATGATATTATCCAAATCCTAGTTTACATCCCTCTCCAAATACATTATGCTTTACCATTTCCAATTGAGAATTTCCAATGTCACAAACTTTCCACTTCTATCATAATCTATATGGATAGTCTTACATGATTCCTGCACTTATAGAGGTTTTAACCTTGCAAGAACAGACTAGTTTCCCTAAAGACTCCCAATTTGTAGGAAACATGGAAACAGCCACTTATACTTGAGTCTACTGGTTTGCTACTTGGAGACCAGAGTGAAGTTCTGTTGGATTGAAGCAAAAAGTTACAAATCTTTACAGTGTTACTATTATCGATCATTTATAATAATATAGTAATTTTCAATTACAATCTAACCCAATAAATGTAATAATTAATTAATGAAATTTTTCATTATTTCTACGTTTGCATTATGTTTATACATACTACTTGATATCCTATTAAACAATCAAATGTGGGAGGCTAACACTGTCCTTACAGTTTATTTATAGGACCACTAATTTCCAGGAGAAAAAGAAATATTTCTGTTTTTTTCATATTCTCTGTTTGCAATGCCAGCAATAGCATTAATAGCATTTTTGTTTTTCGACAATAAATTGGGTGCCTTGCTTTATGCTTGTTTGATTTAAGCCATCTTTGCAGAGAATTCAGTTCTCAAAAACATATACCATCAAGCCAGACCATATTTTATCGAAGATGAAATTCAACCCTATGAGTGTAATAAAGAATTCGGGAAGCCTTCCGGTCATGCAATGTCATCATCAGCTATGTGTTTTCTAGTCCCCTGTATAATATTTCCTGTCATTTTGAAGGATCAATCAAAGTAATTCAAATTTATGAAATTATGAAATAGTTACAAATACCCATATTATTTTAGAGTAATTATAATGTTTATAGTCACTGCTTGGACATTTATGACTGGACTCTCAAGAGTCTTCATGGGCGTCCATTCCTTCGGATAAATCCTACTCGGTTGGGTCTATACAGCCTATACCATAATAATATATTTGCGTTATTTTCACACTCCAATTTCTAATTACATCAAGTAATGCTTATAGCCTGGATCATAAGGAGTGTCCAGTAATGTGATAAAAGGGGTGGGATTATTTGCTTTTGGATGGACGTGCTTATCAATTTTACTCTTTGAATTCAACAATAAAGTTTTCCTAGACGAAAGTGAAGTGGAGGAATGGTTGGATGCTTTGTATTAGAAGTGTGCAAACTAAACAACTCATTATAACATTAACAGCCCATAAGTTTTACATAACATTTGTTTCAGTTTAAGCTTGTATATTTGGTTTCCTTTCAGTTTCCTTTTGGGAATCAAGTTAAGCAAAGGAATTTACAATGAAAATCAGTTCAGTATCAATTACAAGATGCTCAATTTCTGGTAGAAGCTTAGCAGAGTATTGATCTTCCTGTTATTGCTTTCAACTTTGGTTCCTATAATTTTAATCTAATATTAAAATACTTACGCAGAAGCATTCGGAAAGGTATTCAATATTTTGATTAAAAAGATCCTTCCAACTTCCATTTTAAGTGGATTGATAATCACTTACATCTACTCATAGATTTTAAATTACTTCAAACTTGCGATCGAGGGAGATTTTATTTAAATATCGCCCTAGTTAGTTTCAACACCAGAAGGATACAAGGCCAGCGAATTAGGATAGTTAAACTTTTGAAGAATTCTGGAATGTAATTTGAAAATTAAAGGTTCTCAAAATATATATTATTAAGAATTCAATATTATTATTAAATTATGCAAAATCTTTATAATTAAATACCTTTATTCATAACTAGTAACGATTTTATTAATCTAGAGTGATCAAGGGATTGGATATCTTTGGATAGTCTATTACATTAAATATTAACAGATAGAAAACATATACAACCATTTTTGGAGGATTTTCATCTATTCTTATTATAGCCATTCTTATTGCATTCTTTTAATCCAATATTATATCATTTTTCAAAAAAACAGGTGTCATTTTTTCTACTTAAACCTCATTCAATCCAAACCCTGATAAGATTGTCATGAACAGATAAAATTATATGGCTGCATTTTCCATAGAATAACTCAATTTTGTAGATAAACCCATGTTCAATATTTCAATTGAACAAAGGTAATTGCCCATATATATTAATTTAGATCATACTAAAGAGATACTCAAGGCAATTTCATAAAATAAATTAATTATTTATAATTGGAACCATGCACATTAGATCATTTTTAATTAGTCTTAAATTAACCTGATTACGATTTCGAATAAGAATATTAGAAGCTTTAATTAAATAAATGGCTTTGTCCACAGTAATAAAATGATTATTCTACATTTTAGAAAGGATTTTTAATTTACTATATAAGGAACATTCACTAGCAATTACTTTGATTTTATAAGAGTTATTGTAAGTGATTGTGACGATTCCTAAAGTGGATACTAGAATTGGAATCCTACTTGCGCTACCTAATCTTCGTAAGTTGAATATTTAAATACACATGAATCATTTAAGTTGTAAATCTATCAAGTCAATAATGTTGTTAATCCTAATTCTCCACAACAATATTATTAGTCATATCTTGATGGAGAAATGTACTTTACTTTTACCCCTTAAAAATTGTCAAGATAAGCTAATTTATTTTTTAGAAAATACTAATTCTAAAATGATGATTCCTTATTGCCATTTCAGTAAGATTTATCAATATTATTTAGATCGATTAATGAAAAAGAATTAATTGTGAGATAAAGTGTAGATTACAGAGAAATAACAGAAATAGGACGATAGGGTGATAAAAATTATGGCATTGTTTATTTAAGAAGAAGTCAATTCTCAGAATATATAGATAGGAGATTCACTAAAATCGATGAATTATTATCCTTTCTTGGGGGATTCTTATAAATCATGATTACAGGTTTCGGAATATTTATAATGTATTATAATAAATTATAATGTAACTTTATTAATCATATACTAGTATAAATCGAATTATCAAATAAATTGTTTAACTTTCCAGAAAAATTTGGAAAAGCAAAAGTCAAGAATAATCAAGTTTAACAAACTTTAGACAGTTCAATGTATAATGATTCTAAATTTATTGTAAATTCTGAGCAAGGAGCATCTAAAGCCACTCTAGTAATTGATAAAGAAAAAAGCACACTTACAAAATCCATTTTAAAATTATTTGAACAATCTTAAAGATTAAAATTATCTCTGAAATCATTAATAAATCATTTATCATTTAAATTGATTTTTAATAATGATGAAACTAAACTGTTTTAGAAAGCCATGTATTAGATTGATCTAATATCATAGGGATACTGTCGATTAGCATTTGGACATTTAAGAAATCCTCTATTAATTGTAGGAATTATTCAAATTGAAGACATTGATATTGAAAAAGCAGTAAATAACGTTATTCAATTTTACTCCAAAACCAAATTTGACATTAAAGGATGAGGAGCAAGTTCCAAATAGATTGATGTTTGAATAAGCTCTTTCTGAGAATGAGAAACAGGGATATTAGAAAGATGAGTTAATAAGTGAACTTTACAATGTAAATCATACAAATAATTATACAAGGCATGGATCGAAATTAAATCAGATAAAACGTAGAATGAATGCCAATACGAATTAAATCAGAGACTTAATCAAGAATTAGGGAATGAGATTTAATAATATTTTTAAGATTATTTGGAAACTGAGAATAATCTAAAGAAATAAAAGGAGAATTCTTAATAGAAGAGGCTAACAGAACTTTAGAATTTATGAGACAATTATTATTTTATGTTAGAGATGTTTTTGAATGTATGAAATACAAATCATGCTTCAGAATCAGGATTTACTTAACTAATCTTAATACTTCTGCGAGGAGTAAAACGTTTTCTTTGAAATACATTTTTAAGTTCAACAATTTTTGATATTGACAGTCCAGGTTTGCGACCAAGGTTTCTACTTGTTTTAAGTGAACGTTCTCTCTATTGGATTTTTAAAAACTTCATAACGTACTCAAATGGAAAGTACATATAATAGATCAGCTTATTCATGTAATTGAAATGATGAATGGGTCTGTTTCGTAGTTCCTACAAAACCTTATTGATATTGTGACTAACCATATAGAGATCGTAATTTTTAACGATTTCAAATTAATCTAACCCCTACTCTGATTTAAATTTGAGGTAGAGCATTTCTATATCTAAAATGGAGTTGAAATTCTCTAGCTACTCATTAATAGCAGATTTCCTCATTTTTAGATAGAGTTGCTCAATTTACAATTGCATCATCTCATTAAAATCTGTTAATTAGTTTAGTTCAATGTCCAGCTAAGATTATTAGGGCTACTGTTATTGGTATTTGCTCAAGTAGTTCTTCTTATACATAGATAATTTAGCAGTAGTATATTTATTAAAAGGAGGAGGTTTAAGATCGAAGTCATAATGATTTTGTCCTCTCTTGACTGAATGATTATTATCGTAGGAGCTTTAAGAATCCATGATGCCTTATTTTCGCCGATGATTTTGGGAATGTATCATACTGTGTATTGGACTGATAGGTTGGGGTGGAAAGTTGTTGGAGGATGAAAAGTTTTGGGATAATAGGATGGAGTCTTGTTTTCTCATAAGAATCTATTGATTAGGGTCATGAGTTGGAGGAGCAGAGATATTTTCATCTGATTTCATAGGATTTTCATCAGATTCCTATTCAAACACTAATTATTATTGCAGTTGCGATTTGATTAATTTTTGTTTTTCATTTTGGAAGTAGAGTGTAAATTATTCGATAATATCCAAATCAGTTAGGGTCTAGAATAAATCCTTGGTTCTTTTTTGAGATCTTTTCCATTCATTTCTTTCTTATGGTTTAGAGTATAGGTGTCTTTTGACGACAACTTCTCGATCAATGGTAATTTTGAGTTATGGACATCCAATGAGATCATGGTCATGTTGTTTACAGGCTGCACAATAGACACCATAAGGTAGCTATTTTTTTAGGATACTCAATTTGATACTGTCCTTGAGTTGACAATAATGTTGATAGTCTTTGGGGAAATTGTTCAGAACTGCAAGAAAATCAATCTAATAATAATTGAAAAAGGGTATACTTTACTAAGAGTCAGCAGACTAACGTAACCAATGGCTTAGTAGCTTTGAGTGTTCTCATTTTCAGTGACGAAATCCTAAACTTAAAGGAATTATCCCTAACATTAGATTCCTTTGAGTGAATGACGATGTCGATTGAGGTATTGTAATTGACCTTACTCGACAAAGCAGAGATGTGGCTGCTTGTAATTGCCTAGTGTAAAGATGGAGAATGTGTTTTAAGGTTGTATGATAGTTCGAGCAATGTGACAAGATAGAGCATTCTAAAATTCTAGGCTAAAATTACTGGATAAAAAGGAGCAATGACTAAAAAATACACTATTTGATTATTGCCTTAACTCCTACTTCAATTCTTCTGATAATTCGCCTAATAATTATTCCTCCTATTGTAGATCTATTTCTGCCTCTTCTTTCCACCTGAAATTAAGATACTCTCGAATTCTACAATCTATGGATTATGATTACCTGTACTAGAGTCCATAGGGAATGTTTCGTTTATGCATGTATCGATTGATGACTCTTATTTTCTTAATCCTCTCAACCATGTTTTGATTGATTTCTTTGATTATTATGCCAATCGTATTGACACTATAACTAAACCATAAGCAAGCCCCCATAATGAAAAAGATTGCTACTATCTTCTCATTCGAACTCTTAGGCACATTGTCTCCATACCCAATGGTCAACATAGTGACAATAGCAAAATAGAATGCTTCTAAGTATTGTGCTTACCATGGTTACTGATCCAAAAACTTATATTAAATCCAGGAATCCTCAATGCTCAAATTGGAGTTAAAGTACCAGATGCATGAAAACATATGTAAAATGTACATGAGGGTTAAAATCAATTTCAATAGACTGATGATTCCTTTTTGGGATTTACTGAAGTATTGTGATTCTTCGCTCTTTTGTATGACTTCACTGATATATTTGAATTGCATCAAAGATGTAAGCAAAATAATTAGATAATATTTTGAGATCTCTTCTCCATTTTTTATGCAATAATAAAATAATGGTGTCAGAGTTAACACATCTATAAATAACACGCTGAATATCTATTGCCGAACGATTTCAAAGCGATCCAAAACAGCATGCCCTTTTACATAGCAGATAGTATTTAATCTTATCAACACGTCAAAAAGTAATAAAGAGGCGAGTAAAGTAGTGAGTGGCAAAATCTAATGAAATAAAATGCCAGGATTATAAGTAATCTCAAGTGGTATTAACACCAATAGGATCAATCTAATTAGTGTTATGAAGTAGTCCCACATCAATTTTTTGGGACTCTCAGGATGGAACTGAGGAATCTTTGAAAATCTCTCGTATGCGTATTTCCTCATCATTTGGTATTTCTCTTTTATAGATACATATACGGGATTCTCAGGTTTCACCAATGTGTGTTACCGAAAAAGTCGGGAGACATTACGAATTTAAAAAACAGGACTAGCAAACTTCATTTAAGTGAGCATAACCTAACTAATGTTGAGCGCTTAATTTACTTATCAGATCCCTGATCATCAATCAGCTAAAGATGGCTCTCGTTTATATTTTGCAATTTTTATCGATGACTTCGGATTTTCTACACAAACCGTTTCACGAAGAAGAATGCCATCAAACTAACACCAGTACGCTATGCTCTTTTTGTCCATTCTGGGAGTAAGGCCTATTTAGGAGTCTAATCAACCTCATTCGTCCTTCTAGTGTCTAGTTGCGACTTGATCACAAAGTTAGGACTATTAAATGTTCCTTTTAAACCAGTATTCAAGTACTCTTGTTCATATTCCAATTCATTGATGGCTTACAATTCCTGTATTGGAGAAAAATTGTGTTGTTGGTACAAGAGATTTGATTAATTCATAATTGTATTAATAATTGCATTACATTAACTCTATTGATTGTAAATTGATTTAGAATTTTAATAAATATAATTAGGCTATATTGACAATTTATTTTAATGATGGAATTCAATCTGCGGTTTCATTTTTAGATCCAATTCTATTGATTAAGTTCTGGAAAGTAATATTCATAGAATTGTCTAATTTAATATCATCCAAGTCAATATGCTTTAATGAAATTAAGATTCCATTTTTCCAATAAATTATTTTATTGAGTTTTCCCCATTCGAATAAATATTATTTAATAAATGTAACAAGACCATTAATATGAAAATACATACTACTAACCAAAAGCACTCAATATGCATCTCAGATTAACTAGTAAACCCTTTCTCTTACCCCAAACAGAAGCCAGCACTCACCGCTTTTCCTAAATAGACTACATTACAGAACCCACTTCGAGCATGGTAGATCCTCAAGGACCTTAAACTGATAGAACGCAGATCAGGAACAATAGATAGATTGTTAAACAAATCAAACCTGCTAGAATCGAACCTGAATCCAATATTCTAAATGAAGAGAAGAACAAACTATAAACTAAGTTCAATTTACTAGACTCCTTCACCATTAGGCATTCCTAACACCAATTACAAATTAAAAATGAAATCAAACAAGATGTTTTATAGAGGAAGTTTAGTGAGCAAAAAATAGGATTTAAAGTTTAGTAATTGGATGAAGAACAAGAGTCCCATTTAATCCTTAGAAGAAATCAGTTCTTTTACACCTCTTTAAGAATAAAAGATCGCTATTCCCCATTGACTCTTCAAATAAGAATTAAACAGGGTGATCAAAATACAAGATTGAGAATATTTGCATCACCCAAATTCATCTAGCCAAATCGCTTTAATGCTTCGGTTGAAGTTAGCGGAAGGTAATTAAAATATACCTCCAACTCTGAACTCTTTTAGGAAGAAACTCTATATGTGGCAATCTTGGCACTAAACGAACTATCTATTGGTATTAACATTGAATTTGGAAGACCAACTACTAAAAGAGTTGTGTAGAGAGAAAGAAAAGAGAAATCTGTTCATGAATTTCCTCCTGATTTAGAACTTCAAATAGAAGAAATTATGATGAGGAGAAGACTTCGTTATGCGAATTAATAGAATTATGTAGAGCTGAATAAATGTTCCTAAATGTCTCGTAGAACTCTAGAAAAACCTTAAACTCCCAAACATTTGGAAATCAAGCAAAAAATTAGAACACTTAAAGTTGAGCAAAACTTAAAAAGAATGGCTTAATTGTAAGTTCATGACATAGCCTAATAAATCCATAGAAAATAACTAGAACTGTAAAGAGAAATAAAACATAGAGAATATGTCTAAAAGTCTTGGTTTAAGATTGTTTGTTTAATCAATATTTTAGCTCCTGGCATAAATGAATTTATAGAACATCAAAGATAATTGGTGGCTAAAAACATGAAAAAATAGATCTCTTTAATCTAATTATTAAATAAAATTAAAAAAAAAGTAGAAAAATTCGGGCCAAATTGCAAATTAAGGACAATTTTGCAAGGAAAATAGTAATATATTTTAACATTTGCATAGTTGTTTACAATTGGTTGCGAATAATTCAAGGATGAAGGCTAAGAAAAGAGCTCAAACGATAATTACACAAATGTTGTAAAACAACATTACTTGCTTTATTACTGAGAGCAAAGGCACTCATGTTGTCAATTTAAGTAATGCGAAAAACCATATGAAGTAAAGAAATGCGTGAATCGATTAGTGAAGCACAAAATCAGTAGAATTGAGTTTATGAGCAATCTCAAATTATACCTGAGTGTCTAGTATAAGCAGTTGTATCAAATAGCCCTTAGGTACAGTAAATAAAGTGATTCAGCTAAGAATAAAAGAGATCCTATACATTTTCTCTTATATGATGCGTAAATAAAATATTTTTATTAGTTCCTTTCTGCATTAAATGACTAAGAAATTGTTAAGTCATGTGTTTGAAAAGTGGAATAAGAACTTCATTACTTTTAGAAATGCTACAAAAGAAGAAAGAGAAAAATAAGGCAAAAAAGGAATAGCCCTATTTTGGCAGCCTCCAAAACTTTTCGAATTACCTCAGGATATAGTAGTTAGACTTTTCTTGTTTGAAGAGCTTGAAAAGAGAGGACTAATAACTGGAGAATATAAAGAATGAAAATTAATGACACTAATCATATTGAAATCCAGCATTATATAAAAATAATTTTAGGAATATTTTCTGGTTACTTTCACCCTAACAATATATATATATATAATTTTTTAAATATTAAGAAATTTTGGGTATTTTAAATATTTGATAAAATTATGAATTAGATTTTTTCATCTTGTTGTTGTATATGACCTAGATTATTATGTCTAAAATCCTTCTGCTTTAATAGTATATGCAATTAGGTATTCTGCATTGGGTTATAATGTAATTTAATATTGATTTCCCCTTTCTGGCTTTTTTAATTTTAGGCCTACCATTTTTGAAAATGTGCTTTTCACTTAAATTGCATCTTTGCCGTTGTTTTTATAATATTCATAACCAACACTAAAATAAAATAATTCAAATACCCATATTATAGAGGAAGATCTGAAATTATTTCAAGATTTTGACATCCACTTTATTCTCTCTTTGGGTTTTACATTGCTTTATCCAAGAGAACTTGTTTAATAAATGCTTGATCCTTTTAGATCTACTTTAATTTTATTTCTTTTGGTCCGTAACTGCTAATAACAAATTATTCTTCATCCCAAAATTACCACTTCACTTTCACTTGTAAAACGTATCTACCTTTATCTAATAACTCCCCTACATAAACTTATTGATCCTATTCTTGCTTTGCGTATTCCCAGACATAACCTTACTTAGTCTAAGAAGCAAGTATCATTCTTATAGAAGAATATTCATAATTTTTGTACTTATCTTTAAAATGTCTTGCTGATCGTTATTAAGCAGTAAAATAGTATTAACCTGCCATATCAATGTTGAAAATGAAATAGGTAGATCTATTTGATTTACTCACAATTGTTTAAGAGGTATAAATATAGCTTTTTTAGAAATATCCAACGTAGATAGTTTTAAAATAGCGAATAAAATCTTAATAAGACATATAAAAGATTCCATCCTCTGCTTTTTCACTGACTCTTAATTGTTATTTTATTTCCTTGGTCCATGATGTACTATCATCACTCCATTCTCCTGTCCATTCCTTTTTACCCCAAGGATTTCTCAGTTTAATCAAAGTAACCTCTCCTTTGGATGGATGCTGAATAGTTCTAATTTTTAAAATAGAATATGCATGATCAGCAATTAAACCCATAATTTCTGAATTATTAGTTTTAGAAAATGATCCTGTTGTCATTAAACATTTTCTTTACACATTACCAATAAATTATTCTTTAAAGTCAGGTTGATCTGTTTTCAAGCTCCAAGTTGGTCCACCAGTTAGACTTCGGATGACTTCTTTAGAATCTCCAGATATGATATTTGAATAAGATCCAAAAGATTTGGCCCAAGCTTTCTCCATTAATAAAACCCAGATTTCTTTTGATGGGCTTTGTGAAAATGCAGGCTGATTCCCTTGGGTAGGAATGAAATCATCAAGAATAATAGCTTTCCAAATACCATCAATGCAAAGTCTAATTGCGTAAATGCCACATGGATTCTTCGTCTAAGTTAAGAATAGATCCAATAAAAAGTCAGGCCTATTGTATTTGTAAAATTATATTACCATCTACATGCCATTGAACTCAAAACTGATAGAAAATAGCAATCTCCTAATTACCCTTGGCAAATGTCTTTTGGACTAATCCATTTTCCTAAACCGAATCTTGATTGGGTCATATCTTTAACAAAAACCTCATATGTTGGCCAAATATCTTTTAATCGCTTCCATTAATATTGTGTTAATTTTGAACCTAAACTATATGCATTTGCTGGAAATTCAATATCTGTAAATGTTTATTTCTATTTATATAAGTCGTTAAATTTCTTGAGGAAATCTTAAACTCCTGGTATATTATAGTCTAAAATTACGTATTTCTAGAATTGTATATCAGATTTTAAAATATTGGCTTACTATGGATCTTCATATAAAATAGATTCTAAAATAGGATTAATTTTTCTTTAAGGAGAATCTTTCAGAGGTGGTTTTATTAATTATTATTATTATTATTATTATTGTTATTATTATTATTATTATTGTTATTATTATTATTATTATTGCTATTATTGTTATTACTATTTTTATTGTTATTATTGTTGTTATTGTTATTATTATTGTTGTTATTTTACTTACTAATTTTATTGTTATTATTATTACTATTGCATTTATAACTTCAACTATTCTTACAAATCTTTCTTTGGTGTTTCCACTCTAGGTGATTAATAGTTATTTTATTAGTATTAAGGTTTTTATGGCACTTAAGGTTTCTAAATTGGCGTTATTTCTTTCTGCCTTTCTTAAGTGTTTGGAGTAATAGCCCTTTTTTTGTCTGCTGAAGGATCTTGTTTTGGTTTTTAAAATGCTTTAATGCTGTTTTTCATTGAGTTGCTTTCTTACATCCAGCTCATTAGATTGTAAAGAGTAACTTTTTAAGTAGGAAATGTTGTTTTCAATTTGTTATATTCATCAGGAGACAGAGTTGGGACATAGTATTCCAAAAAGTTCTTAAACTCTTTCTCATTTAGTAAATTATCCTAATCAAAATCAAAAATTCTAAAAACTCTCTCAATATCTTAATTCTTAATTTGAAGAGATTTTGAAATTTAATGAAAAATCTCATCTGGACTTCTTATTTTAGCATTCTGTTTTGCCAATAATTAACTGGCTTATCGAAGCAAGGCATTTAAAATATAGGCTGACATCGCTGATGCCTCATATTATAAAAGAGTTTCTAAATAAAAATTTCCTACCTCTTTTTGGGGAATTTGATCATTGAGTACTCTTATCATTAAGACGAAGTGCTATTAATCAATTACTCCACTACCAAAACGTTTAATAATCATAATGGAATCCATTTTATTCCCAAGCTTTAATAGTGATAAGAGTATTTATTCCGAATAATTTGACATTATTTAAATTAATTAAGCCCGATATATATATAAATTATGTGTATATATATAAATAAATAGAATTAGATCATGGTTTATTTTATTCAAAAAAAGTAATTATAATAGTGTTCATTTGATTTTTTATAATTAATGAAGAAATTTTATTCAAGTAAGATCATGTAACATATTAATAAGCAATACAACAATTAGATATTTTTGGTCAAACAATAACGCTAAATATCAACAAAGATTCCTACTACAAAACCTTCTTTGGTGGAATTTCGTCAATAATGATCATTGCGATTCTAATTGCTTTTTTTTTCTCAAACGTTATGGATTTCCTAAATTAAACAGAAATCATATTTTCACTTGAAACGAAGTTCACCATAAATCCAGATGAGATGATTTTGACATCTTAGAATTATATGGCTGCATTTTCCATAGAATAAGTAGGATATGTACTCAACCCATACTTCAACATCTCAATAGAATAAAGGTATTATAATATTGATTCAGACAATACATTCGAGATGAAAACGGGAAGTTAAACAAAAGTGTAACCTACATCCCATTGGAAGCTTGCACATTATAACATTTCGATCTTTTGTTGAACGAATCAAACATAAATTTCGAGGAGCAATACAATTAACTTGATTTCTCAAATTGGTTGTGCCCCAAGTACATTAATTGAATATATTAAGAAAGGATTTTTAATTCAAACTTAGTGGTACATATTCTAGTTAGGAATTTAACTTTATCAAAATCGTTGTAAATGATTGTTAATAGAAAAAGGAGAATGAAACAGGATGGAATCCAGTTTGTGCCTCAGAATAAATTAAACAATAACACCTATAAAAGGAAGGATAATTTAAATTTTAAATTTATTAAGTCAATTCTGTTGTTAATCCAGGTTAACCAAAGACCTATGTGAGCTCATATTTGGATGGAGAAATGTACTTTACATTTGTGCCTAAAAAGATGTCCAGATAAGCCAACCTATTTTACAGAAAATATTAATTCTTGAATGATTTATCACTATTGCCACTGGAGTATTTTAATATATAATGTTATTAAGGAATATCCAAGAAGAGGAAGTTGTTGTTAGAGAGAACTCAGATTATAGAGATTTAACAGAGTTAGGAAGGGATACCGATAGCAATTACGCAGTTATTTATTTGAGGAGAAGTTAATTTACTGAGATTGTGAATAGAAGATATACTTAGATAGGGGAGCTTCTTTCTTATTTAGGAGGCTTTCTATAAATAATGATAACTGGACTAGGGATCTTCATTATGTACTATAATAAGGTTTAAAGTATCAATATATAGTATATTTAGTGCAGATCGAACTATCAAATAAGTTATATAATTTTAAGATAAATTCTGGGAATGAGTAAAATTAGACAAGTATAATAAAACCTAGTTAAATATTGAATGCAAAGGGTCTATCAATATCTGTTGAAGACTCGTAGAATTAGAATTTAAATGAGAGTATGGCTGATGATAAATAAAAGAAGAATTATCTAAAGAAGGCGATTATTAAATAGTTTTAGTAGTTGAATAGGGTTAGTCTATCAATAAAGTTAATCTTAAATTAGTTGACTTTCGGATTATTGTTCAATAATAACGATTCGCAATTTTTGACGAAGGCTATGTAATTATTATTCGTATAGATCATTTTAGTAATAAAGTGAATAATGACCTCAACATCCACGATATCCTTTACAAGGTTTAGGAAGTATAGAAATTGAAGCAAGTATTATTGAGAAGATCTTAAATTATTTTATTTAATTTCACTCCTAAGCCCCTGATTACTCTGGATGATGATTATCATTTGCCGAATCGAATGGATATTGAAGAGAATTTAAGTGATTTGATTAATTCGAATTTCGGAGAAAAGAATGAAAATAACGAAAAGAGCGATAAGAATTTGTTCACTGACTTATACCATGTATAATTGCTTATTAAATGAAGGCTTATTTGGAGATAAAGAAGGAATTGGAAGACGAGTCAATGCCTTTTTGTTAGTTTTCTTTGAATGCGTAATTAGCCTTAGAATTAGGTCCGTAAATGCAGGATATATTCAAGAATTAGGAGTAGATTGAGAATCAGGAAAAGGTGGCATACTCAGTTATATTAAAGTCTGTAAATGAATGAAGTGAGGAAGAGTATTATTATTTGGCAATTAAATATCATTTACTTTATATAAAATATTAAATACAATGGATTCAAAGAATTAATGGAACTAAAAATCATCAGTACAAGAATTTGGAATACAAAAATCAAGTGTGGCTAAGCCAGTGCATCAATAACCAAAGCCAACACAACAGGTGGCTCCTAAGAATGAGCATGATCCGAATCAGCTTGTGCGTAGAGTGACGAAAAGGAATATTGCAATCAAAAAGTCAATAGCCACAAACGAAGGCACTATCTATGAGACATTTGATCCATTAATGAAGCCATAGACTCCATAGGATATTGGATTTATCGTAAAATGCTTTTAATCTCATTTTGTGTTTTCGTCCATGAATGAAACTTAATTGTAAGATTTGATAATTAATTGAAGAGTGCAATTAGCCAAAAGTATGTTCTATTGTAGATTGGTGATTGGATAAACTATAATAAAATAAGGGGATGGTGCTAGTTCATTTTTTGTGTTGGAAAAGGGTAAAATAAATGTGCTGGTTGATGGAATCTCTAGAAAATAATTAACCTAAGGAAATGGGTTTGGTGAATTGGCATTGTTATACAATGCTCCAAGATCAGCAACATGTGTGGCAATGGAAGAGTGCTTTTTATGGGGAATAGACAGACATACTTTTAGAAAAAGTGTGGAAAATGTAATGAGGAGTGAGCAAGAGAAGAATAGATAGCTATTAGAATAAGTTAAGTTTTTCAGTAATCTATTATATTGAATCATTAGATTAATTGACGAAGGATTAAAAAGATGCCATTGCAGGAGTGTTGATTTTGTAAAAGTTTAATCAAAATGAAATTATTGTAAATGAAGGAGATCAAGCTAGCTCATTTTATATCATAGTTGAGGGCAAATGTGGAGTCTTCAATAAGGAAGATGTTTAGATTGCAACTCTGAATCCCAAAGACTCATTTGGTGAATCCGCATTGAAACATGACAATCAGATTAGAATGATGACTATAAAGGCAATAGAAAAGGATACCAAAGTAGTGGCTTTGGGAAAAGATATGATTACATAAATTCTAGGGGATAAAGTGCAATATATAATTTATAAGAATATTTGTAAATGGGCATTGAATAGATCAAAATTATTTGGCAAAATTCCAGCTTCAGTTTAAGACAAATTAATCGAAGGAGTTATTTATAGGAAATTCACTGCAGGATAGAAGGTAATTAATAAAGGGGATAAAGTCGGATATTTATATATAGCTTTGGAAGGCAATGTGTTGGATGATCAGAAGAATGTTATTGCTAATAATATCTTGAATGAAGAATCTCTGTATGACGAAGTTACCAATACTAAGCATTCGCAATCCTATACGATGGAGACTGAAGGACATGTGGCTGTCATCGATTATGATAAATATCGAACTACATATGGAAGCGTTGAAAAACTATAAGAAAAAGACTAAAGCAATCTTCATTCTGAAGAACACTAATAATCCTATGATCTAGTCAAATAGTTTTAATTGAAAGAACTGATTTTCTTAAATAAACTAGGTTCTGGATAGTTTGGATCTGTCTATCTCTGTAGGAATAAAAACTAGGAGACTTTATTTGCACTCAAATACGTCACCAGAGCTCATATTCAATAATACGGAATCCAAAAACATGTCTAATAGGAAAAGTCGGTCTTGGAAATTATGAATCACCAATTCATACTTAAATTTTATCGATCATTTAAAGATGCTGAAAACATATACTTTCTCACTGAGTATATAGCAGGAGAAGAACTATTTGACGCAATTAGAGAAATTGGATTACTGGGCAAATACGACTCTTAATTTTACACTGCTCAAATGATACTACAAATGGAGTATCTACACACTGTCCATCAGATTGTTTATAGAGATATTAAGCCAGAAAATGTTATGGTTGATTAATTTGGTTACCTAAAGTTAATTGATATGGGTACTGCAAAAAGTCTCAAAAATGTTTGTAATTATATCCATTTAAAACATAGCTCCTCCTAAAACATTCACTATTATAGGAACTCCTCATTATATGGCTCCTGAGGTTATCTCTGGTAAGGGTTACGGGTACTTTGCAGATCTGTGGAGTGTTGGATGTTGTCTCTATGAATTTTTATGTGGAGGTCTTCCCTTTGGAGAAGAATAAGAAGATCCATTCGAAATCTATAAAGAAATCGTAAAGAATCCTCTGCATTATCCATCATATATTACTGATAAGACAGCTAAAACTATTATTGAATAGTTGCTGAATAAGATCCCTGAATGCAGGTTGGGAGGATCCTATTCCTCTCTCAAAAACAATTAATGGTTCTCTGATTTTGATTGGGTATTTATGAATGACTAATCTATTCTAGAATAAATTAATGTAGCGTCAACTATAGCCTCCATTAATTCCGAAGAAAGAGAAACTAATGAATGAAACACAAATATAGGAATAATTGAAAAAGAATATTTTGGTTATAGATTAGATCTAAAAGGATACGATGGGTTAGAAAAAGGTGTTTGCTTAACCAAAAGATGCAGAGTGGGATTCGATATTTTGATTTTAGATTCTATATAGTCAACAATTTTAAATATATTAAATTATTGCGCTTTTATCTAGTAAGTTAAAAATGTAATTCACAAGTGAACTCTAAATATATAATTTCAATTTATAAATGATATAAACATAATTCTGTGTAAGCTAAGAAAAAGTAGTAATATTTTTGATATTAATTAAATTAAGGTTTTCTGAGTAATGACATACACAATTTTAAATATCACCATTGAAATTAATAAAGATGGTTGATTATTATGCAATGCTAAAATATTAACATAAATAATTTAGTTATTTATATTTTGATATGAAAAATATGAAATAATAGCCAGAACCAGAGATTCCTACTCTATAATAATAGGATAAATATTTAGAGAGGAAGCGTTAAGGACAGGGGTTGGATGTAAATTTCAAATTGTTTAACGACTTTCTAAAATTAAGAGCTGCTAGCTTCTCAAAAGTTACTATCATGTTGCTCGTTTCGTTTTTTCATTAAGCCTTGAGTTACATTTCTTAGTAAGGCTAATTTTTATATTCTGATATAAGCACCTTGCAGATTTACACTATTCAACTGAGAGCACTTTATTGAATCAAATTCTTAGTGCATGCCAATATGTAGACATCCTAAGTTTATTGCGAATCGACACAAACTTTTCTTATTTCATCCTGACGATAGCACTCATTTTTACAATTGGTCTAACTCTACTCTATGTGATGATTTATATTTTAGGACCTGAATACAAGCCCAGAAAGAAGTTCATAGGGAAAGTATTTAATTTATTGAATATGCAATAGTTATTTGTGTTCCTTTGCGATATTTACATTTGGTTATTGTTCTTTCCATGCATGATTACATGTTTTGAATTTTGCATTTGTAATTAAGAATAGGGATGTACTCTTGATACAGTGAGATTAATCTTAACTTTTTTGGCCATTTTGGGATTGATATGCGGTTTGCTTAATATAGTTGTATTAACTGCTTTGTTTCATAATAATTGGGAAAACAAAAAAGATTGTTTCAATGGAGAAAATGTAATTTATCTAACCAGTTATCAATTCAGTCGTTTTGTGATGGCATTCTTCGTAGTTTTCAGGTATGATTATAGTGTTTATCCCTAAGTACTAAAGTTTACACTTTCTTATGGTTGTTTATGATAGTATCATTTCTGATCTACACATTGTTTTTAGCGAACATCCTAATTGGAAATGGCTTCCTAGCTTTTGGGACTAAATACACTAGGTCATTATTTATCGTGATGTTGATATTTCTGGTTAGCACAACCTTTTCATCAATTGTCGATGAATTGCATCGAAGCTAGAATTCTGATACAACAATTGAAAATTTTAGCGTTTATTTTTCATTCACTTTGATCTTCCTCTTATTGACAGTTGGTTATAACTTGAGACACACTCAGAGTATTACTATTTAATTTGATATCCATCAACTCACTCCTGATGCTCTGTAGAAATAAATATATACAACCCTTGCTTTCCTGGAGGTTTCACTTACTGATATCTCAATTGATACCTATTTCAAAGGGATTCTGTAGAGACATTTGGATTTTGAATGTTAACATCCTGTTATAAAAGGAGAGGGCAGGTGTTTTTGCAAAAAGAAAAGAGTCTATGATTCAAAGAAACGAAAGGAGGTGAGAGTGGAAGAGTGGATTACAACGAAAGCAATAATTATGAAATTTCTGATTAAAAGTTGGATTGAAACCTATCTTGGGGATCGACCTAATGATGTGAGTGTTCAAATACTGTATGCTAGGTAAGAGATGATATTAAATTAGGTTTATGTTCAGTAAATTTCACAATCATCAAATTGCATTGCATATTCTATCAGGTCTGGAGAAGCGATTCACCTTCTTATTGGATAGATACAGATCTTATCAATTGAAATGGAAAATAATAAAATTCATCAGACACAGGAATAGTGATAGTTATAAAGGGAAATTGGAGATTGAGAATGCATTATTTGTTGAAGAACAAATTGATTCAATAAAAAACAACATCACAAACATTCTAAAGTAGAACTGCGTATTTTGGAACAATCTTCAGTAAACAACTATTGATATGAGTGAGATGGACAATCTATTGTAAATGATTTTCAAAAAAATAGAAGCGACTAAACATCTATGGATGACAATTACTAATTATTTGGAGTATAAAAAGAAGTGGAAATTTTATTATGCATGGTTCACTCTCTATATTTTGAATAAGAAAATTAAGAATAGAATTTTAGACAACTTCTAGGGGTTCTAGGTAAATGAGAACGATATCTTCTCAGAAGAACTGCAAGAACACAATGCCGATGAAGATGTCAATAGTGTCAAGTCTGGATACTTAGATAATGAGAAGATAGAGATAAAAAGCAGGAAAATCATATTTGATAAAAAAGCCTGTATTATATAAGCGAGCGATGACATTCAATCCTCAATTCTCAAAGTTAATAAACAATTCACTCGCATTTTCGGTTATTCTAGTGAAGAAGTAGTAAGGATGTAAGTATCATAGTTAATTTAGATTGCCCATAATCAATTTGATGCCTGATGTCTATGGTAAAGTCCATCCTCAGATTCTCAATGATTACAAACAAACAGGTAAGAGCACCTCTCTCTATTCTCAAAGAAAGATTTATTGTCTTCATAAATCCGGTGTTATGTTTACAGCTTGGAAATTCTTAAAATTGTATGTTGATTTGAATGGTCTCTCCTAATTTGTGATTATGATTAGGCCAACTGATTTTGATAACGAAAAGAAGCATGATTACATGATCCTTAATAATGATTGGGAAATTAATGGAATGACGAATAACGTACTTTCAGGACTCAATCTCGATCCTCGACTTTTCAAGAAGACTTCATCTGAATTCATACTCTTTAATATGCTTCTATTTGCACCCAAACTTATTTAATATTCCAGAATAGCTCCCTTGATTAATGAGGAAAAAGATTTACCAGTTTTTGGAATGATGAAGAACCCCAAGAAACCAGTTCAAAAGGTCATTCACCATCAAAATGTCCTTGAAAATCAATTATCTAATTCAAGCAAACCAAAAATTAATGTCAATATGCTTGGCTCAGCCTCACTCAAATAGTCACTTGGCAAACCAATTCAAGGTTTGTATTCTGATCTTGATTTCGGATCCAAAGTGCTATTACCATAACAATCTATCGATTAATAGATACCATAATAATTGGTTATCTAAAATGAGAGAGATAAATGTCTTGTAGCATCAAATGAGTTCTATTAGTGATAAGAATGAATTTGATGATTTCAATAAATAAATAGGTTAATTTGAAAAGATCTAAAATCTTAATTAAGAAATGGAACGAAGAGCTGAAGAGTAGATTAATCAACTCAAAGAAACATAATTTTAAAGTAATTACCAGAAGATTTAAACTATGGGCGTCAAAGAAAAAGATGCTTTCAGTGAGGATAATGCAAGTAGAGATGAAATGATTGAAAAAATCAAAGGAATTAAAATGTTGGAAGGCAAAATCAACAGTGGTGAATAAATTCAATTCAGAATGAAGATACCAGAGAATATGGATAAAATTATTGATTACTATTCCTCTTAAAAATCAAAGATGTACCAATTAAAAAAATAACAAGATGATGTATCCAATTTTATTAATCTTATTTTAGTAAGTTAAATAGGAAGAAGTCATTGATTAAGGAAAGAAAAAAGAAAAAGAAAAATTCTTCACTAAATAGGGAACACAACAAAGAGAATTTAGGAAGAAAGCTAGACTCATGTTTTAAAAAGCAGCAGAAATGAAACGGTGTTAAGATGATGTGTAAATCATTTAATTATATGATATAGAAATTTCTATGAATTATTGCTTGAAATCTACTAGAAACTAATATAAGAATAAAAAACTCGCACATATAAGGTGAATTGCACTATTTAATTCATTAAAATAAAAGACGAAAGAGTAGGTATTATAAAGATAATTTCTATAAATGAAATAATGAAGATTAAACGAGTTACTAGGGAACGAGATGGAAACCGTAAATAATCAGTCTTCTTGAAAAATATTTAACCTTCAAGAGAGTTAGGTGCTAAAGGATCAAAATTGTCAGCCACTAATTTATCGAGCCAATTTGAAAATTCAAAATTTGTGTCTATGGCAAGCGAAAACGAGACTAAATAATAGATTAGCCCTGTAGATCTTAAAGTTAATCCCAAGTTCCCTCTTATGAAGGATAAGTCCTTTAAAGGAAATCTAGGTTATCAGATGAATGCTCCAATTCAAGAAATTGATGACGATAAGGATTTACTGATTGATAGTAAAGCTTTTAATAAGATGATTAACTGGGATACCTTTTAATAACAATTCAAGATGCAACAGGGAGCACTCAACTTTTCACTTAATGCTGGCGATAATATATTCAGGAAGGAAGATAATAACAAGCCTCGTAAATTCTTGATTAAAATCGCTTATTTGACATGGTTTTTGAGAATAATGTTTGTTGCCATCATTACGTTAAATCTGCTGACTTACTTCCTAAAACCCTTTGTAGAATTCAACCCTATGATTTCTCAATCCAACAGAATCTTAGCATTATCTTAAATGTAAACAACCATGATTGAGACTTATGATACTCTCTTGGATCTTTTAATATTCCGAGAAGATTCTGATTTTAATGAAATGGGAATGTCGGACAAATTAACCTATTATAATTATCAACTGTCTTCTATTCAGGAGAGTTATAAGTTTCTTAAACTGCAGATTAAAGATTTAGATTAGCTATAGACTTTTCTTGATGATGGCATTTTCTATTCCAATGCCATTTTAGATGAATCTATACTTGGGTAAGCCAATACCACTCTCACTCTAGATAGTAAAGACTACTTCACCAAGTTCATTATGCTAGAACATGAGATATCCATGATGGATGCTTCAGTATTAGAGGTCATAGGCCCATCAGATCCATTTGTTAAATTTATTAGATACGTCACAATACCATAATTATACAACCAACTAAATAATGCAGTTATGGAGTTGTAGAGTATTGTGTTGGAAAAGTCTGATTCTATTTCTGATTTTGTTGTGGTGATACTGAGCATAGAAGGATCTCTTTTGGCTAGTGGGTTTTTTGGATTATTAGTCATAATCTTCTGGATTAGTCAAACATACAAAGCAGTTTTAAAGATCTTCATACTTATTTAGAAGAATGATTTAAATAAAATAGTCAAATAGCAAAAGTTCATCGAAAATCAATTTAAGTATATCATAACAAAAGACCTAGAAATCAGTGGAGTTTAACCAAAAGGGGTTTATCAAAGATTTAATTCACTTTCCTCTAAACATAATTTTCAAATGCAACAAAACTTCCTCTTAATCAACGAAGAAGAAGAGTAGAATATGAATAAGAAGAGAGAAAAGAATATCATCGATCGATAATTGCTAAAATCGTTGACTCTTAAACTATATGCCACCTATATCATCTTGGTTCTATTATCTGCTGGGGCTTCCTTCGCCTTCTTCTTTACTCTAAAACAAGCCAGTAGCGATATTAGTAATCTTATTTAAATTGGATCTGTTACTATTTCAGACTTTTCAGATAATTAACTATTATTAGTATCTGTTAAGGAGCGATATTATAATGAGGATAATTATCAATCAAATTACCTACCTAAAGTTAAGACTTTGCTAGAGAGTCAAATTGAAAGTGTCAAGCAAACTCCTTAAATTGATGATCCTGGACATGGAAACTACTATGATGGATTTTAAGCAATTTATTTTGATAATCTTTGCTATTATCTATTTAATCAATCCTGTAAATAAATTATATTATCTTAGAACTATCTTCATCTGAATAGACGGATTGTGAGCAGTTAGTGAATGGCAAATTAAAAGACGGAATAGTGGCATTTAATTAGTATTTCCTCTCAAATGTCTAGGATTATGTTCTATTAAATATAGATAGATTTGGGTACATCAATAATAAAATGATTTGGAATCTTAATTCCTGTATTGATTATGTCAAAACAGCTTTCAAAACTTTACTTACAGAGTGGGCTCATGTATAAAATATAACTATTATTTATTAGGATTTAAATGTAATTAATTGATTCTAATATCACATTAGTTTTAGTGTTGCTAATTGTTATGCAATTATTTTAATTATTTGTCTTTCTGGCAATTGCTGAAATGTACTTGGTAAGCCAACTCAATAAGACCTTTTCCTTTTATCGATTAGTTTACAAATCCTATATGCCAAATGATATAATTTAGAAAGAGAAAATCATAAGAGCTCAATTAATACGTTACAATATAATTAAGAAATGACTTTTATTATATATTAATTAGTTTAATCTTAATCTAATATTATTAAAATCAGAAATTATATGATGATCAAAGAATAACTCTAAGGAAATTAAGGTTGGATTGGATTCGATCGATAAAATGTAAATTATTTTTTATTTTTTAGTATGAGAAGGTTTTTTATTATTCTCAAGTTTCATAACTAATTAGGTAGGTTTAATCTATTTCTGAATTTCTTCAGCATTTTTAAATTTTATTGCAAGGACCCGATAATAAAAATGTTAATCGCTATCAGCTAATAATTCATTAATTGATTGATCGAATTATTTTGAATAAAGGTTCTATTATATGATAAAAAAAGATTCATAAATTTAATTGGAATTTATTTATATCTTATTTATTTCATTTTGGAGCTTGTTTAATTAATTCATTTAATGGAATGTTTTTCTTATTAAGTATCATTTATAAGACTCCTTCTTTGTTCCTATTATTGAAGAAGGGTAACTGGAGAGCTTATTCAGCAGTCATTCTAGTTTTAGAACTCTTGTCTAAGACTTTCTCAATGAATTCTTGGAACTGTTTTGAGAATTTATTTGGCAATCGTGGTGCGTCATTTGCAGTAATTGAATACATGGCTTTCAATGGAGGCACTCGTAAATAAGGTGGTTCCCCTTGAGCCAATTCTATTGCAATGATCCCCACACTCCAGATATCTACCTTTTCATCGTAATCCTATTTCAATATCAATTCAGGTGACATCCAAGCAGGTGTACCTACAACAGACTTTCGATGTTGTCTTTCTGCTGTCAATTGAGTTGCGAATCCAAAGTCAGCAATCTTGATTTCCCCCTTCTTATTCATCAGAATGTTGTCACTCTTCAAATCTCTATGGATCTTTTTCTTTTAGTGCATGTAATTGAGACCTGATAGAATCTCCCCGCAAATGTAAGCAATTTCAGGTTCCTTCATGGATTTAAAGTTCTAATATATTATTTCTGTCAAACATCCACCATCCAAATATTCTACAACCATGAATAAACATGATTGATAGATGTAGGAGTCATAATACTTGACAATGTTTTGATTTGCACACATTTTCATCAATGCTATTTCCACCTTGATTCTCTGCATATCATTGCCTATTTTCATCACTCTCACTGCCACTTCGTCATTTGTATTCCTATGTATGGCCTTATAGACTTTACACATCGCTCCCTTCCCCAATTGCTCTGTGAATTTATACAATATAGATGGATCTTGCTCTATGAATTTGATGTCCATCACTTGTTTAATGAATTCATCGTTTGTTGGCAAGGTCAGTTTAGTTTGTCTGTAGACGCCTTCTTCGTAATTTGAAATGATTTGGATCATAACCTAAGGGTTTTGCTCGATATCAGCCTTCTGGAGATCAGCTTTTTGGAGTTTTTCAATCCACTCAGGTGGGAGACCCTTGAGACCTAATTGTGCAGTGGGATCTATTTCAATATGGATTTTGTGTTGCAAATTAAAAGGTGCACTCATTATAGGTTCATTGATCAAATCAAGAATTGCCTCTGGAAGTTCTGATGGTTAGACTGAAGCAGGCAGATTCTTTGTCTCCACAGTCTTGTTTTGATCTGAAATTAATTATGTGCGATTCAACCTATTTCAAGTTTGAGACCGTTCAAATCCGCCCATTCTTTTGGAACCCCCAACAATTTCCCAGTTTTGGGATCTCTTGTGATTTGAATGTGACTTTAGAAATTCGAAATTTGACCATCAGGTGCATTATGATTTTTCTCTTTAGAACTCTTTTATCCCATAATTCTCTGTAAATATGTAAAAATATAATTTTCATGCAATCATAATAATTTTGATAAATAATAAAATTTGATCAACTAAACAAAGTTTCACCAAAATATGCTAAGTAGAAACTATGCCATTTAATTGAATTGCCTTACACTTCGTCAAGTTTATATTAGCCAAGCTTAAACCTCATCTTTTGTATTAGGAAATGCTTATTTGAAATCAGGAAAACATATAAATATATTTGAAACTCTTTATTTATTCGAGTTCTTTTAACTGAAATTCCTCAATTTAGAATTACATTCATAATCCTAGAGTTCGCTTAAAATCCATAATACTTATTCTACAAATTAAGCTCCCATCTATTTTAAGGGCTTGACACAATTATTGTGAGGTTAACCATTAATCATTTAGACTAGTATCTAGATGAATTAATTTCGTTAACCTAATTTTAAATTATCCAAGTAATTAAACTTATTAATAAGAAGCTTTTAAAGTTTTTTATCTGATTGCTTTTCACACAAATTAGATGATGCCTTTTAATAATATTTGATCTTGAATTTTAATCAATAAATAAAGAGAGTTCAATCGCAGTTTTTTTGTGTGTGTGTGTGTGCTAGTTGAAATGTGATTTGAAAGTACAATAATAATTGTTAAAATAGGATCACTAATTTTGGTCATATTGATAAAAAAGGACTTAAATAAATAGCATAAGATATATAAAGACTTTAATATCTTGTGTTATAGATAAGATAATTAATACTGATTAAAATAGTGTAAATGAATCTTAATGATAAAAGCATGAAAAAACTATATTCTAGTTGTAAATTTAATTCAGAATTATCAAAAGAACATTTATTCCTTTTTAGAATTACATATATCATCTATTATAAGAATTTCATAATATCAAATATTTCTATAGAAATTATTAAATACATAGATGAATGATTATTATTATGTCTAAATTTTATTTTTCAATATTAAAAAATATTGAGTCACAATTTAAAATCAATCTCAGTCAAATCAATCAATATTTAAATTCATCTAACTTAGATGGATATCAAAAATACAAGAATGCAACGCACTTATGCATTGGTGACATCCAAGACACAATTAATAATAAATCCTAACTTTAATTTGAGGTTGTATAGCACATTTTGATTATTTCCAAACTCAAACCTAATTTACCCTATTAATCCATGATATTAGATGTTATTGCTCATGCAGCTAAACTATCCTAACAAGAGATTGTTCAGGAAATCATCCAAAATTATCAATTTAATTAAGAGGGATAAATGCAATTGCTTGACGTCCTAAGTAATAGCAACTACAATATACAAAAGTTATTACTTGATAACTTGGGTTCAATTCAAAACTTGAGGGATGTTGAAGATGCAAATTAAATTTTTAAAATACTTGCAAATCTGATGAAGGTCAATAGATCAAACTCATTGACAGAAGAGAGTGTAGCCAATTTTTCAGATCTCCAATATGATTTTTGGTTGAAGAATACTGAGAATGGCGAAGGTTAAACACGGAAAGAGGATGCACATTTAATTTAGATAATGATAAGAGTCTTAAAGGACAAGGTGGAATGGTTAATCAAAAAAGGATAGAAAGTATCATCAACTACACTCATTCAGTACATTTAGTAATTTAGATAGACCACTGAAATATCCTTTGATGACATAAGGAATTAAAATTATTCAAAGAAAGAAGAAATGATACTCTTCAATATCCTCAGAACCTAAGAACAATTTGACATCATCAAAGCTATTAACTACATCAAATAGAATCACTCCTCATACAACCTGCAATACGTCTATAAATTCTTGAATAATCAACAAACCGTAGACTTAGACCTTCTCTAAGTGGTTGAAGGGAGCATTCAGAATGAACGTGTAAGAATATAAAATCTACTGTAATTCTACTCAACAATACCAATTGAGCCATCTTGGAAAATTGCTTAGATTTTAAGAAACATTTTACTTAAGGATTGGGACAATATGACGATCTCTCAATAATTGACAATTGTAGGGCAATTATTTAGAATAGAGAGATTGATATAGAAACCTTAACCAATTGGTAAATTCTTCATTCTTGATTCCATTTTGATAAGCAAAATAGAACAAATGATTTTGCAACTCAGATTTCAAGATCTCAGCCAAGTAGACAGACTCAAAGTCTACTTTCTAATGAATTCGTACTTTGGCAAAGATTTATTATCCAGTAATTAAGACTTAAGTAATCTTAGGCTATTTCAATACTCAATATGCTCTTTACATCTAGGCGTACTTGAGAAATCAATTTCAAACTCAACCTCGAATTCAGAGTAAATTACAGAAGTAGGTGGAAGAGAGTCTAGTGAAAAATAGAGTTTTTTATGAGAGAGAGCCCCTGGTAGAGAATTGTTTTGCTGTTGATTTTAAATTGAAGAACACTATAATCGAAGTGAATGGTCCACACCATTATTGTTCGATCGTAGGAGATACATTGCCTAATGATGCTGTCTAACATTTAAGCACCAATCAAGCAATGTATGAAACATTAAAAACCAGTCTAAAAGTACTAAGTCATTCTTATAATAATAGACGAGACTATTACAGTAGAAGGGGTATAGGGTGATAAATATCCCTTACTTTAAATGGAATGGGTGGTGCATTAGCAATAAATAGGATAAGATATTGAATGATATGTTGGAGGGCATATCGTTGAAGGATAGCGAGTTGTTGAGTAAAATTTGAGTTATTTTTATATATTTATTAAAATTGTAAAGAAATGTGCGATGCAATAAATGAAAAGGATGAGAGGTATAAATACGCTTCGGAATTGATGGACAAGGACGGATGCAAACAAGTGAATTTGGAATTGACTCAATGTCTGAAACAATACAAGAAGGATTGGAGAATGTGTAAGGTAGAGTCTATGTGAGTCTATTGATAGGATCAAACTGCAAATCTATAGAAGTGTCTCATTGAGCAAAAGAACCAGAGACCCAAATGACTTGACATATTTTTAACAACAATTAATATTTAATAATATGATTTTATACTAGTACTTATGATCAGTGGTTGATTAGTTTCTATATTCTGCGAATCTTAGAGACTACAAAACATTTAATGGAATAAGGAGAGACAAACAGTCTTTTGCGTTTGTTACTACTGCCACTTGCTTAAAAGCTTTGTTATCTAAGGATGACTCGATCATAATTGTTATGTGGATAGTAGATCATATAGCTTTTCATTTTTTCAAATTTGTTGAAAATGACATCATTTATGAAATATCCTTGATTCTAAAATTTCATGTACAATTACATCTGGAGAAGTAATAGCTTAGAATTACGATTGCAAGGCCAAATTGCTTTACTTAGTTCCAGTTCTTTGACTCTTTTATTTGAACTTATTCTCATCAGATTGAGTATTGGCACTGTTTGTCTTTTTGCCATTATCCTTAGTTTGACTAGACAATCTCAAGGATTTGTTTTATCTAGAATTGGAAGATGGATAATTTGAGATATCCTTCGAATATGAATTCGTATATGTATGAGATCTATTGGTTGGTTATCTTAGAGATTGTTTCAAATTACCATATGAGAATTGTTGAATGAAATCCTATCGAATAATCTCCTACTTATTAGCAGTCTAAGATGCAATTTCCTTTTGAAACTGGAATGTCAATTTATTAGGACCAATCCTATTGGCTGTCTAAATAAATGGTTATTTTTAGTTTATTAAATCGTTTTTCTATCCTTCTTGCAATTACTATAGGATTTCTTTTTCATCCTTGTCTAAAGTCGAGTAATTTTGACTCTAAGGATTCCCAACGAAACCGGCAGTACGATGAGATGTTTTATGTGAGTTTTGACGACCTCGTTTAATTGAAGAATCCAATATGGGTGGCTATATAGCTTCCTACTATTCTTGTTCATAGTTCAATTATTCCAAACTATCCACATTTACATTACTATTGGAAACCTGTTAATCCTGACTTGCCTTTTGATACGCCATCGAATTACTTACATAACTTACGGAATATGTTTAATCTAATTACATCTAGAGACATACTTTCAGAATAAGGTAACTGAGATGCTTCAGGAAGGTCCTCTGACATAATGTCCTGACTTTACTTATTAATCACCTATTTAGCTTTGTCTTGATTTTACACAAGATTTTTCAAAGTTAAGTATTTATTGCTTTTTCTTGTAAAAGTTCGACGGACCTATTTAATACTATATAAATGTTTCTCAATAACATTTTGTCTTTATGGGAAATACTGGATGTGATTGCACTCTAGAATATAATGGCCTTTAATTTTGCAATAGTAACAATCAAACAAATGCTGATTGTAGCATGAATTGTCTTTCATCATACAAAATAGTTCATTGTCTTAAGGGAAATTCGAAATGGTCTCCAAGAATTCTGATCGCTTAAGCTTCATGAGAGTTGTGACTCCACAACTGAATATGCTGATGTTTGAGGGGACTCCAGAAATAAAAGAGTACTATCCAAACGCCTATCCTTCCTTTAACCGAGTGACTGATCTTTTATTGTTGGCAAGCGAGGATCCTTAGAATTGCACCTTTACTTCTCCTTTGAGAATGTAATACAATCCCAAATCTTCGCTTTAGTGTTCCTAATCATATTGCAATTATTGTACTATAATGATATTGTCCTCAGGATTGAATGTCACTTATTCAATAGCATACAGCAATTGCTATTTGAATTGAGATGAGAACCTGGTCATCAATTCAATTTTATCAATCATACTGGTTCTCAAGGATATTTCGATTTCATCTTACAATGCAGGACTCAACTTTTTTGTTAATTGATCCTTCGATCTCCCTAGATCTTCCTAATTAGTATTTTATATATCGTATTGTTTACATCGATTCTAAAATCTAAATAGGAGTAGCATCTCCTCAATAAATCTTAATTTCTGCATTTCTCCTTAAACTATTCCACAAATCCTTTCAACAATTTTTGCTTTTCCTCCTGAATCTCAATTCCTGGTTTGATCCACACAAACAACAGTATGAGTGTGTATACATAACACAAGTAAGAGATCAACATGAACACTGAAATTATTAATGAATTTTATTCAGTAATCTCCATGGCTCAAATTACTTTATGATTTAATACATATATTTGAGGTTTAAGTGATCAACGAAATTGAATACGCTATATAAAATCTTAGTGAGTATTCCTCCTCGCTAAACACTCTTAATACACTAATAAAAATACTTTTCAAAAAACAAGTGCACATCACAACTATTGCAATCCATAATTGGACAGTAAATAATATATAATGAGTCGATCTGTAAATATTTTCAAAAACCTCCAAGGTTCTAATCAAATCTGAAATAACCAACAACAAAATCAATGTCATCAAAGTCATTTCATTATTAAACTTAAAAAGCAAGATAGCCGCACTAGAAATAGTCCGAAATGAGTCCAAATATATTCTACTCTAATCCTTGAAATTAGTAATCAACTTCCCTCGCAGCAATTTGTAAGGGCCTCTTTGAAAATACAAATCCTACAAGAGTGTCCAAAACTTAACACCAAAGGCCACTTACCAAATGATCTCAGGTCCATCAAAAACAATTGTAATAGGTATAAATATTATGGTTAGTAAATTGGAGATAATTACAGAGATAAACACATACATTGTAAAATAATAATATCTCAATGGAGAAACTTAAATTATTAAAATAGAGTACCATCGTCTTATTCTTATGTTACGAGGGGATCATTATATTTCGAATAATGAATAGAATTCAATAACTTTTATTTTATCTAATTTACTATGATCTTCACTCTCCCTTAATCAATCATCAGCTTCTTCTTGTAATCTGAAAGCAATTGCGATTAGAATCCAAACGAAGAAGATATAAGCGAACTATCGTTGTGGATTATAACTAATTTCTTTGACTCCGATTTTTAATGATACTTATCAGAACTCTTATGCGATGCAATATTTGTTATCGTTGGGACCTTGTAATCTTCGCTACTCTAAATGTCAATTGGTTGTTAGGGACAAGTCTACAGAAAGACTGGCTTCAAATAACAAATCTGAGACAAAGAGGAGTGTTCTTCCTCTTCCTGTATTGATTCGCTGTTCTTATATTGTAAAGTCTAGCTAATCCTATGCGACGGATTATAATCAACAACTTCTTGGTCTTTGACTTATTTTAGTAACTATTTTCTAATTAACATTTAATAAAATTAGTTTCCTGTGCAATTGATTAGGTCTAAACAACGCTCTTCAAAATTATATACTTCCAAATCATAATCAGACACAGAATATGAATAAGGAAATCTCATGTTTTAAAGATCATTACAATTAGAAAACCCTCGATTCTTAGAGAACTAGACTTTATGATAAACAAAATAAAGACCATCAACAGATACTAAAGAATTAAGAAAAACTTTAATTTTTAAACTCATTTTTGGGTAAATGATCAACTTTCCAAAAGCAATATTTAACAATATACTTTATTTACTCAATTAATTATAATCTACTAAATTAACATTCTGTATAAATAACTCCTAAATATCAAATAAAATTACCATTAAATTCAATAATTGATGAATAAAATTCTTAATCAAATAACAATTAATTCTAACCTATGATTAGGGAAAAACTTTAAAAAATCTATTCTAAATTAATTAAAAAATCCCTCTTAGAGAACAGATTTTTTAATTTTAACATTACACTTTTTATTAACATAAGATTAATTGAATTTAGTATAATTTAGATCTCAACCAATCCAACTTAATGGTTAATATGAATAAATCAAAATAACGTAAGGTTTTATCTCAAAATCTTAAGATAAATATTAAATTATATTAAAAATATAGATATTGATTGGATCATTCAACTTCCAATAGACTTCAAAATTACACAAAATAGAAACTAATAAATAAATAATAAGAAATCATTGATTAATATTGAAATCAAAGATAATTTAATCTTTAAATAAAATCACACCAAAAAATTTTCAATGTCTTGCATTAACATCTACTCTGATTGATACAGCTTCCTCTTTTTTAATATTACTACCTCCTCATCACTGTTAAATTCAGATGTTGGAAAATTTTTAAAACATTTTTAACTTTTGAATTCTTTCACATCGATATCCTTCAACCTCTCAACTCTTATTTTCTTTTTAATCTTAATATTCTTTGTTCCTGGAGGTCTACCAAGTTTTCTCCGTAGAGAGGATTCACTTACTACTTTTGATTTAATGTGATTAATTTTCTCCAATAATGAATTCTTAAGATTCTCAACATCAAACTTCACACTCACTTCCTTATTTTAAAATGATATAAGATTTCTTAGTAATTTGGAAATCTTTTGATATTGCCCTAAATAATTAGTAATCTACTCCTTAGGATATTGTAAGTATGCTTGAATATTGGATTTTGTGTCTTCTTCACTAATTCTCTTTTCAACATCATGTTTGATAATAGATTGGTTATCTTCTATTATTTCCAACATCTAAATCACAGTTTCCCATTAATCAAAATCCTACTTTTATAATTACTAATTATAGAAGGTTCTTGAATAGTCTTTCGATTAGGCTAAGGTTTAAAAATTATAATGGACTGAGGATAAAAAGAGAAGAAAAGTCTAATTTTCTTAGCATTCTATAACGAATTCTTTGGTAATATTTAATATATTAAGACTGTTTGGATCTTTGAGATTGAGGTAAGATATTATGGGAGGAAATGGAAATCTATTTTTTATCATTTCACTTAATACTTTATTTATAGTCAATAAAGATTCTACTAATTGTTACGAGTTGAGTTCTTTCCTCTCATGGGTTTTGTAAAAGTATTTTTTTATAAATTACGGAATTCCTATCTTATCAGATGTAATAAATGGTTGTTCAGCACTGTCACAAAATGAAATGATCTTGTTGAGAGTCTAATAAAATTGGTCAGCATAATCAATTTGCAGATGAAACTTTTTCAAATCAGAATGCAATTCCTTGAATTATTGTTTTTCAATCACATCCTTCAATTCATTAATTAAATAATGTTTCTATTAATAAATCAGATCCAGATTCTGTTAGAACAAAGTAAAATTATTCTCTTTCAACACATCCTCGTATTCTATAAACACCTTATCCCGATAGTTTTGCATTTCAGTTAACTTAAGTGTATCATTGTTGATTAATTGATCGACATTTAAGAGATAATTCAATTGGGATAGTTGCCTCTTCGAATAAAGTTCCTTGAATATTTCTTTGAAGATTGAAAACTCTAAGCAGAACAATTGTTATTTGCTATTCATGTACAATCTTGTGCAAAGCAACAAAGACGTCAGGGGAATATTATGTCTTATTGCCATGCCAATAACGATGATCTAGGCTTTAAAGTAGATGTAATATCTGTAGTCCTCTGTGATATAATTTATTTTTGGGGTTTTTTAAATCAAATTTTAAACATACTCCAAAATGACCTTATGATTGAAGTTGTTCATTTTGCTAGCATCGTACATTTTATAGTAGAAGTTGAAGAAGGAGTTAGACTTAAGTATTTCATCATCTAATTATACATTATGCAATTAAAAGAGCTCAAGTTATTTAATTATAATTTCTTATTCTGTCATTTCTAAAGGGTCTGATTGCTATTATTAAGCATCATGAATTTTCAATAGATGTTTAAGCAATTATTCGTTCTTTTTGATGCGAACAATTCGTCTGGTGTCTGAAAAATTCAAAAAATTGAGAATCTTTGGAAAGATGATGTTTTTAAGTGTGATGTAGTTGAGGATGGTCATAATTTTTGAATCTCTCTATTTAAATGTTGACTAATCAGAGTTACTTCCAATTTGATTACTTTCAATTGAAATCATATACTTTTAATAAAAGTTTGTTCAAGCAATAAATGGAACTCAATAAATCATTCTAAAATTAATCACACTAAAAATAAAAATGAAAATAATTAGCAATAATTGAGAACTCCATAGTTTGAGACCTACTAATTCATGAGAAAGTATGTGTTGCTATTCATAATAAAATAGCCGATTTGTTATTAATTACTTATTATATGTATGATGCAAAATAAAGAAATTATTCAATAATGTAATCGGGAAATGAAATTTTTATGTTTTTCATTAATAAAAATAACCCTTGAAATTTTACATGAGCTAAGAGAAGTTCAAAAGATATAAACTAAATGTGTTTCTGTTATAGAAGAACAAAATGAAATCTGAAGAAAGGGTTATTACAAACACATCCACTAATTTTCATGCACTCTCTCCACAGCAATCTCCCAAGATTACTTCCATTCTGAACCGTACAAAACTATCACTGGAAAGATCGCGATCCTCACATCGAATGGAAAAGATCATGATCTTAAACAAAAAGAAGGTTTCCAAGAATGAAATATACAATATCAATAAACCTAAAGATTTCTTCAATGACAGTCCTAATTTGATAGAAGAAATGAAATACGACATCAATATCTAGTTTTTGAAAGAATGCAAATCCAATAACGCAGGTGCTTGTCTTTAACTATTGGAACCTACAATTGTTCATTAGGTTTGTAAGATAATAAGTATGATTTCTTAGTAAATATCTCGCCTTCAATTCCCATTAGAGCAGATTTAAAAGCAAATTTAAATATTTAAGATGCCAATTAAAATACTGCATTACATATTGCAGTGAAAAACGGGAACGTTTAATTAGTCTAAGCTTTAATTTACAAATAAATTAACCTAGAGATTGAAAATTCAGAAAAGATGACTTCATTAATACTGGCTAGTTATCAGTATATTATTTTATTATTTTGCAAGTGGAAACGAAGAAATATTCTAAATTCTAATTAATGCAGGAGCCTAAGTTAATCATTAAGACATGTACGGTAACACATGTCTCCATTATGCTTGTAAATTCAATCGCAAAGAAATAGTGACACTCATCCTTCAACATCCAAATCTCATTTTTAAATCAAACAACGATCAGAAATATCCTGACTATTATATCCATGATTCTGAAATCATTCAATTATTCACTCAATTTTAATTGGAACACTCTAAACAAAGTAATCTTATTCGAAATTAATGTAGAAAGAAAAGCCAAAGAAGTTTAAATACAGAATATACAAATGGAATATTATTGTAAATCAAGTAATTTTTCCAAAAATTAATGTAAATTACAAAATTCGCCTATTCAAAATTTATCGCTTGAAACTAAACAGGGAATGCTTAAACATATAAGAAGTTACAACTAAATTAAGAAAGGAAAGACCAATACTCCTTCTACAATTGATTCGATGAAATAATCCAAAAGAGAAGAAAAAGTTGGTCCCTCTCAATTCAAAGTATTAGGTTTATTAGGCAAAGGAAGTTTCGGATAAGTTTACCTCGTGCAAAAGAACAAAAAGCTATACGCCATGAAAGTACTACTTAAGAGTATGATCTTAAGTAATAAATCAAATATATATTTTTAAAGAACAAAACATTTGTAGATATGCAATAACCGAAAGAAATGTGTTATCTGTAACATCTCACCCATTCATAGTTAAATTGAGGTATGCTTTTCAGACGGAGGATAAGTTGTTTATGATTCTGGATTATTGTCCTGGAGGAGATCTGGGAATGCTACTGTGTAAAATAAAGAGATTCCCCGAGGAACTTGTAAAGCTATATACTTGTGAGATTATTCTGGCTTTGGAGGATCTTCATAAAAGAGACATAATCTTTCGTGATTTAAAACCTGACAATATCTTGCTTGATGCAGATGGACATGTCTTATTAACAGACTTCGGATTGTCTAAGGAGGGAATACCTCAATCAAGTAAAGGAGCACAATCGTTTTGTGGTTCTGTGGCTTATTTAGCTCCGGAAATGCTAAAGAGGTAGGGTCATGGAAAGGCGGTAGATTGGTATTTACTAGGAGTGGTGATGTATGAACTGTTGGTAGGGTTGCCTCCTTATTATGATAATGATCGAGATACGTTATTCTACAATATCGAGAATGCAAGTCTGAAAATCCCTTAACACATTTCAATTGAGTGTCGAACTCTATTAAAATCAGTAAGACTTATTGTGAATTTTAGTTACTGGAGAGAAATCCAACCAAACGATTGGGGTCAGGGGAAGGTGATTCTTTAGAAATCAAGGTACATCCCTATTTCGCAGATGTTGATTGGGAACTGGTTCTGAATAGAGAACTCTCGATGCCTAAGCCTGATTATAGTTTGAAGATCAAGTCAATGGGGGAACAGAATGTTTTCGATTTGCAGAGCTTTGTAGAATTTGAGTAATCTCATGTGAATGGATGGTCATATGTTCAAAGAGAATGAAATGTATGTGATTATATTGATTAACTAATACTTCAATATTATGATGGCTGTTTGTCAGACTTGGCACCAAAGAATTTCAAACACAATTGCTCAATGTCTTCCAAAGTCACTCTCCCTGTTCCCTTTCCTATTTTTAATAAATTTAGATACTATCCAAAATTCTGGAATACGAAGCAATGTCTGTGGGTGTTGGATTGAATCCTTTATTCATGGCTCTGTAACAATCACTTAACATATATCCAACTTCGAAAGAATCAATGTTTCCATCGGAGTTGCCATCGTAAAGAGCAAGGATTCTTTGAGCCAATTGTTTGCATTATTCTGGATCCAGAACTCCTCCGAAATTTACAGCATCTGTGATTTGGTAATGTGAGTATTTGATTTGCTTGTTTGGGTCCATGAAAAACTGTTAATTAATTATTGTATGTAAATACTCAAATTCAAATAGTTTTAGTATGGAATTCAATCCTAATGTTTAGGCAAATACTTTTCTATCATTTCCTTCTGCCAATACAACACATTATTCACAACGTTTATTGGAATGTCATACACTTCAGGCAACCCTTCATGCAGCTCTGTTTTCTTGAGGTTGTGCAGTCTGGTGTATTTGTCTAGAAGGGATTATTATTGGATGGATACCTTCAATATTTTCGTAGGAGTTGAAATGATTGCAGAAACAATAATTCAGAGCTGCGTAACCAGTTATCACAGTAAAAATGGTAGCCACGAAGAAACTGGGAATTGCCAGAGCCCAATATTTCTAGGGGAAGTAATGAATCCCTAATGACTTTGATAAGTCGATACGAAGGTCTTACATGCAATGCTGATTCTGGCAAGAAAACCCATGCCAAATAAATCACAAACACTATATAGGAGGCTATCCATCCAATGAACCCATAGATTTCAATACTTTTCATATATATAAATATATAAAAAATATATGTAAAATAATCAGAGTAATTTAAACAGTATTTATTTATTTTGTATTCTTTTTTTAATCTCGCAAGGCAATAGCCTTTCTATTTTCTCCAATATTTATTCTTTATTTAAATGTTTTATTTTTTTTATTCCATTTATTTTTATGTTATTATTTTTTATCCTTACGTAATGGTTCCCTAAAATTTTATGCATTTTTATTATTTTTTTCTCTTCCTCGCAATTCAAAAATTAACCATTGAAACGTAATCGTCTGTCTGCTATTTATTTTCTGCATTCGTAAAGAGTCCTATTCATCCACATCTTCTTTTTTGCTCTATACCTTTACAAACATTCCTTGCGAATTAAATTTTTATCATTTATTTTTTCTTCACCTTGAGATATCACAACCACACTGTCCAATTTAGATTCTTAAATGGTTGATTAAGTTTCGTTTGAAACGAGATAATTATTAAGAATATTCATTTTCTGTAAAAGTTATTACTACTATAGTAACACCAAATTTAGCACAGACTATTTCCCTAAGAATTTTATTAACTCATTTTTCAGCTCACAACTGATCTATCCTAAATCATCAACGAATTGAGGATAGTTGTATAGATATTGCATTTGTTTTTCTAATTAATGTATTAGAAAAAAATAGGATTATTCGATCATTTTGAATCCCAAAAACATTGTTCTCAGAACAAAATGCAATGGACCCCCTTTACTTTTAATTAAATTATTTTTACACTATCCTTATTCTCAATTATATTAGCCAGAATCATGAGACCTTCTTTAAATATAAAAATATATTCATTATTCAATTTCTCTCTTATGACCACACCCTCCACAGTATTTATGTCCCATCTGCATCTTGTTCCCACATTGGGTACAAAATTTCGATTGACTTTTCAATTAGATGTCAGTCTCCTTGAGAATCTTTTTCAGTTGAGGCTATTGAGTGATGATAGCCGGTAAAACAGAGTCCATTTTTTTTAATTTCGGCAAATTAGCCATATTTTTTAATTTTAATTCTTGGTTTGACATAATAATTTTACTAATTTATTCTTTATTCGTCAATTTCTCACAAATGGGAACATGACGAAGCGCAGCCTTTGGATTAAATTTACGAAGACAATAAGGACACTCAGTATCCGACAAAGCAGTTGCCCTTGTTTAACAGTCCATGAATCCTAATATATTCACCCTATCTATTACCAAACCCTGTATAGATAGCTTTCTTCAATTCTGGGAGTTGTCTCTTCTAAACCTCAGCAGTTTTCATCAAACTCTAAACACGAAAAGATTGCTTCGTTTGATCAACATTATCATTCTAATTCGAAGTAGATGCAGTGCTTAACTAAGTAGTTCTTTTCATTTCTTATTACTAATTCTTTTTGAGAGGCTTGGGTTTAGCCTTGATTTCCTTGCACTTCGGAATATGTCTCTCAGCAACATCTACAAAATATTTCTATTAGCCAATACATCTATCGAAACTACGTTTGCAGTATTCACACTACACATAGAGTGAATTTTCAGCTAAATCTAGAGTCTTTACTGCTATTTCCTCTTCACCCTCATTTTGAACCTTAATAATTCATCTATTTTGCTACCTCTTTTTCTTTTTTATTGCAATGAATCATCTCTTAGAATTACCTATGTTGCTCTCTCCAATTATTAACTGTTTTATTTTTCACTTGTTTCTCCTTGGCATCCAATTTCTATTAATGTTCAGCTTTCTGTTATTATTTACGTTTTATAAGCTTTTCTCTTTGCATTTATTTTTATTAAGCCTTCTCACACACTTGTCTATGCTTCCCAATCCTTTCTGTATGAAATTTTCGTGAGCAGATCTCACATTATTCTAATAGACCTTCTGCCTTCCCCTATTGTTCCAGATCTCCACTCATAAATTCATTATTTTCGTCTAAACACTCTGAATGCTCAAATTATTCCTCATCATATTCATCCATTAATTATTATATAATACTTATAATATCTAAAGAACTAATAAAAATAAATAATTCATATATTAACTACGCCTTGCTTTATTCTTATTTAAATCATTTTTCTTTTACCACAAAAAGCATTAAATAACAATTAATCTGATTATTATTAATTAATCTCATTTTTAACTTTTATATCCTTCCAGATTTTTGATTTCTATCATTTGTAAGAATAAATTAACAAATTATCCTCGTATAATTTGTTAGTTTATAGATTATAATATATTTACTCCTTACCTTCAAAATATAATGTTAATTAAGAAATCAAATTTTTCCAGCTATCACAAACTCCAATCAAAATATAGGTAAATTCCATTTCACTCTCAAGATAGTCATGGTCTGAATTATTGAGAGTATAAAGCAAATCTATCCAACACTATTAAATGCTAATGCAACTTTATAATTAGGCAGAGTAGTCGAATTTTCCATTAAGGAGTTCTTAGAGAAATAATAAAAAGTTGAAATCACGAAGCAGCCCTTCTTAAAAAGAAAATTTTATTTCGAAAATTGCTCCAATCAAAATAGAGACTCAGAAGTCAAAAAATAAATCACCTCGTTTTCGAAATAAAGATTATCACAAGTCCTCAAATTACAAATAGAACAACCTTATCTAAATCATGGTAAGTTTCTCCTATCAGACAAAACTTGGCGATACTATAAAAAGGTGTCATTAATGAATCCTAACCGAATATATAGACCAACCATCTAGAAGGATAAAAGGAAGAAACCCTATCGTTTTCAAATAAATCTCCAAAAAGAATAGACAATTTGGCTGTCATTAAATCTAAAGATATCGCCAAAGAGCAGGAAATATTACTAAAAGAAGATCTTAAGGCTCCAAAGAGGTCTAAAAAGGAATTAAAAGGTTGCTTACTTAGAGCCTTGATAAAACTTAAAGAATTGAACATTAATGCTAAAATCCTCAAAAGTAAATATTCTCCAAAAAACCATATCAAAAACCAAATTCTTAGGAGTTTATTCATTCTGTAAAATTGAATCATTTAGAGAAAGTGAGACAATACTTGGAAAAGAATAAATACATAGTTTTTGATTTTTATAACCTTGATATAACAGCTCTGCATTGGTCCAGCAAAAAGGGATTTGATGAAATGACTGAATTTCTAATAAAAAATCATGCAGATGTTGATGCAATTGATATTTTGAATAGAACTCCACTTTACTTAGCAATTCAAGAAAATAATATTCCAATTATGGAAGTAGAACTTTATCAATTAATTTTAACTATTATTAAGGCATAAGGCTTATCCTTGGTCGACTTCGATGACAGATTTGAATGAAGCAGTTGGAAAGAATAAAAGAATACGAAAAATAATGACTTAGATAAGAAGAGTATTTTATATCAATAATCTTTGTGGTTGATATAATAAATATGTGGGGTGAGAAAAGTTGAAAAGAAGAGTTTTTTTGAACAATTATTAATGTGTATTAACAGATTGGTTTAATTTGATTTGATATCTCTTTAATTTTTTATTAATTCGTAGCAAAGTAGAAGTATTTTAGATCTGATTGAATTTTGTACTATTAATTCATAACAATTAAAATATTAAATGAGTTATCTTAAAAGAAAAGTATAAATGGGATTTGCTTGAATTGATTGAGTTTATTAATATATTAAAATACAAATAGGAATTAGGAATGTAATAGTATGTAAATCCTTTTTAGTATTAAATTTAAAATTCAATTCATATTATTAAGTAAGATGCAATATAATTTTTACATTAAATTAATTATCACAATTAAAATTTATACGATGATTTCTAGAATTCCCTTAAGACTTGTCAGATCATTAAAGCCTCTTAATATGACCACAGTTTGTGCTCCATTTTGTACATCAATAGAAAAGGTTAATAAAGGTATATATTTTATATTAATGGAATTTAGCTGGTTAAAAATTGGTGAAAATAGTTGAAAAAGAACTCAAATACGAAAAAACTAATTATGCTCCTGATGAAACAGCCTTAGAATTTGTTTAAAAAGCTGGATTCTAATTGATCGATTCTGAAAGTGATCACTAAGTAACTTTGGAAAAAAAGGTTGGTGACATCAAAGTCATTGTCCAATTCCAATCGAGACAACCAAACTCTGAGGAGTAAGAAGAAGAAGAGGCTGAAGAACATAAAAACCAGAAAGAAACAGAAGAAGAAGAAGAAAACTAATCAGCTGACTATGCTGACTTCACTGTTTATCTTTAGAAAAACAATGGATAAATTCTATGCTATGAATGCACAACCTCTTAAGGCGAAGTAATCTATTCTATTAAATTTATTAGATAAATGTCAACATGGTAAGTCTCGTCAAAGACCTAGAAGCACACAAGAAAATCCCTAGATTCGAAAGAGGATTATAAGACTATCAAGGACCAGAATTTATGACCTTAGATGAGGTATAGAATAAATTCATATATTCTATTAGAAATTATAAATGACATTGGTCGAATACTTGAGAGGGTATGGAATCAATGACGAACTAGGAGCATTCGTAGAACACTATTCTTTGGACAAAGAAGAGAGACTATACATTTAATGGTTAGATCAACTAACAACATTTTTGAAGAATTGAGGAAATGAAATCATCATTTATTGTTATATTAATAGTCAATATTTTTGGAATTATGTAGATGTCAGTCTATAATATCATTCATTTGAAATCTGTAAGAAAGATATTATATTAATTCTGTCACTTAATTCGAATATTTTTTGATATTAAAAACTCAATCTTTTTTTATATTTGTTATTCAGTTTAAAAGTAATGATGAGTTGATTAATATACATTGTAAATATGCTATTTCTTCTTGAAATTATTAGTTTCACTATACAATTTCATTAGGATGATTATGTTTGCTTAATAATGTCTTATAAAGAAGTGCAACTCTATTAAATAATATTAAATTTTTTTGAACATATAATCTTCAATTTTTGCTTTTGTAAATACGAGTCAACACCTAAATAATAATTCTATGATGGAAAGATAGGAGAATAAAGATAATTTTCTTATTAAGTCATTTGTAATCGAGACATTTAATAAACTTGAGTTAATGCTATAATTATTGTTCAATAAGACAAACTTATTTTATTTAATTAGATTTCGAGAACCTTTAATATATGATTAAATAAATTACAAATTACAAGCCTAATAATAATTTTGACATTGCTTAAATTTAATTCCAAATTTGATTACAACTGATTATCCAATTGAACCATTGACATGTAACAACTCTGTTTTTATATTTTGTAAATATCATAGTAAGACTAGTAAATATAAGCCATTAGGTTACAATATCTAAGTTATTCCACAATATAATTAATTGTCAAACAATAGTGAAATTAAGTATCCAGTTCTAATGATGGTTATTTAAGGTTACTCTCGCAAATTTTAATGATGTTTTAAGACCACAAGGAAGAGAAGAGGTATTACATCAAAGTGTCAATGTAAAAAGAGACATAAAAGGATTTTAATAGTTTTTATAATCAAATTAATTAATGAATATCCACATGTGTTAAAATATAAGAGTATGTGGTTCATATTTTAATTTAAATAAACATAGAAATTTCTACCCACAACATTTATTCGCTTATTTTAATATGATGTTAGAAATAAGTGTAAAATAAGTAAAATAATTTGAGAAATCCCTTTTTGTAACAAATTCAATTTAAACATAAATAATAATTGGCTGTATTATAAATATAATATCATTATTCAAGAATAAAATCTTGAGGAGCTTTGAGAGGTTTATCTAGCAAGCTATCCTATCCGAAATCTAAACTAGGTTTAACAGTAAAGGATGGTAGATAAGATTTCCCATTGATATTAACTCGATCTTCATTCAGATGATATGAATGCATAAAGTACATTTCTTTTTTGATTTTACGATTAGGAAATAGATATGGAGCCTAAACAACGTCATTATAAATAGGTATTTGAAACTCATCATTGAGATTGATATTTCTCGTAGACTCGTTCCTCAAAGTGATTTAATTGAACTATTATGCTTGCAGTAATTCCAAGGCCTAATCTGCCGTCAACCTCTTTTTGGGATTATATTCTAATAAGCCATACAAAATTTGATTCAGAATATTACTATATTAAGAAATGGTATGCTTAACATACATGCATTTCTAGTTTTTATTAATTAATTCTTTAGTTTTATCAGCAGCAAATAGAGGCTATTTCGTCATACTAGATTATTTTAATATTTTACATCCTATAGAGCATGACTCCAATACCAAACATATCGATTTAAGGAGAATACGAAAATCTTTCATTTTTATATTTATTTTCTTCGTAATTTAATATCTCTGGAGCAATATACCCAGGTGTACCACAAACTGCAAATGGATAATCTGGAGTATTAAATATGGCTAGACCGAAGTCTATGATTTTAATATTTTCAATCGAATTCATTTTGGAAAGCATGACATTTTCTAATTTCATATCTCTATGTATTATATTTTGTTGATGGCATTTTCGGATGCCCAGAAGCAGTTGCTAACATAACTTGGTATAAAATACATGTAGAATTGTCCTTACATTTTACTCAGGTATTTGATAGGATTGATTTTTGATAAACTTGTGCAGGTTCTCGCCATCCAAGTAATCAAACACTAAGTAGTAACTATTTTCTCCTTCAAAAATCTCATTCAACTTAATTAGGTTTGGATGAGATTTTAATGTTCTTAATATTTGTATTTCATTAACCAACCTATCGAATCTGTCTGAAGTTCTTTTCTTCTTTATGTAATCCTTACTTATGCATTTAGCAGCAAAAGACTTATTGGCATTGTAATCCTTAACTAAGATCACCTTACAAGATGCCCCTGAACCTATTATGTCATGGGAGGAGTAGAAGCCAGAAATTCCTTGCATAAAGACCTTCGTTTAGATATATGTTTTCATTTGATTCATCTGAGCAGATTGACCAGTAAACCACTTTGTTTTATTAAAATACTTTATGCCGAACTCTTTAATTTTATGATCATCGCTATGTTTCCAACTTACTTGACTTTTTAGACTCAGATCAATCTCATACTTAGGAGGGTGTTCTAACTATGAGAATATCAATTTTATATACTATACATTCTCTCTGATAATGATCTTATTTTCGAATATCTGCAGTTAATAGTGTTTATCAATGAGCAAGTGTTTACGAATTACTTCGCATTAGAAGATCAATTAATTGCTTTTATTTTGAATCTCCATTTATAATTTATATTTTAATGAGATAAACAACTTAAACTAAAATTCCATACTCAACTTCTCTGAAAATCTTGAGTAACTTCTCAAATAGATGCAAAAACCAAAACGTTAACAAGAATAACAACATCCTTCAAGATATAGAATATTTGTATACTCTGCCCATCTAACGATAACAATGAACATAGTTAAAATCTAGTGTTTAAGTTATTCGAAATGGTCTATAGATTTTATGAAAGTGCCGAGATGCAATATTTATAATGTTAAATAATACTCTTTCATCTGAACAATTGGTGATGATAACATCTTTAAATAAAGGAATTTATAAAATTAAATTATAATATTTTTGCTTGCCTAATCAATGTTTTGAATCTCCTTATTTTTTACTATCTTTACAATAAGTATTTGAAATAGATAAAAATTAATTTCTAAGTAGAATTATATAACAATTAATTCTAAATACTCATATTGTAAAAGAGCGATATCTCTTTGTCAAAACTACTAAACATAATAGTGAATTGATAGTATTATAGATATTATTATTTCTAAATATTCTTATATTATTGCTTATAATAATACATGATTATTGAATAATAATAACTAATCTATTAGTAAGGATATATATAACATTCTGATTTCTTATTGCATTGGGATTAAATTATCATATTGCTATTAATTTATCTAAATGTAATTAATATTATTTTGAGATTTTCATTGTAATTCAGTTTCAATAAAGAAGTAATTATTAAATGACCTATAAAAATATATATATGTTATGTATTTGATTTGTTATTATAAAATAGATTAATTGATTTAGTATAATCGTTAGAAACCATTTCAATTTCTTCATAATTCTAACCTGAAATGTCATAAAAAAATTTTGTTTTTTTTTAAATTTAATCTGAACACCCAAGTAATGCTAAATTTCTAAAAAGAGATTCTGAGATTCGAATCAAAAAAAGATTTAAAATTAAAAAATAAATCTAAATCTTTGGATTATTTATATAATTCATTATTAAATTTAATGGCACTCAAAGTAAAAATTATACTCAGTATGATAGCACTTCCCTTAGCTTTATTTGTTGCTTCAGTTTTCTGGATATTATCAATTTATTAGACAATTATACCAAAAACCTAATTATCTGTGTAATAGCTATCAGTTAAATTACTAAATGAAACTTTATAAGTATGATTGTATTCTATAGTTTAAAGTTTGAATCAAGAGCCCTATTCATCGTAACCAAAATAAATTAATCAATGCAATTCAACAGTCCCTTTATTATAAGAAATGTAATATTCAATCAATTTACAAATAACACATTAAGAATGCTTGATTAAACAGAAATCCACAGTTTGGAACTGTTTCTGGCTCCCTTGTATAAATCTCACAGATTGGAATATTTTACGATATTGTGTAAAGATAAATAGGAATACTTATCGATTGGTGAGGGTAGTTAATAGTTTACAAAGGAATTTATAAATTGGACTAGTCTCTACGAGGCAAACTTAATCATCAATGAAAATTAAATTAAGATCACGGTTGGAAATTAGAAGTATTGAGTGTAATTACATATTAGATGTAATATTCAAGTCTACTATGGAGTGAGAGATTTCATTATTAGTATGCTAAAAAATGCAGAATTTGTGACTAATTAAGTATAATCAAGAACCGTTTTACTTGATGCTCATCCATACAATGTCATTTGGCAAGAAAATAATGAGACAAATTTATCAAAGATTCTGGATGTCGACAATGAGAAGACTTTATAAATTTTGAAGTTCAATAGGTAGGAGGATGAATTTGGATGTTTAAAGTAAGAACCTAAGACAATCAGTTATGAATCAAACACAGAAAACCGATTAATTAAATATATTCAATTTTCTATAAGTGACCTCCATTACAAATGTAACTAGTAATATAGCGTTAAATTGACCTACATGATGATAATATCTCTAAACTAATTCCACGAACATTTGGGCACTTAGGATCTTAATTATGATAGACTCAACTATGCTACTAATAGTTATGCTTGTCTTATCATTTTATTGATTTTCTATTTTTACAGAGTTGCTGTCAAAGTTGCATTATCATTTGAAGTGCCTATTGAGAGAATTACAGAAATAATAAATGAACCTTATAAATTTCATTATGAAAATTCAAGCTAAAGAATGGACTTAAGACAGCAACTCCATAACTAAGAGCTTTTATAACTTTATGACTCATTGCTCTTATGTGTAATCATGCATCAATTTCATTAAAAACAATAGTTGTTAAATAATAACGATAAGGGAGCAGAGTATTTATAAAATTTGTGTTAAATTAAGTCTTTCTACAAGTTCTGTCAAAATAAGTGGATGGTGAGTGTTTGTGGTAATAATATGGCCATGATTCATTATAAAAATAAAAGATATTCTGAAGCTCTAAACTAATTAGCTGAATCTATAATGATAGGTAACAAAGAATTGACTAGTTTGAAATAGATTGAGAAATTAAGAAAAAAGATAGAAAGGAATCATTTTGGAAAATCTATTTTAAATAGGTTGTAATCCTATATTATTAATAAATTTGCTGGGAAATCGTCCAATATTATAGATCAAGGAAGGTTCAAATCTTAAGAGGAACAAAATAGGGCATGTCTCTCTATGTCAATTCATAAAAGCATGGCTCTAAAGAACTCAATCGAAGATAAATAATAATGCTATCAATCGATTGGGCAATAACAAAGTCAAGAATATAGATAAAATTATAAAAGAGACAAAGACTAGTTAACTTTGTGTTTATTCTTTAGAAAATATGCTTACATCATTATTCTGTTTAAGTTCTGCATAAATTCAGATTCCAAACTATTTAATGAAACAATCCAAAATATCAAACAGCTGGAAGAAGAAATCAGTCAAAAATAAAAATGGAAAAAAAGTAAGTATCTAACTCTTATGAGAATTAAAGCCTAAATTAAATTGTTCTATTGCTACATGTAATTGAAGATGTATGAATCTGCTTACACCACTAATTAATTCTTATTAGGACAATATGATTACTATCTTGGATTAGAAGATGATCAAATTAATTACCATATAGGATATAATACATTCGAAAATATTCCTATTAGTTATATGTAAGTCTAACTAGCATTGCAGAAAATTGTTTTGATGAAGTTCAATAATCAAAATTACTAAGCTGCACTAGAGTCCGCAAATCTATTTAAGAAATTAGATGATCAAAATTAAAAAGTTTAATTATAGCTACTTAAGATATTGGAGGAGATCTTTGTACAATACTACTTAGATAAAGATTTGATTACTATTCAAAGGGAAGTCATAAATTAAGAATAATAAAAAGTAATCATTTTAATTGATTACTCTAAAACTATGGCATTCAATTAAATTTAAATCTCATAGACCTATTGTAAATATATTCTATAAAGAGTATACAAATCAACTTCAGTGGGATTATATTTATTTAATGAAATTCTATTCGAAGCATTTAAACTATAAAATTAAATGTACACCTAAGATCTATATTCTTAAATATTGGATAAACTGTTATTGCCTCCAGGAGGAACCAGTCAATTGTTTGAAGTCATCAAACAAAGCGTTAAACTATTTCGTAATTCTGATGAAACTAAATTTGAAAATTATTTGTGCTTATTCACAGAGTTTTAATCCTAAAACATAGAGCAGAATTTTTATGAAATAAGAACTCTTTTGCATTTCAATAAAATTAAGTTGGTCGTCTTTTAAATTCAGAATTCTAATAGAAATATCTAAATTGCTTAACATATGAGTGATTATTGTAATGGGCTTTTAATACAAAACGAAAAATAAATAACGAATTGGTTAGATTCTTTAGGCCATACAAAGGTTTAACATAGTCATTACTTTGAGTTTTGGTGAATTAAATTTATAATGTATATAAATTTTATATCATTTTTATTGATTTTTAATCAAAGACAAATATATATAATGTTAGGTATTTACTATTATTTCAAAAATATCATTTATTCTGAATATATCATTAAATTCAAGGGTTCTCCTATTAAATTTCTTTCTGGGATGATTCCTCTATAACCTCTTGGGTTTCATTAAATTCCTAACTTAAAAACCTCTGCTTTATTGAAATATTTGATAGAGGAATTTATGATCCATATCTCTAATGCTTCTACTGTTGCTTCAATCTAAGAAATAATGATTACCATTAATACTTGGTTTCTTGTAATAGTTCATTTTCAATACTATCCTTTTCTAATTGAAAAAATGAATGTTTTCTGCTAGAATCATCTTCCTCTAAAATGATCTATTTAGTTTAAGCTGCAATTTTCTATCAGAATTAGTACAATACATCCTTATTCTTTAAATTCTGTTTTCTTAATTGGGATAGTAGTATTGTATGATTCTAAATCGATCTCTGTTTAGCTTAAAGAACGTGCTATTTTAGATTTTCTTCTACGTTCAAGACGCATTTGGAATGTGTCAGTTTGAGATGCCATTTCGTTTTGTATCATAGTTTATATTTACTTAACTTGATTAGTGTGATTATTAACTATTTCTTTAACTTGGGCCTCAATCACAAATATGAAACTTGTACCTCTTTAGATTCAGTTTAGCTGTAGATTAGATCAAGTTCAATACGTTTTGATTCTTCTTCGAATTTAGCTCTCTTATTTATAATTTATTCTTTTGATAATAGAAATTCTTCGTTTTCTCTTTGAGTAGTAAACAGAATAAGAGCATTGAGTTTTTTTTAGAAGAAAAAGCTCCGTTTATCTTAGATGGATTCATAATATTCTATTCCAATCTATTTAGTATAGCAATGGCAATTACCATATAGAGTGAGATTAACTATTATAATTGAGAAAGCTGAGTCTATTCATTGCTGTCGATTTCCATTTCAAGCTTGAGAATTTGATCAGCGAAGTCTTAGGGAAGACTTTTCTTAGATAAAAAATCCAATCCGAATTTAAACATTTAATTTTTTTATATATATTAATGAAATTAGGTACTGTAAGGAGCTTGTTTGAGTTTAGAGATACTTCAACAGAAGGGATTTTGGATAATCTCATTGCTTCTGTAGGTATGACATGTGTAAGGGATTAAACGTAGGTTAACTGTAAGGATTAGGACTGCCTGACATCTGCATAATTTGTAAGAGACAAACTTTGGGAATGTTCAAATCAGGATTTGAGCAGTGGTCTAGTTTCCATTGCGTACTTGGGATTTGTCCAACTTCTTAGGCTGAGGTTTCGGCTTATATTCAATCATTGATGATGAATTAAGAAAAAGACACTTTTTCGAAAATATTTGGAAGTGATATTATAATATTCAAGGTAACTTCGATTTGATTTAATACTAGATCGCATACATAACTTACGATATCTTTTCAAAGATTCTCTTGGTTTGTTAATTCGAATAGCCTAGTGAAGGTTTAACTTAGTTTAAAAATTATGGAATACAACAAAATAAATAATGTATTTAATTAACCAAAAGTCATTGGGAAGGAGCACATATAAGTGGCATTTTAAGGATTTTGGATAACAATTTCAAGATGCCAAATATTGGTAGATTCTATAATTAGACTAGTATAAACAATCCAAAATTTCTATAAAATCTCATAGCAAAATTGCTATAAAAAATATCATGTCTAGATAATTCATTTCAGGATCTCAACAAAATAAAATCGAAATCTGACTTTCCTCCTATGAATGATATAATCTATTATCTCAATTGGCCAATAAGTCTCATTTTCAATTATTTATACAACACAAGCTAATTGGATTTATTGCTAGAATAATTAAATAACTTAGATGATAACATTATCTTGAAATTACTCAAGTCCTTGACCTACTACAAAATGAAGTAATATATCAATTGATTCTAGAAACTACAATAAGAGTTTAAATGAATTATTAAAATTGCAGGATTCCAACAATTGGTTCAATCTTCCCAAATTCATAATGGCAAATATCTTTATTAAGCAATCCAGTTTTGAGAAGGCCTTTATTATACTAAAAGATCTAATCGTAGAATGCTATGATAATTAGACTATTTGGATAACTTTGGTATCGAATATATTAAATAGATTAGTCCAAAATATTTAGGAAACAGAAGATATTTCAAATCAGTCTGTTATTCTTAAATAGAGCTGTTGCCTTGCCATCTAAACAGACTGTGAAATAAATATGGAATGAAATTAATTTGGTCAATTATAGATTATTGACTCAAAACAAGTCCATATAATAGATTTCACAACTAGATTAGATATATAAGATTTTGCATCCTTTGTCAGCTGATAAAATTGAATGTTATGTTCAGTTATGTGGATATCCTTGTATCGATAACTTACTAGTTCGACCCAGATTGAATAATAAGAAGGATCAGAGAGTATTATCTTTATCTAATTGACTATAGCATACTATTGACATGATATCGAAACACTCCTCAAAATCAGAATTCAAAGTTAATCAACAGACTTATGAAACTCTAATGCATAATGACCTCTTAGAAATTGAAAGTGAATTATCCAACATTCTCCAAGAAGTCATTAAAATCTAAAAAGTTGTAGGATACTAAAAATTAAAATCTTATTTAACTTAGTATTTTTATACTACAGCAAAAGTAGTCTAAAAACAAATTGATTAAATCTATGATCCAGGTGAATTCTAAATTGCCATCAAACATCAAAGAAATTTGAATTTAAATGTTAGTTAAATAAGCAATACCAATGTATCAATATTATCTTATTTAATTAAGAAAAGCTTATGTAATCCTAGATTGCAAGATGACATAGAAGACTGTGATTCTGATGAAGAATAACCTGAGTTTCTTAAAAAATAAAAAATCAATAAATCATTTGACTTTACAAATATGGGTCCTAAAATGTACTAGACTCCCCAACATAATAGTAAGATCCCTAAATCTCCATTGAAATTCACTAGTATCAAAAAGAAATAGTAACAAATAAAAAAAGCAAATACTATAATTATAGAAAATGCATTTGAAAGTGTTGAGTCAGAAAGGCAAAACAAATAATTCATTACCATTGTAAATAGAGTCAATATTTAATAAAATGAAATGATATCATAAGCACCTAAATCAGGTTAAGATGCACAATTATAGAGATCCTTCATTTATGGTTTGATTTCTTACTTGAATCAAAATTTAAGCCAATAAGAATCAGTGTAGCTGAATGAACAATTAAAAAGAAGAAAAGAGCAGATCCATAATCTCCTATCAGGAATGGTAGAAACAATTAATAAAATACAAACGGAACTAGATTCATTATTCTACCCTTCACAAGAATAAAACAGATAACTGAATAATTAATAAAGCTCTCAGATAAATTCGACGAATGTCTAACAACAAACAAACACATCCTCACCGTTGTTTAAGTCTAATCTAAAGAAGGCTTTGTAGACAAAGTAGCATTTGGGAGGATAAGTAGAATTGAAGGAATTTTATATTGTACAACCTTTAAATGAAGACGAACCAGACAAAGAGAAGATTTATCTCTCTTTTATTAAAGCGGAATCAATGTTTTTGTATAAATGTGCTCGTCTAGCATAGAAATTAAAGAGAAATGATTTAAGCTACTCAATCCTATAAAGACTGAGTAGTAGGATTATATCAGTGTAAATTACAGCACTCTACTTTAACATTATTAAGGACAACAATAAATTGTTGATTAGACAGTAATTATCGTTTATTAACTATTCTTAGAATTCAAAAAATGTTGGCTGACTTTTAGGATTGTGGAATCAGCCAAGTAGGATTTGTGCCCTTATGGTTAGAGATGAAAATTGTCAAGATGACAAAGCAATATGGGGCCAATCAAATTCTTGCTTTACTCTCTTCATCAGAGACTAACTTTACATTTTATCTAATTAAAAAGATCATTCTAACAACTGACAATTTAATTTGATCATTAAACTCAATTTATAATTATTGATGTCTAAAAATAACTAGATATAGTTGATACTTTTAAATGATTTAAAAATGTTTATCCTGATCCCACCAATCATTTCAATTGACTATGCTAACTATCAAAATTAGACTGAAATTAAAATATTTTCCCTTTATTTCTTAGTTATTTCTGACAACAAAAATATAAATCAGAACCCATTATTTTGAACTATTCATAATGTCTCATACCAAGATCTAGTAATTTCTTACATTCCTGACACTTCTGATATGATCTAATTTTAATTGTTACTAATCTTCTTAATTATTTTTAGAATACAAATTTATTGCACTTGAAATATAATTAATAATAAATGAATTGCTTTTTGGAATAACCATTTTAATATAGATAATCAAGATGTTTATCATTCAGTCCTTACAATGATAACAATCTCATTAAACAACTTAAGAGATAACTTCATTATCCGCCTTAAAAAGTCATGCAATTAGACACTTATGAATACATGTAAACCCCACAATAAGTGGAAACAAATGTGATCAGTTCAGGTAAGTGTGTGCATTTGATAACAATATAGATTCCATATAGCATTACCAAAAGTTAATTGAGGACAGAAAAAATTCATTAATTATTGACTCGAATCCAAGAACTTTAAAATAAGAGGCAGCATAAAGTGCAGATATTTATTAATATAAATTAAATATACCAAAAGTTGTAGTAGCCAAACAATTGAATTAGAATATACTTAGAAAAAAGAAGAAAAAAATAAATCCAATTAATCCCCAAGATTGTAATGATGACGACATCTAACAATAGACAATTGTTTTATAAACCAACAATGTGATTGTCTAGACGGAGAATAAGAAGGAAAAAGTTTCCTTTTTGCCATTAATAAAAAAACAAAAATTATAACTTGAGGAATAGCCTATACAGAGATCTGCAAGATATCAATAATTAATGGTATTGAAATAGTAATTTAGAAAAAATCTTTTGGCGATTAATTTGTCGAACTTTAATCCTTAATCAAAAAGATGGAGAAGCAGCCAATTTAAAAAAGAGAAAAAAAAGTTACTTTTCTTCTCTGAAATTTGTAGCTTTGTCTTTGAATCATAAATTTATGTACTTAAGTGTTTGTATATAAGATAATTTCACTATTAAAAATAGAATTTTGTAATTTGATTCAACAAAAATATACTCATATTTAATCATTAACAATTATATCCATAGTATGGAGAATGGAGAAGAGAGTAAATATATTATAATAAATTAAAATTAATGTTTAATGCAATTTATATTATTATTTTATTCACTTAATGAAATTAAACACAAGCACATCTAGTGCTCCATTCATTCCACAAAGACCGCTTAGTTAAAATTCATCATTCGTTCAAGGAAGGATGTAGACTCCTCCAAGAGTTGCTCGATTTGCAGATACATCACCTCATGCATCTTTCGAATTTGAAGATTTGAATTCGTTATCACTCGAAGAAATCAACAGAGAATTAGATTAGAATAGTATGTTTATTTTTAAGTAGTTAATGAGGTGATCATGTTGCTTAATAGGAGAAAAAGTTTGATTCTAAATAAAAAGCGAAGACTCAAAGAGGAATTTTCAAATAAAATTGCTGAGTTGAAGCGCTATCAATATGAAGATTATGTTCAAGATTTACAAAGAGTTGAAGATCCATTGATATAATCACTCATGCAATAGAAAAGCTTACCGAAAATGCAAAAGTTGTTAGGGAATGTAATGAGAGATCAATAAGATCGCAAAGTTATGGAATTGAGTAAATCTTAGGAATTCTGGTAGTACAATAAAAATGTTGAAACAGAAATTGACAATCTTCTCAAAAAGCTGAAATATTTTGATAATGAACTCGAAAAAGATAACAATGAGATCTATGAAATTTGCAGACAGTTAGACACTATAGATGATAATATCAGAGACTTGCTTATCACAAAGGTAGATGACAATGTTTAAAGAGCAGAACCTTTATTCGCAAATAAACAGAGGTAGTAATCAATCCTGAATGGGAAGCTGAATTAGAGAAATAAATTGAAGGATGAAAAGATGAATTTAATATACAAAATCATAGAAGAGTTATAGAGATTAAGAGGGTTGAGATAGGAAAGGATAAATAAACTAAATATTGTATTTGGAGATGAAGAAAATATCTAAAATTAGAATTACTAAGGATTACAAAATGTTTAAGGTTCATAATAGAATTTAGATCAACCGTAGCCATCAAAGTTATAGGCTTATATGGATTTTATGGAATAATTTGATAACATAGCTTAAATGAGAGATCAAATATCTAAATTGGAATAGGCTGAATAAGCTTTACTAAATGACTTGGATAAGTTGTATAGAGAAAGTGATTAAGTTTTCAGTGAATTAATTAGAAGGATATCAGAGGAAGCAAAGACATTCAATGAATGGACAGAGAATCTTAAAAGAAGGATTAGATATATAAAAGCAAATGAATATTTCTTCTCGTAAACAAATTTACCTGAACAGTAAAATGGATTAGTCAATTCTTTACAGTTGGATTTGAAGGAGGTTAGCAGGAAATTTAAAGAAAATATGAATTATTTGAAACCATTGATTGAAGAAGATGCCACAATTAGAGCAGGTTTAGAAAAAACAGGAAGTACTATTTAATAATTTAAAAACATGATATTGTACATATTATTTTTGACTTCTTAAGGGCTATTTAAAATGAAAAGGAGAGGAGAAGAGAGTTACTTTAAATTTTGGAGAATTGTGCCAGATTGAGATAAGAGGAGGATATGTAATTTAGCAGGAGTTATTTTTAGGAAAACTGAATAATTGAGGAATATTGAATTAGAAATAAATAAAAAATTACAGTAGAAACGTAATTTGGAAGAAGATTTAGATGGGGTATTAGGTGATGCTGATTTAAATACTTTCAAAAAAATAGGTATTGCCATTAAAATATATGGTTAGAGTCCTTATTACATGATTATGATTAAGAGTTGGTCCATTTGAACAACTAAAAAAGAAAAATAATGAAGGAGATTGAAGAGATCAATCAGTCTGTCATCAATCTGTTGGCACGAATAAAAAGTGATTATGATGATATTCTGAGGGAAATACTTCCAAAAGATTGGACTAATACATATGATTTGAAGAAAATCACGGATTTAAAAAGAATGAAGAATTACTTAAAAAAGACATTTAAACGCTTTGGTATAATGTCAGATTGAATTCAATATTGTTATATTATAGTGATCATTTATTCATACCCAATTAGGATTACGTTCTTCTTAATTTTTACACCACATCTTAATATTCAGATTATTAATTGATAAACTTATTTAATAATTCATTCCTTAATAATCTTCCTTTGATATTTCCTTAAAACAGTTCCTATTTCGTAGAAAATGATACTATAGATACTTTCTTATGGCTTTTAGTCGTAAGTAATTATTACTAAGACCTATTAATACTTAAACTATTCTATTAAAGATTCAATTATTTTTCAGGAGTCTGTTTTAACTTGAAAAAGCGAGGGTTTGCTAGCTTAGCAAATCGAAAGTGCTTAGTACTTGTTTAATTGAGTTATTATTATGATGATATTGATTATTCAATGGGTTACTCTGGGAATATCCTTTATAATGTCTTTTTCATCTAAATACTTTTCTGAGTCTATTTAATCTCATTAGTTCTTTTGGATACAAAGCTCTTTCGTATATTAGGTAAGATCTAGTTGAGAAAATAAACTCCCTCAAAAACTAGTACTGCTCCTTCATCACTTATGCATAGAGCCTGCGATTTTCTAGTTTAGAAGAAATTCACACATTCAAAATCTCCTATCAATTATCCAGGTGTGTAGATGTTAATAGATTTCGTGTTGGTTTCTGTTGTTTCTCTTAACTCAAAGATTCCACTTATCACTAAAAACACTTATGATGCCTTTTAATTTTGATTATACAGTGTGTCTTAGCAGCAGAGATGCTAGGTAAAACTGTTGAGGAAGAATTGCTTTACTGTAGTGAATGGCAGGGTCCTAAACAAATGGAATGCATATATCTGTTAGAGCAAAACATTTATTTTGGATATCTCGTGTGTTAACATATTGATTTTAAAGTCCAACTTGGAAATGACGGCTGCTTTACAAACAGATTTGGTCTTAACTATCAGGTTTGGGCTTGCTTCCTAAATATGGAATACATATCTGCATAACAATCATTCCCAAATACTATTAAAGCAGATCCGAAATGTTTTGTACACAACAACTCTTATTCATTAGATTGGACACTCATTTCTCCTGTTAATAAAATTACTAATTGATCCTGATTCTCTCTGCCTCTCAAGTAAACTATTTGATTTTTTTTCAATTGTTCGAATTTCATCAGCTAACATACTCAGCCAATTTATACTTAGCAACATTCCCACAAATAATCTAAAGACGAGCTTCCTTTGAAATATAAATGAGATCGCATGAAATTCATCAAACGTGAATTGTCCTCATTAGTACGTCTTAGTTCTTCCATCTTTAGCACCCTTATACAAGACAATATAATGTTTGGATTTCTCATAACATGCTAATCGAGTCTTCTAATATCATCCTCGTTTAAATCTGTCATTGTACCTTAATTTTGCATTAATAATATTAATAAAAAATCATTTAAGTAGGTATTTTAATGACAGATTTTATTTAACCACTCCTCCTAATTTTGATATTATCAAACTAGATATTATTAAATATTTTGTACATTTGTCTAATATCCATTGGATTAATGTTAGTTTCACAATCATATAGAATCTCATCCATAAATCTGAATAGAAATGGATTAAATACTATTATTAAGAGGAAATATGGAGATTTCTATAATATTTTTCATATTTTGAAACTCAGCATCTTCACCTTGAATAATACATCAGTATTTGATGTTTATTAGAATTCAGTAATAATAAATTATAATCAAATTATTTCTTAATTCCAACATATACTAGTAAATAATAAATATCATTTGTCTGTGTAATCTATGAATTATTAAAAATAATAATATAAAATGAATATGAACTAAAATTCGGATGAGTGCAGTTTAATAAAATAAATGGAGAACCTTGCACTTAGACGTAAACCTCATTATATTTTCACTAAATAAGAGAACAAGATTTCAATAAATAAAATTGACTTAAACACACTTTTAAAAGAACTCTTACGAGATGATTGAATTAATTGATATCACTTCAATAAATATATATATAATATGTTTAGAAACTAACGAAATTGATATAACTCAACAACAACTATTTAGTTATTTTTTATCGTCATCTGAATTTTGAAGTGTGTTTTTGTTTTGAGCATTTGCACCCTTCTTAATACCACAATTCTAGTTATTTATTATAATTAATATACTTCATCACGCAAATCAATTTATTTGCTTTTTAATTTTTGGATGATTTCTTTAGCACTAATAACAAAGGCATCATCAATATGATCTCCTGTCTTTGCACTTGTCTCAATAAACAATATATTTTATTGCTTAGCCAACTGCTTTCCTTCTTCTGTGGTTACCTCCCTCATTGACTCGAGATCAGTTTTATTGCCAACCAAAATCATGCTCATTGTCTAGTTTCCATTCTGCCTAGCCTCTTCAATCCAAGTCTAAACACTGTTAAAGGATTCTCGCCTATGATAATAGAAATTTAATAATATACTTTGTGACATCATAAACAATTAAAGCACCAGCAGCTGATCTATAATAAGTTCGAGTAATGCTTTTGAATGCCTCTTGTCCTGCAGTGTCCCACACTTGCAACTTTACGTTTAAATCATCAACCTCTATGGGCTTAGCACCGAATTCTACTCCAATTGTAACTTCATGCTTCTATCGGAACCTTTTATCTAATAATTGAAGCAAAAGGCAGGACTTTCCAACACCTTTTTTAAATCTAATGTATTACCTGAGTCTCCTATGATGATATATTTAAAAAGAAAATCGTAAGACATAATCAGAATATATTAAAAATTTATTATTAATATTTATTATCATCAATAATTCTAACAACTGTGATATATTTTCATATGATCAAATCAATTTATGTGGAAAGAAATTTTGTAGATTTATTTTAAATCCATATAAATTACTTTGTTTTTAATTACAATATGTGGAATATTAATAGAGCATATAAAAGATTCCATAAATATATTATACATTTTGCATCATATCTTCATTCATCCCACTTTAAAGCAATAATAAAAGTAAATATTGATTATTGTAAAATAATATTATAATATATCAAGATAGTATTAAATCTATATATAAGATAATTAATGAATTTCCATAAAAATATGATATTTATTTCTTTATATGTATAGGATAAACAAAAATATAGTAATTTTCAAAATTCTAATTGGATAGATCGATTAGAAATATAAAAGTTTATATTTATTCTCTTAATTTTCTATAAACCTTATAGATGAGAACACACTAAAGTACTCTTTTCATTTTACTCTATTGACCAGCATTTCAGAAAGGATTGATGTCCCTATTCAAAATAATACTCTTAACAATATGATTCTAAACTAAAGAATGTATGAACATTGATTATTTATTATAATTATAAACGAGATGAATTTATAAATCATTTATAATTTATAATTCATAAATTTAATGAATTAAAATGTTGCCATACAATAATTTTTAGAATTTTTAATTTCCGCTATGCCATTCAAAAATCTAATTGTAGACCAGTATCCTGGAGCGTTTTGGAACAACGTTATTTTGGTACTCCATGTAAAAGCACTAAACTTGTAACATTTATTTCATTAAAATTAGTGTTTATCAATAGAAAATACACATTTTATTTGAAACTGATTAGAATATTTTGATAAAAATAACAGAAATGTCTTATGACCTTCAATAACATATATTTTTGATTATGAATTAATTATATATTTTTTAGTAATTTATGAATAATTTATCTTTTGATGATATACTCTCTACGCGAATAAAATTTGGTAAGGTTTAGATGCAAACATTTCTAATCATCAGTCTAATTGATTTGCTTGATGGATCAGAGTTCATGTTTCTGCAATTATTGAATGCAATAATTTATAAGGAATGGTCTCTAAATTTGGGCTAATTGATCGTCTTAGCAACAGTATTCAATTTGGGTCAGTTTATTGGGGCTTGGATTTGTGGTTAATTCTCAGACTATACGGGACGTAAGACAATGTTAATTTGGTCATGCTTACTCTAAGTATTAAAGAATTGTAATATTGTTCATAGCAATGCTTCTTACAGCATTTGTGTAGGATTTACCACAATTACTAATATTAAGGTTTTTCTTTGGATTGCTCTTTGGCATAGCATTGCCAATATCTTCAATACTGATGGCAGAAGTGACTCCTCTTCACGTAAGAGGATAATTTATCGTCACTTTACAAATGATGTATGTAGTGGGCAGAATGTGGATGTTATTGCTAGCCTTCATCTACTTGGATTCAATAGCAACGGGGAATTGGAGAGCCATAGCGGTTACCAATAGTATACCATGTTTTATATGTCTGATTGGCAGTATTATATATTTGCATGAATCGCCCCGTTTTCTTATTACTCAAGGGCGTATCAAGGAAGGAGTCGAAGGGATTAACTTCATGGGGCGATTGAACGACAAAGATTACGTTGACTTATCAGATGATGAAGTCTAAGCACTTTTAGAATGGAAAAAGGAGACATTCGAATAATAATATGAAGAGAAGAGTTTTAAAGACTTGTTTAATGAAGAAAATTTACCGATCACTTGGAGAGCATATTCATTAAGTATCATTTCAATGTTGATATATTCTGGACTCTATATCATCATACCATTCCTATTTGACGAGGAGGAAAAAACGTTGTTGGACCTACTATACACTGTTTTGATAGAATTGCCAGCAGTCTTAGTTGTGGTCTGTTTAATCGATAAGATCGGAAGATTGCCAATCATACTGATAGGAACAGCAACATCTATGATATCGGTTTTTATAATTTGGTATTGGAGAGCCAAATATCTATTGTTAGGTTTGGTTGCCTTCAAATTTTTTAATCGAATGACTTTTCTTTCATTCACTCCTCTTGTATTAGAATCCTATTCCACTATCTATAGATCTTTGGGAATAGGTACAACAATTGCTTTTGGTAGGGCAGCTGGTTTTTTATCTCCAGCTATAATACTACCATTATATTAGAAAGATAATTATAGTCCTTTTTTAGTTTCAATTTTTATCATGTTTGTAATGATAATCATATTTGCAACGTATCCTAAGGATTTAACGAGAAAACCACTCGATATTAAATATGAAAAGGTGGATTGAGATACAGAATATTTCATCTATAAATGTGTTTATTTTGGATTTCTTTTAATATATAATCAATTGTCTTTTTCAATACTAAAATTTTATTGAGGCATTCTTAAACAATTTTCTATTTATATTTCATTTATTTACCCAATGCAAATTTTACATCCTAAAATGCAAGTTTTGGTTTTGAATTTTTTAAGTCTTCATTTTATTATTAACGCTTTTAACTCACTCTCATAGACTCTTCTAGCAATTTATTCACAAATTCATTTCCAATATCAATAATCATTTATCTAGGCTTTTCATCAAATTACACCACTTCCTCAAATCCCATCTATTTTATTAGCATATCTAATCCTTTTGAATCAAAAAAGGTAAACTCTTCATTTTGAGGAATTTAAGCATTCTAACTTGGTGCTTGATTCATAATATATATATTTATAATACAAATTTATTTTATTTTATAATTACTTTTTAAGAAATACTATTTTAACTCAAAACTTTAAGGTGTCTAAAAACCATAAAGTCATGATGTAATTCCTGAAATATAAGAATTATATATTTTACTATTATAAGGAGATATAAATAAATTTAAGGCTTCAGGCTTCACATATTTTATTGAATTTATTCGAAAACTTCAAGATGATTAAAATATCCATTTTTTCTAATTATGAGTGATAAATCATTTGAAAAAAACACCAGTTCCTTCTAATTTGAATTACTTTATGATTTGAAAACTATCATTCTTCAATAATTTTATAAAGTAAATAATCGATCCAATTACAGTAATATTATTGATCTTTCTTAAATATATTTTATATTTTTTATATCTTTAGAGCCATATAAATTGCTTTGAGACTATGGAAATGTAATAACTAATTTTATTAATAGTTTAAACTTCCATTGATTGCATTTATATATAATCAATTTAGTTATTTCGTTGTTTTATAAAAAATACAATTACTATGATTATGCAATAAAGCAATTTAATGATATAAATGATACATTCATAACCCTATTGGTTAATGGGCTATTGAAGTTTTTAAGTAATTTCCATTAATTTTATATTTACTATATATTATAATTTAATTATTGTTCCAATAATAATAGAATTATTTGAATAATTTATGCTAAGGGAATTAATTTGATATTAAATCTAAATTGAATTTACAAATTTCCAAGTTTATTAATCCTATCTATTTGAATTATCATCAATTTATCTTAATGACCATAAGCAAAGATATTTTATTCCTCATTGCATTAAATATTAACCGATGTTGGTATTGGTTATTCCTCTAGCTAACACAAATTCCAATTTATATAATCTGGAGTCTTCCAAAATTCCAAGAATGAGGATTTAAATTATATAAAAGTTGACTTTTTATCTAAAAGTAAATTAAATATTTTTTATCCATTTCCATTAGCTAGTATGAACGATAAATATTTAAGTTTTCTTTTAGAATCAATAGAAAAAAATAAAATTGAATTATCTTAGCAATAAATGAATTTGGATGCATCAGAACTTATTTCTAAGACATATGTTAAAAAATTAGCTAAAAAGGACTTGGCTTATTTGATTCTTTAATACCGAAACATAATTTGTTGAATTATTTTTAAATAATAAATATTAATTATCATAATATCATAGCATTCAATTTGAGATCTTAAATTTATATGATAGGAAGTTTTGTAATATTTTCTATTAAATATATATATATACATATTAATATAATTATTTAATTCATATGATAAATTATACAAGGACAATTAACATTGATGACTCAACAAAACACAGATTGAGTACTCAATGTAAGGATAACTTTTTGCAATTCATAATGTTACAGAAAGCTGGGAAGCAGGGTGATTTGAAAATGTTGAATCATTTGAAAAGTGTTTACCCAAAGGAATTGAAAGCTAAAATTTTAAAAAACGCTACGAATATTGATTACCTCAAACATCATGAATAAAGTGAGAAGATTCTGAGACAACAGGCAAAGTTTATATTAACGAGTAGAAAACACAATAACTTGACTGATAGACCGAGAAGCAGATTGGATGAATTAATAAAAAAACCATCTAACTTATCTCCAAGATGTTTATTGACGACAGTAGACAAATTTAATATATGAGTACTCAATAATATCACTAGAAGGAATGATCATTTTACATAGTTTTGATTATAAATTCTAAGAACTCTTATTCTGTTAAGACAGATTTTTATTTTAAATTGGTTTTGCTAAGAATATTATGCCAATTTTTATCGCTAATTCTATTGCCTCCAAATATTCTTCTCATTTCCATCATGGACAAGGCATTATCCTTATCCACATCCAATTAAGCGAAGACCAGTTTCAATTTCTCGACTGTCAATAATTTCTTCTTGTCTTGACAAGCCAATAAGAATTCTGGTTAATATATATTATATTATAATACCAGTATAGTCTAGATAGCCATTTCCATTGGAGTCAATCTTCTTAACCAATTTTTCAATGTCCTGATCCTCCAACTTGGTACTCGTTTAATATTTTTTATATCCTCTATCTATGATGCAATAAGTACCTTCAATTAGTTCTTAAGTTGAAATTTTGCCATCTCTATTTTAGTCAAATTCCTAAAATATTTATAAGATCTCTCCCTTCTATTCTTAAGTTAGAGTCATTTAAACTATTTACATGATGATGGCTTCCACTAAGACCTCACATTTCTAGAATTTACGAAGATTGGTTAAGGCAGGATTTATTTTCAAGGCCAATTTTTTTAATTTTGCTTTTTCAATCCATCTGTCCTTGAGAGCATCAGCAGCAGATGGTCGTTGATTTTATGAGAAGTTTAACAGTTTTCTGACAAATTCTTTTGCATCTGGGATTTTATCCCAATCGAAGGTATCTTCTAATTTGACTATGCCTCTCATAATAGAATTCTTAATGGATGATGCCATGACACCATCGAATGGCATGGCTCCAGAGAGTAGGAAATGTAAGAGCACTCCAACAGCCCAAATATCGGATTTAAAACTATAATTTCCATTCAACATTTCTGGTGATTAATAATGTTGATCTCCGACTGGTAGTTATATATATTGTGAGATTTTTTTGGCAGCCCCGAATTCTACAAAGGTGATATTGAGTTTATCATCACAGAGAAGGGTGTTGTGATCTAATAGTTATGGGAATAATACTCAGAAAACGATAAATGATATTTTTTGAATGTAAATACAAAAGTGTGCTTAAAACTTACTCTATGATGATGGCAGCCATTTGTTATGGGTTTTCTCCTCTGGTTATCATCTTACTCAATAGATTACCGCCTTCATAATCCTCATAAACGATGTAATAGTGTAAACTTTCATTAAAGTATTCGATCATTTTGGCAATATTCGGATGATCCTTGCTTTTATGCTAAATTTACTAGATATTGCATCATGTGAATGTTTTTCAGGATCAGAACGGGTTCATCTGATTTGGGATCTTCCGTTTTTTTTATGGTTTTGACAAGCTTTCGAGAATCGGTCTTTTTGCTATAGCACCACTGATAAATCCCATATTCTGTGGACAGAAAAGGATGGGAATCAATCAATATGTATTCGTCCTTGAATAAGTTCTTATTTAATTGAAAGCAATCCCCCTAATCGAAAGGCATTTCAGCATAGACAGGGTTGCCTGACCAAATAAATGGGTATACATACTTTCCAACATTTGGTTTTTGGGGATGACTACTTTTAATTTTGAAGTATTTCTGCTGTGAACCTCTTCCTTTTGTTTCTTTGCTATGCATGAACCCATCAGTTTAAAAATAAATTAAAATTTATGTCGAAGTATCGTCCATAAAGAAACAATGAATCTCGAACCAACCAATCCCAAAAATAAGATAGTTCATTGATGGAAAGTGATTCTCAACAGCAACCGAAGAGTCCCCAATTCACTCAGGAGCAGAAGTAATGAAATATGTGATATCCCTATTTTATAGCACTCTCCCGAGAAGCACCTACAGAACACCAGATGCCAGAGTCAATCACTTCGATGGAACTTCAAATGAAGAAATCTACAAGAAAAAGTAAACACAAACTTATTCTAGAATAAATGAATTGCAAAGATAAAATGATGATTTAAGAGAAAAGTATTTACAAGTATCCAGTGAGAATCAAGTCATTATTTAAGAGCAAAGAGAGGAAATAGAACAATATTAAAACGAAGTTGATAATTTGAAGGAGCAATTGATACAAAAGGAAATTGAAATGAAATAAATATATGAACTCAATTAATCCCTCAAACAAGAAATCAGTGATTGGGAAGGTATCTTTAACATTTAATAAACAATCCCTAGATGGATTTGATAAACTGGAATAAGACTACAACAATAAACTCAAAATTGAAGACGAATCATAAAAAATACTAGCAGAAGTCCAATAGTTGAATGAGGAGAATCAGAATTTGTAGGATGAACTCCAAGAAAAGGATAAATTATTTAATCAATGCAAAGAATAACTATAAAGTGTCTAGTTAGATTTGAATTAATTGCAATAAGACAGTTAGTACAACCAAGAATTATTGAATCAGAAAGACAGAGAAATCTATGAATTACAATAGCAACTAGAAAGAGATAAGGAACTCTTGAGAAAACAATAGGAATTCTCTAATAAGGTATCCTACATATTACATATTGTAGTAAGATCTCTTAACTAAAGAAATTTAAAAGTTGAATCAACAACTCAAACAATTGTAAAAGGAGAACCAAGAGTTGAAGAATGAAAAGCAATTGATCTCCTCCGAACTTCAAGAAAATAGGGCCAATCCTGAATATCTGACCAAAATCAATCTTTTGGGATAGGTACATCATTTCTATGATATCAGGAAGTTGAAAGATTAAACAATACACTAGCCTTAAAGAGTCGAGAAATTAATGATTATAAAGCCTAGATCACTAGAATGCAAAAGGAAATCTAAAATTTAAGAATGAATGAATTCAAATTACAAGACATGAATATGAGTTTGGATAATTTAATTAATCAATACAACAAATTGAAAGACGACAATTAAGTTCTCAAATAGTAGATGGCTCAAAAGTAAATCAAAGTAAATTCAGAATTGGAGAAGAAAATTTAACTACTTCAACAAGAATGCGAAAAACTTTCTCAATAACTCAATTCTAGTAAAAAAGAGAATGATTACTTAAGAGAACAACTAAATGCATAATAGTAATTCGAAGATGCTAACAGATTGTTAAAATAATAAACAGATAAGCAATAAATGTAAATTAAACAGTTAGAAAATGAAAGATAAAGTTTAATGCAAGAATATCAACTATTATCAAATAGTTACAATAATTAAAAGTTTAATTATTCTTAACTTCTTTAAGAACAATAAGAAAATAATGATTCAGTATAGTATATTAAATAAAAAAATATAGGTTTTTCAATTAAAAAGTGAAATCTAACGATTATAAAAAATAATGCAGGATACGGTTGAAAAAAGCCATGCCAATAACAATCTATAGGAGGTTGTCAATTAATAACAAAAAGAACTTGAAGTAGCTAATAGACAAATTCCTTTATTGAAATAAACAATTTAAAAGTTAAAGAATGAATTAGACATAACTAAAGAGTTTATAACTGAAAATAAAATCGAATAATAATAGTAACTTATGATTCAATAGGATCCGAAATTAATTGATAAATTGTAAAAGTATGAGATACGGTTTCCGTAATTAGTGGAGGAAATAGAGAGGCTTAATAAAATATTGACAGAGAGAAATGAAGAAATTTTGATTTATAAAAAGAATTCTTTTTAATAGGATCAAGTATTGGAGAAAGTAAGTGCATACGAAGGAGAAATTGAAAGATTGCGATAGACAATTCTTTTAAAATAATAAACAATAGATTCATTATAACAATAAAAAGAGAATCCTGGAGTCTAAGACTTAATATTTAAATTGCAGGATGAAAATAGAAGATTAACAAATTTGGTAAGTGTAAGAAATAATGAAATTGCAGAACTTAAATTTAAAATATCAGAGTATGAATAGAAACAAAAGTTGTTGGGAGAATCCAATTCTGGTAAGTATGAGTTGCAAAATCTTATGCTAAATTAAGAAATTGATCAATTGAATTAGAAATTGATAGAGGCGAAGAATGAGATAAGCTCATTGAAATTGACTAAGAATGATAAATTCAATGAAGAAAGAGTAAAAGATTTAATAAATGATTTTAGGGAAAAGTATTGACTTAAGAATTAGATAAGTAGATAAGAATAAATAAGGACAATGAAAAAGAATTAATGAGTTTAAGATCAAAATTTGCAGAAGTTGTAGATGCTGAAAGAAAATTGATTGATTGCAAATGTCTATTAGTTTTATTGTATAATGAAATAGAACGATTAAATCAAGAAAAAGAAAATGATAATTTGTTAGTTTGAATTTATATTTATTTATTTAACAGCTATGGAAAACAATAGATTTTACGCGAATCAATCATGTCAAAAAGAATTAGAGTAGCAACTTAAGGATTCATTTTTAGAAAATAAACTCTTAAAATAAGAAAACAAATATTTGTAATTTCTTTATCTAGACAAAATAGATCATCTACTTTTGAAGAATCAAAGTTTAAATAAGAAGAAACAAGGAAATTGCAATCATTAGTAGTTGAATTGGAAGAGAGAGTATTAACTTTGGAAGAAGAGAATGCTAAGTTATATTCTGAGATTGGTTACTTGTAAGAATCACATAAAATATTATTTCAGAAGAGGATTCTCATAAACCAACGAGATTTTAGTGAATTAAAAACCTAGTTATACTTAATTAGAGCAAGAATTATAGGATTTATAGATATACTTGAAAAAGTTCATTTAGTTACAGGAATCGTAATTAAATGAAATATATTAATAGTTTAATTGAATAAATACCAAATATAAATTTATAATTATGTTGGAAAGAAATTAATTAGATATTTAAGAGTTAATTTAATACTAACTAATCAATTCAGAATTTGTAAGATGAATTAAAATTGATAGAAACAACTTATAAAGAACTTGTCCATTCAAAAGATAATGGCTTGACACACTTATAAGAGATGGCTAAATGTAATAAAAATCTTACTAAATTAGAATAAAGCATTAGAGAATCACGAGTTGAAATAGAGAGAATAAGGAAAGAAGTGCAATTAAATTAAATGGATTTAAAGTAATTTGAAACTAAGTTGAATGGTTTACAAAATGAGTTTACTTACATAAGTAAAATAGAAACACGAAAAAACAATGTGTAAATGGAGGCTGAGAAACAATTGATAGAATTCAAAAGAGGAATATTAAGTACGAAAAACTCAAATCATAATGTAACTCTAATGAGAGATACTTTCAAAGATAGAGATACCTATAAAGAATTGATACCAGAGAAATTAAGGGATTCCTCTAATGTACTTCCAGTGACTTAATCAATACATAGATTTTAGAGACCCCAAATTGAAATTAACGATAGGTATGATGATTATCAAGACATTAAAACTCCAATAGAGAAAACTATTGATTAGACGAGGAAGAAATTAAGTAGATAGTTAAGTTAAGCAAGTAGTCTTCGTGATTAAAAATATATTTGATCATATATAATCTTATAATTCATGAAGGAAGTTTTTATAGATACAACCATAATGACATTGGATTGAAGGCTAAATTCTATTATAGTTATTGTTATTGTAGTTGCGATTATTACAAATACTGTTATGATTACTCTTGGTTTGGCAGTCTCAATTACACATTATTGGGTATAGAGAATTATTATTCCATTTTGATCTGGTTCTAGATGATTAGAAATAAAAGCATACACTTTCTTGTTCAGGCATCGAATTTGAACTTTGGTTGGGAAGAGTACCTGAAATGTGAATAATTTTCCTTATTCTCTCAGGATTAACGAGTTACTCAGGTTCCTTAAGTTCCTTTTTCTTCTTTTTTTCTGGAATTTTTGCATTATACTCCTCTTCTAATTATTCTTAATCAATTTAATCATCTTCTCTTTTATATTTCAATAAAGAATTATAAACTCTGTGGTAGGCTTGCTGCATTTAATCCTATGGTGTATATGAACAATAGTTACTAGATTTTCAATTTGGATGAAGCCCTTAGGTACATCATTAATATCCATAATAACCTAAACACAATCATTGTTAAGAGGTTCAAGAAATTCTAGAATCTTTTTCATATTCTATTGAGATTTTGTTTCGTTGGCCTTACAATCAATGTATAGGATGATGAGTTTCTGATCTATCTTCTGAATCCCTTGCAATGCATTGCTGGTAGAGAGGACATGTTGTAAGGTTTAGATCAAATTGTCAGGCTAAATAATTGGAGTGTAAGTTACTTCTGTAAATTTAATTTTAGCAGAGTTTACATACAATGAGATACAAGCACTGAATTTAAGTAGTAAGAAAATGGGATGCTTAACTTTATGCCGTATATTTGGAGCAGTGAAATAATTGATGAGTCCTTCAATAGAATTTTTAATGACTTCCTAATTGGAGGGCTTGATAATTAAAAACTATTTCTCCAAATTATTGGGTAGAAAAGGGTCGAAATAGGATTGCAATTTTTGGATCTTAATCTTAGTGATGAAATTACTTTCTGTTTGACGATATCTCTGGCTGATTTTCGGGAATCTACGAATATAGGAGGGGAGATGCGAGAATCCAAAATCTGGGGAAATTCGAATTTACTCTGACACAAATACAATGTTATCACAATATGAAATCGTTAATGCTGATCCTATTTTTGAAAATAATTACATCATGATTATAAGAAGTGGTGTTGAACTTCAGGCCTGAGAAAATGCATTTCCCATTCTCCATATCCACTTTTAAGTTTCCCTTGGCTCCAACCTCCAGCAGATGATGAGTCTTCATCGGAGTTATGATCGGCTTGACGATTTGCAGTTTACACTTGCTATAATTTCGATGGATACATATATGTTATTTGGAGGGGCAAGGCGCTCGTTAGTCTAAGGGTCTGTAATCTAAGGAAAGTGATAACATATAAAACTATACTTCCATTTCCAAGCCAATGTCAGGAAGATTCCAACTTTTATGCCAATTCCACCCCAAATTATCTGAATAAATAAATGGTCTGCTCTAATCAATCTTTATGTTGATGATTGGATCGATGGTCCCATTCTCTGCTGGAATCTTAAGAGATATTTATGGACTCAGATTCCAAGAAGTTTGAGTATCCTTTACTATGCGCTTTACATCGTAATTACAAGGAACCCATTCCCAAATACTCTTATCTTGCTCCTATTTCATCATTTTTTTTATAAAATTTTTACAAGAATTACTTAATACTGATGTGCTTAAATTGTATGATTATTTATATAGGATATTGAATTTAATTCTATATAAATCAAAAAAATAGGAGCCTATTCTAATTATTTGTTGATCATTTTTATTTCTCATTTTATACTTTCAATATATTAATTCTGGCTATTCTTACAGGGCTCTTAGTAAGTCATCAACCAACAATATTTGAAATGAATTGCAAAATATGTAATGCTAAAACAAAAACTAAAGATATGATCAACAGATTCTAATCTCTATTAAAGAAATAATTTATTTAAATCAATGGAATTATTACATCATACATGATCTAGTTGATCTCTTTTACATTTCGATAAGCCTTATTATACTCAGGAGTCAAGATTTATTCATAATTCATTTTGGTATATAATATATTACTGTAATACGTCATTGCTTAAAATTAAAAATATTATTTGGAAATAATCAATTTTCTTGATATCAATATAAAATAATAATATTATGATAGTGATTTCTCATATCAGGAAAGTGCATTATTATTTTGCGTATCCATAAGAGAATTAAAAGAATTATTGTCAGATAATTTAAATCGGCCATTTAATTTGAATATCCTATGTACTCACTTCTTTAAACTCTGTTTTCTTATATTAAACTATTTACAACTATTTATTTTAAAAAGAACTAATCAGTCATTCTTGCTTCATCCTTTTAGCCTTCATTCTTATTAGAATATCTCATTTAAGATAACCACAAGGAAAAACATATTTAATAAATAAATTAATAATTGTCATTAATCAATATTTTTAAATATCATTTCAATTGAGTGCTATTATACATTTTTAACAAGCGGAATTTTCTTCCTTTGCTGCCATTTTCTGAAGATTATTATTAAAATAGCAGTTATTATTATTAGCACTATAAGTGCAATTATAAAATAGTAACCAAAGCTTTAGTTGATAATAACAAATTTCTAATCGTAAAAATAATCTATCTCAATCCTTTCTAGATTATACAGAGTAACAGTAGCTAAATTTAATAATTCCTTTACCTATTGCGTGAATTGAATATGTAGTATTAATATAATCAATACCCTAACTCATTAAAGATACATAAGAATCAAGCTGTCTTTTGGATGATATTTGGGTTGTTCTTGTATCAATTGCTTATTTTTGACTCCTCTACTTGGCTTGATCGTTTATATCATAAGTATCTAAGAAGTAGACAGACTTATCTGAATTAGAGTCTACAAATAGAAGTTGATATTTAATTTATTCAACTTAATATGATGAATTCATCAAATCTATCCTAAGTGGATCAGCATGGATAATATGTTCATCATCTTCTGTAATTATTTCTGTTATTTGATTTTTGGTGAAATTTGAAAAATCAGGCAGAATTGAATCTTCACCAATCAATTCAGCCTTTATTTAGTATTTAACTTCATAATTTATGTGCATTGTTTAATTTTCTATTAATGTTTAAATGGTGTAAATGCCTACTTTTTGTACTGGAAAGTAACCAATCAGTTATAAGCTATTCTGAAATAGAATGACTAAAGGAGTATATATTGAATTAACTTGTTCTGGCCTATCGTAACCTTTTATAGTGACATTCTAAGTAAGATATTACATTTAAATTAATAATCTTCCAACAGTTTTGCAACTGAATGTCCAAATCGTATCATTGCTTGAAGTAACTAATTATTTCTAGTTTTATTTCAATTAAAAAGGAATTAATTAATTAGTGTCTTTGAAATAATCTTAAGGCTATTTAGAATCTTCCAAATAATAAGTAATAAAATATTCACACTCTGATTCCCCAAATACTCCTATATAATAAATACCCTTCAGGCTCTCATACATATTATTAAATTTTGAAATTGTAATATTCTTCTAATATAAATGACGGTAAACCCAGTCATGCTTTTCCTCATTTGGGAATTCATCCTTCGATATTATTATCGTAGCATCACAGAGGTTGTTTTCCTATAACAATATTATTAATTCAGTATCCTCATCTGTAATTTATACTCTATAATAAGCTGTATATCCTTTCGATATTTTACCAGGTAGAAAACTCTTCAATGACAATTGTCTACTTCCCGAAGAATATATTATAGAATACACACTATTTGAATTAATTGTATAATTAAAGTGAGGAACTTGTCTAATCGTAATTGCTATCATGCATCTATTTGAGGAGTTGAATTATTTAGCAACCTCATCCTTAAAAATAGAAACCTAACTAGTATGAAACCCATTGAAATTTTTTGACACCTTAAATAAATTGGATTCGGTTTCAACTTATGGATAGGGGTATAATTAATTAGCTTATGCTTAGAAAATAATCACCAATATTTAGAGCTAAACATTTTGATTAAGATTTTTAACAATAATATTGGAATCCCTTTCATCAATTAAAGAATAATAATGATCACTCTCTTTAGGTAATTTGTGGTAGATAACTTAATCCATATGGAGTGATATTTCATTATTTTCATGAGAGATAATTAAAGTATAAAAGCCTGACTTTTTGGTAGATATTTGAATATAAAAAAAACAATAATTTAATTCTAAATCTTCCTTTTTGCATCTTTCTTCTTTCAACTTCTCCTTTGGAATTAATAATGTGGACTCATATGTTGTTAGAGTTTCATTCTTTAAAATAACTGAAACTCTTATGCTATTCCCCTTATCTTCAGTGTTTTTAATTATTGAATAGTCTTGCACTTAATTGTATCTAAATAATAACAATTATCCCATTTATTCAATATAACCAAAGTAATGTTCATTTTCAATTATCTCTTAAACTTAGCGTTAACTCTAAAACATTGAATGAATAGCTATCTTATAAGTTGAATAGTTGTAATGTTCTTGCAACTCTATTCTTAGAAATACAGCTTATTCACCATTCAATTGTTACAAATAAACTTAAATCTCTATAGGATCTGTCCATATAGACCCATTCTTATTTGATGAAGGACTTACAAATCCATGCATCACGATCCCACCCAGAGGTGATAGAATATGAATACTGATAAGTTGTTTTTTTTTATTGAATGAATTAATTGAATTTAATCTGATATCTAATTACTGTGTGAGGTCAATTTTGAATAGGCCCACAGTTTAATTGTTATCATTATTTAGTACGTGAAATTAAGAATCCCCTTCGAATATTTAAGTGTATTCCCAAGGATAGGTGCCCAATTATTTCTGATTGTTTGCAATCTTAATTACGACTGTAATTGTAAAAATACCAGCAGTCTAACAATATACTGAAATAAAGTAGACTTGAGGATTCTTTAAGGTTTCCTAAAGACGATAAATGATAACATCATTGTCTCCAATTTATTCATAGTTGGTTTTATTAGGATAATCTTTAGTAGATGATAAAAGAACGTAAGAACCCTATATTGATATTAGCATTATTTGCATTTCTTCGAAATTTTCGATAGGATTCAGAACATATTAAAAATATGAGTAAGATTCTTTTGTAACAACACTTTTATACGGAGTATTATCCTTCAGTCGTTTAAATTTTAGTTCACTTCGCAAAATAAAAGAGTAAGAACTAAAATTCCTTTCACTTTCGTTCAAATAGATTCCAAGAGTGTAGAGCCCAATATTTACATTAAAGGCTTAAATGGAAAAATCAGGTTAGAAACTTAGGCTTTACTTATCTTTTTTAGTGAAAATGAATAGTTTTGAAGGATCCTCAGATTCAAGTTGATCCTTATTTTTAATATCTATTTCTGGTATTTTTTCATCTTATATTCGGCTTTTTTTTATAATGATTACAACATCATTGTTTTCAGATTCCATTTATAAGCTAAATTTACCACTCATTAAGTCAGATCTTAGATCGAAAGACACTTAAAGAAATTAATCCTTATAGACTCTCCCCTAATAATATATATTTTATTTTATATGCTCAATCTTGTTCTATGGAATAACAATAAATTAATAACTTGATAATTCGTTACCAAAAATGATAATATCGATAGATTTAATCTGCATATAATTTTTTAAGTCCAAATCTGAAAATTAGATAATGGAAGTTTAGTTTATTTTATATTTGTATTCATAATCTTCAAAGGATAATGGCAATTCTTATTTAAAGTTAAAATAGACAGTAATTAAACCTGAATAGGGCTTCAATTATATTGACTAATTGATACATTAAATTAAATTATACCAAATAATTTTAAGTAATTTCTTATCCATTTTATTTCTTCTCAATTTAATAATGATGAAACGAATTTAAATCCACTTCCCCTGAGATCAGAATATCGTAAGATCTTTTTCTTATTCTCTCATTCGTTTTAGTTTTTAATTCAATTAATGATCCTATCTGCGATTCCACTATAATTGTTAAAATGGAAGAATTGTTGATTTCAACCCAAGGTAAAATAAGATATTTGAGACCATTCAAGAAATCTTTACCCACGTAATCTGACTGTTATGAACTTGGGAGGGTGTCACCCACATTTAAATACATATGAAAAGGATTTTCTATCTCAAAGTAATTAATGATAGCGCCTGTAATTTCCAATTCCTCAATATTGAGGGTGTGATCAATTTAAATTTTCACAATCTAACTTGAAGATCCTTCATTCATCTTAAATCTTAATAGATCATCTAAATAGTTGAATATTGAATTACTCATTGACATTTTTTATTCTAAATCATAATTCACCTTTAAGGTATATTTGCAATCTTCAAAACAGGTAATTCCAATATAATAGTGTTTATCAATTTAAATGTCCTTTTTGTCGATGACACACAAGTCTTGAAAATTCATTCTAAATTTATACCGCTTCCTTGCGATAAACAATATCCTAGTTCGCTTTGTTCGATTGAATATGGTTCAGGATTTAAGAGGGACAAAAAGATATTGGGATCGCCTTAAGGAGTCTATTGACTAACAATAATGATGATATCTGCGTTATCCAAGAGCTCAGAAATTTCAAAGTAATAACTGTGGCCAAGTGAGTTGTCAGTCTTGAAATTTAATTATCTAGGAATTCAAATAGATTCTTACCCTTCATATGTTTTTCCAATGTTTATAAAATTAGATTTAGCATTAATCAGATATGGAATCAGCAAAAGTATAAACATCATATTTATTAATTAAAAATCACTATGTCACCGGAAAGAAAACAAATTATTAATTTTTTTAATTCTTAGAGTTCCACCATAATTTGATATTTAAAGAATTAATTTATATTATTATTTTTAATTTATAATTAGCTTTTTAATAGAGAAAGTGAAATAAGTAAATCAATCAAATGATAAATGACTAGAATTAGTTAAATGATTATTCATGATTTTTCAAATTTAGTTGTCTCTTTAATTTAACCTGCAATCTCAATTAATTACTTCCTAATTACAGCTTTAGAATTCAAATCATTTTCTTTTTAAGCTTGACTCATTAGATTCTCGTATTTTTCATTAAGTTCCTTGAGTTAGGATTCAATTTCCTATTGCCTGGAAGTCGACATAGGGGATAGAATTTGTTATTGCTTTCTATTCTCTGATCTTCTATCCTGACTGGATTAGTTATAGTTTTGAGTGTTCATCATATCCTCCAAACATTCCCTTATAGCCTATTTCAATTAGCTTTATTCTAGTCTTGAACTACTCAACGGAGGAGACATATCCATCCTGGTTATATTTTTTTATTCCTTATAACCTTATTTAAGTTCCCCTTAACTGTACTTTCTGTTAATGTACCTATGTTATCTTTCTTAATAATCTAATTTGATTTTGACCTGTTGATATTTGAGACTTAAGTCTTTGTAATCCTATGTTAATTGCTCAATAATTTATTAGTATTCATTGCATTTTCCAATCAAATCCTGGATTCTTCGACTCATTTGTTCCTCTCTTGCACTCTTATTTCTTTCTATCTCATCTATAGTTTTAACATGTTGTTTATCCTTTTCTTCCAGTAATTGTTTAAGTGAATGGATTTATTTTTCAAAGTCATGTAACTTCATTGGAGGATACTTTGATTTATAATTAGTAAATTCTTATAGAACCTACTCTTTCTCCATTTCTAAGTATTCTAACTTCTTTTCAGATATTTTTAGTTGTTAATCTTTTATATCGAGTTTGGTTTTTAGATCTTAAACAGTTTATTTAATATTATCATCAATTTTTTTATATTTAGTTTTTGGTATGACTCCTTTATCATTTTATTTATAAACTGATAATTATCTTAATAAATTTTCATTGGCCATTTGAATTTCTTGTTTTTCATGTTTCAATTCTTCATATTTAATTATCATATCACTGAGTCGATCTTAATAGTCTTTGACATGTTGTAACCTTTCAGTTTATGGAAGGTCATTAAATTATGATGGCATGTGAATCCTCTAACTTTCTTGATTTGTTTTTGTTAATAAGTATTACAATCTTTCGTTTTCGTTCTAAAGATCATATATTTGCTTCTTCAGTTAGTCTGTGAAATACTCAGAGGGATTTTCTATCGATTTCTTTAATCCCTCATTCTTTAATCCTTCGACTCCCTTCAGTTTATCCTACAACGCTTTGAGTGCTTAAGCATAGGCATTCTAAGATGCAGAAGTAGGATTAGAAGCGAATGCTCCCAGAGACATACGAGATTCTCTTTCATTCATTGTTATTTGATTATGATATGAATAAAATTATTTATTATGAACAGTTTTCATAATAGTTCAATTTATTCTTTGACTTATTTTTTTCTTGCCTCCCCTTCCTCTTCCTTTTGATGTTTATATTGATTTGCAATGCTGGAAACTGCTATTTTTCTATTCTTATATAGATTGAATTGTTTCTGAGATAATCTTCGTTTGACTGATGAGTCTCTGACTTTGAAATCGAAGTCCATTTCAAATTTGGTTTAAGTTTGAGATGCTTAAACAGTGGATCCAAAGTAGATCTTACTTTTCTTTCTTTCTGAGACTCTGATGTCCTTTGAGGATGAATTGTTTTTGAGAAAAGACAATTATTTGGTTTCATCCAGCAATGGTTGACTGGAGTTCCTTTTGAGAGAAGGTTTATTGAAACGATTGGTTTTGGATCCAATGTGAGATTCTTCTATGGAGGAATTGATTTATTGTAGACTTTAATTGGGTTGGATCACAGATAATAAGGATGGATCTAAACATTAAATATTTGATACTCGGTTAATGCTGTCTTCTCATGGGCAAGAGAGGATTCCTAGGCAAGACTTGTTTCAATATCTTGTGACCTGCATCGTCATCAAGTTCGAATTTGTACTTAACATTTCTGATCTGTTGTTTTTTGGGTTTGGGTTCAGGGACATCTGGGATTTTGTAGTATCGAGAGGAGGTAGAAGCCAAGAAGTTCTTTGCTTTCCATTAACTCAAGGTGATCATTTCATTATTGGTTCTTTGTTATATGCATGGAGGGTGATGCACAGAATTGATTTGATCAATAATATTTTAATTCATGATACTCAAAATCATTATGGCAATAGTTGTGCCCATTTCAATCATCTTGCTTTTGAGTCTCATCATGAACAGTGTGTTTATACTAATTCAATTACCCAACTCACTTGACTAGGGACAATCTTTAACCAGATCGATATTCAATGAGACTGTCTCGATTGAATACAGTTACAATAAAATAATGTCCAAATTAATGATCCCAGCCATCAAGGATCTCTTTGTTGCATAAGAATTGCTAGCATAAGACTTTCACATTATGTTAGATGAACCCTTCCAATTTTATCAAATCAATTCCACTCTCAACGATCCTGAAATAGAAGAGCTCATCAATCACTTGAAACAATTCAACTCCTTAATTACAAACAAAATCACTGTACTTTGTGAAAATGGGCTTCTTGCTGTTTATGGAGATTAAAACATTTCAGACTATTACACACTTTGGTAATATTAGGTGAGAAATTGTGTATCTAAAGATAATTGCATTGTATTGGATGCATATTCACAAAAATGGATTAAACCTGAAGTTTTTCCAGATGGAATGAAATTTACATTGCTTGTAGCAATTATGGGAAAATATAAATGTAGTATAAGTGAGATGCAAGATTTAGAGATGTTTGTCTCTTTGACGAAATCATGGGATCCCTAAAATATTTATAGAGGATTACTCCTCGATTCAGTAATTAATAATATTGTATCTTATTTTAGTATCTTTATTAAGTCAATCCTGATGACGCCCTTGAAATCGGGAACCTATCTTTTCTAAGTAGAACATATGTTAATCAAACTGAGAATTGGATCGAGAGTTTGTATGAATCTTTGAATGATTGCGGGTTTCAATTTAAAACATTTGAGTATGTTGGAGTAGACCAGATAAAATACATTTGCAGAAGCACTCTATTTTTTGTATCTAATCCCATAGCCCATCACTGTTAAATAGTGGACATCAACGAAAAGAAGAACTACTCTATTTTGTTTATAGAAACCTTCACTTTGAATTTCAGAAATGAGGCTGCTGGATCACTGGAAGAACCCGATAAAATCAACCAGTATATAACCATTCTATTCATTTCCTCCTTAATAATATTTCTATATACATGGAGACAGGGTGTTAAAGCTGGTCTCTCATTTGTTGTTCCCTTACGTTTAATGGGCAACAAGATCTTAGAATAGTCTGTTATTGATTTGAGTAAATAAAACTTTATTGTAAATAATTATGATGAATATCGTAATTCAACTGAAATTCGCTAATTTATTGATGTTGTTATTGATTACGCCAATAGTGTGAAATATCAAAGCAATCAATTTGAATTAAATGCAGAGGGATTAATGTTGATGAGTAATTCCAAAAAATTCTTCAAAAAGTAAAACAATCTCTCAGCAGTAGGATTATGCTCTAATAACATAGCCAGAATTCACGCAATCAATAAAAGATTCCTTGAAGCCCTTAATGAATAAGAGGAATCTATTTAAATTGCAGAATAAGAACTACAAAGTCTCCTACAATTAAATGAACTGCATCACAAGATGAGTACAAGTAGGAACTGGTTCAAAGTCTACGAGTCATTCAAAAGTCGTCTATTGTCTAAATTCGTTGGTGATGACAGAATCTTTGAGAGACTCCAATCCTAAAACTATTAACCCCAACTCTCAAAAATGATATCCATGGAGTTCAAACAACGTAGTAATACAATGTAGTAGAATGTCAAAAGAAATTCATATGCAAGTTCGAATACCGAAAGAAATAAGATAAATAACCAATTACAAAATTTAAACATCACTTCGATAGCTTTATTGTAGTAAATTGAAAAATCCAACCAATCAGTAATCAAAGAAGACAGTGTAATCGAAGAAGATTGTAAAAATATGGTTAAACTCAAATTATTGAATAGACAATACCAACTTCTAAGAATATTGAGTCAGTTTAGTAATGAACATGATCAGTTATTCTTAAATGAAATTCTTCAATTGCTCTTACAAATGAAATCTGAAGCAGAATAATAAAAGCCTACTTCTGCCTTCCTTAACAATTTATAATTCAATCTATCTTGTCAATTAGTTTACTTCTATACAAAATCCAATTAGATTTCAAAAGCCAAAGGCTTGCTTAAACATCTTCCAAATCTTCATACTCAATAAATTAATCAAATGACTAACAGCATTAATATCTTTACTGAAGTACCTATTATCTTAGTCTAATCAAAAATAACACTTTTAAAGGCTATCATCGATATCAAAATGAATAAGATTGTCTAAAGTTGTACAAAATTGTTATCGATTCTGTCAATGTCCATGTATGACCCATATCAATACAACTATGCAATTAAATTGCTGCAATAAATATTCTACTCATATCGATTAAACACATCCTTATTGGAGCAGTTTCACATCACTAATTAACACATCCAAGCTATTATTTTAATTGATTACACCAATCAAATGACAGTAGAATAGATTAAATTGTCACATTCCATTACAAAATATATTCTGTCTCTATTTACATGTTAAGATTAAGTAGGACTCTATGCCATAAATTCAACTTTTCATTAGATCTTTCCTTTATAGCAATACCAATCCTATTTGTAAAATAGTTGTAATCGATTGTTACTACCTCCTGGAGGAGAATCTAATCTGTTGTAATTATTATAATTGGCAGCAGGTTCATTCTTCCTTAAAAATAAATCAAAAATAAAGGAGGAATATACTTAATTGAATAACTCAAATTAATCAATTCAAAATGAAAGATCAATTTAACATAGTTTGAGTAATGCTGGAGATGTGCTTGATAAATATTTATAGACAGACTATCATGACAAGATTGAAGATGAGGAGGAAGTTAAGTCCCAATTAAGGATCATCATTCTATTTGCTGAAATGGTTAAGGATTATACATAATAAAACATTGAAATATTAAAGTAAATTATGAACAAAAGGAAAATCCACATCATAGTTGTTCAAATTGCTAATTAGAATTTAAATAAAATATATCTAGAAGCTTTGGGTGACTTGACTCCTTAATCTTGTGTTCTCAAATAAAATCAAATTATAAAATACTTTAAATAAATCAGGCCATCACCATATATTAAGAGAGAATACATAGAATTCTTTTGAATAAAATCTAAATGATTTTATTTGTAATTAATATACTTTATTTATATATTTTTATAATTTCTAATTTATAGTTTAAAGTGAATCTTTAGAAAGAATCAATATTTGGAAAGAGATTTATCCATAAAGAAACAATCAAAAATTGAGGAATCGACTGAACTTTAAACTTCAAAATAAATTAATATATTTATATTAAGATATATAATTAATTTAAAAATAATAAATAAATCAAGAAACTGTAGATTTTTTAAATTAGCTAGGATTTATGGTAGATTTATTGTTAACATTCGAGGCAGTTATCCTGGAATCCTCAATCATAGAAGATCTTGCTTCACTTGCCATAGATTTTCTATCCTAACTATTAGGGTCTTATAACTAGTCCATCATTTGTTCTGCAATGACACTGGCTGTAGGAGCAAGTTTGGATCGTTTCATTTCTTCATTCTTAACTTTCTTTGCTTCATCATCTATAAATTTGATCTAGGATAATAGATAATTTGATGATTGAATATCGTTATTATGATAGGTAGTTAAGATATCTTATAATTTTATTTGCATTTATAACCACTCTAAAGCCCACTCTTTATTTTCTTTAATGAGAATACATAGTAACATAATGATCTTCTCTTGCACTTAATGATAAGTTAGTTTTTCCATTAATTTCAACAAATAAGGAACACATTCCTAATTGATCTTTTTCTTGACCTCAGCACTTTTGTGACACATTTTACTCATAACATAGAGAGCCTCACTTTTCAAATTAACAGACTCTTCCTAATCCAAAAAATATTAGTCAGCTTAAGTAGTGACCATATTATACAATAAAATCAATAAATGATCTATATTTCTTAATTCTACTTCACTCACTAAACAAACACTTAAGATTTAACATGTTGTAATGAGGCATCTAGCATCATATTGACACCCTTTAATTTATGGTCCTTCTAATATTTTATATAAGTAATCTGTTAAATTTGCTGCCAATAGTTTTTCAATATTTTAGGTAATACTCATTACACAGTATATTAATCTAAATTACGATATTTTATTTACTTCAAAGCAAAATGTAATAAAAAATTATCTTTTGTCATTAATTTACTCACAAGTAATCCAGCTCCATCATCATTTAATATTATATATTTAAATTCTCTCGAGTTTGTACATAAATTGAACAATGATGCACATGCTAAAGTGGCTATGGTTCTGTTATGACTTCTATATAGTGTGATCAATTCAACTGAAATTGGCTTAAATGCTGTTATCATGGCTTCTGTTAATCCAGTTGTATGTTTGATTTCAGCTTGGAAATTGATAATATGACGGCAAATTGCAACTATCAAATCCACATTATCAGATTGTAGAAAGTAACATATTAAACTACTGTATAATCCTGACCTTTCTTAGAGAAGCACTTCCTAAGAAAAGAAGTTCGCTTCAATCAAAGATTTGGCTATATTCACATTGTATTAATATTTATTTGATGCTAACTCTTCCAATTTCTTAATGAAATTACCCTTCTTAATTGGTCTGCATTCCTTTTTTGGTACTGCATACAAACAATAATCAAATAATTCCAAGATAATAGTTTTCAGTTCCATACTCACCTTAGCCTATAAAACAGGAACTAAATCTTTGAAACTAAAAGCTGACCCCATCAAAAACCCATCAAAGCAGATACCCAAATAATTAGATAGCTTTTGTTACCAAACAAACTTCCTCTCTTCTTCATTCCCTGATTTATCTCTTACAAATGAAGCCTACTCAAATGCATCAAACAAAGCTTAGAGGTTCTCTTCAATTTAAATACCATCTGTCATATAATCTTTGAGATTGTTTAAAATGAAGCCATACTTCTAACTTAATTCCTTATCCAAAATTAGAAACCTCTCTTTATCGTATAAAACTAAGCGTTAGAATAACAATTTAAGATATTTTAAGGCATAACTCATGAACTAGGGGAATATCTTGAATTTATTATAAATGAAGTTCAACGTTTATCTGTTATATAGCAATCTGTCAGCAGACAACTAAATAAAAACTTGATATTGCTTCTCAAATATGAACATTTTGCATTACAGTGAATCTATTGCATTTCTAAGAACATTTTTAAAAGCGTGTTCTTCCAAATCTTGTTCTAAGGTCAATTTCAGAAGGTCTCTATCATTAACTAAAACCTACTCTTTGGCATTTTGTTCTTGCCCATATAAGACAAATAAGATCTCTTGATATGTTTCCAAAAGTGGAGGAATATGTATTCTTCTCAAGATAATGATAAAAATATCTTAAATCTAAGTTCTTGCATGCAATTCCCATCCAAACCATTCAGAGATATCATTCATTAAATTAGATCTTTTCTTGTAATTATGTGAAGAGATGATCCAATAATCAAGAGACTCCTCTTTTTTATTGGCTTATTCATCTTCCTCTTACTTCTTGCCTTCTTCATCGCTGTCCTGATTTTTTTGTTCAGTTCCTTATTTTGCACTTTCATCCTTAGAATTGATTCCTTTCAAAACTATCTCTAAGAACATTTCAGAGTAATATTATAGATTAGCCTTTTCCCCTAGTTAACTCAATAATTAAGTTGGCAATGGATCCGTTATTTAAACTACAATTTTGCATTGTTGACTTTCCTTATGTACATAGACACCATCTTGATATGTTGCTTCATATTCATCCGGTAAGCTAAATGTGTAATTTTTATTTCTAAACATTTATTTGCCCTGTTTAGTAAATATGAGATTAGGAAGGATGGCTTGTTTTTCTGAGATACTGGATTTGATATCATCTTTGTACATAGGCAGTTGTTTAAATTGAAAATTTTTATGCATAAAATCTGTCATCCAAGAATATCTTAATGCTTATATTAGTTGTTTTCTTTCAAGCGCATATACGTCAATAATTATATCAGTATGAATTTAAAACATTGTTGGAACTCTCGTTGATATAACAATACCTTTTATTTTGCCATACTCTAAAGACATTTCCACCTTCTCTAATTTGCTTGTTATAAATAATAACCTATCACTCGCCACAACAGCAAAATATTTCTTTTCACTTGACTATTAAGCTGTACAAAGAAAATCTACTTTGCAATTCAATAATTCCCCAATTGCTTGAATTATATTTCCAATCATTTATTTCAATATATTTTTATTATAAAATAATGATTTGAATACTATATTTTTATTTTTTAGGTGATAAATAAAATAAAGAAATACTTTCATCTTAAACTTTATCATAGGTATATACAACATACGGTTTATTTAATTGTTTCGAATATAATAACTTCTATAATTATTATTATTATGGATTCTCAAAAATGAATATAAAACAATTACCTCTATCTCTACGTATTCATTGATTCATATGCAAATAAATTCATTATTTCACTGAGATCATTTAAATAAACACATAGAATAATTTATTTTCTGTTTCAACTATTATTTTTAGAATTTACTAAAAGAATATTAAATTATAAAAATAATGCCTACAGAATGTGTGAAAGTTATAGTGAGAATGCGTCCATTTAATTCAAGAGAGAAGGAAAATGGAAGTAAACCATGTGTAACAGTGCATGAGGATACCAATAGCGTTGAATTACGTAGTGTAATTATAAATATATATTTGATTGATTAGAGTCAAGATAATGAAGTGAAGAATTTTTCTTATGATTATGTATTTGGGGCTGAGACTCCTTAATTATAAATTTATTAGAAAACTGCTTTTAATTTGGTTGAGTCTGTGGCAGATGGTTATAATGGAACAATATTTGCATATGGATAAACAGGTACATTCAAATATTAAGAAGATTAGGTTGTGGCAAGACTTTTACGATGATAGGAGACCCAACTAATGTAAGTTCTTTATTCAATTTTAGGAAAACATGAAAGGAATAATCCCAAGAACTTTTGATCAAATAATAAGCATAATCAACAATAACTCGGATTCTAATAAGAAGTTTCTCCTTAGATGCTCCTATATTGAGATCTACAACGAAGAAATCCATGATTTATTGAGTAAGGATGCGAAATAGAAATATGAATTGAAAGAAGGATAACAGGGAGTCTTCATTAAAGATCTCAATATTGCAGTAGTCAGAACAACTTAAGAGATGGACAAGTATATGCAATTGGGCACTCAAAACAGGTCTGTTGGGGCTACTGCGATGAATAAAGAATCTAGTAGAAGTCATTGTATTTTCACAGTATATATTGAATGTTCCATTACAGATTCTAAAGGAAATGAGAGAATCACTGCAGGGAAATTGAATTTAGTTGATTTGGCCGGAAGTGAAAGGTAATCCAAAACATAGGCAACAGGAGATCGATTGAAAGAGGCTACAAAAATTAATTTGTCTCTGTCTGCGTTGGGAAATGTAATCTCAGCACTAGTTGATGGAAAGACCTAACACATTCCTTATAGAGATTCAAAGTTAACTAGGCTGCTTCAAGATTCCTTAGGGGGTAATACTAAGACCATTATGATCACTGCAATCAGTCCCTCTGATTTTAATTATGATGAGACATTGTCGAGTTTGAGATATGCTTCAAGAGCAAAGATGATAAAAAATCAACCTAAAGTAAATGAAGATCCGAAGGATGCCTTATTGAAAGAACAAGCTGAAGAAATCAAAAAGTTAAAGGAATTATTATCGAGATAAGCAGCTGGATAGCCTGTATCTTTAGAAGCCTTTCAATAATTTAGTAGACCAGATGACAACAGTAATGCTGAGATTTTTAGATTAAAGGAAGAGAATGATAGACTAATGAGAGAGAAATAAGGACTCTCACAACCAGTAAATTCAGAGGAAAAATTAAAGGAGTTGCATGAATTTAAAGAAAAAAATAATCTACTTTAATAGGAGAAGGATAAGTTTGAATAAGAGATGAGAGAAAAAGAGTAGTAGGCTGAATAAGAGAGACAGGCTAGGCAGAGGTTAGAATAATTACTTAAGGAGAAAGAATAGATGATAGTTTAAGGGGGAAAGGGAAGTGAAGATGATAAAAAGAAATACAAGAAAATTAGATAAACTATTGAATAACAAAAAAAAGAGCATGAAGCTTTGATACAACAATAAGAGCAACAATAATAAGAGATGTTTGAAATTGAGACTAAATATCAGAATGTGTAAGAGGAAGTAGAGAAGCTAAGAAAACTGATTAAATATTTAAGGAAGAAGTTAGAAGAAGCTACTATAGAATAAAAGGATTTATAATAGGAAGTAGAATATTAAAAGGAAGATATGTTAGAAACAATAAGAAGTCAGTAGAAAGAGATTAAGCTCTATGCAGGTATGGTCAAGATGATGTTTAGCCAGAGTGAATTAGAATCTATTTAGGCAGCAAGTGAATGGGATGAAGATGCTCAAGAGTATAAGATCCCTCCCTTCAATTTTAAAGCAAAAAAAGTAAACTTTCCATCTCTACCATATAAATAAGGTAATATTATGATAACTTCTAAGCCATGGATCTAATTGAGTTAGAAAAATAAGAAAGGGTGCTTGAAATTAACACTGGTTAGCAAAATAATAAAAGTTACCTTTCAGAGTAGGAATAAGATAATCTACAAAGAATAATAACTCCTAGAATTCCAAAGAAAGGTATATAATAGAGTAAGTATTAGAATCTCAATAAAAATAAAACACTTCTAGTTAACCTCAATTGGATAGAGGGTAGTTAGTAGCTGAAAAGATGAGATAGAATTACTAAGTTTTAGAGTAACAAGAAGGAAAACAGCGGTATCAGAGTGAAATAGTGAATTACCAATTTCCAGAGAAAAAATAAAATTAAAAAATTATTCTCAGTCCTATAGACAATAAGGATACTTCTGTTTACACTTCAAATAGTTAGTATATTTTTAATGGGAATGCGAGTAATAATAATCTTAGTCAAATCAGTTTGAATAGGAATAAAAAAAGTAAATTTGTTAATTAAAATAGATATTAATTTGCAACCACTTGAATAAAAGCCATTATTTGGGTAGAATGATGATTAACATAAAAGAAAATAACACTAGAGAGTGTAATAAATTTGAATATTATTGTCTTTTTTAATTTTAATGTTCATATGTTTTACTATACTATTGTTTCTTATTGATACTTTTAAACATACTCAATCTATTAGTTATTACGATTGTTGAATCTTTTCTTTTTATCATATTTATATTTTCTATTTTATTACATCTCAAACTTATCCTCCAAATTTACAGGTTACTATGTTTCTTTCTTATTATATTGTTAATCAGTCTAATCTTAATATTTGTTTTGATATTATTAATAAGGATACTGTTAGTATTATTCTTATTAATAGAACCCACTGTTAGATTGCCAATATTAAGGTTATTAATAATACCCTTCGAAAACTTAGATATTTTAATACCATAATTATAATATCCATATTGAGGTTTACGTTGTTATCTTCTCTCATAAGACGCAGCTGAAAATGAATAAGGAATTGTTTCAAAAACAGATCTTAATTCTTGAAACTTCTTTTCAAAATTTGGATTTGTATCTCTTTATTATCTACTTTGATTCTAAATAATTATCAAACTTACTTCTAACTTATCCAATTGAGAAAAGTCTTCAAATAAACTCTTCTTGGATTCCTCATTCTTGAATATCTCTGCCATTTTGATTCCGTTTTCCAATGTTAACTCAGTGCAATCAATCAAGTCATACACTGATTTAACAGTTTCGTCACTTCCTTCAAATTTTTGGATCTATTTAATATTTTCAAATAACTTAAAAGGAAGATCCTTCACATATAGCTACAATAAGCGGAGTTGTATACCCATTTTATTTAGAATAAGCCAAACCATTTGTTTTCAATTAGCCAATATTTAAAATGCGATTTAGGATCGAATCCTGATGTCAATTTGGCCATCCCACTAAAGCAAAGACTGTTTATTTCAGTAAAGAAGAGATATACATCTCCCTATGAAAATGCTTCATTCAATCGTTCATTCTTTCGCGAAGAGCTGAGACTTAAAATTAAATACTACCTCGTCCATATGCCATATTTCATGGCCCTATGTACATTATCTTCACCTTAAGTACGAATGATGAAATATTTGCTTTTATCCAAATTCTTAAATTCATGATCAAAATTTATATGTTCCAATGGCGGAAAGGTCTTCCTTATCATATCCAAATTCTCATATGAAGGAAGTGCCTAAAATTAAGGCTGATTCATAAATAAATAAATAAAAGATTTAAAATAAAATAATTTGTGAGAAATTAAATTATTAGCATCTTCTTATCATTCTTCAAAAATCAGAAATCACTCTCAAGTTAGACTCTCATTCATTTTACCATTCAATAAATATTGTTAATACATAACTCATTCAATAAATAATATGCCATTAAATAACATTTATTCTCTTATTTGTATTTAACAGTGCCTCATGTATACATCCCTATGTTAGAACTAAAAATATGCCATTTAAATCATATGACAATACAAAATGATGCGAAGTTCTCACTTTAAAAAGCCAAAATTGTAGATGTGATATGATGAAACAATAAATTGCATTAAAAATAATATAAAATGAGAAATCAAAGGAAATCATAAGTAACTTAAAATATCCAGTTTTATAGAGTCCCTTTAGAACTAATTAATCTGTAATGAGAGATAGCCCAAATACTTAATTAGATGAATCAAGCATATCAACCAATAGGGTACCCTAAAATAGGGAATCAACTAGGGCGAGAATGAAGATTAATTAATCTCATAATAATGCTCTAGCGTAAGGTGGTTAAATTAGAAAATAAATTGCCAATGAAAGAACATCAGCGAAAGGCGGTAATCCTAATGAATTCAACCCAAAGAAATTTGTGACTAAAGATCTGAAAGTACTTATTGCAATCTATTACAGGAATCTGATATTATAGATATCAAGCAAGTTTTCGATTATTACGATTCTGAATAAGCGGGCATTTTATCACCAAATGATTTGGAGTAACTACTTACAAGTTTTGGATATCATCCAACCAAAGAGACTCTTTATGGTATTAAGGACTCTATCATTATCTTTTAGAGATTTTTTCAGAATTGGATGAGGACGAATTAGGAGGAATCACTTTTGAATATTTTCTGTAAATTCTTAATCAAGACAAATCGAAGTCAGAAAGAAAGGATACAATCAGAAGAGTTTATAGGAAATACGACAAAAACAATAAAGGTTTCGTAACCCTTCAAGATTTAAGACAAGTCGTCTACAAAGATTTGAAAGAAGAAATCGATGAAGAAGTCTTAGCAGAAGTAATTTATAGGAATAATAAAGATCTTTAAAAAAACAGACTCTAATCAAGATGGAAAGATGACATTTGAAGATTTCTATAATGTAATGACCAAAAAGGTGTATTATTGATATTATTATACAGTGCATATTAATTATAATGTCTTTCTTTATAAATTTGCCACAAAGCACCATAAGAGCATTATCAATAGGTATTTTTGTTAATTAAGAATTAGATTTCTAAATTTAAGAAGTTTCACCAAAAATCAAGCTAATCAGATCTAGAGCATTTACCTTCAACAAAAGTAATCTTAAGAAAAACTCATACACCATCTCTCCTAGAAGCAATTTAAGATCACCCAAGATTATTTTAAAACCTATAGCTCACGACTTTCAATTTTTTAAATTGTAAAGTTGCCTTAATGATTCACCCATCTTAGATAAAAAACTTCCAAAATGTACACCTAAAAAATAATTTAAATTACAACCTACTATTGACTTTAGTGTCTCTGGATTTGAAACTACTGATGTAGAGATGGAAGATTTCTTGCTTTCATCATATGTTAAAAAATAATGATCCATATATACTTAATTGTTCAATATAAATGAAAACATTTAAACAAAAAAGAAGTTCTCTTTATTTATTGAAATAAAAATAAATTTTAATTTTACTAATTAATCTCTAATTATTTAGTTTAGTTATCATTTCTATTATCAAATAAATGAATTTTCTCATTTTATAGAGTATTTATTAAAGTTTTAATTTTCTACAATGTTAATAAGTCTTACATATATGAGATGGGTTGATATACTAATTAAAAGTATTAAATATCTTTTAAACTCAATTCTAATAACAGAGTACTCATTATAAGTCCAAAATTTTATCATTTTAAATTATAAGAAGTTGATGATATAACCAAATAACAATTTTCATAAAAATGAACAGCTCATTAAAATTAATTTTATAAAGAATAAATTATTCATCTATGATTATTAGATTATTTATGACCATACTAAAATTGAAAATTTAATTTATAATGAGTTAATGAAAATATAAAAAAAATAATTTTCGGCAAAATTCAATTTTCTAATTCTTTTTCGAGCTCCTAAAGTAAAATTTAATCAAATTATACTTTTAATTATTATTCTAGCTATTAGATTTCTTCAATCATCAATTATTCATTCTTTTATACTTGCTTTTTTAAATTAATGTTCTAAATAAAACTATTTTAATTTACATCTTCTTTTAAATAGTCCACATATTCAAAAGCTATCTTAAATTCTTTTTATGAGGTTAAGTTTTCTTAGATGTCGAATCGCTGTATTTCTATTTGTTTTTATTCATTTTTATGAGAAGTGTTAAAATTAGATTCTTCAGATAAAAATGTTTTTTTGACTTAATTCATCGTCATAAGTAACTCATTATTAAGTATTTCTAATTGTTCAATGTCATTCATTATCGCTTCCTATTTATTAATACAATTAATTAACCTTCTCGTTTCTTAGGACTCTCAATCTGATTTCAAAATCCTGATACATAGAAGTAGGAAAAGTAATATTGATTTGCCATTGTCTAAATTTCTTCCTTAGAATTTCTTATTCATTCTGATAGTTTCTACGAAAGATCTATTCTATACGATATGTGATCTCAAGTTTCTATGACTTTGCATTTTTGGCTTTTATTTTTTAACTGAGCCTTGCTGCTATAACACTCTTGAATAAGATGATATTTTACTAAATTCTTAACAGTTCCAGCCTAAACTTCTGTGTCTTAAGTCTATTTCAATCCTTTTATTTAATAAAATATAGGATAGAGTTGTTTGTTGACTAAATATTTCACTACTTCACAAATTTCTCTGTGAGATTTTTAATCTATTTGTTTCTGCTATCTTTGTAGCATTTTTTAATGCTCCAATTTAGAGTGCACAGATTATCTAGCTAATTCAATGTCAAATTATTGTAATTACTCTTTAGGTACTGTATGATTAGCTTCTTGACCTAGTGTCTTAATGGCTGATATGAACAAAGTTCTCAATGCATTTAATTTACTATCTTATGTAATGTAATGATGTTACTGATGGTATTCGTGAAAATTAATAAAAAATAATGCTGATTTGAATTAAAATATTAAAAATGCTTTAACTTTTAGAAGGCAATTATTGTTTCTAATTTTTAAGGCTATTTTAGATATTGATAGGTTGCTTATTCTGAATCATACAAGTTCAATCGCAATTGCTATAAACCTAAGTTAGTTATTAATTTATTTATGATTTATTTTCGATGTACAGTTTTTAATTTATTGAAACTCCATGCCTTTAAAGTCTCTTGCTTTATTAGGATTTTACTTAAAGTGAATTTGTAAAAACTTATCATATTCAAATTTTGTTATTTTAATAGCTTATTGAGTTTGGATTCAAAGGTTAGCTGCATCCATTTCCTGAAGATTTGATGAGTAATTGGTTGTTAAGTTGGGGATATTTACTTTCTTAGCTCTTTCTTCAAATGAGATACCACATCAACTTTTGCCAAACGGAAAAAGCCCAAACATTTCAACCGTTAATTGTATAATGATATTGCATGCTGAAATCGTAACAGGCCTTCCTATATCACTCTTTACTATGCTTTGATTTCTTCTTGTTATTTATTTTGAACATAAATGCTACCATTACAAATTAAATTACCTCAAATATTTAAACATCGTAGCTGCTTAATTTTTTATTGCATTATTCACAATTTATATTAACCTCTTAAAGCGATCATTGCAAATCCTGAGATCACGATAATTCTAAATTCAAAAATATCCACTTACTAAATTGTAACTTCTATTATTATAAGCAGAATATGGATTCTTTTTTATTCTCCCATATGATCTGGTTTCTTGAGGTTCCTGCCTTTAAGCAAATCCTAACCCTTTCACAAAATATTAATTTTACATAAATTTTATTTTTTTTAAAAGAAAAGTTGTTAATAAATAAAATTATTCCTAATGCTTATCAACATAATTTATGATTGTAAATTTTTCAATTTGATGTTAATATATTTTTAAACTTTATTTTTATAAAGATTATTGATTAAAATTTTTATGAAAATTTAAAAATCTCTGCTTATAAGTTCGCCATAAATCGAATTTGATTTGTGGTCAAATCATTACATCTACTTAAGCAAGCAATAAAAATTGTTTTAAAAAAAATTTCATCGATGATTTCATAATTGCCTTGTCTCGGGAATTCTTCCCCTGAGCCTGCCTTAGTACCTGAGGGACTTGGGAAGGCTTAGAGTAGGCAAGATGACATTCAAGGGGACGATGGAAGGAAGAAGGGAATGAAAAAGGTTAGAATCAAAAATTAGCCCCTTATTGATAAACCGGCTGGGCCTGGTAGCCTGGAGAAGGATGTTGAATTATCTAGCAAGCAATATAAATTTTTATAGAATGAATTTTCAATTTTAAAAAAATACGAAAATATGTGATATTAATGAAATAATTATAAAAGTCAATTAAATTTTTAAATGAAACAAGAGGACACCCAGCTTTTTTAAAAACCTTTAGATAAGTAAAAGAAGCTACTAATTAAGAAAATAATGATATGGGTCAGATAAGGATTCAATTCAAGAAATATTGGGTTCCATCCATTCTTACTTTGTGCATCAATCAAGCCTGGAGCTTAAAAAAGACATACTACACTTCAAAGCTATCCCAACGCCGAGTTATGGAGGTGTTTGAGTAAACTAAACCAATAAGATATTAAAACAGAGATATAACAAGAGATCCAGAGTAAGTTAGACGATGTAATAAAAAATTATGATGTCTCAATTATAAAAGAGTTTAAGATTAGAGTGAACAATAATTTTGATTTTGCTTACCTATATAAAGAAACAGAAAAAAAGAAACCACAACAGAATGAAAATCTTGAAGTTCTTGATTTTTAAAATTTAAATCATCCTAATCAATAAGAAAGAGATGAAAGTGAATCTAAATCCTTAGTTAAGCAAATTTTATTGTGTAACACTAAGCAAGGTTCAATTGCAGATTTTGAGAATAGCCATTACCACAAATTGTCGTAGTTTCTAGAAAAAGTGAAGCCCTTTATTAATTAATCTTCGATTGAATTAAATCAATTTTATTAAGGCGTATAAACTTTTCTAGAATCTTAATAAACGACTCCTTTAAAAAAAATGAAATTACATCAAATAGGAGAGGCTGAATAAGAAGAAGAAAAATAAGATTAAAACAATATAAAATTCCAAAAATAGAATTTATAAGAATAGTAATAGAAGTAGAATTTAAATTTTGAATAAGAAGAATAATTTAATCATTAATCTCAATAATAAAGGATGAATAAATTTAACAAATCCCCATAATAACTCTTAGATGAATTAAAGTTAGATGCTTTGAAAACATAACCAGGGTTATCATTTTTCTTACCAAATTATGATAAGATGTCGCCTGAGGAAGCTGAAAAGGTCAGAGAAATCGAAGCCAATTATTATAAAGAGCTATACTTTTTAAAAGTCCTACAACCACAAGATTACAACCCAAAATAGATCTTACTAATTTGGAGGCTTTATTTTGAGCCATAATTTAAGAAGCCAAATAACCTACTCTCACTATATTAATAATAAAATATCATTAAAAAAGAATGAATATGTTTGTGTAAATATATATATATATATCAAAGGACAACTCTCTACTTTCTCTATAAATTATATGTTATTTTTTTTTACATTATATTATTAATAGAATTAAATTTGATTATGGACTAACAAACCGTAATTATAACTGTTAGTTCAGAATATAATGAAGACATAAGGTCAATAATTTCTTTATATTTTAGCGAAGATGGTTCATAAACAGTTGAAAGTGAGGAGAGATAAGAAAATTAAATATTTGATACTAATATTGTCTAATTTATCAATGATGAGTAATTTGAATTCTAATTTTTATAAGTTAATTAATCATGCAGTAATAATGATGTACATATTAAAGTTCAAGAGGAGATAAAGGATTTATAACAATAATAATGTAATTAAGCCTTAAACGATGTGTAAGAGTTTGTTAGAAACAACTGTTAAAAAGCATATGAAATGATAGAATATATACAAAAAAATAAAAATTTAGATAAACAATAAGAAATTATTATGGAGTTTTATAGAGACATATATTTTGTACTAGAAATGTCGAATTCGAATGTCTTGCCGAAAGGTTTGATTGACGAATTGGAGAAAAAATTACATGCAACAATTACCTTTAGTTTATTCAATATTGAATGATTCCAGTGATAATATGCTTAACATAAATTCAAATAATATAAAATATTTTAATTCATATATAAATATGTAAATTATATTCATAAACCCATATTTGGACATAATGATAAAATTTTAATATAAATTACTATTGGTATGAATTAAAAGGAGCGTGTTTTTGTAGATAGAAACAATGAATACGCTGAGAATGAATACTTTGTCGGCTAGAAAGAATCGAGATTTCACTCCAATGATTAATAAATAAATTTTTAAGTAGAATCGTAATTAAGCACTCTTAGTTTTATTTTTGATTGGATTACAAATGTAAGACTGCAAAACTTATAATTTAAGGATCAATTACAAGAGCTAAGATCTCAAGTACTTCACGAGATGAAGCAATTAGACCAGAGTGTTAAAACTAAATATGTTACTACAGCATTAACATACATTTTGATCAAGAATACCGGTGGGATAAATGAGACAGAATGCATACAGCAATTGCTAGTAAAAATCTAATTTATTATTTATTAGAATAAGTTCAATGTCAAATCAAGAAAATTATTGAAGTATTTAAGGATGATCAAAGATGATGGTCAAAGAGATATGAATAAGTTATTATAGCAGATTTAGTATTATCAGGAGAAGGTGAGGAAGTATTTTTATGGATAAGGACAATCGTTATTGTTAAAATTGAAGAAACCAAAATAAACTTATACTTAGCTGATAGAAGAAATTCTTGAAACTAATAAACAAGTGATGATTAGAATATTCTCTTTGCAATTAGTGAAATAATTTTGTGTAAGCAAACGACCAAGTCGATTGGTAATCAACCTGGGTTACTTTGCATTCTAAATATAATCAATATATATTTTGCCTGGAGAATATGCTAGAATTTTTCGGATATCAATAAACTCATTACGACATTTCTCAAAGGGATTAATTAATCTTTTGTATCAGTTTGTTTTAAGGATAACTGGTCAAGGAATGGAAATATAATTAAAGTCATGTGAGAGAAGTCCTCAAATTTCACAAACCATTATGAACGAAGGTGAATTCAAAAAGTCACCCGAGGATACAAGCGTCTCAGAACCTAACATAGAAATTGAAGGATATAAATTGCTTATTATTAGAAAACTACTTAATGAATTTACCACATATTAGTTTTTATTTATTGATACTGAAGAAGAGGATGAATTATTTAATGAATGCTAAGAAATTTTGAACTTTTCAACCAATCAAAAAGAGTGATTTTATTTTTTTTGTATATGAAGATAGCTCCTATATATTGAGATAAGGCTATTAATATAATATATAATTTCGGTTTAAATGGATAAATTAGGTATATATCTGTCCAGTCAGTAGAAAGTTCGATATCAAAATCTTAAGTATTTAAGATTGGTCTATGTTATATTTGATTATAATAAAAATAGCCTCGTTTTAGATTCCTTGGCAATTCTTTATGTCTATTCTTATGTTGATATTTTTAGCAAATATCCAATGAAATTTTAATGAATAAAAAAGATGAAGTATATTAAGAAATCTTTTCATCCTTTTCTCACTTATGTTTTATAGTGAGAGTATTATTATTAAGAACATGTTTAACTTAATTTTAATTTAGTGCATTAAAGGATTCTATTTTAATATAAATAATGGTCAGGTTATTGCAAGTTAATTCAGAGGAGGTAGTCGAAAGAAAGAACTGATGATTTTGAGAAATGGCTATCTTTGATGAGTTTTAAATGAATATTCTCAAAGTTATTATTTTTGGATATTATTTTATGAAATTAATCAGCATTTCAAATAGTCCTCTAAACTTTCTTAAGCATACTACCCTGTTTTAGCAATGTCGAACACCTTCTAAAAGGATTGGTTGCATTTAGCATTTCTTTGTCTACATTATTTAATCAAACAAATTTTTTACACTTTCAAAAAGCAATCAACAAGTGCCAATGCATTGTCTTTACAAAATTCAGGTTCTACGTACTTTCCAAGTGGAGTAGATCTGCATAAATTAAAACTCTTTCTCTAGTCTTTGCAAGCATGATTTCCTTTAATTGCATAAATCATCAACTACAAGCTAATTGATAATAGATATTAATATTCAACCTTTCATCATTCGTGTAAGTGTACAAATCTTTAGGAATAGCTTGAGAGGCCATCTTTGAAATTAATTTAATTAATCTTTAAAAATATATGAGATGATCAAAATAAAGAAATTAGAGCACTTTTATCAAAAGATGCTAAAATTAATTATTTGTATAGAAAAAATTGATTTAACAGATTCTAAGTCCTTTTTCTCCACTTACATGAAAAACATTATTTAAGAATTTCTTAATAAGACATACTTACAACAGTATTATACTATATGAAAAGATGATCAATAAAAAGTATAATAAATTTATGATAATTCAAAAGTACTTAATAAAGATTATTTTGTGGTTTAGGTTATGGAGGAATATATTCTTAGACTATCAATGGAAAACATTAGTTTGAACCCAATTCATCTTCTATTTTTTACTTTTTTGATTTAATCATAATTACATTTAATGAACTTTAATTTATAAAATCTGTTTAGCATATTATTTTCATTATTTTTTAGATATATTTACGTAATCAACTAATGTGCATGCCAATCGGAATTTTGAGATGTGTAGTTTCCATAGAGGCTTGGATTGTAATGATTTGTGGAATAGCAGCCTTTATATTCACAATGATTATGTAAATACATTATAGTTTAATGCTTCAAGCATATGAGGGAGAATCTGTATATAGATCATTTAATATTTAATTAGTGGATGCTGTTTGGGCAGGGAATGCTTACTGCCTTCTGGTTGTTTTCATCGTATATAATAATCAATGGAGTATGCGGGGTTGTTGGCGGTTAACACAAAAAACCATGTTTGTTGTTAGTGTTCAATGTTGGAAATATCATAATCATTATTGCCTTTATTTTACTTATGGTGATAGGATATGTGTTGGCAGATGAGACTCGCAAACTTACCGACCAAGATTATTAATAAAATGAAAATACATGTCTTGATCACAGATTTTAATTAAATACTTTGGATTGGGAAAGCAAAGACCTTTTATGTTCTATCGAATGCCCGTGTTACTATACGTAAACGAATGGAGCCTTAGCAAAAAACAAAACTAAATGGGCAGATGCTAAAGATACTACAAAAGTAATTAATAAACACCTAAGATTAGCCTACAAGAGTGTAAGACTGTGAAATCTATTAAAAAACCCAAAATACAACAGTCAAATATTTTTCAAATTACCTAGGAGATATCCAGAAAGAAACAGGATGCACGGGATGGTGTGTGCCATATTAAATGCAAATATTTTATGATATCAATGCCAAGGTTGATAATGACTAGTATACAATATATATAAATTAGGTTGTATTGCCAGTATGTTGTAATTAGCAAATTAACAGAGATGGGACAATTGATGGGAGACATAGCAGCCGGAGTCACTGCAGTAATGCTTGTTTTAATTACTCTAACCTGCTGTTTATGTTTCCATCCGGTTAATAAAGATCAGGATTTCTATAAGAAGATGGCACATTATGAGAATTGATTACATCTTCTATTTGTAATAAATTTATGAATTCATTACATTAACAATTATAAACCTATTGGATTGGACTTTAAAATTTATTCACAAAATTTAAGCAATCCTCTTAAGATTAAAATATAATCCATTATATCTCAGTATAAACTACCACCTGATCATCACAAAGTATTAATATTTTATAATTATAATAATTTTTATTGGTCACAACTATTCGATGATATTAATACAATTGCTTGTCAAAACACAATTATTAGCTATTTATAAATTCGCCCCTATGTGAAAAACACAACTATGAAACATAGAAAATGGTGACTCTTTTAATTTTAATTTGCTTACATGAATGGCTTGGAGGACTAAATATTATTGTAGCTGCTAAGCAATTTCATATATCCATAACACAACAATATTTGATTAATTTTATTATATGATATTTTCCTTTTTTTATTCAAGTAAAAATAGACTGGATCGTAAAAGACCTCCATTACAACAAGCAAGATCTGAAAATTAGTCTCCTTCTAATTACCCTCATATTTATTAGACTTAACCCAGAAAATAATAAATAGGTGTTTAAATATAAAAGAATGATAAATCAGATGAAACCGATGAAGAAGATATGAAATCAAGCAGAGATTGCTTTCTCTAAATCGGAACTTCTGAAGCAAGCAAACTAATTAATCATAAAAATAGAATTAAACTAAGAAGTGTCTCGATGTAGAAAAAACAAATTCAATACATGCAATTTCGAGAATTTGACAATTTGGATTAAATTGCTGAAGAATAACTACAACTATAGTTCTAAAATTTAGCAGTTCATGCAAGCTAATTTCAGCATCCTTGATTTTATTATTTTATATTAATGCTTGAAATCTATAAAACATTTAATAACATATTTTTGTACTAGGATATGCTTGCAAAATGTATTACGTTTCCCTTATCAATTTAAAAAACCATTAAATTCATTGAATTATGTTGACTCATCCAACCTATTTCAAAATAATTTAAATTTTCGAAATCCCCATAAGGTTTTGTGGAACTTGCTCGAAAGAAACACTTAATTCCCTTTTGTTACAAAATATTCATAACTCAAAATGCATGATTTTTGCAATCATCATATTTTGCATTATTGAATTTTTAAATATTGGACAAATGAAAATTGGCCTATGAAACATAACCCACTTTCTTTAGGTCTTTTCCTACATCCTAAATGAACAAACCAGTTTAATTTATTATATTATTTTAGGGTATAATGTATATAATTAATTAAGAATCATAAAATAGGTAATTAAATAATTGATCATATTTTTACAAATATTAATGTATAAATACACGTTTCCGAATATTAAACAAAATGAAAATACTTAAGTAATTCTTGTTTATGGGATGAAAGAATCATTAAAGTATTCTAGTAATTAATTTTCTTGATAATTTTTATTTAAACAATTATTAAAAAATAACTTTTAAATTTTAGTTCAAACTCTTTGAGATATAGTAATGTATTTATTAAATGATTGGAATTATAAACGAGAGTAGAGTTGAGGGATTTGAGAGACTAGTTCCGTTTATTGGTTTAAATTATTGAATAATGTCTAGAAGTTAATTTGACGGACTACTCCCTAGGAACTAAAAACGATATTTTCAAATATCACGATATTTTTCAGCTGAAGTAAATAGTCAGAGAATCAATAACACCGTAAACCGTTTGAGCTCAAGAATTTGCATATTAATATTTAAATTTCATGGGTTTTCCATGAATGTTAACCTATGTTTTTTTAACTACAGACCATAAATAATTAAATAAAATGAGTTTTTTTCAAGTGAGCATCATGTTGGGTCTTGTAAATTTAGTGTTTGCAATAACCTCAACGAAACTACCTCAAGGTGGCACTCAATTCTAAAATTGCTTGCATGTAGAAAAGGGAAATTGTTAATAATGTTCAGCATTACATTTTTTGTTTACTTTGCCTCGTGATCATGAGAATTTAGGTTTAAAGGCAGGAACTAGAGTTTGCGTAAAATGGTACTTCTAACAAATATCTCTTAGCCCTTACTTTGGTTATTTAGATGAGAATAACCTGTATTGCGGAGATTGTATTGACAATAGTCAAACTTGGGATCAGAATAGACTTTGCACTTATGATTTCAAAACAAAATCCTCTACAATTACTTCCATTTTCCATAAAGTTGAGAGACCTGCAAAACAGCTATTTTATATTGTGTAATCTGGCGCTAATGATGTAAAATCTAAATTGTATTTAGTTTAATTCAATAATGTGTGATGGGTGCTCTAACTTTTGTAAATCAAAGAGCCAAACATGTTTTCCAGTTTCTTAACAATTTTAATATGATTTGAACAATCCATACATTTAATGCGCATAGGGTAATATATGATGAAATTTTAGGATATGCATTCAATGATGCTATTTAGGGATGTGATTCATGTCCTGACAATTGTTAATCGTGTTAGATTAACATAGTGAGGACATTGGACAGTGCAGGAAAAATAATTGTAACTACAAAGAAGAAGTGTTTAATATGTAATGCAGGTTTCAGTTTATTGAGTATAAGAATGAAAAGCAATAGAAATATTATGTAAACATTATGCATGGCTTGCAAAACTGGTTGTAGCTAATGTTACTTTGGGAAAAATCAAGTAAATTTAAACTAAGACCCTTGGGATGACTATAATAAATTTGACTCAGTAACTGATCCCAATGAATTGGATTTAGTGTTTATTGATGATCCTGAAAATAATCCTCCTATTTAGACCTTTTTTGATAAATTATGGGAGGCGCATCAAATTGCATAGAGGTGTAGTGTTTGTACAAGTACTTCCTAGAGCACTTTCATTCCTTCACTTGATAGAATTTCATGTGAAAGATGCGGTACAAACTGTAGGAGATGTGAATATGTTTCATATACTTTAACTGAGAATAAATAGTAAAATTGATAATCATTATTTAGTCCAACTCGAGTTTAAAATATTGTTATAGAAGCAAGTGGTAAAAGTCCTGAACCTGCATTGACTGAATAAGCCAAAGCTCCATATGTCTTTCGTTGTCGAGAATGTGACGATTATACATAAACGTTTGTGGCTTTGGGGAATGCATGCATGGATTGTTCTAATTTATTAAATTGCAAATTATGTCATAAATAAGGAGACGCTACTTCAGGAGGGGATGCTACATTTTCCACTTTGACTCCAGATTTCACTCCTCTTGATAAAGAAGAGTTATCTATTCAAAAATGTTTGGTTTGCCAAGATGGTTTTTATTATAATAAGGCTACGTCATCTTGTTAAGCAATACTAATAGTAGATGTCTCTGTTTCAACAGGATGTTTAACGTATGATTTTGTCACTAAGGATTGCAAGAAATGCACAACTGGCTACACCCTTTACAAAGATGCAGGAGATGGAATTTGGAAATGTAGTTTTGACTGTTAACAAAACGTGTAAGATTTCTTATGCCAAACATGTGTCAAATAAGGGACTAAATACAGATGTTTGTAATGTTTAGATGGATATTACGTTGACGTTAAACTCGGCACGTGTAAACCATGCTAGAACAATAATAGCTATTGTAAGAATTGTTATACGTTGTCCCTCAAAAGCATTCATCGAACTGATTATTACCTTTATGAATATGACGGAGAATCTGAAATATATGGACCATATTGTTATGCCTGTACGGCTGGTGATACATAGAGAGGACCTAAATTTAATGAGGATTTGAGAATATGTGAAAAAGGAAAAGATAATTGTGATGATTTCTAAGCCAAAGGAACAAGAGGATATTGTGATAAATGCGTAGAGCTTGTTCCAAATATATTTCTAACATCAAAGTCAGCCTCTCTTGATGGAACTGATTGTATACTCTGCCCCGAGAATACTATAGGATGCAGAGAGAGGGATTCAACTGAGCTTATGTCTTCAAATAAATACTTCGCTCCTACTGAAGATGGTCTTACTTTATTTTCTTACATAGCATTTAAATGCGATCCACTTACTTCTTATCTTGATGCTAATATAGGTAGATGTTAAACACCAAAAGATGGCTATGCATATTTGTATGAAGACACTATCATAATCACTGCTGATTGCGTTTAAAACTTGCCACACCTTGACTCAGTTTGGAGACTAAATTCCTAATACTCAGATATCACTTAAAAGACAGCAACCTTGATTCTTGAAGATGCTGTGTCTACAACCATTAACTCTGCCAAACTTAAAGAATACAATACTAAATCTCTTAGTAAACTCACAATTAATCTAAATTTTAATTTCAATGGTGATTAAAATAACAATCGTTGTTACTTCTAGAAAGATACTTTCATCTCAACTAATCTAAGGAAGAACATCTTTGCTTTGAAAGATCTAGAACTTGTAATTAGTGCACCTGGCATTCCTATTGGGCAAAGAATTCAATGGTATATCATGAATACTGTTTACTTTGAATATTTCACCTCTGTGACAATAAAAGATATTGAAATATTGCCAGCAACTGATTTAAATACTTTGAATCTCTACAACAATGTTGAAAGGTATGATAAACCTTTTGGATTTGAATTCTTGAAAAATGAGGGATCAAAATTCTAAATGGAGAATGTCAAAATCAATAATGGCTATGCAGAAGCTCATTATAATTCAAATGATTATACAACTCCATATAGTGACACTGCATAATCCCTTAAAAAATATAAGCCATTTTTCACAGTACTTTTGAATACATATAGCATTACATTGAAGAATGTCATCTTTCAATCCCAAAACTATTTAATGGGGACAGATCTATCCTACTAAGCTAAGCCTTTCGGATTGGTGTATGAGAATAATGTTACATTCTAATATCTGAACATAAGATTGGAGAATGTCGTATTTTAGGATTTCGCTGTAGAAGATCAAGCTATTTTTGAGTTGTAAGACATGACCTTAGTGACAGCTCCAGAGTGGAATAGCAAGATTTATGTGAAGAATGTGCATTTTAAGGATTGCTACTTTATTAATGATGGAGCATTCCTAAGCACGAAATTGTCTGAAAAGCCAACAGGTATGATCTTAATCGATAATATGTATATGGATAATATTGAATACAATAATTCAAGGGGAATAGTAGACTTTTAAACTATGCAGAAAGTCTAAATAAATGGATTCAATATGATTAACAGTCGAGTCAATTACACCACATTATTTCACATTACTACTATTGACATGAGCAGAGTTTACATGTACAATACAACATTTACTTATTTTGGCAAGATGGTTTAGACTCAATTCGATATCTTCACAATAAAGCCAAATGATGTGATATATTCTGGAATGGCTTTGAGTTTTACTGATTTAGAATTCAATAAGATCAATTGTTTATATCCTGCATGCATAATGTAATTGAGTGGAATTAAGAATGACTATGAATTACCAATAAACATATCGATGAGTAACATTATTGTCTAGCAGATAAATTCACAGGGCTTCAATGAAACGATATGGGAGGCAGCAACAAGTGCGGCAATCCAAATTTACAAATCTCATATTTTGTAAGTCTAAAACTTTGAAAGTATTTAAAATCCAGATCTGACAATATTCTATACAGAACAAGTGGATGATACTACTTTTATCAATTTGAAATGTCGTCAAAACTTTGATTTAAGTATTAGAAATAACTACTGTGTATTTTTGAACAATTTCTACAAGAAGATTAAAATGGTTGATGTTGAATTGATAAATTTGAATGGAATTGACAATTCATTTATTGGGCTCTCTTCTTGGAATAATTTGGTTTACAATACAAGTAGTGAAGACTTCAAAGAAGAAATACTATTAGAGAATATAGTAGTTCAATATTGTACGATAACGACGACAGTATTGGCAGTCCCTTCAAGTGCTATTCTGATAGATTCAACCTAAGAGCAATTAGTGACCATGAAGAACATGAACTTTTATAACAATAAACATTTCTCTGCATCCTATTTAAAGGGAACTCTAAGACCTAGCAATCCAACCTTCTTGATTAGAAGTGTTGTAGGTACATTGAACTTGCAGAACTCTTTTTGGAAAAATAATCAAGTAAGTGGGTATGGAGCTGTGTTGTATTTAGAATGTGGAATTTAAGTGATCAAAAATATTTCAATGCTCAACAGTAATTATGATGCTACATCATTCATTAATTAGAATCCATTTTCTTAAACGATCAATAGCTTGGTTGAAGGAGGACATTTGTTTTTAGCTGGTTATAATATTTAATTGTTGGATTCATCGTTTAGTAATTCAACAGGGAAAGTTGGAGGCGGTATTTATTTGAAGGCTCAGAAGGAGGGACAAGTCTATTTTAATAACACTTCAATCACAAATGCATTGACTCCGATGGATGGGGGAGTAGTCTCAAGAGGAGGATGCATCTATGTAGATTCAACCTATTCACAATTGAGTATGCTCATGGAGAACATGGATTTGAAAGGATGTATTGCAAGAGCTGATGGTGGTGGAATTTATGTGACTGCTTCAGATAGACAATAGCAATTTACAATTAGAAGCAGTATCATATCAAATTGTTATGGTTTGAGTGGTACATCAATAAAGGTGAAGTTTGATGAGAGAACTTAAGCAGTACAGAAGACTACATTGGTTGGAGTGAAAATTTCAGGCAATTACACCAATGCTTTGGATTATTTCAGCAATTTGACCAATTTCTAAATAATTGAGGAATTCTTGTTGGTTAAACGAATGGCTGCTTTTGAGTAAGACAATGGGCAAGTTGAAGTTCAGAATTGTTATAGTGAAGGACTCTATTATTTTGGATTTATTTCACTTCAAAATCCTAGTCTGGTAAGATTCAACACTATTGAATCCTAACATAGTGTGTTATCATATAGACCATACATCGAAGTGATTGAACCATTGGCAAACCCAATCTTCATAGATTCAGTGCAATTTAGAAATATATCATCTATGAATGTCACTGTTGTTTGCAATGAAGCAAAATTGACTAATGAATAGAATGCCATTTGTAAGATATTGTAATCTCGAGTTGACTTTCCTGAATATATTATAAATCCAGCCATGATGTTGGTTGATCAGATTACCAAAAGTACACCTTTAACGATGAGGAATGTCTTCATCAATAGAGTAAAATGCAAGGAATGTTATGGAGGATTAGTTTAAGTAATGAGAGTATCAAATAGTGAAATGAGAGAACTAGTTCAATTAAGTGTTTGCAGATGTTCTAATTCAGAGGCAGCATATTATGGATGCTACATGGTTTCATCAGTCTAACATTCTAGTTTATTAAAAAAGGAAGACTCTCAAATTGGTATTGGCTTTAGTTCTTCATTAAGTTTGGACTCAATATTAACAAAAACAGGGTTGAAAAGCAGAAGGCGAATTCTGTAAGCACAATATTCACCATCTGATTACAGTTATGCTGTCCCATTGCCTTCTTATATGGCTCACGTGATAGTAGATTCTTTGAACATACAAGACGTCAGAGCAATTCATGGTGGAGGTGTTTCAATCTATGGTCTCACTGCAAATATTACAAGTGCCTATTGTACATAGTCCGTAGTGATTGGTCAAGGAGGATGTGTCTATTATGAAGCACAAGAAAAAAATAATAAGGTAGTGTATTAGAGATTGAATATTGGATCCAGTGTATTCTTTAGGAATAATGCCAGCATCGGTGGAGCAATCAGAGTCAAGCAAAGTGGCATCAATGATTGGACTAAGACTTCAAATACTATGCTCTAAAATTATGCCTCATTGTTTGGTAATGATGTTGCTGGATACCCAACACATCTAGGAATCATGGTCAATGGAAGATTACAAAACTCAAGTTACATTTATGATAACACAGAATGGCTTCATTATCCATTGGTTATTAAGAGTGGTTAGGAAATGTCTGGATTTGAAAATCAAACTGTCCTTTTGGTTTTCCTCAATGAAAATAATGAAGCTATGAAGTATTAATTTGAATCTTAATCCAACGTTCATGCTAATCTAACAAATACCATTTAAGGAGAATCGTTGAGAATCTTTAATTTGGATCAATAAGGTTTTGTCTACTCCAATTTACAGATATTATTTGACCCCTATCAAAATGTCACTCTGGATGTTCAATTGAACAGTTCACTTGTCAACATTCCTCGTTACTATAGTCAATACCCATATCAACTCATTGGATTTGATACAGATTACGTTCTATAGGCTAGAATAAGATCAGTGGAATGTGATCGAGGAGAAGCGTACAATCCACAACAAGGTTCATGCACTCCTTGTCCGATAGGATAATATGTTCTGGCTTATAAGGGGATTTGCAAATAGATAGATGATACATCAATGACTTACACCAGGATGAATTAAATTAGCATCAAAAATCAATATTGGAGACCAGACCATTTAAATGATTTGCCTGAGAAGTGTAAAAACAAGCCAGTCAATTGTTATGGAGGATTTAATGTTGGAAATGATTTGTGCTATGAAGGTATGATCGGAGCACTTTGCGAAGAGTGCGATATTTATGGCATATATTGGGATGCAAAATACAGTAATTCAGCCAAATATGAATGCGGTACTTGTTAGGATAGAACAAGGAACCTTATTATGATAGTCTTTTTGAGTATATTCACATTGTATTCCACCATTTCCTCAGTAAAGGCAAATTAAGAGAGAATGGAGAATTGTGTCCTTTACGATATATTTGCTCTACTTGGATGGGCTTCCTCTTAAAAGGCCAGTGGTAATGTTGCAGTATTAATGAAAATATTTAACAATCACACATAAATATTGTCGATTTTGAGTGGGTTTTAGATAGAAATACCGAATGAAACGGTGGATTCAGTCAACACTGTGAGTATGCCTGCAAAAACAATAGGTAATTCATTGGATTGCTTTTTGGTTGAAAACACTTGGGGTATAGATCTGATCTACTTCCGTTTAATTTGGTCATTGATTATGTAAGTCATTTACATTTTGATGATGCTCATAATCATTTTTGTGAGTGTAGCCATAGGCAAAATGTAATTCAAAGTCTAATATTTATACACCATGGCAATATATCTATTTGTATTTCTACAGCCAAATTATGTGATGGAATTCATGACATTGATATCAAGTAGGGTCATCTCAGGTAATTATTACATCATGGCTAATGTATCATACAGATATGACACTTTTAAACATGATTAATGGATAGCTGGTTTTGGAGTGCCAGGTCTATTGTTGTGGGTGCTTGTATTGCCAACAGCCTTTTGGTACGTATGCTATCAAGGAGCTTAATAAATGAAATTGAATTCCTTTAGATTTAGTTAGTCCTGGGGATTCTTTTATCATGAATACAGAAGAGACAGATATTATTGGGAATTCATTAAGATATTTTACCGTTCTTTGATTAGTATTCTGATTTGCTATTTCTAAGAGGAAATCATCGTAAAAGTAAGAATGTTCTCTTATTCTAGGGTATTTTGTCTTTTCTTGTTGTGTATGCATATTACGGACTAAGCACACACTTCAATCCTTATAATTTAAGGGTGACCAACGATTTAGACTAGTTATCGACAGTGGTCTTATCGTTATCGCTCATAGTGGGTGTCTTCCTTTATAGAACCATTGACATTGACTTTTATGGTCTGACATATGCAGGGTATGTACTGATTGGCCTTCTGAATGCTGTGTTTTTGCTTTTATTCTTCTACAATCTGTTCAAGGGGAAGTTGTAGGAGTTTGCACCAAAATTGGATGACGTTCGGGAGAAGGTTAAGGAGAAGTTCCCTCATCTTAATAACAATCCTCGTCTTCGTCCTTATCTGCAGAATCAGACCTAGTTGAATCATAAGGCGAGGTTGGAATGGGTTGAGTTGAGCAAGATTGTGAATCGTGGGATTATGTTGTGGAGGGCTGATAAATCGAAACCTTTGTAATTCTTCAGAGTGTAATTAATTAATGAAATGTTAGTACTGATGTTCCAAAGAGCGATTACAATACAAAAATTAACTAAATTCATTAAGAGTTCGGTTCTGAGAGTGATGATTAGAACTTGTTGTATGGTGATGGGCTACATTCAATTTAGATGTCAAAGGAGAACATCTAAGATGAGGGGAAGGAGAAATATATATATCAATGATATTCACTCTATATTTTAGATATTAATTTTTTTAAATTATGTCAAGTGTTGGTGATGATTCAGACAGCTATGAAAACAAGAAGCCATCCTCGTACGGTGTAAGTCAATCCATCATATTCTAGTCTGTAATACTTATAGTGTTGACCTTGGCAGGCATAGCCGGATTTACAGCTTATGCTATCATGAGTTCAGAAGATTCTAATTCTACCCTCTTGGAAACAGTATTCAACTAGAATGCGGTCCTTGATACGTATTGGAATCAGAAGTTCAATAACACATTGGCAAAACGAGTACGTGTGAAGGTGAGAATGGATTCAGACAATGAACTTACAGTGAAGATCGGAGATGCTGATGAACCGGGATTCGAACTTCCTGAAGATTCTGAATATTTCCCAAGAGACTCGAATTCCAAAGATACTAAGGACGGCAAGAGGAGTTATAGAGTGGATTTGAAACAGAATGGATCATTCACTATATATAGAGTCAAGGACGGAGAGGATATTGACACAATATTTGATTCAGTAGGACATCAATTGATAGTGGCCTAAGATTACACATAATTCGCAACCACACTTAATAGTAAATACTTATATGGAATGGGTCAAAGAAGAAAGGAACTGCGTTATAAAGGGACAGGCAATTACACCACATGGCCCAAAGATCAATTTGGTACCAATGACTATGGTTCACCAGGAAATCAACTCTATGGATACCATCCTATGTGGTTGACCTATGAGAAATCAGGAAACTACCATGTTGGATTCCTGAAGAGCACATCAGCATTGTTGACACAAATCGACGAAGCCTAAAGAATGGTCTTCCATGTTGTCGGTGGCAACATAGTTCTTAAATTCTTCTTGGGTCAATAGGAACCAGAAAAGGTCATCAAAAGTTATCATCGATACATAAATGGATTCGGATTACATCCATTTTGGGCCCAAGGTTATCATCAATGTCGTTGGGGCTATAAATCTACTACACAAATGCTAGATGTCTTATAAAACATGGCAACCATTGAACATCCTGTAGAATCTATGTGGAATGATTTAGATTACATGACTAACTATCAAGTCTTTACTTTGGACACTGAGAAATTCAAAAAAGAAGATATGAAAAAACTGGTTGATAGATCCACTCCTCAAGGAATCCATTGGGTTCCTTTGGTCGATATTGGAATAGCCACTAAAACTAAAGCAGAAGAAATAGGAAATGAATTTGATATCTTCCTTAAATCATCTGTTTACTCCAAGGAATCGAAACCATCCAATTTAGAAGGGTGCGTTTGGCCAGGAGCTGTAGTGTTCCCAGATTTTAACAATCCAAAAAGCTAAGATTATTGGACAAATTGTTCTGAATTGATGAGAGATTAAGGAATGGAACCATCTGGTTGGTGGATTGACATGAATGAAATGGCCTCCTTTATCCCAGGAGAAAGAGACACATCTGCAGCCGTAGATGAAGCATGTTATGGAGCCAATCCTCCTAGTCCTCCCCCAGTCAAAAAAGAAATTGATGATAGACTCTGGTTCCCAGTTCTTGTAACTGGATTCCAACCATTAGCTCATAAGACTGTCAGTTTGAATGCAGTTCATTATGGCAAGGAAGACGGAGTCCTTTTGAAAACTCCTGTTAAAGAACAATACTTCCATTCCTTAAACAACTTGGGAGAATAGATTGCCACTCATAAGACCTTATAAAAGTTTACAAATAAGACTTTGACCTTCTCTCTTACTCGTGGCTCCATCTATGGTTCAGGAAGATACACTGCCTTATGGACTGGAGATAATTTGGCTGACTGGGAATTTTTGAGATTGGGTGTTTCTGAATTGTTATCTTTCTAATTTTATGGTATTCCCTTGGTTGGTAATGATCTCTGTGGATTTGCTGGCAACACTAATCCTGAATTATGTGCTCGTTGGTTGGCTTTGGGAGCTTGGGAACCATTCGCTCGTAATCACAATGATAATGAGAGCATTTCTCAAGAGCCATACTCCTTTGCTGAAGCCTATGTGAAGGATGCTTCAGTTGCAGCTTTTAAGAATAGATATTCTCTCCTTAAATGGATGTACTCACTCTTTGTCAACTCATTTGAACCAGATCTAGGAGCAGGAACAGGTACTATCATATAACCCATTTGGTGGAATAACCCAGACGATGAATTTGCATATTAATTTGAAGATTCCGAATTCCTTTTTGGTAACACCTTTTTGGTTGCTCCAGTTTTGAGTAGAAGTTCGGATTTTGCCTCCTAAAAGACAACCATTAAAGTGTACTTCCCAAAAGGTTCTTGGATCAATTGCGATGACTTTAAGACAATTTACACTTATAAGGAGAAAACATCACTAGAATTCACAAGGGCTTTCAATCAACAAGCCTTGTCGTTCCAAAAAGAAGGGTAATGAGTATTTCCATATTTTTAGTACTCTCGTATTCAGATAAGATCCAAAATAGAGAGCTAGATTGTTAGATTCCAAGTATAGCATTTATGCCTTCCTCAACTCTGAAGGAATGGCTGTTGGCCAAATTATGACTCTTTCAAATTTCGATGAAAACGACGATAATAATGTTGCAGCTAAATGTTGGACCAAAGGTTCCAATTGCATTGCTGTCTACACTATTAAGGCACTCGAGGATAACAAATTTTCAATCTCTATTAAAGGATAAGAAGCTTCAACCATCTTTGAGCCAATCATCATTCAAAAGGTTATTATTAATAATAAGGGTGAAAAACTGGAATTCACTATTAATGAGGAAGTGACAAAAGCAGGAGAATTCATTATACCTTTGACTTCAAATTTGAGAGTATAATAATAATGAATTACATATATTTAACTATTAATTGAAATTTCAAGTGTCGATTCTCCCAATTCTATTATCTACCTATTCACTTTCATAACTATTAAAATCAAATTTTCTTGTCAATATTAAATTTAATAGATATGATCACAGAACCCAGGGGAAACTATATTGTCAGACTGGACAAGATATTGGGGTAAGGATCATTCGGAAAAGTGTTCACTTGTTACAAAAAAGATGATCCAAATGAGGAATTCTGCATGAAAATAATTAAAAAATAAGACATATGTGATTCAGATTAGGATTTCAAAAAGAAGCAACTGGAGGCAGAAATGAAAGTAATTAAAGAGCTCAAAAATACAGACAGTGAAAATTTAGTTAAATTGATTGAGGTGATTGATTCACCTTAAGAATTGTGCATAGTTATGGAATTATGCGAATGTGATCTGTCCATAGAGTATCACAATTTAAAATAAAAAAAATCATGGTTCTCAAGATTGGAATAAATCGATATAATAAAATAAATACTTAAAGGAGCCAAAGTCTTAATTGAGAATAAATTCGTTCACAGAGATATCAAACCATAGAACATATTGGTGAAAATTGTTAATAAAGGGAAAATAAATTAAAGAAAAATCTATAAAGTGAATTTTATCTCTTATTATTGCTTAGTTAGCTGATTTTGGTTTCGCTAAAGCTTTAGATGACATTTACAAAAAAGCTGCGTTGACTAGAGTTGGCACCTTCGTCTATTGCGCTCCTGAAATCATAAAAGGTCTGAATTTTTCTGCTAAATGCGATATCTTCTCCTATGGAGTTGTTTTTCATCAAATTGTTTATGAAGGATAATTTCCAGACAACTATTCAACTTAATATTAAATGTAGGAATTTATTAATAAAATCGAAAAGCATCCTTACTAATGCAATAAATTGAAAGGGGAATATGGTGATATGCTCAAAGATCTAATTTAAAGGATGTTACTTTACAATCAAGATGCTCGAATTTCATTTGAAAGCTTGCTTTCTCATGAAATTGTAACATTGAATATACCTATGATCCAGGATTCTCTATTTATAAAAATGGATACACCATTTAATAAGGATTAGATACAATAATAACAGATTGAAAACTAACAATCTAAATATTCCAAAATACAATCACTTATTGATATTTTTTACAGAAAATCCTTACTTTGCTTATCTGTAATAAATTATATGAAGGAATAAATAATTATTCCCTTCATCGAACTCTCAATTGTTTAGCAATTGATTTAAATTATTGGCTTAGAGGAAATTAGATTTGCCTTTGCATTGCTTCACCTTATAGTTTCTGACCTTTAATCCTTCATCAAAAATTAACATGATGTTCCCTTTTTAATGAATATTTTACAAAACTACCTTGAAGATTCTAAAAACGATTGGGTGCGATAAAAACTTCACAAAGAAGTTAGAAAATAATTTCACAGCCAATTGAGACAGTCTTAAGATGATTTCAATAATTTTATTCGTAAGAAGCAATCCACACCCATTAACAATTAACCCAAAAAAATCATACAGTTTTTAGAAGAATCATAATAATAAAAAGTTTCAATACCTTAGTGTTGTTAGCTGTTGGAGGAATGGCTAAGTAATAATATAGTTAATTAACAAATTAGCAAATTCGAATCGTAATACTATATAATTATATTAATTCTAGGAGGATTCAGCAATAGATTGAAAAAATCAAGAAAATTGAGACTAAATTTGAAATTTCCAACTATTTTTTTATTAATCCAAATGAAATTTTTGAAATCAGAAATTATTAAAGTGGTATTTGATAGATCAAAATTATGTTAATATAAATTTTTTAATAATCAAGATTTCATTATCATAAACCATAATATACTTTAATATAAACTAGATTATCAACTTTTTTATAAAGAAATTAATTAATACATTATATGATCATATTTTGGAAATCTAAAATTCGTGATAATTCAGACGGAAAGAAGTAGTTTCAACATTTGAACACTCTCCAATACATGAATGAATTTTCAGAAAAACAAGAAACTCAATTCCAAGTAAATAAACTATATATATTATTTATATTCTACTTTTAGAACAATAGTGAAAATTAAACAAAATGTATAGACACTTTCAAAAGTTGGAAGGTCTTAGACTTATATAACAAATTAATATAAATTTAAGCTCAATAGTGCAGAAAATCTTCTAATTTTATTTACATAAAATATTAATATCATTGTATAATAAAAATTTCATGCAAGAATAAAAAATGCAAGGCAGAGAAATAAAAGGAGACTATATTATTATTACTGATGATTTAGTAGGAAGGGGGTCATATGGATAAGTTTTCAAATGTTATAAAAAAAATAATTAGAATGAATTATATTGTATGAAGATTCTAAAGAAAACTAGCAATGCTAGAGACTCAGCAACAAAAAATATAGTAGATGCTGAATTAAAAATACTTTCTATGTTAAAGAATACTCCATCTGAAAATTTGGTTAAATTAGTTGATTATGTAAAAAATGACGAAGAATTATGCTTGGTCATGGAATTATGCGATTGTGATCTCAGCTAACTATTCTTAAATTTTAAAAAGTCGAACTAATGGTTTAAAAGAGAAGAGCAATTTCAAATGATTAGATAAATCCTTAAAGGAGCTTAATTATTGAAGGAAAACAATATTGTCCACAGAGATATTAAGCCTTAAAACATACTTGTAAAGATTTACAATCTCAACCAAGAAGAGCAGATGAAAATTTTGAAAGTTAATTTATTCATGAAATATTTTAGATTGCTGATTTTGGGTTCTCCAAAACATTGATCAATATTTACTAGTAATAAGACATGACTAGAGCTGGCACTACCTGTTTCATGGCACCTGAAATTTATAATAAAGAATAATCTAGTGCGAAGTGTGATATTTATTCTCTTGCAATTCTATTTCATCAAATTGTGTTTGAAATGAGATTCCCTGGGAATTATCAAGGTAGGGATTAAGTACCATAATTTTATGAGTAAATTAAATAGACGCCATATAAATGTTAATAACTACCAGATCAAGACGGGTAATTGTTAGCAGCTTTAATAGAGAAAATGATGCTCTTTGATTAGAATAAGCGAATTTCATTTGAAGATTTACTGGAATATGATATAATATTATTAAAGGATCCACTATTTAGAACTATGTCATAAATAAAAAAATTGAGAATAAATGATGAAGATTAGAATCAATCTATTTTTCAAGGAATCTATACAATTTTAGATAATTTATATAGAAAAAGTTTACTATGCAAAAACATAGCCGATTAGGTCAAAAATGCTAATTCCAAAAACAATGCTCATCTGATGAAGATGTAATTCACTATTACCTAGATTGGCTATGAGGAAATTAAAATTGGATTTGCGATGATACATAGGATTAGTTCAGATCTAATACCAAAACTTCTTCAACTTTGCGATGTCCAGCATTTTATAAGTTTGTTGAATTTGTATATAGAGTAATCAAGTTCTAAAGAAGAAGAACTTCATTAGAAAATAAAAAGGGAATTCTATAGTTAACACAAAAAACTTATCGAAGATAGTAATGTGATAAAATAAAACATGTTCTAGCTTTAAGAATCATAAATCATTCCATAGGGCATAGATGATGATTTGTTCTCTCTAGATAGTCTATCTAAAAAATACGAATTAAAAAGTCTCTGCATTTATTTATAGAACTTGATTGATATTTACGAGCAGGACTAGCCTTTAAATGAAAAAGACAAGTAAATAATAAACTATTGAATTAGTGAACTTCTCAAAAAAATCAAGGTGATTACAACAATAGAAAGTAGATTCGATTTTTTTGAGTATAAACTTTATAAATCGGACTAAATACTCAAATTGTGATTTATTTTTATATGTATTATTTCACAATAATTCAGGTTTAAAACAACCATTTTTATTGATTATATCATTAACCTCGTCTATTGCCTTTGAAGGATTTCCCTGATCCACATAATCAGCCAGAATAAAGTTAGGCATTTTGTTGCAATGAGTGTTGAATTGTTTAAATCTTTTTTTGACATGACTATAGTCATTATACTTGTCTGTTACGAAAGGAAGTTTTTATTTGAGTTTTTACTTTAAAGCATTTTCTGCATATAAATGGATTTCTAAAAAAGGGTTCCAAGTCTTACCGTTTAGCAAATCCCCGTTTTTTACATCCTCCAAAGGATCTAAATTATAATTTACTTGACAACTAACATCATATGAATAATGCGTATATTTAAGTAAGTAATCCCCAATCTATCCCCTGGGCTCAATAGTAATCAAGATATTCTTTTGATTTTCTCTACACCATCCTAATGTTGGTGGATTATTGTCTTAAAATGTTATAGCTCTTTAAGGAGCATTAAGTTCGACCAGCAAATTATGCAACTTTAAATCATCATCACTTTCATTCTATCCTAGTGTTCCATTTTCCTTAGTGTGTTCTGTTAATTTGCTCTCAATTTTGACAATCATGATTTCATTAGGATACTTATATGCCAAATTAAATAATTCTTTGAGACGATGACTAGCTGATTCTGGATCAGTAAATAGTCTTTATAAGACACTTAATTTACAATTTGATCCTCCATCTCCTTCATGTGCAATGACGATCTAAAATACTAAATAAAAATTACTTAAGGGACTCCCTTTTCAACATGCCAATGTAATGGGAATTTGAAATGCCTAGCACCATGCTTTTCAAACTACTCTGTTATAGAGACATTTTGTTGTGTATATTTCCATCCATAACATTTTGACATAGGCGAATTGTGAGCACCAAGATAGGCAATTTCATTTAAATGTAAATTAGGTGAGAGATGACCATTTCCTCCAGGTAATTTGGCTTACATTGATAGAATTTTAAATAATTATAATGTTAATCATTTTTTTTTCTTTTTGGATACAGTGGCAGTAGATCTGCCGGTAGTCTAACTTTAAGGTCTTAGATTGGAGGTACTAGAGGAAGCATTCTTCTTCTTTTTCTTTTTTGCAGGTGGGGCAGTAGATTTAGGTGTTTGAGCAATTATCTGGAGTTGTTCATCAAAATGCTTCTTGAGTTTTTCAATGGCTTCATTTGATTGGATGGTGAGTTTTTCTTAGAATTGCTTTTGTTCTTACAGCAATCTATCTTCAACTGATTCTTAGAGTTCTTATTCCAACTATTGAATTGCTGATTATGTTAGTTATTTTTATTCTTTTAATTCAGATTCCAATAATTTTTCCCTTTCTTTCATCTCCTCAATATCCAAGAGCAATTCGCTGATGATTTTTTTCTAAGTTATTACTTCTAATAAATTACACTTTCTTGATTTTCAATTTTTAATGCTTTGATTACCTCTTGGGATTCAAGGAGATTATTTTTATATTTGACAGCTTTGATTCGATATTTCGATTAGGTATTGACATCTTCATCTTCTGATGTCTACTGATAATCCAGTAGTGCTTTAGCATGTTTTTCTAAATAGATTCCATTGTCTTTAAAGGGTTTTTTTCTCATTAATAATTTTAATTGGAAACAGCAAATTACATCAAAGTAACATGTTATAATAAAATATTAAGAAAAAGAAAAGTACTTCTCTATTTTTAGACATTGTAAGAAGAAATATAATTAAACTTAATTTTGTCAAATGAATTCATTGTGTGTTTATTTTGGTTTTTTGTTTTTGATAACACAATAAGCAACCAAAGCAATTATAAGCAAGACTCCAACACCAACGAGTATCCATACCCAAATAGGAATGGATTCCTTGTCTTTGTCATCGTCATCATCTGGGATTACATTAGTTTTCACAATCCACACGTAATCTACAACTGAATCATTTGCACTCATTCTGTGTTCGAAATATAAATGAGTTTTGTTCTTAATCTCTAAAATACCTATTCCATCACCAGCAGCCTAAAATTTTGTATAGAACTTGGGTGGGTCTAAATTAAGATAAATTAATACAAATATCTTCAGGCATTATTTCATCATTCCCAGCAGCTCCTTCTACAATATATATGGGTGCTTTTGGGTTTGTATAGGTGTTGTTTTCATATTTATCGAATTAAGCAACCTTATTGTAAGCCAATGGTTCATCTCTTTCATAAGTGTGTTGATGTCCAGCTAAACATAAATCTACACGATATTTAATAAAGAGATCTTCGAATAATTACATCTTCTTATAGTGATCCTCACAGAATCCATCATCGGGATTGCTACAATAAAATGGATAATGGTTGTAAACAATTAGCCAAGATGTATTCTCATGTGACCTTATTCTGCTTAATTCTTGTTCCATTTGATATAAGGTGTAAATGAAATATGTCTTATCCTTATTCCCATAGGCGATTTTGTAAGGGTGGAATTATACAAAGTAAGCATGTCCAACTTGAAATGAGTAAAAGTCGTTGTATTTAATGGGATTATCATACTCGGATATTCTTGGAGTAGCAAAGGACTTTCTGATATAAACAAATTCATCATTGTGACCTGAATCGTGATTCCCGAGTGTCAACATGAATGGAAAGTGAGATGTAAACAAACTTATATTTCTGAGGAAGTTGTCTCCCACCATACAATTGTCATCTTCTAAATCATATGCCATATCTCCTAAGTAAATGATACCGTCATAATGTGTTGTTTTTTTAATTTAATTTGAAAACCAATCAAAAGTTTATTTGGAAGTATTTAATTTCCAATTCGAATCCATATCTCCCATGACAATAAATTTACTTGAGTAATTTAGGGACTTAGATGGAACATTAAAGTAGAATGGACCTGCCATTGGTGTATTCTCCCAATAGATCATAAAAGTGTATTAGTTTCCTTCGATTAAACTGTCGAATTAACCAATCTTTACGTCATACACATACGTTTCGTAATTAATCACATTTTCTGAGTCTTTGTATACGTCTGTCATGTTGAGCAATGAGAAATTGTTCACTTAGATATTGTTTATGCTTGTCGTAGTGATGATCTGAACCACGTAGTCTAAACACAGATTTTAGGAATTGAAGGTGAGGGTGATGTAGTTATTGATGTCGTTGAGAGCTGAATAGTAATGTCCCAAAGATAATCTGACTCCGTAGGGTATACAATCACTCTTAGCGAGTGTGAGGAGTGATATTATAAACAAAATCATATAAATTTAATTTACAAATTCGATGTTTAAGGATCAGTAGTATTAATTAGGAAGTATTAAAGATGCAGAGGATGCATGTGCATTATTTTAGGGGTTGTTTGCAATGTCAATGAAAATGCACTTGTAAATAGTAATAATAATTAAGAATTATTTATATTTTATTGTTTGTGATTTGGAAAAATGTGATGCTCATTTGCTTCATTTTTATTGTGACTTCAACTACTCGAAAGTTTAAACTGGAATTAGTATAAACTTCTGGTTTCCAATTTGAAATTGGTTGTAACCCAATTTAACACTGTTTTTGCAATCATCGCATTTACACAATTCTGAGCATTTCACCCCTGCATTATAACATTCACAATATTTTTTTTAACAATTACTTTTACGACAATTACATTTCAGCTAAGCAGAAGAATTCTTCTCAACCATTTGTTCAAGTACTTTACTTCTTTATTCGGGGTGTTTATCATCATTGTGACAATTTTAACATGAACACTCGCTTCCACAATACTCGCCAAAAGCCAAACAATCGCAATACATTTTCAGACATTAACTTTTTTTGCAGGTGCATTATCTCTATTTCTATTGGAATGGTTTTTTAATTGTTGTTTCAGTTATAACTCTTTTTTGCTATCTAGTCGGAGTCTGGAACTAGTCATCTTTAAATATAGTGTCACAATGATTTGGTTTCATATATTAAATTTATTTATCAAAATGTAACACTCAGAATCCAGAAATTATTAAATATTTTACACTCTTCAGACCCAAAACAACACAAATTGCATTATGATTAAACATTACAACATAATCACTCAACCCTTGGACACAAAACTATTGTTTTTAACGTAAAATCTCCAAGGCTTATCCTTCCATTCCTCTGCATAATCAATATTGATCCTGGCTGAAACACCAATCTCGTATTATTTCTTATTGTCTATCAAATACATCCCACTTTTCTGATCGCACAAATTCAACCCATTATGAGACTTATCCAAGAGCAAACACCCTCCGCATTTCCCAGGGCCATTCGAAAGATCCTGCACCTTCGTCGACTTAGTCTTGCGTATCTCCTTTATGATATCAAAACTTAAGGGTTAAACTGCCCTTATCAATACAGCCTCTGGATCATCCTTGGTTGCTGCCGTAATATTTAAACAGTAATTATTTCCGTATATCGAATAGACATACAAATGACCTCCATCTTGCCAAAAGTATTTTGTCCTGTCTGTTTTTTTGTTGTTGTAAGCATGACATGCCTTGTCCTCAGGAGCTAACAATTTCGATCGTCGATGTACCTTTATAGGCTTCTGTCTCCACTATTATTGCTCTGACCTCCCCTTATGGCAATTGTCTGACTATTATCTTGCCAATCAATTTCTGGGCTAATTCAACTACACCAGCCTTGTAGAAATCTGCAGTCAGCATTGTTTCGACCACTTCGTATTCCTCAGCTGGATTGGCTTCGTTTTTTTTAATTTTCTTGGCCACAGGCTTTTCTTACTAATCCAAATTGTCTTTCTGTTTAATTTCTTTTTATTTCATTTTTAATTTTCTTACTAATAATTGACTAATCCCACATTTATAATGGTGTATCTTTGATTATTCGCTTTGTTATGCATTAGAATTCAGTTTAATTATAAAAATCCATTCCATCCAAGAGTTTTTCGTAATTAACTAAAATAATTTCTTAAATGAAAATTCCATCAGAAATCCCTTAGGAAAAAGATACTGCCGAACGTAATTCTTGGGGAAACTCCAATTCTTAAGGAGATCAGGATTCAGCCTCTTAGAAAGATGAACTAAATAAGAGTATAGAGTTGGGACGCAAAAAGCGGTAGTAACTTGTATTAGAGAATCCTGAATTTCAAATAAAATAGGAAATTGAAGATGAGAAACAAAACATCAAAGTTGAAACACTCATTCGAAGAGATGTGGCTAGTGCTATCAACATCAAAGATCTACGTAGTTTATTAATTCATTAATAGTGAAATTGAAGATTTCTTCAAAGGACATAAAAAATCCAATACACAGTCTATTTCGTTGGATTCTTCTCATTTTCTACAAAGCCAACCCTGAGTTGTATAATTGGCCTGAATTCAAGGTAAGAAGTGATTCTAATAATGAGGACTAAATACTTGATAAGAATCACGGGTAAGATCTGGTGAATCGACTGGGGTACCAAAGTGTTGTGCATATCACTCAGTTGGAAGGGGAGAAGACTAAATTCTTACTGAACTTGAAATAAAAAATATTAGAGGAAAATAGTTAGCCTGAAGCAGCTAAGAACGCTCTGATTAAAATATTCGATATCGTTGAGATAGTGTATAAAACGCACGAACATGCAAAAGGCATCAATCATCTTGTTGATGAATTAATTAAGGTAAATCAGAATAGTATTATTAATTACAATAGCAAGAAGATAACATCAACAACTACAAAGAGGAAATCAAGAAAGTGAATCATCAAATTCAAGAGGCCAAGTCAAGTCTGAAAAGTTTGGAAAGCAAATCTTAGAATGATGAGAACTTATCTTAGAACGATGAAATTGTATAAGAATGATGTTATATAATTAAAATCGTTAAATTTTTTATGATAGACTATAAAATAAAGAACTTGGAGGAGAGGATTTAGATCCAAGAACAAAATGTGGAACGCAAGATCTTCAAATTGGAGGAGAGATTAAAGTAAATCAACCAGAAGTTTGACAGAATAGAATCATTGGGTGACAGGTTGGAATCCCTTAACAATCTATTTGATTAGTTAAAGTCTAATTTCGATGCTAAGTTACAAGTTTTTGATGACAAGATATCTCATTTGGCAGGAAAGATTGGGAAACTTAAAATCGACAATACTTAACAACTTTATCAAATAATTAAAAAGTCATTCGAAGAAGCCAACTAGGATCTTTCCAAGATCAAAGTCCAAGGATATAAAAAATCAGAGGCATAATTGAGACAATCCAACATAATGGATTTATAAAAGAATGACAGATTGCGATCAATAACTTAAGAAAAGAATTAGAATGAGGAAGACATTTAAAAGAAACTCAAATCGTAAATGATGGACAAATTCCAATTCACACTTTAGACTAAACAATCAGATGATACATAAATCCTGACGGAATCAAACAAAATATCCAATAAGAAACTAGAAACATTGACATTAGAGAGCAGCAGCATACTTGATTAAACACAATCTCACGATCCCCTCAACTCTAAGCTTAAGCATACAAATAGTACAATTTACATTAGAGAATAATTAAAAAACCTTAGGAAATGAATTAATTTATATAATTATAATATTTATAGTTATAAAAATACTTAAATCAATGATGGCTCATTAAATTTACATCAAGGATATTTAGCTAATATTATTCGGATCTCAGGTTGTAGGAGAAATATGGATACTTTGGAATTGACAAGTGCTTGAAGTATTCTACTAATAAGATTATTTATGCTAATCAGAGTAAAAATTGAGAGATCGAAACTATTAATAACAAGCAATCGAATAATTGGGAACTGAAGGTTTCATCTCAATCTGTGATCTGATATAAGAGGTTATAACCAAAACAACTTCAGGTTTATCATAGATTACCCCCTTTAAGAGTATTTATCGAAACTATAACAATACTAGAAATGATTAAGAATCCCCTTCAATTGGAATCAGAATTAAATTGACTTATAATCCAACAGAAGCTGAGATGAGATAATCAGGACATTAAATGAGAGAATAAGATCCTAGGAATCAAAAAAGGAATTAGAATGATTTGTATTAATCTATCAAGAAGTACTCAAGTGAATTATCAACAATTAAATTCAAGGTATGATTATTAGAGATTTTGACTAGATTAACAAAGACAATCATTCAAACAAAAATAAACCTATGTAGATTAAGTTCAACAACAACAATAAATATAAGGTGTTAGAGTTTAGAATAGTGCTGATCAGAGAACATTTGTGTATAATTGTGATTTAGAAAGAGATAATGTAAGTAGATCAAAACTCAAAACAAGAGGGAATACTAGAAAATGATGTTATAAAATAATTTTAAACAAATTAGCTACCTTAAATTAATGTAAAAGTCTCTTATTTCTCCTAACAAATTATTTGAGCATCTTCAAAAGAGAAGAGATGAGTTGAAACAGGCCAGTCTCAAATCTCCAATAATATCAGCAAATAAGTATCTATCATAAAGTTCTATGGATTAGACACTCAATTCCAAATAATAGGAATAGTAAACAATTAATAGATATCAAGAAGACCAGACCTAAAAGTAAGTGTAGATTGTAACAATCTAAGTACTGTTTTGACTCAAAATACACATGTGCGTTAGAACAGTAAAATCATAGACTCCAAAGAGAATTCTAGTTACTTATCTACTTGCGCCATGAATCTACTCAAAAAAATTAAATCTGAAAAACTGGTTAGACCTGCACGTGATCTGGTGTAATACAATAATTCAGATGTCAAAAAATAATACGAGCTTTTGTTAGATTTGGCGAAAAAACCTTTGATTGTTAAATTACTAAAATAACCTCGTTCTATTAGTAATCCTGAGATATTAGTACCCTAATATTACATTCAAAAGGCTCATGGAGAATCTCAGGCTGGAATGTTGTATACAGGGTAAACCAAAATAAATCAAGACACTTTCAAGTTAGTTCAAAAATTCTGTGGGCAAGAGAATGATTGGTACTTTCAGGTTTCGGATGGCCATGGAACCTATGGTCATCAAGTTGCATAGTTTATTTATGAAGCTTTGCCACAATTAGTAGAAAAAGAGCTAAAATAACTATAAAATTAATATGAAAAGAATAGATCAATACATCAAATTTTGAAATAATGTTTTACAAGGGCTAATTAGGATTTGTTAAAAAGTGGAATTGATGTAACATATTCTGGCTCAACTACTGTTGTTGTAGTAGCCTTCAACAATGAATTGCATTGTGCCAATATAGGAGATAGCAGAGCCATCATTGGAAGATATGATGGCAAACTCTCTGTAGTTGAACTATCAAAGGATCACAAACCTGATTGTTTTTTAGAATAGACTCGTATATTGAGTAGAGGTGGAAGAGTACTTCCTTATAGTGATGAAGAGGGATAAGCAATTGGACCAGCAAGAGTTTGGGTAATGCATGAGGATGTCCCTGGCTTAGCTATGTCTAGAAGTTTTGGAGATTATGTTGCTAGTTAAGTTGGAGTGATTTGCGAGCCAGAAATTCTTAGACACTCCTTATTAGAATCTGATAAGTTTGTCATTATTGCATCTGATGGTATTTGGGAGTATTATTCATATTTAATTAGGTTTTTGTAAAACGATTTAGTTGTTCAAATTGTCTATGAATTTTATAAGAAAGGGGATGTGAATGGTGCATGTGTTAGATTAATATAAATTGCAAGAGAAGCCTGGCAAAGAGAAGACGAAGTCATAGATGATATTACTCTAATTATAGGGTTTTTTAAATGATGACTTTAGTAATTTGTATAATTAATACTCATCCAAACTAAATTTATGATCTGCCACCTGGAGGATTTCTTACTTTGACTGATGTTTTTGCATCCTATTGTTATTATTAAACAGGAGGTTGATTGACTTGTTTTCTTCCCAACGGTTGAGCTACTTGCTATTAAGGAGTGTAATCTCCCTTGAGGTTTTAAATATGGTATGTACAAATGAGATCGATGAATTTCCTCCAGGTGCTTGATGTAATCTAACTGATGGTTTATCTAATCCATATCCTTATATGTTATTCATTTTTCAAAATTTTAACTGTTATTTATATTATTTAATATTAAATGATGATTATATTTAGAATTTAACATAGAATTTTATACAATATCTTATTAAGTAATTAAGAAAATATTTAATTAAACCAATAAATTTTGATAACAACACTTAAATTTTCAATTTTGTTTTGCTTTTTTTCTCTTCAAATAAGAGTATTTTTACATGAAATGGAGATATGTTTTATTGAAGTAATATGAAAACCTCGGTCTAATACATAGAATGATTTACCTTACTAATAACTAATGAATAAAAACGAAAATCTAGTAGAACTCATAGATGAAAGACTTGCATTTCACTTTAAAAAATAAACATCCTGAAGTTTAAAAGCAAAGATTTGTTAAGGTACCTTTAACGTTGATTGGCTAATATCTCTTTGATTTGAAAACATAAAAAGATATTGTAAGAGTTACAATTAATTATTATTTATCATATTAATTAATATCAATCATTGGTATTTAATATTTAATGGACCTTTGAACTACAATTAAAGTAGCCAATAAAGCACATAATAAATGATTACAATTCTACTATAATTGCTCATAGTTTGATTTACTAAATAGTGAGAATTAGTTTATTAACAAGAAGTGATATATTTGAGTTCTTAACTATGATATAATGAATTGCCCTTATAATTATATCAAGATGCTTTCAAAAGAAAAATTGAATTAATTTATTATTCATTCAAATCTACTAACCAAAAAATTCTTTATATGATAAATCAGTTCTTAAGAGATTCTCATTAATTCCTAGTTGCAGCCCAAATAAGCAATCAATTAGATATTAATATTAAGGAGGGAATTCTAAATACAAAAAATAATTATATATAATTAATAATATATAAATGCTTAAAGGCATAAAGAATCGAGGGAACACTTGTTTTCTCAACTCTCTTTTGATTTGTCTATCTAAAAGCCTAGTTGTTAAGAAGGTCAAAGATGATTTATTTCAATAGTTTCTAATATCGACACTTGAATATTTAAATGAGTGTCATGATGCAAAAAACTTAGAATTGTTTTGGATTGAACTTCGAAAGAGATAACCTACGCTATTCTCATAGAATCCAGAAAATTAAGAACCCCAAGATGCTTTTGAAATTTTGTTATTTTTATTATCGGAAAGCAAACTTTTAGATTACTGCTTAATTATTAGTTAATCTCCTTATTGCGAAATCCCTGAACATAGAGATTGTATTTACATTCATTAAAGTTGGGTGAAAGACATTGTCTATTATATATGGGACTAAAATGTTGATATCAACAATTTAAAGCTTTTGGCCGATGTGAATGATAATTCATAAAGTATTAGAATGTTTAAAATGATACCTGGTTCTGCAGATTAATACAATTGGCATTTAAATGATAAGATGGAAACTGATTTATTTACTTATCATGTAGAAACTTAGTCTAATGAATATTTGTACAAGATTGAGTAAGGTATGTAGAATTATATTAGAGAATTGTTTTATAATATGTTGAAAATGATATCACACAAACAATTTTGAGAACCCGATTCCTGTATTTAGAATAAAAAATCACTTAACATTAATTATATTATCGACTTAGACAATAATTAGAATAAACTCCAGTTAACTTTGATGTTTACAGTGTAAATGGTTATATTAGTGATTAAAATGAACTTTGGCAACCTGTTTCGCCGTTGTATTTGGTTTTTAGAACAAAAGATCTAGACGAGTTTCTGTGGTGTAAATAATTGGATATTCCAAATTAAGTTTTAAATTATTAGAATTTCTTTAAATCTGATAAGCCCTTGTAAGTGGAAGGTTAATTGACCAATACATTAATATTGATATTATAAAGAAATGACATAGTCAAAAACACAAATCCTTATTTTATAAGATAGGAGCTAAAAGTTAAGGTAAATCTATTTTGAGTAATTAAATAGACAAGAATGTATGATTTAATGGGCATTTGTTGTCATATAGGTGATGCTAAAGGCGGTCATTACGTAAGTTACATCAAGAATATGAATATGTGGCAAATGTGGGATGATGAAAGAGTTGAAATGCGTAATATAGACTTTCAATGTATGCAGACAGCATATATTCTATTTTATAAGTTGAGATGATGAGAGTACATAAATTTTATTAATATATTCAATAATTATATAATTATAACTACAAAACCCAGTTAGATTTCATTTAAGAATAGGGTTCTATACTTAATTAGAATTACGATTATCATATATAAAGGATATTTATTATTAATTATTACTAAATCCTTGAAACATACTTTTCAGATACCATAATGGAGATAAATTAATTAACGATGGATTCAACGATAATTCCATTTTTATTTAGAACTATATGACAATTTCAACAAATCATAATAATAAACATATATTGATCAATGAAGAAAAGAATTGTCAAAATAGAAGATATAAGGCTTAAAATATAATTGATATATATATTAGAACTGCAGTCACTTTGAGGGTGACAGAAATGCTAAATATAAAATAGTACCAAATAAATCTGTATATTAATTGTAATTAATAAATACTTTTATGTTCTAAGAACAAAAAATAATTATTTAAATTAAAGATGATTCTTGCCTTAATTCTTCTGATATGTGCATTTGATTCGGTCTTGGCCCAGAGAACCTACTGCCAATTGCCCGATCCAATTTTTAATGATGGGGTAAAAAATTCAACTTGGGGTGATGCAGATCCTTCTGATTGGAATTATTTGAACTCTAATGACTGGAAATGTACTTTATTTGCGTTAAGAGTGTAGCTAAGGTTGTTACATGTGGTGCTAGCTTTTAATCTCCCATAAACATAGTAACGACAACAGCCACAAAAGAAAGTACATTCCCAGCAATCAATTATATATTGAAGTCTTCAACCAAAAATTACTTTGAGGCTCAGCGTATATCTCTTAAATAATTATTCAGGGGATTATACCAAAGAATTAGAGGGAGAGTATGATTTCATCACTGCATTTGATTTATCCAATTCGCAATACAAGTACTATGCTAGACAGTTCCATATTCACACGCCTTCTGAACATCAAGTAGATGGGAAAAACTTTGATTTAGAAGTTCATTTCGTGCATCAAGTACTCTGTTCAATTTATCAGGCTGTTGAAGATGGTGAATAGAGTTGTAATGACATTAGAAACAAACTGACTGTCTTTGGACTGCTCTTCCAACAGTCCAACACTGCAACCGATTATGAAGTATTCAAGCCATGGTTTGATGACACCGTAAATAGAGTTACATCTTTTGATATGAAGTAATCACTCCCTATAACAAAGTGACTTCTTCCAAAGAATGACTGACAAAACCTATTATCACTACACAGGCAGTCTCACAACTATGTATATTCTCAGAAACTAACAATAGACCTTGCTCTTAAACAGTGAATTGGTATGTTTTTACATCCCCCTTGCCTATCTCTAAATCGCAATTCAAGCAATTCCAAGATTTCCTCGACAATGACGATTACTTCCCTAATAAGGCCAACAATCGTCCCACCCAAAATCTTAATGGACGCACCTTATACAAAGGAGTAAAATTATTCGTATATTTCCTAGACTGCCTCTTTCAATGGAGTGACATCCCTTCCTGTTATAGAAGCCTCTTGGAGCTCCATCATCCAGATGGCTATGCTATTATTAGTCTAATTGATAATAACGATATGACATAAATTCTATAGATGATCTATTATTTCAAATGTATAATTTAAATTAACCAAATAATCAATCCCCTGAACGAGAATCATACAAATCAGTAAAAGTGAAGAAATGTTCAGAATCTTATATTATTAAAATTCGTTAATTCACAATTATTGGTTTTAATATAATATAATAATATATTTTAATTAGACACTTTTTATTTAAAATTATAAAACCAGGTGAGTTATGAATGTCACTGTGATAAGACTAACTATTATAATAGAATACAAAAGAGATTTTATACTATTTGATGACAAATTTATTCTTCATAAATATTATATAAATTAATAGTAATTTCCTTTTTTTAATAATGATGAAATAAGGAATATAATAATTTAATATGTATTAAAATATCAATTTTATACTGCTTTTATAAAACCAACTTTTCTTGGTTCCTAATATTAGTGATATATATATACATCCTATATGAAATGAGTGTAGTATTCTCTAATGAATAGATCCCCTAAGATTGAAACTTTTTGATCAAAAGGTGCAATCATCAAATAGCATTCGAAAAATGAACATAAAAGATATTTATCAGGTGTAATTGTAAATACTTTGCCACATAAACTTACTAATAGAATAAACATAAAATCCGTACTTTCAAAGTTGGGATATTCATCAACATCTGCTTGATCACATTAGGTTATTCCTTCGAATTGCAGACTGTCAAAACACTTAATTCCAAAATCTTATAAGTACTCAACTAATCTCTAATGATCCTTTTCATATAAGACTATAAGCGAGGTTCCTGAATCTACAACGAAAAGAGATGTATATAAAATATCGCTCTTTTCATCTTAGGCATTGTGAACAGGCTATATAGATTTTAATGTTCTCTTTGTATTGCCATCTTTCGATACAAATGCAACATGATCTCCTTGTATAGCCCAATACTTATTGTTTATCACATAACAGTAATGCCATTAATCACTTTGATCTCCAAGACTGTCTAGTTGCCCACCTAAAATTAATTTCGATTGTTCCTCATCCTTAAGGTGTTCGTCTGTAAGGAAAATTGAAAATTCCTAACTTAGATAATCAAAAAACCTTTTTCTCTATTTAATTTTGACTGAACAAATTATCAATCAATGTTGGATATCCATCACTCAAAGTATCAAAGCCAAGTCCTGCTAAGCCATCTCCTTCAAATTTTTTTAATTCTGTTAATTCATCCAAAATTAACATAGTTTAATTTCGAATTAACAAAGAACCTATTTTCAAATTCTCAACCATAAACTATGCCTCAGCCTTACCAGTACCATATTATAATTTTATCTTCTTTTAAAGATATTTGCAACTGTACGAAGCCTCGCAATCAAAAAATTCTTTCACTCCTGCTTTTTTGCAAGTATGACAGTCACTTGAAGCCACCCATCTAAAATTAAATTATAAGGATTCTACGTATATGATGAGCCTGTATCAAACAAAACATCAAAGGTTTACTCTGGTGAGCCCAACTCAATTTTACCAAAATATTGAGCATTGTAGGAATTTCTAATTGGGAGGATATTGGATATTTATTACCTTAATGGAATATAAGTGATCTAATAGGCGTATTAAATTCTATCTAGATGGTCTAGGAGAGTATTTTAATTTTTAATTTGTTGTTTGTCTTCACGACTCAACTCAAAGGATATTTTGGTGTCTGAATGTAGAGTTGATTTGATCGCATCTTAAACTCTTTAACCTTTTTAGACCAAGGGTATATGCATTAAGTTCGACTTTCTGGATCTGATTTATCTGGAGAAGGTGCAGGAGATTATTAAAGCAAATAGTATTACTTTTATATGCATGCCAATTATAATAATAAAAATTCGAAAATTGTAATAGTGATTATTATGATGAATATTTGGAGTGGGATTCGTAACAGAAAGGGTTTGTATTGTGATGGCTTGTGCGTTGCTTGAAGAATTCCGTAATTTGGTTTATTTTTTTTAAGTTTTATTCTTTATTATGAAAATACTTTATTCACAATTTAAAGTATTTGCGAGCTCAATCAAATAGTTCAACTTCTTGAATGAAGGCTTCAGAATCAAAAGACGAGATAAGATTTTCAAGTTCCTTAAATTTTTCATCTCTTGTCATTGGATTATGAGGCCTTTCGTGATATAAGGTTTCGAAGGTTTGGAGTCTATTAGTGTTCGTGATGATTACATACAAAACTTTCTGAGGACTTTACGAATGGGTTTATAAAAATGGCTCCTTTGAAGTGCTATCCCAAAGAATGTTAGATTTTGAACCCTACTTACTAGAACGAGATGCACTATACTGGAGTCGTAATGGTATTGGTGTATATATGATGGAAGAGTTGAGGGATTAAGGTGTTTTCTAATTAGACATATTATAATTAATTTTAATGAATAGGAATGAGATTAATATTGGATACTGCTAATATATTTATTTACCAAGGGATTGAATCTAACAGACAGGAACACCTGGTAGTGAACTCTCCGCCCATCAAAATATTTTATTAAGATTATTAAATATATTTTATATAAAGATTTAATTGCAGATATATTTGAAACTTTGATTGACATCAAAAATCTATTTAATTTTACTATAATGATCTACATTGGATGCCATATCTATATGAGAGGTATAAAATTTGAGATTTCGCCGTTCTTGTTTAAATGAAAAGACTTATTGGAATGATGTGTTTGTTCTATTTTCCAATTGATAAGATCTGAATTTTGTGAGGATAACCCTGCGACTTCTAAAGTTGGGAATAAAAAATAATATTAAAAATAAAATCAAATTATTCTCATCTGGTAAACAAAGTTGTCAGAATTGATTTTTAAATTAATTAATGGGATCTTGCCAACATTTGTGCAGATAATAACATACTGTGGAGTAGGAAATCACAATGCAATAAAAACTCAAGTAAAGGAAAGAATCTGATAATAACTCCAAGACCAATCATATTGGCTCTCAAAAAGGAGAAGTTGATGACCTAGTCGGAGAAGAATTCAAGTCACCCAAAGAGATCAAGTAATTCAGCAAACGAATTTAAAATCTCGAAATATCAGGCGACCGAAAAAACAGATTTATGCATGATATCGAAGAAGAGATCAAGTACATCATTCAGAAAAAGTATGTCATCTATCATAGTCTAGTATTTAGGAGGAGTAAGAAAATTTGAAACGCATTCAATAAATTTATGAACAAGAACTTGAACTTCAGAGGAAAGAATAAATTAAAAAATAAAAAGAATAATTAGATAACTAATTTTCATTTTAAAATTCCATTATTTAATCAAATGACCACTAAAATGCAAATCCCTTTCAACCTAAATCAACCTCTTAATTTGCCCCCAAAAGAAATGATAATGATTCAGTGTCTCAAAAATCTTAAATCTCCAAAACTCCAACCCCTCCTTGCAAGGATAAATCTATTTCATCCCAATCAGATATAATGAGAAAAAGCGCTTTAATGAAAATTATACAGGCCAGAGAAGAATTAGCCAGTAATAATGCAAGTAAAGGTTCGACCAAAAAAAAAATGATGCTTGATGCCTACGAAAAATTGTTTAGTGAATTCTTTTCAGCAGATGAAAAAGGGTCAAGCAGCTATAGCAAAACACAAAAGAGCCATAAAAGTATCTTGAAAAATAGATCCTTAACACATCGCAGTTTCTCTGGTAGTAAATCAATTAAATCAACTCATACTGCAGTCAAAAATTCAAAAAAAGTGAGATTCTCTAAAGAAACCAATTTCAGCTATGAAAGAAAAGGAATCGAAAAGAAAAAGAAAAAATTTTGGGATTGGTGAATATTTGAAAAGACTTTGATTATTGCTTACTTATTAAATAATTACATATTTACAATCAAAATCTAAGAAGGGATAAATCTCTCTTTATATTTTCGATTTAAATTGAGTAAATGATGAATGATTTTTTAATCCATTGTCAAATGAGTGTTGATGAGGATAAGAATAGTGATATTTGTTAAATAACTATTTTTTTATTATTATTGTATAGAATAATATTAATATATGAATTAGATTGAATCAAACAATTTCATTTTGAAAATTTTCAGTGTCGGAAACAGGGTTTGAATGAAACTTCTATCAATCAAGAATTTAAATGAGAGAATTAAATTCACTTTTTGATTAAGCGGTTTACTCAATATCAATCATCTTGACTATGGATTATAACCGGATCAAATTTTAAGCCAAAAGAATGGAAATACACTATCATCTAAGTTTACTAAACAATAAGAAATTATATTTCCTAGCATAAATTCAAGAGAGCGTAAAACCTCTCGTTCAAAATGATCTATCATAATTGACTAAATTTGATTCCTATTTGATTAATGATATACTTTTAGAAAACATTGTTAAAATAACTTCTGGATCTCATAAATTGAAATCGTTAGAGTATTAAAATAAGAAGAATGATGATTTGAGTAAGAAAGCTAATTCATTATTGAGATTAATAGTTGAGGAATTCAAGTATGGGGTTTTGAATAAATTAAAGATATGATTATTCAATAAGTAGATTACTTTATAATGCAGTACATTTTATTAAAAAAATGATAAAACACTTCAGCCTTGATTTATTATAATAAAATGAAAAATTGCTGTTTGGTTTTAAGAATAAGAATTTACTAATTAAAAGAGACATTAATAGGATTAATTTTAGGAAGTGCAATTTTAACAGAGAGTTTTGACAAGATGGAATAAATAGATTGATAATGTTGTGGATTTTTATGATGATGATTAAAAATAAATAAGTAAATATAAAAATTAATGATTAATGCTATTTTCAATAAGCTTAGTTTCAATGTAATAATATTAGGATTCACTTTATCCTTTCATTTTGTATGAAGAGTTCAAATTTTAGAAATAAAATAAATGATGAATTATTTTATGTTATTATTTTATATTAGAAAAATAAGGATGAATTAATGGAGCTAGATAGCTACCTAATTTAAATAAAATATTAAATTATTTGATCAAATAGATGAGTCTGAATTATGCAAAGAGTCGAGTTTTGAGATCAATTATTAGATGAGAAATATAAAATAAAAGAAGGAGAGGCCTATTGAACCAGACTAGCCAGACCCAGATGAATGTTGTGGTTCTGGTTGTTAAAGATGTGTGTTGGATGTTTACTATGAGAAATTAGAATAATATGAGAAAGACTTAATGGAATGGTTGGCAGAGTAAGATGAAGATTAAGATGATGGAAACAATCAAAAAGGTTGATATTGTGGTTCGCATCAATGATGATAATATGTGTTATGACGAATTAAATTTTTGTATGAGTTATGGTTGAGTTTATATCACAAATATTTCTTGAAATCTAGTAATTTAGTTAAAATAACTTACAAATAGGATGAGAAAAAGATTAGGAGCAATCCATTCTGATTCAGCTGAAGAATACATTCAACTAGCTCAAACTACTTGGAACATGGATCTCTTCTACTATGATGGCAATTCCAAGAAACAAGAATAAAACCTTGTGAACTTTGATTTTGATGAGAGGGAAACTAATGTATTAATGTAATCTGATATTCTAGAATACAGAAATAGAGGAGGAAGTATAGATACAAGCATAGATGGAAACTTAGAATGTAAAAATACTTGTGATGGATGCAGAGAATGAAGCATAATATATCTTTGATTATTGTGATCGAGAAAGTCATCAAAGGAGGGATTTTGATTATGTTTCAAAGGTTGAAGTCAATGAAAACAAATAAATCACTTACCATTTTTGGATGAACAATCTTAACTCAACTAAATTCACTGAGATTATTGATGGTAAAATTTATAAATTTATTTTTTAGTATACGTGAAAAATTGTGATGTAGTGATATATATGTACAACAAATCAGTTGAAGAGCATTATCAAGATTTCATTGAAAAGATATCCAAAATTAATAATAAGAGATTTACTATTTACAAAGTGAAGAATGCTATGAATAGAACTCAAGTATTTTTTTAGTTATAATATTTTAGAGTTTTGATAAACTAAGCGATTAAAATACAGAAAATGTGATTGCAGTGAGAAGCCTGTAAGAAGCCATCTCTAAAACCATTAACTAATATATATGATTATAAACCAATATTTATTTTGCTTACTACGATTGTTAAATAAACGTGAAATCAGAGTTATCAAGTGTGTGCAATATTGGAATGTGATTTTTCTATTTTATTTTATTTAATTTTATTATGTAAAACGGATTTATTTTCATTTATTATTATATGAAATTATTATTGTTTGTGTTTATCGTATACACTTATGCGACAAGTGCACAATACAGATAAGCGATGGAGGATGTATACAGTAAACTATTCTTTAGCTTAACGATGATAACTTTGGTTAAACCCTTCTTGAAACCATTCAAATGCATATCTAATCCGAGGAGCCTGTAGGAAATTTAGTCAACATGTTATAAAATCTTCAATCGTAAGTGGAAAAGGTGTAATACAAATCTGAAGAGCAACACAAGAGAATTTCTACGAATTGCTACCTCAACTTAGGTTAGTTGAACGATCAAATTGATAATTACAAAATTAAATCTGTGACTCTAAAATCGTATATTGACACTCTCAATCCAAATGTCAAATAGAGTGTGGCAATGGTGGAAAGAAAAGAAAAAGAAAAAGTATTTCTACCTAAAATTAAGATAGGATGACTATAAGCAAGAATTGAAATTAGCAGCAGAAAAAAGAGAGAAGGAACACGAAACCTATACCACCATTTTAGATAACCTTGAGCAAGCCTTATTCGGTTTCCATCAAATTAAGTTAGCTTTTAATCAATTTATCGATTCTGTACAAAAAGGGTAACGTAAATTTGAGTCATTCGCTGAAATGAAATAAGTGTTAAAATAAGTTAAACACACATACAAACTTGAAGGGTACAAGCATTTCGTGCAATTACTCTAGTCTCTATCAAAGTAGACAAGTGAAGAAGTATTACATTTCATATATTTTAGGAAGCATTAAAATTAGCAATTCAATTGAGTGCTATTCTGAAATAAATAGAATCATACATTCAAACTGAAAGAACCAGAGAAGATCAAGCAGAATTGGCTAGAGAAGCAGCTTATAATGATTACAAAGCTCAAATAGCTGATTTGTTCAATGAATCTTCAAAATCTCTTACTGAAATGACAGGTATTATTTATGAATAAAAGAGGAATTTTGGATAGCCAGTCGAATGAATTGAAATAGAGTGAGAATGAAAAAATGGAAGTTGATGTCAGATTATAAAATAAAATGAAAGAATTTGAGAACATACAAGCTGAATGTTCAATTCTAGATTAAGAATATTAGTAATCAACTAAATAAAGAAATTAACAAAGTAAATTACTAGATTAAGCAATTTTGTTAACGACAACTTCACTAGGATAATTGAAGAGCGACTTATTAAAGCATGCTGAAGTTTATTGATGTATTCAAACCATGAAAATTTAAGCATTATTATTCTACATTAATTATCTTCTTCTTTTAATCATGTGGCTATCATATTGATATTATTAATAAATATTAAAAATAAAATGTCTAAAATTGACGAACAGTAAATCATCAAAAATACTAAAAGTATGTAGAAAATGCAGGAAATTGCAGATCGCATCTATGCTACTACTGGTGATTTGACTAAAAGTATGAGCATTGCAATATATAGCAATTAGTTCTGATAGTATATTGAAACCGTCTAAATTGACATAAGAATAATTATTATTATAATCAAAGAAGATTGATAATATCTAGGATAGTAAGTAGAAGAAGGGTAAAGGGTAATAATCAACTTCAGCCAATAAAAATGAGTTAAATTCAATAGAATGGGTCAATAAATTATAAGAAATACAATAATAACACAATGAAGACAAGAAAAAACTGAGAGAAGAACTCATTGCTAGATATGTGTAAAGGGAAATGGAATTTAAGAAAACAATTGATGAATTACAATAAGAATTGAGATCCAGAACTGCCTTGGATTAGACTGATAAGAAAGTTATGGAGATGATTTATAAAGATCATAGCAAAATTATAGATGGCATCAATAATATTTAGTTGAGGACTTCTAAAATCCTAGTCGATTAAGAAAGAGATATCATTAGATTTTTTAATAATAAAATTAATGAAATAAAGAAACAATTTTAAGAGGAAAGAGAGAAGAAGGGTTAGAATGATAAAGAGTATATCTAAAAGGAGAATCAATTGATAAGCGAATTAGAATGGATTAAGAAGATTGCGTAAAAAATCGATGACGAAAATCATTAATTGATGTAAAAGTATAAGGAACTGAAGGTTGAGTATTAAACTTAGGAAAGAGATAGAGAAATGTTAATGAAGGAGTTGATAATCAAAAAAAAGGAAAATGCCATACTCAAATCATAAATATAATAATATGAAAAGTTATTGAATGATGTTTAAAAAGAGGATGATTAGGAGTCCAATTAGGATTAAATCTTAGATAAATCTGGGGTTAAAAATCAAAAAACTGAGAAATCTAAATAATCGTCATCCTAATAGCAAGTGCGATTTCCACAAATAACAAATTCGTAAGTTTCACAAAGCGTTGATGAAGTATAAAAAGCAAAGTATAATATTTATTTTAAGGAGAATAGATATTAGAATATAATTAAGACCTATTAGGACACATAGAAAAAAGAACAAAAGAGACTAAGAGAAATCAAATAACTTTACATTAAAGAGTTATCTGCTAAAACAGAACTATACAACATTTTAAGATAGTGTATTGAAGATATTAAGGAAGAGATAATTTAAGTGAGAAGTGACGAGAGGACTTTGAAAAAGAATAAGAGTAATTTATGATTAAATTTAGATTAAAGTAATGAGGAAGTAAAGATGGAGAAGGAGGATAGGGAAAAATTGATTGAAAACTTACTAAAACACGAAAGGGTCATCCAAGTTATAAGTGATAAGATATTTTACGATAAGAAGAACTATGATGAAACAATGATGCAATAACAGTATGAAGAAACAAATTACAATGATGAATAATATTGAATATTTAATAATTTTCTTAATTGTCACGTGAGTCGTTTTGTAAATGCTTCAATCAAACAATTGCTAATAGAAGTATTGCATTTCTATCTAACACATCGATATAATAATCGAGTATTATCATTATCTACCAAACAATTATAGAATTGTCCTAATGCATAGGGCATTTCTTAAAACCTCTAATAAATAGTGACACATTAAGTCAGATGTTTTTCACAGGTATCATTTGCTATGCATGTCCTCCATTCATCAGGACACTTATAGAAGACGCAATTATTGTCTGGGTCTGTTGGTTTTTGCAAGGCTACAATGGCAAAAACAAATGTCAAAAGGAATTTCATATAAAATGCAAATCGATATAAAATATATACACACAATTAATTAAAAAACAAAGAGTAAATTCAAATTGAAATTGTGATTTATGAGACTTACAAATGCTCTTCTCTAGCATATTTTCTCTTCACAGCTGGATACAAAGTATTGTTTTAATTGTTGTAGTAAAGCTACAATAAATAAGTGGCACAATATTTTGATTCGTCTGTGATTTCCATTTCGGATTGAATTCCCAAAATTTTGTTAGACAAGAGCAATGCAGACTACGCCAGTTATGAAGGCATGTATTATAGGCTTTCATAACTATGCAAGGCAATCTCGAGGATGTAGGATGACAATTGAAATTATTGGGTTTGAAATACTTTATTGTCTTCAATTTAAGTGTTTTCGATAACAGTAAATTCTAAGAATCTTAGAGGACTGATGTAGTTTAGTGAAAAGTTAACAGTATTCAGGATCTAGCCTTCCATTTGGAGTATCTCCTCCTTGGTGTAGGCTCTGTCACAGACATAGACAAAGTCTTTGATATTTGGAGGGTAGATTTCTTCAAATTTGGACGCGATGAAGAGGGATGCGACTCCGACCAATTGGAGTTTGTTTCGCTTGACGATGTTGGCACTAAGGTATCTGTCTATGAGGTTGATGGCTAGATAGAGACTGTTTGGAGACTAGAGAAGATTAGATGTAACAAAATACAAGTTTGAATTTCATGTGAACTTCTTCAATCCAGTCGATAAGGATGGACCTCATTTTTTAATTGATGTCTTTTTAGGTTTGTTCCATAAAGCAGGAGTTAGGTAAGTAGTTACTCTAATTGGATAGATTGATTGAATTTACTTATTCTTCTAAAATATATCGAAATATGTCCTTTCTATAATTGCTAATGAATTGTGGGTTGCTTAATTCTTCGTCTATTCTGCTACTGCTCAGACATGATTCATTATATTCTTCATCCATAGTGCTTCCTGATCCGCATGTTGATGTTCGTTAATGTTTTGGGACTTTTTCGAAGGTTACAGATTTCGAGTTTCTTCTTAAGGAATTATATAAGGTGTTGTTGTTTTAATCTTCTATTTAGGTAAGAGAGGCAATCATTGCAATTAATTTAAATTCGAATTATTGTTTTTATTTATTAATTTTGTTATTTCTTCAAATATTGGGGAAATGCCCAATTTGAATTTGAATTTCAAATTATGTTTTAATAACAGTTATTAAATGCTTTCCTATTTCTCGCGCATATTCACTTTATTATCCAATCACAACGAAACCCATCAAAATTCTTTACATGATTCTTCAATTTTACAAGAACATTTTTAATAAATGCTAACAATAGCTTAAAAAAAAGTATTTAAAAATATACAATAACCCCTTACCCATACAGTGTGTAATCATAAATTGAGACTAGACAAATTATATTTTTTCGAACTTAGTCCCAATAACTATTCTTATATTGTTCATCAATTGAACGTCATAGATAATGCAATGAAGAATCATTAAATAAAATTAATATTTTCCTTCACTTATGTGAAAGTATGGTATGAAAATAATAATTCATATTTTTAATATCATTTATTATTCATTGTTCCACTCTCATTTGATCTCTCCACTTTCCAAACCATTAATCAGTTTCATTTTCATCAAAAAATTACTGTTTGGTGATCCATAGTGTGAAAAAATCGACTCTGGAGTGATAAAATTCATAGGGATTATCCTTATATAGTCTTAGGGCATAGGATGATCAGTAGATGACATTAAGAAGGGATGTGATAACAAAACAGCTGAAAATCCTTGGATTTGAGATAATTTATATTGTGATTAATAAAAGTAAGAAGGGGGTCGAGAAGATGAATGATGAAATGTGTTCATAACATTTTATAAAAGTTAGAACAAGTTTAATGACATCATATTTGATTGATTACACATTATTTATATCTAATCATTTTGGAATTAAATCCATACATCTTTGAATTAACCGATTTTTAAAAAAATATCTAATATATTTTGGATATGTTCATTTCAGCAGGACAGCATAAATATAATTTATCAAATTATCTGAACCAACAGACAACATTGGCAGTTTTTCTGGGAGTGAAGGAAGTTGAAATTGACCAGATATAATAACTAACAGAATAAATTTATAAACTCTCTTTCAAGTATTTTTCTAATTGATATTGTAAGGAACTCAAAGAAATAGATTAGATTCCACACCAAATCAGACATCTCTCAAGTCTAGGGAAACTAATTAGAGAAGGATTTTACAATTGCATAGAAGTTATGTGCTGCAAATATGCCTGTCCCCAAGGCATTATTTTATTGCAAAGATCAATCGGTTCTCGGATTTCCATTTTATGCTACAGAATATGTTGAAGGGAGGATATTCAACATGGAACAACTACTAAATATTTCGCAGGCCAAAAAAAGATTACTGTTCTAAGAGGTTTCTAAAGCTCTGGCTCATCTACATTCAATTAGCTTTCATTATCTCGGCCTTGGCGAGGTGGACCAAAACACCCATCATTACGAAACATTAAATAACAAGTTACATAACTTATATAAATAACATGAAACTAAGATATCAACCAATATGGAAGATCTTTTGTATTGGTTATCATTAAACACTCCAGTAAAATCTGATTTGGATAATCTTTGCTTGATACATGGGGATTTTTCACTCTCTAAAGTTGTATTCCATCCAACCAAACCTGCAGTTTTGGCTATTTTAGATTGGCAATAAGCTTAAATAGGTAATGCCTTCGTTGATTTGGCCAGTTTTGTTTTACCATACTACATTCCCTATTCAAATGGACAACATTAGGTTGATGGCTGGTTTGGAGTCGAAGAAATAATGGGTCAACCAAGTATCCAAGATGTATTATCAGCTTACTTTACCACGAGATCAAGTTAAACCATTACAGATATCAGATACTAACTCATTTTGTCAATCGTGAAGTCATCAATTGATTAGCAAATCCACTATAAATAATACAAAGAAGAAAAATATTATGAAAATTCTCTCTTTTTAACCAAGGCTGGTTATGAGATAATCTCGGAAATGACTGAAGGAGATCCTTTCGGAATCAAAATGAGAGCTACAAATGATGGCTAAATATGGTCACATTGGCCTGTTTCTGAAAGATGCAAGAGTTATTATTATAGAATCAAGGATTTCATGAGAGATGAGGTTTTCCCCATTGAAAAGGCCATCTTAGACAAAGCCAGAGAAGTTCCAAGGTCTCTTCCCAACAAGCCAATTACAGAATTAGAAGAACTTCAAAGGAAAGCTAAGTCAGTTGGATTATGGAATTTATTTATTTTGGATCCTATGTATGGAAAAGGCTTAACTAATCTTGAATATGTGTTCATTTCAGAAATTATAGGATTAAGTTTTATAGGCCATGTAGTTTTTAATTGTTTGGCACCTGAAACTGGAAATATAAGATTATTGATAGCATATGGAACACAATATTAAAAAGAGAAATATTTAAATCCATTATTAGAAGGTAAATGCAAATCATTTTTTGCTATAACTGAGAAGGATGTATCGTCTGCAGATTAAGATAATAACAAGTTCACTATAACTCCTACAGATGGAGGGTTCATTCTAAATGGTGGAAAGTGGTTTGTCCAAAATGCTGCTGATGAAAGAGCAATTTTTGGGATTGTGGTTGGTAAGTCATCCTCGCATACAAATAACCCTAATGAGACATAATCAATGATTTTGGTTGAAATGAACAATCCTAAGATACAAATAACTAGACAGTTCTCTTCTCAAAATTTCTATGATCTTCCTCACAGTTATTCTGAAATTCAATTCAACAATGCCTTTATTCCCAAAGAAAATCTATTAGGACAACTTGGAGGAGCAATAAAAATGATTGAAGATAGATTATTGGAAGAGAGATTAAATCATTGTGCTAGACTTAATGGACTAACTAGGAGGAGCTTAGATTTAACATTGTCAAGATCTGAGAAAAGAGTAATATTCAAAGAAAAATTAAAAGATAATGCTGCTTTTCAAGAGAAATTAGGAGATCTGGAAATTGCATATCAATCATGCAGATTATTGTGTTTAAATGCTGGATTATTGTTGGATTCAGTTGGAAATACACATTTTAATGCGTTCCTGGCTGTTAGTGAATGTAAGGCTCACATTCCAAAAGCTAGTCAGTACATCTTGGATTCATGCATGCAAATATTTGGGGCTGAGGGAGTGACTGAGGAATAACCATTGAGTCTTATTTTGCGTCTGGCCAAGGCTCTTAGATTTGTGGATGGACCGTGTGAATTCCATCTTAGACAGGTTTCTAAATTTGTTTATGGAAATCACATATTCAATGATCTTAACAATGCTCAAGGATATGGATTAGCAAAACTATGATTTATTTTATAAATAACAAATAAAATCTGACCTTATAAATTAATCCATTCTAATTTATTTCAAGATCGTATATAAGTTTTTTCAAATTATAAATAGTATAAACTGAGCATTTATATTAAACCATTTCCCTTAAATTATTTATTTAAATCTTTATATCGATGAGCACAGGACTTGCTAAACCTAAAAAACTGAAACTCACAGATTATGAAGTCTTTCAAACCTTGGGTACTGGTAATGAAAAAATTGAAATGCTGAATTTTAGGTTCATTCGGAAGAGTGAAACTGGCAAGGAATAAACAAACCAATAAATATGTTGCCTTGAAAAGTCTAAAAAAAGCAGAGATCATCAGACTCAAACAAGTTGATCATGTGATTAATGAAAACACCATATTGGGAAATTTACAGCATCCATTTATTGTATTATCGATCATCAATTTTAGGTAACTTTTGAAGGCTTCTGCCAAGATCCAAGATATCTCTATTTAGTCTTAGAATTCGTGTCTGGAGGAGAGTTGTTCACTTACCTAAGAAGCATCGGAAGACTCGATACTTCACATGCAGCGTAAACATACCCAACCATGCCCTAGTTTTTATGGTGCCCAAGTTGCCTCCATGTTCGAGTACCTGCATTCCAAGAACATCATCTACAGGGATCTTAAACCAGAGAACTTATTGATTGCAGATGATGGATATCTCAAATTAACAGATTTCGGCTTCGCTAAAGTTGTAGAGGGAAGAACCTATACATTGTGTGGAACCCCAGAGTATTTGGCTCCAGAAATTCTATTGAACAAAGGACACGGCAAGGCTGTCGATTGGTGGACTTTGGGAATTTTAATTTATGAAATGAATGCAGGAATCGATCCCTTCTCAGATGAAGATCCCATGGCCATTTATCAAAAGATCTTGAAAGGCAAGGTTAAATTCCCAAAAAGCTTTGACAAGTAATCATTATGTCTTAAATCTAAAGGAATGCAAAGTCTTTGGTCAAGCATTTACTTGTGGCTGATCTTTCTAAAAGATATGGAAATTTAAAAAATGGTAACACTCTCATTTCTAATCTAAGGCGCTGCTGATGTTAAAAATCATAGATGGTTTGCAAGTCTAGATTGGAATCTCCTTACTCAAAAGAAATTACCCGTTCCATATAAGCCAGTTGTGAAGTAATTGCCCCTTTCTCATTAATTTTACTTAGAGCTCCAAATGATACATCCAATTTTTCATCCTACCCAGAATCCGACACCCAAAGCCCTGCTCTTAAACCAGCAGACGATCCCTTCTTAGAATGGTGATTAATAGAGCATTATTCATTATAATAAATTCAACTATGTATTCTCAATATATATATGTTTTATGATTAATAAATTAACAATATCTCAACAATTTAAACTCTACTTTAGCAATAAGAATAACCTGGCCAAAATCCACATTAGGTCATATTTAATTACATTTTTAACAACCCTACTTTAACATCATGATATTTTATAAAATCCCCTTTAAAAATTCTAGACCTTGTCTTGGTGGACCATTTTCACACCCATTAGACATTTATCATGGTATCAATATTTATTCGATTCTTAATATGTAATCGAAATTAATAATTAATTATAAATTAATATGCACCTCATTAATTTTATTTTCAAATTATATTCATCTCTTCTTCCTCATCCTATTCTTAAATTCTTATGCATTGCTTTTTCTAAGTATTGCTTAATTTGTTCTAAACTTTGATTCCAGCCTATACATTTTGCCACTTGATCCTCAACATCTCCCTATTTCTTTCCAACATCGATTATTATACCATCTACTCTTTCTCTTTGGATTCTTGATATTCTCTAAATAGTCTTTCAACATTAGTTAATTGATCTTAAATATAATGACCCTTTTTCAATTCTAATTGTAAATTGATTACAGATTCTAAATAAATTCTTATTTATTATATATCTTTCATTGTTCGAGACTGTACTCTAGTTCTCAACAGTTCACTAAATAATAGATAATAATAAGTACTCTTATAGCTTATATGAATATATCAATTAACTCTTCCAATTTTTATCATAATTGACACATTTTAAGACAGAAGAGGGTAATTAATAGTATTAAATAAATCGTACAATTTTTGGATTAGATATTAGCTCTACCTTGGAATTCTTTTTAATGTATTGCTTATGCTTAAGATATGATTGTAAAATCCTTTTTCCATAAATTCTGAATTTCTCAGCTAATTAGAGATGCAAATCCCATTTATCTAAGCAATCTTGATACATTGTTATATTTTGATTATCATTCACTTTGTTTTGGATTACCTACAAAGAGATGAATTTTTCATCTAAATAATCAGTTACAATTAACAATTCTTCCTCTGAAATTAGTTTAGCTCTTCTTGATTCTAAATTTGAATTTAAACAGGATGCAATATTCTTCAATTAAGGCTTGACATTATAAGGAGAGAAAATGTTTTTTATTATAGTCTACAATTCTTTGGGAATAGTGAATAAGTTTAAAGTTATAACTATTAACAATAAATAGCCACTTGATTCGTAAGATGGTGAATTGCTAGATTGGATATAATTCGATAAGCAATTCAAATACTCTATCATGACATCATAATTTTTCAAAGGAAATTCAGTATTTTGCTTCACTGTATATTCATTTTCGACATCTTGATCTAAAAATTCTAAGTAGTAATCAGGAATAACAATTGTTGTTAAAACATCTTATGCCAGTATTAATTTAAGTCCAATTCGTATTAAGTGGTTACTCCATTCATCTAGATACAAATTTTACTCACAAAAATAGCAATAATCCAAAAAACACGCAACTAAGTCTTCAGTTATGTTATAATTTTGGCATTCTAAAAATTCGATATATTTTAAATATTTCTTTATTTAAGACTTTTCTTCAATCGATTATATGGAATAAATAGCTAATGGGAGATTATTTGAAAAGTTGCTAAGATTAATTGCTAAAATTAAATATGCATGTTATTCCTAACCGAAACTTTTAAAAGCTTACTAAAATAAAATTGTACATTAATAAATAACAGAGGTTGAAATTGAAAATGCCAAATTTACTGAATTTTAATTGGTTTTTAAAAGATAATCATAAAACTATTTTGGTCCACTTTCATTAATTACTGAAAGAATAGAATACTCATCCTACTCAATAGAATTATTTATTGTAGAATCTTTTTATTTTTTAAGTTGATTCTATAGATTAATATTATGTTAAATGCATGACCAAAGCACACTTTATAATTATTAATGTTTTATTTATTTAATTATGAATGCCAAAGGAGTTTAACAATTTTATTGAAGATCTTACTAATATTCAAAACTTTTAAGTTCTTATATGTTAGTTCTGCCAAAATAGTTTGATATATATATTAATAATTACTCAAAAGGTATCATAAGATATTCAAAACTTGAATCTGCAAAATAGATTTACTCATTTTTTATATTTTTCAATAACTTAGATTACACATTCAATAAAACATATTATGAGTAATTGTTCATAATTTCTCCTTATGGAAAGGAAAACTTAAATAAAAACTGAATAGCGTCTATTAAATTTTAATTCCAGCCAATGCTTTTAACTTGATTTATACAATAATATAAGATATTTATTAAATTAGTCCTTTATTCCAAAGTTGCATCTTCTGATGATATTATACCACAGCATAATAGATAACTTAAAATAATAGATTCTAATTGTCTCAACTTGTTTTCAAAATCTAAATTTTACTCCTTAAGTTTTGCATTACATATTATTTAGTTGATTTTTTTAAAGTTAATTATATCACCTTAAGTTATGGAATTCGTGATTTAAAATATCTAATCAATCTAAACTAATTTTATTTTTTTATCTATGAAGAATTATTCAACTTATAACAAGTATTAACTCTTCATTAATTAGAATTTTTAATCTGATTTTAATGAATTATCTCCTCTTTCCTTTTTCATGTGTTATAAAATACTAATTAAATCTGAATGGTTATTAAAAGACAGACATAAATCTTTAGAGTTTTGATAATTCATTTAAAAGATTATTTATTTCCAAAAACCAAGTCCAATTAAATCTTAATAGCATTTAAGACCAAAGCTATTATCACAATCAAGATAATCTTCATATTTGAATTTAAGAATCTCAGGATTTATAGCATCAAATATGTTTTATAGTGCTTAATGAGCTATTGAGGCTTAATCTAATAAGTGCTTTCGCTTTAATGTATTTCTAATCATCTGAGTATCTACTCTCATAGAATTTTTATAAATTGGTGTATATTTTGAAGCTAGAATAACTAAATACTCTCCGATTTAATGTAAAAGTTTATATTAATTGCAAATATAAATGCATAACTTATAGTTTTAAAACTTCTCTAAAAGACTCAAAGTTAATTTGATGGTATCAATATCAATTGTTTTAATAATCTTCGAATAATCTAATTAATTTCCAAATTTTTATTGGATATGGATTTTAAAGTCTTCCGAAATTTATCCCAATAATTAAATTATTTAAATTAATGTTGAATCATTAAGAGTGACCGTTTTATTCTAATTTTTTATAAAACTTGTTAACTCCACTTAATTTAATAATAATATTTTATTTTCATTTAATGATTGAACATCAATAGAAGCAATAGAGGAAATCAATTATACTTTATCATTTTAGATCCATTCATCATCAGGGTCATAACTTGACAGATGATCAAATGAGTCACTGTTAATTACCTAAAATGATTCTGAAAAGCTGGATTAATTTTCGATTCTACTTTGTTTTGAATTTCTGAATTTAAACTCTAATTTTTCACTTCTTTAAGATAATTCTGAATTACACACTTAAAAACTCTCTGACTGTTCTTCAATTTCATTAGCAAGCACCTCATTTTGGATCTCAATTCCATCAAGTATTTATTATAAAACAATTGGAAAGTATTTAGTTAGATATATTTGGTATTCTTCTTTCGATAAATCATCTTAATGTTTTAGAATTAATTCCACTACTTTATTGTAATTGCCTTGCTATATGTAAGATTCTATTGATCTCCTAAGGTCTTTAACTTCAAGGAACAGTTATCCTGCTTCTTCGTATTCCCTACAGAAATAAGCAGCTTCAGCCATTTCCATTTTAGCATTTAATTATTTGTATAACCTATAAGCATTTTTATACTTTTTCGCTGAAAAGTAACATTGTGCGGCTCTGTTTTATATATTCAACTCTTCAAAAATCAAGGCAGCTTCATAAAATAAATGTTCTGCGTTTTCTGTTAAAGTTGCTTAAGTAGCTAATTAATAAGCTTATGCTTTTTTTTCTAATTGATAGTCTTTAGCGAATTTAAAACATCTTTTAGCTTATTCATAATTATTCACTCTAAAAAAGTTTAATCCTTAATTTCTCCAATTATTCTTGTTGTCGAATTATTAACTAAAAAGGATTTCAAATTCTTAGGCATCCTCAATTTATGTTGTGTAGATAACTTCAATGACTTACAGATCTTCCCATAATTTTTGAATTGTTTTTCTCTTCGTGTAGTTATTATCATAAATGATGATTTATCTTTTTGCTCTTGAGAGAGCCACATACAATAATTTGAGTTCTTAACAAAGTGTTTAGTAGTTCACAAATTTATCAATATTATCTGATAAATTTTATTATTAGGTATTCGGTATTAAGAATAGCTTTTTCATCTCAATACTATAAATAAATTCATGGACCAGAAATACATTTTAATCTTGTTTAATTTTAACGTCAACGTCTTTTATTTAAAAGTTTTTCAAGATATTCCAATCATCTGAAGTGCAATCGCTATCAGTAAAGAAATTAAATAAAATGACATCATCAAATTCTAATCCTTTTGCTTCGTAAATTGTAAGTATTAAGGTTTATTAAAGTGAATCTGGCACCTTGGGTTTAGATTCTTGATCTCTTACAATAATCACTTAATTACTTCCAAAGGCAATCTAATTTGATTCAATCTTGAAATTCTTTTATAAATAGTTCAGTAATATTTGTTGATCTTCACTTTAAATCACAATTGGTTTCGGACCTTGTAGACACGATCTTTCCTCCTTATCAAATACATCGATTTTATAAGGAAATAATAGCTCTATCATCCTTATTAATGAATTTGTTAACTGTAAGATTTAATCATGAAATCTAAAATTTTGAGGCAATTTGAATGTGGAGATCTCGTTATTTCTATATTTTTTCTTTAGGTTAGAATCGTTCAAGAGATTTCGATATTCAACAAACTATTATCCAGTACCCTTTTAAATATTTTAAGCATTATCTCCACAACAAATCAATCCAAAATCTGCAATTGAATTTAACAATATGAAAATGGCATTTGGAATATCTTGAAGTTCATCCAAAATTAAGTAATGTACATTCTCTAGTACATCATTTCCATATTGTAACTCATAATTTATATGGTTTACGACATCCAATAGATCATAATAACCTACATTCTATTTAATCATTTCATAATTTTCAAAAGCTTTATATAAAAGTTTCGTATACTCATCTGATAATACTTTGTGATAATAAGAATAGTTGTCATAATTCATATATTTATTCGGATATTCATAAGAAGTAGCATGACCTTTAATTTTTGACATAATCTCATACCAAACCAAAGCTGGATCTAGTTTCTTAATGTCTTAATTTTAATGCTCAATTTTTTTAACTATTTTTGGCCACATCCAATTTAAAAACAAATCAAAAGTCACTTCTTGGGTATTGTTATAAACGATAAACTCCTTATCATCATAATCTTTTATTTTCTTTTATAGCTTCTCACAACTATGCTGGCTTGATTGATTTAATGAAACAATCCCTATCTGTTCGTTGTGCCATTGAGCAGAACAATGCTAAGTTTAAGTAAATTTGAAATAAGGGTTCAGAAGAGAAGCATCAATAGAAAAAATAAGTTTCCTTAGAGTTAAAAATGCTGGATATTCGGTTATATCACTCAACTTCTAAAATCTACCCATCTTTTTTTCATAATCATCCATTTCATCTTCATCAGTATCTGAATTATTCTCCTTGGCCTATGACTCTTGAAGTTCATTAATTATCTCATAAAAGCTTTCCTCTTCCATTTCATTAGATTCTGCTTATTCTTCTGGTTTTTTCTAAAATTTGTCTTTTATCAACTCTTGAAAATTTTCAATTAATTGCAGATAATTTTATTTAATTTACCATGCCAACAGAGGACTGGCTGTTACAAAAAGTATTTTTAAGGTAAGTTTATCTTTCTGTAGATATTATTAACTTTGAGTTTCTTATTTGATTTAAGAATTAATATATGCATTTGATGTTTTTAATTGCTACCTTAGATTAAACAATGCGTCTAGAATAAATACTTTAAATAAAGCACAAGTTGTTTTACCAGTTCCACTTCTTCCCAAAATAAATGTAATGCCTTTCCAAACAATTGCTTATAATTATTATTCTGTTATTTTATTCTTGAATTTTGGTAATTTTGATATTAGTTTACTGATCTATGATGCTGAAGGAAGGCAAATATATTCCTTTATCAAATAATAATCGGCAGTTTAAGCATTAATTTTCATAATCTTTTTCTGAATTGATTCATATAATTTCTTTGTCATCCAGGTTTTTGTTTGGTCATCAAATATATACAATTGGCTATCCAATTTTATGGTTTCAAATGATCTAGGTGAGATGAGTAGATTTCTATTTCTTGTTTTGATTCCTATTTTGATTTCACTTGAAATATGACAAGACCTTTGCTTTTCTTTGATCAATTTAATATTTAACAATACATCATTAGATTTCAACTATTGATGAAGGTTATCGTCTAATATTGTCTAAGATTGCTTTATTAAATAATCATTGTTTCCATAAGATTCGTTAATTGAATCAATAAAACGCATTTTATGAATAAACTTAATCTATTCTAACTGCCCTGATGAATTGGTGATGTATTGTTTTTCAGGCAAAATTAATACAATGATTTATAAAGAATCCAATGGAAATAAGCTGGCAACAAAAGCATATTAAAAAGGCAATTTTAAACTACCGCAATTTAAATACAATATCTTTGTATATTCCTTATTTTCTTCATTAAATCTGCCTTATAATAGGTAGGACAAAATTAGCATTAATGGAATACAATAGTAAGTTCTGATTTTGCTAATGAATGTTTCTATCTTAATTCATAACCGTACCCGTTAAATCGAATTCCCAAAGACGATTAGGGAATAACTGATTGATGTTTACAGATTTTAAAGTCTGATCTTGGTATTCAGCTTAGAATTTAAATTATCTTAAATATTGGATCACAAATTCATGAGGATGCTCAAATTTTTATGTATTCTAATTCAATTATTCAATAATTGCCAACAATTTGCTTTCATATTAAAGCCGATTTTCAGTGTACAAATTAAATTGATCCTCTTTTAATTAGCATTCACTCATTCAAATGATGTATTTTTATTAAAGAATTAAATATATCATTTAACAATGCTATAATGTAATTGTATGTATGTTATTAAGTTTCTTATAAAATATATTCAATTTTTAATGATTTTTATAAACAATCTTCATAAAAATATTTGTTTTTTGTTAAGTTATTTCATTTTATATTGTTGATAATAATTGGATTGCAAGTGCTCTTTTTAGGCAACACTAAAATAAACACTCAAAAGCAATGTAAAATCAAGATAATTTCTGACTTTTTTGCCCTTATAAAGATAAGATCATTTTAAAGTATATGCTTATGGATTATATTATATTATATTATAAAAATAATGGATTTGAATAATAATATGCACTCAAAAATCCCAAGCCTGAAATGTAATCTTTAGTTTTTAATAATTTTAGAGGGGGACAAGTCTTTTTAAAGATACCAAAATCCATTGAATGAATTATAAATTAAAAGTGAATCTGACTCGTTTGAGTAGAAGCAACCTGAATACATACCGCAAATCTAGCCTTACATATTTTATCCCCCCACTCCAATATATCCAATAATAGGTGTCATTTATAGCTTATTGTAGGGGAAATAAAGGATGAGTTCATTGATTAAGCTCACCAGTTCATGAAGCATGGAATCCAAAATAGTCTAGCTGGCATGATCTGGTAACAAATCAGAACCCAGGACCAGTTCAAAACTAATTAAACTGTTTACGGTTGTAAAAAGATGTGCCAAATTGATTCCATGCTAATCGGCAGATATTACAATTAAAAGTATTGGGTAATGAGTATAATGCTATTGAGATATTTCAAAATTCGAATCAGAAGTATAAATTGGATCATACATAAACTGAAAATACTGGTTGGCTTAAGTCAAGATTAAAATATAGATATAAATCTTAGATTTATGTCACATTTGTAGAAATGATTGATCTAATTCAAGAGGAAGGAGAAGTACGCATGAACGCAAGAACTCAAGCAATACGGTTATAAAACGTAAAAGGGTTCTAAAATCTTGAAAGATAGATTTCATAATTGGCTAAATCAAAAAAAATTTTTGATGCATTTTTGCTAGAAATTTAAAAAGTGTTAGCAGAATTTATTTTCTCGTCCTTAAATTGACTATTAAATAATGAATGACTTTTAAAATTAATCAGACAAAGTTGCTGAACTTCATTAATTATTTATTCTAAATTTTTTATTTGAAATATATACATATAAATTTTGATTGAATTTATAGAACAATTGAAGCTACAAGATATCAATTAAAAATTACAACATTCACCAAAGATACTATTATAATGATTTAGGGGGTATATTGAATCTACAGTTTTTTTCGTTTCGTTCATACTAAATTGCATTAAGTTTATCTAAATTTTTTGTAGATCAATAAATGTCATTCTTGACTTTGCGTTAAGCAATATCCTTAAAATTTGATGTTATCACTTAGTTGAATAGCATTTAATCATGAAAATCAGGTTAGTAACTTTTTAATCTGATAAACAATAGTTTGAAAGTGTCTTACAAACAAAAAAACTTGTAGAAAAAATATCTTTTTTAAAGATTATATAATTTAATTATTAACAAAATAGAAAATTAATTATTAGATATAAAAATAAAGCAGCTAAGATGAATGATCAATAAGCAAATGGCATTTAGTTTATAAGATTGATTTCAGATAAGATAGAAGGATTTAGGTTACGAATGAGAATTATTACCAACTAGCAAAAAAATAGGAGATTAAAATGGTAAGGGTAGATAAGATTTGGGTTAATATTCTATTTTAATATATAGTATAACAATAAGAGTGACTTCGTGGTATATCAAAAACAAAGTTATTGATAGAAAATATGAGATACAATAAGAATATCATAATTTTGATTGAGGTGAGATTATTAGAAATCATACAAAATGATAATAAGCAAATGCATAGAGAGATAGAATTATGCAATTGATAAAGCAAGTATAAATAGATATAAATGTCAAAGAATAGGAACTATTTATTGATGATACAATTAATGTTGACATTATTACATTGATATTATTTTGTTTAATTTCCTATTCACTTTTTCAAATACACTAAAATGGTTGTCATGTTATCACAACCTGTTCCTTAACTTGTGTCTGGGGCTAACAATTAATCCAATAAATCTTCGGCTGCTTTGCTTAATAAGTTTTCAGTGACAGGTGAATTTCCCAAGGTTGTATTGACATGTTTAAGCAATTCTTAGTGATTGAGAGTTTCAAACACTCCGTCGCATCCCATCAATATGAATCTTCAATGACATTAAAGATCTTACTTGTCTTGAGGGGTCAACTCTGTTTTTTTGACATCAGGAAAAGCTATGATTAATTGTTCATTAGGTCTCAATTTGCTATCACTCTTATATTCCAAATCTCCCAAGGCCCTTGATAAATTTAGGTTACCTAGAGAAGATTAAAATAATTAAATTACCATTGACTCTACCATCACTTACAAAACCTCCTGCTCTTTCAATTCTTGACTTCTCTTCGTTATTATCTGGCTTATGATCAACACTCATATCGAAGTTTGTATTGTTTCTACATAATACTGACCTTGAGTCTCCTGCATTAGCAACATACAAGGTGTTCTTGTGAATCAAAGCAACATTGGCAGTGCATCCAGCATAGGACTCTATTATTTACTTTAAAAATCACCATCAGTATCGGTGGCCTTATAATTGTTCAATTCTTTGGCTCCCTCTGGTGTCATCAACAATTCATCCATCTTCAAGAATGTCTCTTTGAGAGCATCTTCAAATTTCTATTCCTTGAAATTTTTATTCTTTAGCAATTCATCGATAAAGTGTTTCTCTACGAATTATGCTACCTCTCTTCCTCCATGTCCATCGAACACGCCAAAAACAGATACATCTTGCACTATATCTGGTCTGTGAATATGTGCATCCTCCATTGTGTTTCTCCACCCTTTGGTATACATCCTAAAAAGTAATACCTTGCATTTCCGAAGCTGCAAATATTACAGACTTTCCTTCTCCACTCGTGGTTACTTTCTCTCTTTTTGGTTAACTTAGATATGGCCCCATTTTATTTTAATTTTATTTAATTTCATAGATATCCGCATTTTCAATATAAATAAATTATCAGTATTTCCCTCTTTGAATCCAATCCGGTTCATATTTAGTCCTCTGTATACTTCCGATTGATTGAACATTTCCAGGTTAAGCATTATTGCTAGTTCTGAACATGATATCACAATCCTTTGAAAATCGTTCCTGATTCGTGATGTTGGTATACGAATTGAATTTGTCATACATCTTGGATTCTGAATAATCAATTACACTTGATGACCCCTCCAAATATCTTCTTATCTTATTTTTTACTATTATTTACTTTTGCATAATTCTTGTCAACTTTCCCGCTAATCTCCCCCTTTATTCTACCAATCTGCCCATTATTCCATTGGATATCTGCAGGATACAATTCTCGATCCTTCGATTTAATTGCTACTACATTGTCGCCTCTCAACTTAAAAATAGGTTTGTGGGAACTTTAATTTTAACTACATGAAAATTCTACAATTCAATACATCTTCTTCTCCTTCCCCTTCAATCTCAGCTAATCATAGAAGTCTCTCTCTAAATATGCTATTATTCCAAATTACATTCAACTCCATACGTATTCACTGATTTCGATTTCTGATCATTCTTGCCAACTTAAGGCTTTAAGTAATGATTTGTAATATCATATAGTGACTAGGCTCTTTCCTACTTTCCTTCTGGAAATATTTGTGTTGGCCCATAATTTTTTAGTAATCCAGTCCTCATTCTATTTTTTAATTTATTTTGATTATTATATATAATCTATCTTCATAAATCTATTATTATGATAACATTTCTATATTTGTAGAGTATATTAAAGAATAGTTAAGTGATAGAGTATTGTCTAATTCAGTTATTTTTCATTTATCCTACATTGAGTATTATATTAATTGTAATTAGTCTATGAAATATAAATGTCAAAGAAGTAATTTTACTAATATATTAATGAGAATCAAATTTAATTGTTATTGATTATTCAAATTTCATATTAAATATGTATCCTTTTATATTTTAATTTCTGAATTCTAAAATATCTAAATTTTCATTCTAATAGTAATCCAAAAACTATTTGTAAAGCATATAATGTCAAAATATGAAAACTTTGAATTTAATGAATTCAATATCGTGTAATCTATTTATTTCTTTTAATTAATCGATTTATTAAAATAGGTTGTGTTGAGAATTGAATTTATTGAATGCAAAAGAATTCAGAAGCAACTGATATTTTTATTAACTTTCCCCTCTTTACTGCTCCTTCTGTTATGGATTTATCTATTTCAGATGAGTCAATTTAAATGGGAATAGCAACCTTTTATATGAGAATATATAATAATCATAAATAATGGAAAAAACAATTACTCATCATTGCTATTTTTCAATAACAAAACTTGAATTACAGTAATTATTAAGACAAATTCTTGACAGCCCTTTGAATAAAGGACTGGAAGTATGAGTAGATACATAAGTACTTCGTTAAGCACTTTTAGAATTCTTTGTTCTTTCAGTCTCTTTAAAGAGTTTCTTGTAATTGTCTTGTAACTCAATTAAGCTTTCGTCTTTTTCAATCATTGTTATTTTTAATCTCTCAATATCAATCTTACCCTATTGTATAATTTTTAATTAATCCTGTATCTGCAATCTCAGTAGTAATAAATCTTCAGAATACTATTAATTTTCAGTTTCCAAAATCTTGATCGTTTGAAGAAGCTCATAAATGTGTCCCTGCAGTTTCTTATTGCATTCTTATGCCACATAAATTTGGGCTGATTCATAATAACAATAATTAGTACATTGGTAAGAATTAGCCTGATTTTTCATTTGATTGTGAGCCTTCAATTTGAGGTTCAATTTCATCAAAGCCTGGTAGTTTTAAGCATCTCTCTTCAAACTCTCATATTCAGCCTTCGATACTGAACTAAATATACATTGTTACATACTTCTAACTGTATCATCTTTCAACTCTATGATAGAATCCTGACTTAGGTGGCGGTTTGTGTTGTTCGTTGGATTTGTGGTGTAGTTTTCGTCCTTTTTGCAACTAGAAAGAAAATAGTATGCCTTCATTAATAATCAAGTTCACTTACTTCCTACTGAAACTCCGGTGACTATTAACTTGAGTTATCATCTCCGAATGATGGGATGTCTAAAGTTTTAACCTCGATTTTTTTGGTTTCGCAAGGCTCAAACAAATCATGAATTTAAGTCTATGTTAAATATATGTTAGAAGACATTCTTTTAACAAAATAATTTTTTTATTTATATTTTTAATAAATTTCATAACATCTAACCCAGCTTCTTTATTTTTTATTATCTGGCTGATTCTAATTGCGACACTAAATAGCTTATCTCCTATTAAAGGTTTTTGAGGTTCGCATAATCGGTCTCCAAAAATACTTACTCGATTTTTCCGCATTCTCTTGAATTGTCGTACTCCAAATCAAATTTCATAAATATTCTGGGCTTGAACTCCTCCTCATACCCTCTGGATGCTATCTAAAACAATAGAACCAACATATCACTTAGATGTCGTATCTCCATTCCAAATTCTTATAATAAGGCATGCCGTCTGACTCGATGAAACTGAGTCTCTTGTGCAACTAAGTTGAATTTGCCTCTAATTTCTATATTCATCCTAATATTGCATTACTTGTAAAAACAATGCTTTTCTGTCTTCCTTGAATTTCAGGAATTCTACATTTTGTCTGAATTATCTATCCCCAAATTTGAACTTCCCAAAATAGGACACCAATTTCAATGCCAACCTGAAGTATCTATCTGCTTCATTCTCATCAATTTCAAGCACCTCTGTAAATATAATTAATCTCTATCTAAACCTGCTAATGTTGTTTGAGTATCATGCTTAACGATGTAACTTATAGCAAAATTTATGATTTTTTCATATGAATTTAAATCGACTCCATCCAAAATTTGTACTTCTTCAATAAATTTATCACTCAAAATCATATTAAGGAAAAATTTTAATAAAAACTATTATTATCATTTTTCATTGCAAGAATTATTATCACCTAATACTAGGGGCTCTCTGTTACTTAGAGCAATTCAAGATTATCTATAACATAGTATGAACTGAATTAAAAATACTCATCAAAATCTATTGTAGAATTTCAATTGGAACAGCTAACACTATTAACAAATTAAGATATCAATATGTGGGTTTTCATGAGAACTAATTTGATCATTAAGAAATTATGATTATTGTATTTATTCATATTGGATGTTCAGATATTGAAGAAAATCGTAAGAAACATTTAATAAATAGGATTCTAATTAAAGATAAAAAATATTAGAATCACAAAGATTAAGACTTTTTCTGAAATGATGATTATTATTTATAAATATTAAAATCATTTTTTGAAAGATTAAACTTGCTTAACATTATTTGAAAACACTGGTTTTGGTAATTTAGAAGCAGGAGTTAACTAGTTTCTTCTAATTGTTGTTTTTTTTTCGCTAATTGGAATTTAATGAGGTTGTATTGTTAATTATTGCTATTAAATCATTGGCTTTACTGCCGATTAAGATATTTATTATTATTATTAAGCAATTTCTGTTTCAACCTTCCCATTACCATTCAGTAATTCTCTTTCAAATTGCTTGAGCTATCTTTAAAATCCAAAGTTAGGGCAAACTACACTTCTCTTCAATCTTGCAAATTAAAATGCTTCTTAAAATGACATCCCCTATTTTCTCATGAGATATGCAATAACTGTGGCAGCTGATCTAGATACACCAGCAGCACAATGTACAAGCACGCTGCCCTTTAGTAGACCCTCGTCTATTTATTAATAGGTATCCCCCCATATTCTCTTTATATTACAGGATTCAATATCCAGAATATTGTAAACCTATGATTATGTAAAGAATTAATACTTTATGAACAATATCAGAAGTAGGAGGATATTTAACATTTAAACCTGATGCAACTGTTAATACGGTTTTGATATTCTTTTATTTCAAGAGTTATTGATTGATTGCTGCAGTGTAGTCTCCTAACCACAAAGCTCCTTAACTCTCTGTTTAATCTAAAATGGTATTCATGCTTTTGTAGTTATTTATGCCTCTAAATAGCATATCGATGTAGATTATTATTCTAGAAATAAAAATAATTAATAATTTAAATAACAATTTAGTTCAAATTTATATTAACTAAATTCTTTCAAAATCTATTTTCCACATCCTTTGAAAAATAACCATTCATCCTTAATTCTATTAGTTGCTTAAATTAAATTATTCTTAGAACTATTTCTTGAGTACAAAAAATGTTAGATTTAATCATAATTATGTTGTAGATTCAAACTAGAGTTCCAATAATTGATTCATGGTTTGCAGAATATTGAATTACTGTGAAAATTCAAATAAATTTGAGCAAAGGATATTGTAAAATTACAATAGGATATTGATTATTTAATTCAATAATTTATTAAGAAAGAATTAATAAATTCAATACTCAGTATTATTGAGATATCACAATCAAATTTGATGACTGTGCTAATTTACTATCCATTTGAGAGGAACAGTCTCTATTGGTTATTAGAATGTAATGAGAATATTATCTGAAATAAAGTAAAATAATTGCAGAGGGAGAATTAATTTTTATTAATTTAAATCTTCATATTGTTAAATTAATTAGTAGAGAAATGATTGTTCTTCTCAAAAGGTCTGGATGTGTGACAAATGCGAGTGATTTCTAGGGGAAAGAAAAAGCATTTAAAAATCCTGTGTTTTTGAGCTGATTATTAAATACCTAAGGATATTAATTAAATCAACAAAATATTTTCCAAACATCAGTTATTAACATAATGTCTTCAAATATTTAAAGTGCTGCCGTAACAAATGAGATCTCTTAAATGATTGCTGAATATAACCCAGAAGAAGAGATGCTAGAATTAGCTTCTTCATAAAAATACTTCTCTGATTTGTTTGACGAGATTGTAGGAATAAATATTTAAACCCTAGAGGAAAAGCAAAATGCAGATGAGTAAGACTTTTTCTAATTATGTTTTAGATAGTTGAGCAAAATTAAGCTTAGAATTAGAAAAACTGGGAAATCTGTAAGAAAAGGGAATAAAATTAGTGCGTTTTAGGTGAATAGAAGTACCATGGTCGAGGGAAATTCATTTAAAAAAGGCGATTTTAATAATGATTACTTTGAAATGCCAATGTACTAAGAAAATTAAGGGGAATGGCAATAAGAAGAATAGGAAGCTTAAGTGGAGCAGCTTGCTATTCCCCAGTAATTAATCAGCTTCCCATGCCAAGGTATCTATGTGATTAATTTCAGATTAAGATTTGCTGCTCCAAGATCAACAAGATATTATTAGAATTAACAAGGTTGATTTGAAGGTCACCAGAAACATTAGCAACTTGAACAAGAACTCCAAGGATTTGAGTTCGTCGTCATCAAGTCTAATTTCGAATTGAGGAAGCCCCTTATTTCTGAAGAATTCAGAAAAAAGGGGTTGAAATAAAGTGCGATCACAAAATAAGTGACAATTCTTTTCATCAACCACTATAAATAAAATTTTTTTTTAAACATTTCCATAACTTTTTAAAAAAAATTGTATTTTAACTTAGTAACTAAACCAAAAGTAATCCCCACCTAATTACGACAAAAGATATAATATCAAGAGGTGAGATAATAACCATTACTTATTTAAGACATTACTTGTTTATGAATATAGATTTAATTTACAATGAATTTTACTTGTTTTAATTATATTTGATAATCAATTTTTAATTAATTTATTATAAATGAATAAGGATGAGGAAAATGGGCATTCATCATTAAACAATACTCTTGAAAATTCCCAAAATTACGCTTATTTATTATAACAAGATTATTATGAGAAATTCAAAATGGGATAAAATTTATACGAACAATCAGCCTCATTATCAAGAGTATCATTGGGGGAAAAAACTAGTGAAGATAATAATAATACTTACACCTATATCAATATGATTCATTTACAAGAGCGACTGTCAGATCAGATGGTGAAAAATCAAGTAACTTGGTTTTTAAATTGGTTAGTTCTTGGAGAATAAAATTGAATAGCTATCTAAAGAATTAGCAGGGGCTTTAAATCATGTCTCATTGCTGTAAAAATAAAATGAGTTACAATCAGGGTTACTTAAGGATGCAAATGTTAAATTGCAAAAAAAAAATAAAGAGATCGAAATAGAGAAAACCACCAATCTACAACTCAAAAGAAAGATATCAAATTTATAATAAATAAATACGTATATCTCAAAATGAAATTAGCAATTATTTAGATTAGGTCGAGACTCTATCATTGAAGAAAGAATCTGTAATCCTCTCTAATTACAAGACTGCTAGTGAGTTTAGGACATCGAACCAATCAAATAATTCTTCTTAAAGAAAATTAAACTCAGACAAAATACATCAAGGTTTAACTGAAGATTCCACTGTTAAGGATTCATCCTGCAGCGAATAGAAATCTCACGATTTAATTAGATTTTCAGAGTCAGTCTAACAATTCTATAAATCTTCAAATCTTCTATCTCCAGTCTAATAAGTATCCCCAAAGGCCTAAAGTAACGACTTGGAAAGTAGAATAGACTCTACTTTAGCTTAGATTAGAGCCATTAGAGTATAGATTTAGCAATTAAATAAAAAATGATTAATTTTCAATTTCTTAAAATGAGTATATGTTTCAATTTGATAAAGATATGAAATAGTAATCCTATTAATAACTAATAATATTCTAATTGATAGTTTCAAAATATGAATATTTTTTTTTCAAATTGAACCATAAAACTATTTCTAACTAGAGGAAAAGGACTCATCAGTTTCGTCAACTGGTAAGAATGATTCTCCTGCCAATCCAAGTCTTTTCCTGATGAATTTACCTACACACCTATGAAAAAAAATAAAAAAATCTTAATACGTTTTTTACTAGCAAGTGATGCATAGAATCACATTAATAACAGTAGCAAGCATAGGAATGTTGGCTAATCCTTTCTTTCTTCCAATACATAAATTGAAAAATAAGCCAATGACAACAAGGAATATTATGATGTAAATCACAAAGGCTTAGAGATAATAAGAATACAATTACTTATTCTATCACTCTCCTGATACTTTGCATTAATGACATTTTGGACTTTGAATGGATAATTACAATCTTTAATAATCACTAATGTAATATCTTTGAAGTATTGAAATGGGAAAGTGATTTCTATTTTAGATGTTCCTAGGTTGAGACACTTAAAATTAAGCGTAAGAACATTTTCTTTTTCAGTTATTAAGCCTCCACTCACTAAATCACCTTCAAACCAAGCTTTAGTAACATTTTCCATTTCGACATCCACATATGGTTGTGTGAGATTGACCTCTGGAATGGCTTTAAGAGTGGTTGTATCAATTATGAAGCCTTCTGGAATGGGGTCATTGGTAGGATTGGATTGTTTCATTTGTAAAATAAATTTGATAACATTAATGTCTCTAGCTACATTGAACACGTAATTATCTAAATCTTAATCGAAGTATGAGGCATTAATGATTTCTGAGTTCTTGATGATCTCTTGTCTATAGTTTTTATAAATCATATCTACTGCAAATCCCTCTCTTAATGTGAGTGGATTTCCACAAAACTTTTTCCAATAGATTTGAACATCACCACAATTTGGTACAAAAATAGTCATTTCATAATTGATAAGAGTTCCACCATATTGTTTGCATTTGTAATTAATTTCAACTGCATATTCTGTATGCTAGCCATTCGGTCTATGATCTAAACGTGTCGCCGAATCAGCAAAGTAATGATCATCGAAATCTAATTAGAAGTTTTCTAAACTCAAATTAGGATTCTCACTAGTAATGTAAAGGTAATCGATATTTTAAGTCGCTGGAACTATCATTGGGTTTTCTAGGCGAATAACAGGATTAAATTACTGGCTTTTCTATTCCATTATTTGGACGGAATTCCCTTAGAGACAATGTCATCTTTTGATTTTTTGAGATTTGTGCTTACATGCAATGATTTGCAAATTTCGCTTGAGTTTACAAAGTGTAAAAAGGCTAGAAGGATATAATATAAAAACATTAAAACAATAATTGAAGAAAATCAAATTGGAATAAATTAATCATTGATCCACCTTATGAATCCTATTTAAATATTCTCTGATGGCTTTGATGCGTTGAATGAGATTTAAAGGTATCATTGATAATAACAAGGTCGTCCGTCTGATCTAAAGGAATGCATACACATATTTACTTCATTATTAATTTTGTTAGCAATTGGCCACCAGAATAATAGATACACCAGAACTAAGACAACTAAGAAAACTATGAAGATAGTAACAGTGGTGGTTGTATTGGTATCAATGTCTTTTTGCAAACTTGAATTAAAAGTAACCAACAATTATTGGAAGATCGACCTAATATAAATGTCCTGCATTTAATCTATTTAATTATTAATAATATACTTATTTCTACAGCAGCAATATCTGTGTACATTAGTGATAATATTTTATTAGTTTGTAGATTATCTGTGAAATTGTAAAGGGTTCCTGATATTGTGGTCGATGAGGAATCGTTAAGGAGAGAATCGTAAACAGTAAGCAAATACCTGAGATTTTCAAAATGACGGGATAGAGCCAAAGCTAAAGATTCATCAACAATTCCTTTGACGAATGCTTAACAAGTTGCCAAATCTACAGGAGCCACTTGAATGACTTGTGCACATGCTCCAGCCTTCATGATTGAATCAAAGTAATCATTGTAAAGGGAATTGTGATAACCCAAATTTAATGAATGATCCTTCTGCATATTTGTATTCAGATTGTATAAGTCTTTTACAAAGTCTGTAGAAATAGTCTTGGATACATTATTTTTAACAGGGAAGTTGGAATCCCACAACATTTATCTAAACACATTGTTAGCAAAAGTGATTGAAGGCACTGCAAGTGAAGTAGCATTCATTTCCTGAATCAGTTCTTACATTGAACTTTGTAAATTGGCACCAATAAGATAATGAGCAATGAAGTAGGCAATCAACAACCCCATTGAAATGATGAATTTAATGTAAAAGTTACGTTTATCCTTAGAATCATACTTATACTTCTTTCTTTTCTTTCTTCTCCCAAATTCTTCAACAACACCTTCTCCTTCTTCATTCTCCTCAAATGACACATCATTCTCTTGATTGGCATCTTCATCCTCACCTATTTATAGAGTATTCGAGAAGGCTTCACATTTGGCAAACAATTGCTTCACTTTCGCTAAGGGAATCTCTAAGAACAACTTGATAACTTCTTCTTGATTCTGAGAGACTAAATTAAAAGAACAAGCAATCCACGGTATGGATACTACTGTAAATACACAGGCAACAATTAGAAGTACGAGTAATACATTAGAATCATAAGCTAGATTTATAAGTTGATTTGTATAAAGATCTGCACTTTCCAATGTAGCTTGATAGTAGTCATTTAGCAAATTATACCTTATGAAATAGATAGAATCTGCGTCAGGAGTAAAATCTTTGATATCAAAATTCATAACTTCAAAGGCCTTTGAAATGATCTACGAGGTGCCTTGATTGATATCCACTAATTAATTGCTTTCAGCCCCACTGGTATCCTTACTAATCATCTTAATGGTGTTAGTAGTCATTAATTCATTCTGTCTACCTGATACTTCAGTAGAGGATTGAATTTTAGATTGGATGTCTTTCAAATCACTAATTGTAGTGTTCATATTTGTCAATTAGGTTTTTACCTTATCATCTGTGGCTAAAACATTGATTTTATTCAATCTACACAATTCCATTATTTACCATTATATTCTTTAGCCTAAACCCACTCTTATGTTAGAATCTTGCATCATTATGTATCCCTATTAGATATCAGAAAATAATTATTGTGTCAATACATAATCGAGTAATCCCAAAACACCCAGACATATAATTAATATAGCAGCACTCCATTTAAAACAGATCATGCTGGTTTAATTGACATTTCTACTTTCTTATAAGAATTAAACAAAAGTCCTCCTAGATTTATAAATATTAGCATGACCTCCTTCTGCTTCTTCTTCATCATCTTCTTTTTAAATTTACTACATTCCTGCATTTCCTGCTCCCTTTTTTTATTCATTTTCCTCCTCTTCATCTGAATCTTAATTCTTGAATTCATCAATGTCGAAAAGTTATCCATTGATATATTTCATAGTCCTAATTCCAAGAGCCAAATCTATTTTCTCATCCTTTTCTCCTACATTAGAAGAAGGAGTCTTTTCATCTTCCTTCAGAGGTTCTCTTTGTGAGTAATCAAAGGTCTCATCTTGTTTGACACTTGAAAGAGCAGACATCTAGAAATTCTAATCTCCTGAATACTCTCCTACATACTAGTGTTGAGCTTAATCAAATTGGAAATAGAATTTTGTTTGTGATTCTTTTTTCTTTTATTGAGATTATTCATTTGGATTGAGAAATGATTTTTCTTATTTGTTATTTTCAATCTTAATTATATACCCTTATAATTTAGAATCTCTAAACATGATCTCTCCAGCAGTTATATTAAATTTGCCTTAAACCGATTAATCTCTATTCTTAAAATTGATATCTGCTTCTGCTCCTGTCTTATTCAAGTACTCAGTGATGTTTTCTTAGAAATTAGGTATTATATCTGTTACCTTAGTCTTCTTTTTTGTGATGTAATTCAGATCTATATGAGACATTGTAATAATCGTGGCTGAAACATTTTCAATCTCTTGAGTCTATCCATTCACAATCATAAATGCTACGTTTTTAAATACTTTTTCTTGTCTCATAGCTCCAAAGAACTAGGCACCATGTATAAATGATGGCACATATCTCACATAAATGAAGAATGGGAATATGTATCCATTCTTTGATTTTCCAATGATCATTCTTTCTCTATTCATTATTCTGCTTTCGTAAGTTTATAAGTATGTTTCCATGAATTAATCATGTGATTAAGCAAATACATTCGGCATCAAGATATTAACTTTTCTATTAATCAATTCACTCTTAGAATAACCAAACATTTTGGATGCTGACATATTCAATCCGATGATTCTACCAAAAGTTACATCCTCAGCTGAAATACTTATTAAAGCAGTAGATTCATTTGGAAAATCATTAATGTTATTAGTGATTTTGCCTCTGTCCATATTGACTGAATAAAAATTCTTCAATCTTTCCAATACCTCCTCAGCTGATTCTTTATCATACAGAATATCAACTAGATATCTCGAATAAATCATCATCAAATTTGGAGGGACATCCAGATTCATTTTAATAATTCGTTTCCATGAGTCTTCCAACATTTTATCTATATACATCATTCTAGTTCCAACATCGTATAATTTTCCTAAATCTGGCGTATCCTCACTCAATTGTGACCAAAACTCTATGTGTTACGATGCTGACTTTTCAATCTAGGCTCGAATCTCCCTAAGATTGTTTTCAGTCGTTAATTCATTCACTGCATCTATACCAGCAGCTGGATTTTTTGAAGATTTTGAATTTTCAAACATTTGTTCCTCTATTAGCTTTTTTAATCTGTAGACTATAAATTATTCATCAACATATGGTTTCTCTTATTCTGCTGCTACCAATTCCTATAATGCTTGTTGATTCGATTGCATTTTCTCCATTAAAAATAAGGAATGAGAAATTCGTAATTCTGTGCAATTGGGAAATCTGGTCAAAGATAAAGTAAATATTCTTTCAATAATGTAGACTAAAACCACATACTACTCTTTAATTTCATCATCTTAATTTTACAATTTGAAGTTCTTCTGAAATTTAGCAATTTTCTTATTACCCATATTTTTGGCTTAGCAAGGACAGTCTTCTCTTTTACAAATTGTTCTATGATACTCTACAAACCCATCCAATAATGTGGCAATATTTCTATCCGTATGATAATAATTCAAAAATTTAGTTAAGTATTATAACTATTGGATTGCCTAATTAAGTGAATCAAATTTATTTGAATCAATCATCATTATATCATATCTATACTCTTTCCTAAGCATAACAATCAGTAGTAATAAAGGACTTCCAAAAACCCATAAGTAGGGTGCACCTTCGTAATAAGTATCCTCAACAATGATACCAAATATGATCATACATATTGTCCACATAATTACTGCATGTTGTGAATTTAATACTTTTGAATAGTAGTAATTTAAATAGACACTTGATTTGTTAAATGAAAAGAATTAAATGACTGCAAATAAAGTTATTATGATGACCACTAAGATTCTTAATTCATTTACATTCAATAAGGTGAAGCATAGTACTAGAATGATTTTAAAAATCAAAAATTTCATATCATCTCTGCCTGAAATCTTGCATAGTGGATTATTTGGTTGGAATCTTGACTCATAAAATGTCATTGTTACTAATGCGCTGATGCAAACCAAAATGAATGCTGCAATTGCTGATAGGAATGCGTGAAGTAAATAATTCCCTGTGTAGCATTCTAAATCAGAATAATATTTATGAAAGCCACTCCCTGAATCGCAATAGAAGATAGTCAAAAAAAGATGCAAAGCAGGCATAAAAAAAATGTAATTGAGTATTTCGAAAAATATTTTGAGAACAACTAATGGTCCACTCAACTTACCTACCGATGTGGTTTACGCCTTTATTGCAATGAAAATTATTAAAATTATTAGTAACAGGAAGAACCCCATTACTATATAGAGTACTAGGATGAAACTTTGAAACTCTACATTTTTCAGATATGGGGAAATCATAAAGTACCCAAAAAATGATTGAAATGACTCCGACCATGATTTCACCTTCCACAATGACAAAAACTATCATAATCACCAACATATGTATACTTCATCACTGAAGGCAAAGTAAAAAACTTGGAAACTCTCAATCAAAACAAAAAAGATGTAAAGAAATAGCGGGAAGTTCTCTCCAGAAATTAAATAGTAGATAATTTCAAAAAGCAGATTCTTAAAAGAGTTTTACATCTTATCCAAAGCTGATTTATCATCATCAAATATCGAAACACCTTACATGTTTTATATTATTTATGATTTAAATATATAATAAATTAAACATTATCATTAAATTATTTTTATATATTGAGTCCCCTTATACATACACGACTCCTTCATCTTTCATTTAATTAGATGAATCTATCTTTCCTGTTATCTAATCATTTCCACTTTGATTTTGAAGATTCATTCTATTGGAATATCTGTAATAAAAATTTAGAATATTCATTTTTCATTAAATATTTATTGTATGAATTACTCAAATGATCTAAAAGATCAGTCAAACTTAAATCCTATTTTTAGGTTTCTTTTATATGCTTTTATGGATAATAATTTAATCCTTTAATCAATATTGGAAATAGTCAGTCAAATCTAAATTTTTATTTATTATCTAGTCAGCACGAACTTAAGTATTTAGCTATATGGAATTATAATTTTAGTTTGTTATCCACTATTGTTATTAATAAATTGAAGGATTCAATATTCTTATACACAACTCATTTACATAGCCAGGTTATATATTATTGTATTACCTATTTTTGCCCAAAAAGTCAAAAGTAATCAAGTTAAATTGTTGAGGTATTTAGAGATTTTCAAAGTTCTTCCATTAATGATCAATTTTATAAAGTATTAAACCAATCTGAATTCCATCTTAATAGACTTATTTAATAATATATGATTCTTTGCTAAATAATCACTATATATTTATCAGGATAGTATATTAAATTCTTTAAGGATATTGTCTTCTTAGGAATGAGTAAATCAAAAAAATAGAGAATTTAACTAGTCTTAATTCTATCTTATTAAAAGTGCATTAATGTATATTTGTTTAAGGATAGCCAGGAAGATTTGGTCCATGAAATATATCATTCCATCCAATTTGAATTAATATGTTAGGTAATAAAATAATTATCATTTATTAATATTCAATGCTGATATGACCAATTTAACCCTACCTGTAGCATTGTCTACCCTTTGTCTATTCTTATCCAATTATTTTAATTAGCATTTTCCTTTCTTTGCTTTACAAGTGTAATTAAATCCATTTTTAAAACCATTTATATCTGGAATGTAAATTACAGTATCACAACCCTTTCTGGAATCGTATTTCAAGTTAAATGATTATTTTTTAGAATTGAACTTTGAATAGTAGACTTTAGATCCACAAATTGATTAAGCATAAGGTCTAACCAAAGCTTCCATTTTATAATTCTATAGAGATCCATCTTGATTGAAAATCCCTTCATCATACATGTTTGATGCAGTTGTAAAATCATTGTACCCTTTATATTGCCAATAAGCCCAAGATTGCAAATAGTTATCTGCTTTATACAATAAACTATTGAGTATATCTTTGGCAAATGGTTCATTAGGTAATGCTCCGAATTCAGTTAGCATAGCTCCAGTACCTAAATGATTGATGTTCATTTTTTTTAGAGGATACATAAAGTTATATAGCTGTTTGCAAAGGAAGGTTGAGACATTTTCTATTAAATTGTAAGTATATATAAATACCAATTCCACAATAGAGATGGTAACTCAAGACTTCTTTCTTTTGATATTTTCTGCCTCCTACGTTGCGTTTGAATCCTGCTCCCAAAACATCTGTGAAGTAAGGTTCAAAGAATACAAGTTTCTCAGTATCAGCTTATCTAATGTATTTATTGATTATTTAGTAGAATGGCATGATGAGATGCTTGTTAGCCCATCCTGGCCAGACGTATTAAATTTTGCTTCTTTAATAATTACCAGAGGCAGGTTCATTCATAATTTCATATCCCAAAACATTCCATTCTCCTTTATGCAATTCAGCCACTCTTTTCCAGAAGAGTCCAAACATATCAGCAACACCATTTTCGTTTTTCAATATTGATTCTACATTCTTACCAACGTCTGAAGTCAAATAAAATTTAGCAAAGTTGTCCTATTTTAAACAGTCTTCAATTAATGGATATCCTTATTCATCCAATCTTAATTCAATGTTTTGAGGTGCCGGGAAATCTGTTTTAGTGACAGCCCAATCTGGGAAGCCTTCTCCACAAAACTGTCTATTAAGTAAGTCTTGATGAGCATCCAGAATAACATAAATATTGTATTTAGCAGCTAATCTCACGATGTCTCTAATGTGCAACAGATACTCTTCATTTAATATTCCTCTTTGAGGCATTCCAGCTTCAAAGGCCACATGCAATCGAATTACATTAAATCTATTGAGATTACATTTAATAATAATTACCCCAAATCAACCAAGAGTTAGCAATCTTCGTCAGAAAATGAAGTCATTACGTCAAAATGATCAGTTACTGGGAAGTATGGGGCAGGTTTGTAGACAACATTGAAGCCATGGAATATTCTGATTGCTCCTTTCTAATAATTAATGAAGTTACTACTTCATCAACAAAGTTTCCATGTTTATTAATGTGAACTGATATTGCTATTCCAATAATACATAATAAAAATTTCATATTTAATTTAATATCCTTTAAATTCTAAATATAATTAAAAAAATCGTTAAAAAATAAATGGGCAACGAACCATCAGCTCCAAATGATAAGATTGATTTCTTAAGACCAGTTCAAAAGAAAGCACCCGAGCCTACCCAACTCAACAAAGTCTAGTAGAATGAATGGAGAATTGGATTGCAACATCCTCATCTCTTGTAAACTTTGGGTGGCCAACCTGAGGGAGATTAGTATCGATACTTTTTCGAATTCTGTTAAATCACTTTAGCATCTCTGTTGTAGGAACGATATGGAACTAAAAAGTACTTTCCTGAAGAAGACTTATAGGCATTGCTTTTGGGCATAAGCAGTGCTTTGAGTTTCTTGTAAGAAAAGGGACTGTCACATGGAGGTAAATAAAACTCATTTATTAATTAGACATTTGCACAACTGAAATATTCTTTGATTCAAACAGTTCGAGTTTCAAAGTTTTGGATTCAAATTTAATTAATGGAAGAGGAGCTTCCATTCAGTAATTATTATCAGGAAAATTGAAATATCTCGCACCTGAAATATTACAAAACCCAACACAACCATTCTCTGAGTTGTAATTGAGTAAAAGTGATGTTTGGTGTTTGGGCATGGTCATGTTGGAAGCAAGTACTCTCAAACAAAATGACAATCTCTATCAAAATGGCTTATAATTTAGATTGATCTCAGATAGAATTAACGAAGTAGCTTAAATTTACAATTTGCAATATGCTGAGAATATTGCATTGATGCTCAATTTCAACCCAAATGAAAGGTTAGATCCAGTTAATCTATTTAATTATCTACTTGAATAATAGAGAAACGCAAATGAATAAGATCAGCAGGTTGTTTAACAATAGTAATATTAACAATTACTTTAGTAATAATAATTGTATTAACAATAATTATGCTAACAACAACAACAATAATAGTAATAATAATAATAATAGTTATTATATTAATAATCCTAGTAGTAGTAGTAGTAACTTACTTATCAATAGGCTTAGTAATCCCAATTGTAACAATAACCAATATAATATTTACCTTAACAGGTGGAACAATAAAATTATCAATAATAATTAGTTTAACAACATTAATTACAACAAACCCAAGTTCCTCCCTAATACCTTCAACAATAACAACAGTAGACAAACCAACAACAATAATACAATACTCAATAAGCACAATACGCATAATAATAATAGCAATATGCTTAGACTCAATAACCAAGACAAAACCACCATCAATCAAGACCATCCTAAGATTTCATGATGACTCAACCTGATATGAATCAAACTATGCAAGGAGGAGTTTCTAGAGAAAGAGTTCCCACAAAAATTATCAAGAAGCTAGTCTATCCTGATGGAAGAGTTGAATATCAAGAGAAATCTCATTCAGCTTCAAGGATGGGTAATTTATTATTCTATTATTTTTAGTTTAATAACCCTAACAGTAGAAACAATAACAAGTGATTCCCTAACAATAATAAGCATAAGCTATGCCACAACAATAATAAATAATGGCATAACAATAATAGATGATGTCTCAATAATAAATGATGTAATAATAGTATGCCTAGCAACCCTAATATAACCCATAGTTTTAATAATAATAATACTAGTAATAGCCATAGCCTCAATATTAATAGAGGTAAAATGTTCTTGGTAATATTGAAAACTAAATGTAAGTTGTTACTAATGAACATAACATTACTAGATTGAAATAAGAAATAGAACACTCTAAAACATTAATTTAATAATATAACTAATAAAAACCATAAGTTCAAGCTGAATCGATAGAGGAGAGAATAAGAAAAGTTATTGCACAATCATAAGCTTTAAGAGAAAACTTTGCATGAATTATACCAATATATATATATTATAAATTATCAGATAATGCTACCTAAATTAAATCAAAGTTCTTCAGTATAATAAGTGAAATCTCAGGAAGATTTCAGTTTGAATGAAGCTAAAAGACGTTAAAAACAACTTGAGTTGGAATAACAAAATGTTGAAAATAGAATCAAATAACTTACTAAAGAGAATTCAAAACTATCCAAAAAAGTTTAAATGGCCGAGTAATTGGCTCTAGATGTTTATGCTTCTCGTCTTGCTCAGAAGATTAAAGTAATTGATTATTCTAAAAAACTACTTAGAAAGAACAGAAATTCCATTAATAATCTACTGTCGATCCATTGAGATATCAATAAACATAATATGAAAGGATGAACCTTAGGAAAATGAAATAAGAAGTAAAAGAAATGAAACATAATGATGCATAATTGATGAAAAAATCGATTAAATACGAATTGATGAGAACTAGTGAAGAGTAAGCTAAAAAAGCATAAAATATGAAATTAAGAGCTGCTTTAATTAAAGAAGATGAGAAATTGTCCTAGGCAGTGATTCAGGAAAAGTTGTTAGAGAAATAATAAAAAGTTAGATTATTATAAGAACTAGAAAAATAAAAGATTCTGATGGAAAATGAAAAATACGAATACTAAATCAAGTAATTAGAAGCTTAAGAAATTAAATTAGTAGAAAAATTACAAGCCACACAACAGAGAGAATAGAATGTTAAATAGAAGTTAATGGCAGCAACAAGACTGGCTCCTGAGGAATTTGATAGAACCTACTTGGGTAGTTAGTCAATCATTTGTGAACAAGGGAACCATGTAAGATTATAAATATGTATAGGAAAAAACATAAGAAGAACAAAAGGAACAGTAAGAGGAACCAAAAAAAAAGGATCAAGAGGAAAATAAAGAAGGATAATAAGGAACCTAAACTGATTGAATTGATTTATTATACGGATCGTCAGTATATATTGAAAGAAAATTTAACTCCCGGAAATAACTTCACATATCCTAAATATCTATAATTTATAAGAAAAATACATTTCATAAAATATAAGAATATATATCACCATTCATATAAATTCTTCTTATTCAAATAAAAAACTATTTAATTTATAAATAAATACAAGTATTTACTTAAAATTTTATTCAAATAAACTTTAATTTCTAACTGAGTAAATAACTTTAAATTGTGGATGAATATATTTTTGATTAAAATTAATTTCATCTGAATAGAGAAATTTAAAATTGGCATATTCAAGTTAACACTTCTGATGAAATTCGATTTAATTACCTTGAATTAATATATTTCTGCAATATTAATCGAATTTATTATTATAAAAATTAAATGATTTTTTTTTAGATCTTTTTTAGAACTATTTAATGATCAAAAATGCGAACTAATATAACAACTTTAAAATATTATTACCATTATTTGTAATGATAGGTAACTAATAGCAACATGATATAATAAAATGACTTAACAAATGAAGAGCAACATTCTAATTAATTATAAAAAAATGGATATTAACTTGAAGGATTTCAATAAACAACTCATTAATGCAGTATTTTGATAAAATATTTAGTTTTTGTTTATTAATATAATTTCAAATCATAAAATGTGATGATATTACCTTATTAATTTCAATCCTTATTTATCACTTTTATATTACTAAATAATTCATCCAATTCAATATGATATTATAAATGTATTTATTTGTAACTTGTTATCGAAAATACTAATCATAAATAAGTTTATATCTATTTTCATAATATATTTTTTTGTAAACATATAATATATATATTTGTATGAGATATAATTCTAAATCTGAATAATATTTTTTTCAATTCAAGTTTTATTTTCAAATTTAATAAACGACTCAGGTTATTAATTGACATCTAATTAAAAAATTAGTTTCTCAAATAAACTAACACTTAGATAAAAATATTTAATAAATGAATAATTTCTAAGAACTAATAATAAAACAGAATTAGAGAATTCGTAATGAACTCTATTAAAACCTAATTATTGTGGGATAATTTTTTTAAACTCTTATATGGATTTTAATAGCTATATATATTTTGGGAGAATAAAGAGAGGACTTGCAATTTAAAATATTTTATTATTTTAGTTTACCTACTATTTCACTACAATTCGATATTGAGTAGAGCATCATATAAAGCGTAACAATATTTTTTTCATTGGCTTTCTTTCTAGCAATATTATTTGGAGGAAATTAGAAATATTCAAAAAGGATTGTTGATTTCCTTTGGGATGCTTATCCAAATTTATGTTAAATCGTAATCATTCAAAATAGTGGGCATTGTCTACTAACTGATAAAATCAACTTCACATTGGGTGTCTTAAATATTTTTATGGCAATTGGGAATTCTCAATTAACCAGCCTATATTCATTTCAATAAAATCATACTCAAAAATTAATAAAATCTTATTTTGAAAGGAGCCTACATCCTCTGTGTTATTCGGTATTGGCATTATTCGCAGGTCTACAAATAAGCAGCTTCTACATATCCTACTTATATTTAGGAGCATAATTAATTTTTGACCTTTATTTTGGAATATTTTATTATGTGAAACCTCACATGCAATATTTAAATATTCAAACCTAAAGATTAGTTGTATTTGGCTCTTTTTTAAGATTCCCAGTGGTGCTGTTTCTATTTTATTATCAGGGCAACAACATTTTATATTTTTCATTATTTTCTCTTCCATTTATGATATAGATACATCTAATACTGTGGGACAACAGATTTATGAACCTAATATACCAAACGAATAAGTTTTTCTAATACATTTGTCTTGATAAGTTTAGTGAGAGGGACAATCTGATCGAATGTTATATAGCATATTATTTTGAAATTATTGATTATAAGAAGCCGTTTAACCGAGTTTTGATGCTGAGCATTTTTTGTAATCATATGAATATGTGTTAAAATCTCAAATGCTTTTGTTAAAATAGAAACTTTAACGAAAGAGTTAAAATAACAACCCAACTGGCAATGGATGTAAAGGATATTCAATAGCAAATAAATTATGCAGTTGTAGAACAAGATATTTAAATGAGTTTTAAGGAGCTGATGTTGTTATTCCTGGATAATTATATCAAGAATGTCAGATATTCTGCCCTTGGAGAAGCTTTGATTTTAAAGTTAAGTTTATATGAAATTCAAAGCTTTTAACAGAGACTATTCTTAACAAAACTTAGGTTTTAATATCTGAAAATATACTATCATAAATTTCACCCTCAGTTTTTAGAGAGATGGGCTACTTGTACATAGGTTACTGAAAAATTACAACTTTACATAGGTGAGAGCAATAAATTGAATTTTAATCTTTCAATGTCAATGCAATATTTTCATTTGCTAGATAGAATACAAACAAATATATTTAGAGTTATCGAAGACAAAATACGTATATTGGAACTATTGAAAAGGAACTATCAAAATGCAGTTCCTTATCTTTTACATTAGTCTACTGAAAATTATTTTAATTAATGCGATGAACTTGAATAGTTAATATAATAATTAATTGAGCTTAATGGGATTTCATTTGAAGTCAGAGGATTATAAGATGAATTTTATTCGGAAATAAAGGTAGATTATGCTCGTAAGAATATCCATAAAAAGTCAACTATTCCTTTCATAAACTAAAATTAAACAGCATTCGTAATCTGCGATTATGAAGGAGACCTCATAATTAAGGACTATTCTAACAATTTTATCTCAATGATTGATGTAAGTTCATAAATAAAGGGAAGTGCTATTGAATCAATTGTTCCAGTTACCCTATAATAATATCATAGAATGGCTATCGCTTAAATGGTGAGCACAGGCCAAACAAAATTGGTTAATAAGGAATAATACAGTTTAATGGTGAAATCGGAGAAATATATTTTGGAAGTGGATGCCTTACTAAGATTTGATTATAGATAGTTAGAGCTATTAAGATTCATTGGATTCATTCAATTGCGTGATAAGGATAGTATTTTAATACTTGCTAACGAGAAAGGCAAGATTGATTCGTATTCTAGATCTGCTGGTGTATTGCTTAAACTAGATGAAATTGACAGCAGTCATCTGAATTATTTTTAATTATCTCCTTGTTTATTACAAGAGAAGATGGAATTTGAGTTTGATGGATTTTTATTAATTCCTAAAAGACATTTTAGGTCTGATATTTTGAGCTACATGAAACACTTTTTAGGATCTCCTGATGAATGTATTATATTCTTAGTTAATGGTTAACATCATAAGAAATGTTACACTTCTGTTACAATCTAATTGTTGAAAGTGAATTCTTCTTATTAATTAAAGGAACTTGATTTTAAATTGATTGCTTTAGATATAATGATGAGATAGATTATGATATTAAAATAAGTCAGTAAATCTCAATATATGATGCCGACAGAATCAGTTCGAAAAATATAAACTTTTAAAAAGACTTTTAAGTTTCAACAAACTCACACAATTGAATTGACTGAAGAAGAGTACAATTTGATTTATGAAGATGATTCAGAAAGAGAAATCTAAGTTTAAAATAAAAATCAGTGCATTCTTCCTGAATTCATCCCATCCTTAGATTCCATAAGAACACAAAATGAAAAATTGCTTCTCACTTTTGAATAATGTCGAGATTACCAATATAATTTAAGTAAAGATAAATCTTTTGAATAATAATAAAAACTTGATACTTTGGAAGGATCCAAGTCAGAGTAAGAAACATTAAGCAATCAAAAGAGGAATACTCATAAATTAATAGAAATTGAATTGAATGCTGCAGAAGATCAAAATATAGAAGAATAACTATAAATTATATTAGCAACTGTCAAATCTAGATAGACACGTAAAGAATTTCTGGAAATGAAATATCAAATGAAAAATAAGCATAAAACTAGTACTTGGTATGGAAGTGGAAATCAATAAACTTAAAAAAAGCTTATTAGAAGCATAGTTCAATAATTCTAAAATTCTTCCTTGAGTTTATTAATTTATATTAAAATAGCATCATGCTTTTTGGTTTTAATAAACGTTGGATTTATTCTAGGATTCGTAATCAATAGTATAATCAATATTGCTGGTATATAAATGGATTCAAACAATCAAACTTATCCTCTGATATTATTTCAAGATCTCAATTTAGTATTATTAGGTATTCAACTTGATGATTGGAATAAATCTTATTATGAAATAGCACAATCTTTTAGAATCTTAGGAGCTGAGTAATACTAAAATTTAAGTATTTATGTTAACGATGTTGAACTGGACTATCACACATTTCTGTAAGAACTTGATAGATAAACTATAATAGTTTAAGAAAATGGACTTCCAATTACCTATTTTACAAAGTACTTTCTAAAAAATTATATGGTTGAAAAACTTAGAACAATTGAAGAAGCTGTATCTGTTCCTGTGTTTGGAGAGGAAAGTCAATTTCTATTTGATAATTATCCTGAATTAGCAAATCAATTATGGAATTTGAAAAATAAAACTACAAGAGATGTTGGTGAAAGAATAGATGAATTAAATTTAATGTCGTAATTATTGCTGATCCTTTCGATCTTATGTAATCTTATAGCAATACTGGTCTATTTAGCATTTCTAATTAGTGTTATATAGTGGAGGAATTAGCTTTATACAACCCTATTCTTATTTAACAACCTTTAAACATAGATTACCCAATTATCAGATTCAATAAATCGTTAGATCTTCTAAATTTCAGGGACAAGAGGAGATGATGAAGAAAAAAATAAGAAAATTAAGTTGATTTGGTAGATTTATGGAATTCTAACTTTTTTTCTTCTTTTGATTATCTCTTTAGGTGTGTACATACCTCTGTTCCTGTATATAGATTCTGTCAATTTATAATCTATCGATGTTAATCAACTCCAAACTGAACTCGCCATGATGCAATTAAAATAATCTGCTATTCTCACTTGGTTTGCTATCAACCAAACTGAGAACAAGTATAATACTAATTTAGTCCATAACACTTCTATCATCCAATATGTGATTAACTAATGCACTCCCTCTGAATAGTTTGTTCTATACGATCTTCCTTTTGATAGCAAATATGATTACTTTCCAGAAATTCAGCAGTATTCAACAATCTCGTTATGCAATTGTTCTTTATTACAAAATCAATTAAAGAATGGATATTATGGATTTTAATCTTATGTCTCTTAACATTTATAAAGATTAAGAATAATTTGATGAAATCATGGATGCCTACAAAATTGTATTTGAATATCAAATAAAAAAAAAAAAAGAATTTGACGATTATATGCAGACTAGATTAAAAAATACTTAATAAACCTTATAAATCATCTTGGAGATAAGTGTGATAATTATCATTCTAATTTAAACATTGATTCTAATTTTAATCCACGGACAAATTATTAAAATAATTAAATCTGCTAAAACTATTATATACTTATTTCCTCCTCAAATTTTAGCAAATACTAAGATAGTACTTTATAAGTATTAATTTAAGGTAGCAATTAATGATTTAGTTTTATTTTTATTTATTATTTATTTAAAAATCTCTAAATTATAATATAAAAAATAAAATTGCCTCATCCTTAAATTCAAGAATACCA